ACCTCACATATCAGATCTCCCATTGTAATATATCAGATTTATATACAAAAGCCTCAATTTATCCGTATTAGGCAGTTTTTAAACGTATGATTCCTCTCCCTATAGGCCGAGTACCTACTTAGGGCCTTCTTCCGCTTGATTAGGCGCTCCTCCTACCTAAATAGGCAATTTGCGTCCCATTTTGGCTGTGGTATCCTTAGGGGGAGGATTGGGACTAATTAAGTACCTAGAATCGTTTTGATATACCAAAATACGTCGATATCGCTAAATCTGATTAGCTTATTTGATCTAATAAGATTAGATAAGTAGTGCTTATATAGAAGCCCTATAGAGCGAGTGAATTACCTAGAATATAGCCCAATTTCGCTAGGTTAGAGTACTAATTCACGTTAGTAATAGATTAATCTAATAGTATAATTAGATATATAAGCCCTAACTAAGTTATATAGCTAAAACGTTACTATCTTTAGTATAAGGATCTTATTAGATTCAATCTTAATCTAGATTCCTACTTGTTACTATATAATAACCTTATTAACTATATTAAAAATAGTTAAAAGGTCTCTATTTACACTATTTAGCTCCGCTTTTAGCTAAATATAATAGCCTTCGGAGCGAGAACTCGCTATATTACCGAAATAGGTAATATCCTTCACTAAGAATCGGATAAATTTCTGTTTATAGGTTAGCTATATAGTAAATAGATAGTTAATTAGCTTAGGGTAGGGTTTAATTATAGATATAAGGTTAGATAACCTTAAATTATACTTATCTTTAGTATTTAACTAGTATAAATCCTTCTATTATATTATAAAAGCCTAAAATTCAATATTTTTATCTAAATTTTGACTATTACCTACTATAATAGTCTTAGCTTTTACTAATACTACTTTATTAATATACTAAATATAGAGTAAATAGCTATAATTAGATAAAATAGTCTTAATTACTCCGATTAATACTAAATCACGGTCAGTAATTAGTACTATATTATAGGGTAAACTTAGCTATTTATAAAATTAGGTTTAAAGTACCTAAATATAGCTATCTATTTACTTATTTTATATAAAATAAATAGTAAATAAGAAGCTCTGATTAGTAGGAGTAATACTAACCACTTCTAAAAAGGGTAATTGATATCGATTAGCTAGTGATATTATAGCGGGGTAGGATATAGCTAAAAATTCAATTTTATTATTAGATAAAACCTTAGTTTTATACTTATATTGTTTTATCTCTAATTAAGATATCAAAAACTCAATTTTAGACTAAAAGCCTTATTTTTGATATCGATATATATATATCTAATTGTAGATATCCTAGGGTTTAATTGGCTATAAGGACGTATTTTGGACTATTTATATGATTTTCTTAGGCGGAATAGCTATATTAGATAGCTCTTTAATCTTATCAACCTAATAAGATTAAAGCTTTCGGGCCTAAGGGTAAACTATTGGATTATTAGTAGGGTGGTTATAATCTGAATTCCGGATTTGGAGGTGCCATTTACTATTTTTAATACTTATATATAGCTAAAAAGGATAGCCTTTCCTTTTTAAGCTAGTTATCCGAGGTTTTTGACTAATTATAGGCTTTTGATCCCATCTTAGCTCGCCTGATTCGATATATTGTATAGTCACAGATCTGCCTGGATTACTCCGCTTGATAGTAGTGCAATAGCCCTATGATAGGGTATGCTTCTATACCATTTCGAGCAATTTATCGCGAGTATTATATACCGCTTTGGGGGGAGAAGCGTTAGTAAAGCCATTGAATTAGTATAAAATATAGGTAAGGTGGAGGTGGTATACTTACCTATAGTGGGGTCGATAGAGGTAGGGTTGATTATAGCTATTTTTGCAGCGGTTGATTGGATTAGATCAATAGAAATCAGATGATTTATATAGAAACTGGGGTAGAGAGAGAGAGAGAGAGAGAAAGAGAGAGAATTAGGGGGGGAGGTGGTATTTATATCGTATATAGTGGTTGCTATAGGAGATCTGATATATAAGGTTACTAGTCATGTGATTTTTATCCTATTTATTCCGATGGGGTAGGTATTATGTAATTTTATGGTGACTAATCGGGGTACAATAGGAGATTCTTGGGGTACAGGGACAAAGACCCTTATATAAGATAAAGCTTACCTAATATACCTTCCCCTATAAAATATTATAACCTACTATTAGGCTATAATATTATTTTTACTAAAAGTGCTTATAAGTCTTATCTCTTTTATTATTAGAGTCTAGGCCTTCTTCCTCTCGCTATTAGGCCGGGATCTAGGTTACTTTCTCCTTAGCTTAAGATATATTATCGGTTAGTTAGACTTAAGACTAAGTTTAAGATAGTCTTTAATATATTACGCACTAGCTAACTAGTTATAGTTAGGTTAGATAGTTTAGGGTATAGTTACCTTAATATACCTTAGGTTCTCTAATATTAATAATATATCTATTATTACTAAGCTATTACCTTATCCTTTAGGCCTTACTTTAGCCTAAGTCCCTAGAAGTTATATCGAGGAATCGATACTAGGTAGAGCACCGAGTAGATCTATACTAGGGTATTAGTCTAGCTCGTAGTGTTATTAAGTTATAACTAAGTTAAGAGTCGGTAGTCTTAAAGGTAGATATAAGTAATAATATATAATTAAAGATAAAGAACTAAACTAGGTATATAAATAAGTGCCCTTATATATCCTCCTATCTTCCTAGAGTAGTTAGGTAGATAGTAGCTTAGTAGATTTGTCTTAGCGGGATCTACCGTTCTACCGTCGACCGGTCTACTACCTATATAATCACGTGACACAGTTTCTGGTTTGTTGGGGTGTTCTTTGCACGTGATCCTAGTCTATTGGCTCTCGATGGCCCATTGATGCTGGTAGGGTAGTTTGGGTCGTTGGGTGCCTGATAGGTCCGTAACACTAGTGCGTAACAATAGGGTATAAGAGTATAAGAACCTAGAGATCCTTAGGATCCTACGTCCTTTAGTAAGAGTTAGTCTTATCACTTAAGACAAATATATTTTGATCCCTCTCCTATAATCAATAAGCCTCGTATCTTACCCGGTTGATAGGCCTTATACCTGATAATTATATACTCTTCTAATTAACCCACTTAGTAATAATCTTAGGGTCTTTATATTTCGCACACTCATAATTACACTATTTCAAGATTCGGGAAGAGAGGAGAGGACACTGTTTCATAAAGTTATATACCTATTTTTCGCCGATAAAAGAACCGGGATAGTTCCACACTTTTAATAAAGGAGAAGATCCGCTATTTCTCGTACTACAGAGGGCCGAGGGGCTACTCTACGCAGATCTATAGAGAGTATCTATTTTTGAAGAGATTCCTCTTCAAATTCTGTCAATTTAGAGTAGTTAGCGCGAGAGTTCGCGGAGTTCAATTCCACGAAGTCCGAGGGGTTGATTCGGATACGTTAAAACGGCGCGCTACGTCACGAATAGCGCTAACTTCTTGTTTCTTAATAGCCTGGATAGCTAATAAGATCCTATCCCCCCCTCTATTATTTTTGAGAAGATTAAGTAAGAATTGGTGGCATGGTGGGTGGTTGAATTAACTAAGATCTAATTCCTAGGCACGTTTTGGGTGGGGTGCGCAGCTCGCTTACCGAATCCGTCAGTCAATGTAACGTATTCCACATGCGAGCTACGCACACAAGCGACCTGCGCAGTCCCAAACACATAGTAAATGCGATAAATTACAAGTTGATATTTTAACCACTATGGTCTATAAAGATTTCCCCTTATAGCCTCCTACCTTTTAGGTGGTATCTGGTCTCTTTACGGGATTTGAAGGAAGTTTCTAACTTTATAATTGAGATATATATATTTCTAGTTTTTAGTAACGTAATTTTCGGTAATTTTTGAAATGATAATAATATATCTATCCAATATCTTCAAAAGAGAGATATAGTGCTGATAAGTTTTATCGATAGCTATCGACAAATAAGGAGCTAAAATAATGACATGGTTGTTGAAATACCAATGTAGAATATATCGCATTTACTATGTGTTTGGGACTGCGCAGCTCACTTGTGTGCGCAGCTCGTATGTGGAATACGTTAAGCCCAAAGGTAAAGAAAGTATTTGGAAACGCAAGGAAGATTACCAAAGTACCCTGCAGCATGGCGGAAGAATTGACACGTGTCTTGAACCCTCCCTTGCCTCACTTAGCCCAAGAATTAGTCAATCTCATATGCCACAAAAAATGCCAGTTCCTCTAGGAGTATACCCTGCAACTTTCCTTCAACATTTCAGCTCAGCAAGGAATCCACATCCAGCATATGATCATGGGAAACAGAACCGAACAAAGGAAAAGGCAGACCAAAAGACAAGCTCGGGACCTAATAGCAAAACACAATATCTGCTTCGAAGGTCCACAGAATGGTTCCAAATGGCCCGACCAATATGTTTCTCTTTTTACAATTATCCGCCATATTGAACGAGTCAACTACGAAGAATACTATTGCGAAATGAAATTGTGTGTAGAGACACGAAAGCGATCCCAAATGATCAAAACGATCCGAGCTACGAACGAACTAATAAACGAGGCTGATCAATGTCGGAAAACCTGTGCAAATGAGCGAGACTGGCGGAGCGCGACAGAAAGACTGGTTTTGAAACGCTTCACGGAAGACCTCTTTTGGTGCGTGCTTAAAAGTTAATCTTTGCCAAAATCGCACTAATAGGCTATAAACTTAGTGCCCGATGTTCAAGACGTCAGTGGAAAGCCGAGTTCCAAGCTGAGCCTATCTGCGAAAGGGCTTCATCTCAGCTTTCTCAACAACGATCTAGTAGGCTGATATGCTCCTGCAACGATGAAGAATTTCGCCTTGAAACACAGGTGGGTAATTTGCTGCATTTTTGGTTTTGCTGACGGGACGGCATGCTCACCATCAATATTTATTAGTCCCCTTACTCAGATGGCCGCAGGATATTCGCAGGGATACATGAGCCAAGCATATCAGACCCAATGATTCCAGAAGATGGAAGAAGAAACCCGGACTATGTTATCGGACTTTTGAAAAGAGAGAACTCCCCACTGAGCCGTGCTATGGATATTCCTGCTGGAATCTCCTGTACCCCACTGGATACAGGTGATCATGTTTTGTTCCCTTTCCTTATCCTTGAGGCTAAGTCAGGGGAGTATTGCCCCGATTTCTCTGCGATTGAGAAACAAACAGCTTTTCCGATCAGAAAGCTGGTGAATCTTCAGAAATCGATAGCAAGAAGAACGGAAGAAAGGAGCCATTATCCAATAGTATGGTTTTTGGCCTTTAAGGGCGAGGACTGGAAAATCCATGGCTGTATTCCCACTTCCGGTGAAGGAATAGTATGTACCTTGGCCAATATCATTAAGAAACTTCTAACACGCTGATAGCGAATCATCCAACTCTGGAATGGCGATATTCGCCGGGCCGATTGTGCATTGCAGTTATTCCTGATAGTCGACATGATCTGTGACTGGGCTGCGGACATTTACTTGAACGGAGTTATAGGTTGGTTGTCTGCTGCCATAAGTGCTGTTCCAGATGGGGGTGATACCGACAGTGAAGACTGGTCTGATGCAAAATCTCAAGTGGGGGAGTTACTTGGTGAACAGGGCACTATTGATATTTTTGATGACCCGGAGCACCATACCGAAACAGTGACTACCTACTCCTCTGCGGCATCCCCAACACTATTTCCTATGCCAGGAGGGTTAACAATTGATTGGGACATGCCCCTAATTCCTCCACCTCGCGGACAAAATTCTGTCACTCGCAACGTGAATGAGATCTCTTTCTCGTTTCATCACCTTACATTGCCCGAGTCAATAGAAGAACTTGCTGCATTTTTATCGATTTCTGGCCCACAATCTGAGAATATCGCTCAAAATGCAGCAAAACTACTAAGCCTATTCAATCAGCTGTGTCCTATTCAGGTCACAGGGAACTTCGTGTCTAGTTTGGAAGAGTTCTGGACCGAAAACCCTGGTACTAGGTCGCACCCAATGCTCAACCACGATGAACTGATGTATACTTATATATCATTCCGATTGCATGCCCTACCAGATGAGTCTCTTATTATGAGGGATTTATCCTGCATCATCGCATCGGCTAATGCTATCAGCACTTTGCATTCTATTGCAGGAAAAAAGCGTTCGATACTTATTGGGAGTCAGAGGCATTATCTGCAGAATCTAGATATCGTGACCCCACTGAAGAAGCTAGCCAGCTCGGAATCATTCCACACAGCTTCTCGAACCACTTATCTTTCCTTGTGCGTTACAAAGGATCCATCAGATCCAACCCGCACATTTTCATGGACTTCAGATAGCCCACGTGGAAAATATATCTCCGGACTTTGGCAGAATCTGGAAGCTGGGACACCCGGAGCTCATCTTTCCCCAATTCTGGGAAGCTCCAAAGCAAGCTACAAAATGAACAGTTATGACAATGGCCTGCTCCGCTCGGCTTCGTTCGAATAAGGCACTTCCTATCACATGCCTTCTACTGCTTTTCATTCTTTACTTTCATTTTCCAACTAGTTGATAAAATATCGCTTCCCTTCGACATTACATTGCAATTCTTTTTTAATACCGAGCGATACCTAGTAATGCTTTGTTGTCGGGCCGGGGGGGGGGAGTAGTTGCCGCTACCTGGGCCAGGCGAAATATATATGATGTCATACAATTTTTCGTAGACTTTGGCACAACCTACTCTAACCCGGACCCAATCCAACCCAACCTAACCCAAAATAGGGTTTAGGTCTATTACTTCGACCTAACGTGTAAAGGATAAAGGTCCTTTCAATTCTGATACTTGGTCATCTACCTAAGCACGTCATTCACGTCCCGGGGTCAAAGCGGGGTTGAGTCGTAATTGGCTCGGTACTCAGCTTAGGTAAATATAGGGTACTAACGTATTCGGTAAGCGAGCGGCCACTGTAACCGAGCGGCCACCCCCTCCAAAATCGCGTCCATGAATTAGCACTTAGTCAATTCAACCACCCACTATACCACCAATTCGCTCTTAAAGCTCTCAAAATTCAATCGAGTAAGAAAGTAGGGTCTTATTAGCCATCCAGGCTTTTAAAAATAGAGATATTAGTTCTATTTCTCTTACTATACGTACCTTTAATATCCCACGTTCGACTCTTCGCCGCCGCCTAAGTGGTATATAAGAACGCGTAATTTCTCGCGCCAATTTATATAAACTCTCTAAAATAGAAGAGGAATCTCTTTAAAAATAGATACTCTCTATAGATTCCTATAGATTAGCCCCCGGCCCTCTATAGTACGAGAAATAGCGAATCTTCTCCTCGAAAAGCGTAGAACTACCCTAGTTATTTTAGTCGGCGAAAAATAGGTATATAACTTTATGAAATAGTATCCTTTTCTCTCCTCCCGATTCTCGAAGCGGTATAATTATAAGTGTACGAAATATAAAGACCCTAAGATTATTACTAAGTGGTTTAATCTAGTTTAGAAGATAATCCTTAAATTTAGGATTAACCCTAATAATATCTATAACTTTAATAAGACTAGTTTTATAATAGGCTTAATAGTAACTATAAAGGTTATTATAAGGAGTAAATACTATAGTTAGCGATCACTTTTATAACCTAGAAATTGTAAATAGGTAACTATTATCAAGTATATAAATACTTTAGGTTAGGTACTCCCTCTATATATAATTTTTAAAGGTAAAGTCTTTATTAAATCCTAGTTTAATAGTCTTCCGGATAATTAGTGTTTTAAAGTTAGTCCTAATAGTTAGACTTCTAATAAAATTAGACTTCGCTAGCTTAAAAAGCTCTTTATTCTAATAACTTTATTATATATAAAGGGGAGATATAGGCTTCTTATACTTAATAGTTATAGAAGCTATTTAACCCTAAAGTTCGATAAACTTTATAAGAAGAATTAGATTATACTAATCTATATATCTCTATATTTATCTTACCTTTTATAGCCTCTTAATATTAGCTATTTTATAGTTCTTAAACGTATATATAGTTAGCTAGTTAAATCGAAAATATAGGTTAGGATAAATTATATCGATAAACTTAACTTCCTTAAAGTATACCCCCTTATATAAATTAAAGTATTTAAATTAGAGACTATTAAAAATAGCTTCGGGGTAGCTAGCTTAGTCCCTTTTAAACTAGAGAGAGGGATTTTAAAGCTTAATATTTAGCTTTGAACCCTAACCCCCCCTAGCCGGGGTAGTAATTTAAGCCGGAATTTTATACTAAAAACCCCTTTTATAGAGAAAGATCTATATTAATAGGCTTTGTTAATTAAAGCTTTACTTTATATAAGATCTTAAAGTCTACTAAGTCTATTAGATCGTATATTAAACTAGCTTATAAAAGGCTTCTATCTTATAATATAAAGTGCTATCTTACTCACTATAGAAAATAAGGAATTACGCGCTACTAATAAGAAGTAGAAACAAAAACGTACTCGATCCTAAAGGTAGATACCTACTAAAGGAGGTCTCTTAGTTTAAGAAGCTTCTTAATTGATTAGTGAGATAGTGGAAGTAGTGGAAGCACCTATACCCCCACCGCGAAGAAGCGCTTCGCCGGCTTTATAACTATATATACGGGCCCTACTAAGGTGTAGTAGGTGCGGATAAATAGGTCATAAAATCAATAGGTGCCTCAGTAGATAGATGATTTTACTATATTTAATTTAATAGGGATTTAGTTGAGATAAATACAATTGAATTTAATAGGGTTTAGAGAGGTGGCCGCTCGGTTACAGTGGCCGCTCACTTACCAAATACGTTAACGTATTCGGTAAGCGAGCCGCTATTGTAAGCGAGCCACCACCCTACTTAGAAACGTGTCTATGAATTAGCACTTAGTTAGTTTAACCACCCACTATACCACTAATTCGCTCTTAATCCTCTTTAAATTCAACAGAGTAAGAGGGTAGGCTTTTATTAGCTATCTGGGCTATTAAAAAGCAAGAAATTCGCACTATTTCAGCCGCTACCTATACTTTTAATATACCCTGCTCTACCCTACACGATCGTCTTAATAGCTATACCGAACAAAGTACTATACGCGTAAATTTATATAAATTAACTAAAATTGAAGAGGAGTCTCTTTAACAATAGATTCTCTCTATAGATTCTTATAGAGTAGCCCCCTAGCCCTCTATAGTACGAGAAATAGTGGATCTTCTTCTCTAAAAGTGTAGAACTACCCTAGTTCTTTTAGTTAGCGAAAAATAGGTTTATAACTTTATAAAACGATATCCTCTCCTCTCCTCTTAATTCTCGAAACGATATAATTACGAATATACGAAATATAAAGACCTAAAAATTATTAGGGAGTGGTTTAATTTAGTTTAAAAGATAATCTATTAATTTAGAATCGACCCTAATAATATTTATAACTTCGATAAGACTAGTTTTATAATAGGATTAACTATAACCGCGAAGGTTATTATATAGAGTGAATACTATAGTTAGCGCTTTATTTTATAACCTAGAAATTATGAATAGGTGACTATTATTAAATATATAAATACTTCGGGGTAGGCTCTTCCCCTATATATAATTTTTAAAGGTAAAGTCTTTATTAAATCTTAGTTCGATAGCCTTCCGAATAATTAGTGTTTCGAAGTTAGTCCTAATAGCTAGACCTCCGATAAAATTAGACTTCGCTAGGTAAAAAAGCTCTTTATTCCTAGTACTTTATATATAAAGGGGGTATACCGGCTTTTAATACTTAATAATTATAGAAGTTATTTAACCCTAAGGTTCGATAAAATTTGTGAAGAAAATAGGGTGATTCTAATTTATATACTAGCGTATTTATCTTATCTTTTATAATCTCTTAATATCGGCTATTTTATAGTATTAAAATATATATATAGCTAGTTAGTTAAATCAAAAATATAGGTTAGGATAAATTATATTAATAAACTTAATTTCCTCGAAGCGTACCCTTCTGTATAAATTAAAGTATTTAAATCGGAGACTATTAAAAATAGCTTTAGGGTAGCTAGTTTAGTCCCTTTTGAACTAGAGAGAGTGATCTTAAAGCTTAATATTCGGCTTTAAATACCTACCCCTCCCTCTAGTAGGGGGAGTGAATTAAGCCGAAATTTTACACTAAAAACACTAACTATAGAGAAAGAACTATATCGGTAGGCTTTATTAATTAAAGCTTTACTTTATATAAGATCTCGAAGCCCGCCTAGCCTATTAGATCGTATATTAGACTAGCTTATAAAAGGCTTCTATCTTACAATATAAGGTACAATCTTACTCGCCTAAGAAAATAAGGAATTATATACCGCTAATAAGAAGTAGAAGCAAAAGCCTACTAGATCCCGGAGGTAGATACCTACCGAAGAAGGCCTCTTAGTTTAAGAAGCTTCTTAGTTAATTACTAAGCCAGTGGAAGTAATTAAAGCACCTCCCTCCCCTCTATAAGGAAGCCCTTCGCTAGGTTTATAACCACGTACGTGGGCCCCACCAAAGTGTAGTGGCTATAGAGAAATAGGGCATAAAATCAATAGGTGTTTAGCTAGATAAATCAATTTAGTTAAATTAATTTAATGGTGTTTTAGTTAAGATATATACATTTTAAAACTATACAATGGAGTAGGGTGGCGGCTCGCTTACAATGGCGGCTCGCTTACCAAATACGTTATATCTAAGTATAAGAACCCTAAGATCCTTAGGATCCGGTTCCCTCCTATAAGAGTTAGTCTTATAACTTAAGAAAATATATTTAATCCTCTCTCCTAATTATTAAGCCTTATATCTTACCTAGTTAATAGGCCTTATACCTAATAATTATATACCCTTATAGTTCTAACTCTTCTTCTTTAACTACCTAAGATATAATAGCTTCCCGCTATATTACCTTAAGTAATACCGGAAATCTAGAAGAAACCTCTTAAATTAGGAATAACTAAGGACTAATACTATAAGTCTAAGAAATCGAGGAACTAGAAACTTAAACTATCTATAAGACTTAACTAATAGAAAGACTAAATCTACTACTATATCTATAGGATCCTCTAGTTAGGGCTATATAAAGCCTAGAATTAGAATAGATCGGCCTAGAACTAGCTAAAGCTACTACTAAAGAACTAGAGGAGATTATCTAGGCCCTTATAAAGAAGGTAGAGCTATAAAAATAACTTATTATAGAGAATAAAGAGGAGCTAAAAAGCTACTAGCCTAATTATAAATCCTTATTAGAAAGTAAGTAAAGCTAAAGGGGAGAAATTAAATACTATATTAGAAGATTTAAGGAAAACTTTAGTATCTACTAAAGAGAAGAATAGCTAAATAACCTTAATACACTTTTTAGAGATACCCTAAGAAAATAAGTTTTAGATTCTTAAAAAGTCCTTATAGCCGAAAACTACCTATATATATCCTATATAGGATACGACTAAATAGCGAAACTATATATTAAACTACCCTAAGGTAGAGATAAACTAGAAAGCTTTTAAAGAATAGACTAAAACCCTACTCCAAAACTCCTATAATATTATTACCGATATCCTAATACTCTACTAGAAGGTAGAAATATATCTAGAATAAGATCCCTATACCTTTAATTAATATCTTATATCCCTAGAGAAATACCTACTAGCCTAGTTAGAAGAATAGAGAGCCTAGGTACTATTTATAAAGCTTACTAAGGTACTTTAGGACTATATTATTACCTATATTGTGAGCACTTTAGCAGAAATAATATTATAGCCTAATAGTAGGTTATAATATTTTGTAGGGGAAGGTGTATTAGATAAGCTTTATCTTATATAATATTGTATTATATAAGATATAGAAAGGTTTATACTTAGCTTAAGTAAATAATAATAGGTGAGAGGTAAGAATAGTTGTATTCAATAATTATCTAGCTAGGAATCCTCCATTCCTTATATAGGTAAGCTCTAGCAGTATAGAATATCATAGAAAGTCATTAATAATAGAATGACTTTATTATGATATCCTAGATTTATAGCGATATATTGTGAGTCATAATATAGTTTACCGTAAATAATATATCTAAGGTTTTCTTAGATACTACCGGTAAAATATATATCTTATCCTCACACACCATAGTATATAAATATATCTTACAATTACTATTATGCTTACAACCACTATACTATATTTAATATAAATCTTTATTAGTAATTAATATAAATATAAAGTCTATTAGCTTTACACTTAGGGTAATTATATAAATTTTATAACTTAATATTATAATGATACAGGAATATTTATTAAATAAGCTAGAATAGTTATAAAAAATAGTAATCTATTCAAAAAACTTAGTATTATTATAAACGCTAAGGCCTATATTTTATACAAAAATGGGTTTAAATAGGTTATTATTGGGTTATTAGGTTTAATTTATTAGGTTTTAGGTTAGGTTAGGTTATAGAGGGCGGAACCTAAAACCTAATTGGTTTGGGTTTCGGGTCGGAGGTTCCGACCCAAAATGGGTTCTGCTGAAGTCTAATTAGATATCTATAGATATTAAAAATAAAATAGATAGAAGGTCAATATCTAAATCATTAAGGCTACGGATATTGGATATCAAAAAATATCTAAATTCGTACTTTGCGGATATTGCGGATTGTGCTATAGTCTAGTACCTACTTAAGAAGGCCTCTTGGTTTCAGCGGCTTCTCGATTAATAACTGAGCTAGTGGAAGCAATTAAATAAACCCCCCAAACAAATAAGCCCTTCGCCGGCTTTGCAACAATATACGTGGGCCCCACGAAAGTGTGGTAGCTGTGGAGAAATAGGGCATAAAATCGATAGGCGCCTAGCTAGATAAATGATTTTAATATATTTAATTCAATGGCGTTTTGATTAAGATAAATGCAATTAAATGTACTGGGTTTAGATTCTAGACAGGGTGGCCACTCGCTTACAGTCACTCGCTTACAATCACTCGCTTCCAGAAGCCAATCGCTTACAGAAGCTACTCAATTACAGTGGCTGCTCGCTTACCGAATACGTTAACATGGGGAACAGTGATACAGTGAGGGGGCGCTGACGTGTCGACACCTGCACTGCAACGATCATCTATACTAGTAAGAAGTCATCGCATGAAATCGGGAGACTCCGTGACAGTTATATACAATATAGGCGAGTAGCCGTCCGAACCTGGCCCTGAGGGGTCGGTGTCCTAGTTTTTCCGCCAACCCTCTAGCTTTTCCTAGCTAAGCTTATGCTAACTAAGGCTTGGCCGAATTTCAAGGAGATTCATTTATCTAATGATCAATTAAACCGTACGTGAAACAACCTTGCTCCCTCTTGTCACAGAGTCTCCCGGAATCATGCATTGACTTCTTGCTCAGCAAGTATAGAGGATCGTCACAGTGCAGGTGTCGACGCCCCCTCACTGTATCACTGTTCATGTTAAATAGCCTATTCTAGGAGAACCATGAGTCCCTGTATTCTCTCCAATACTATTTCTTCGAGGCATCCTCGTCTGCCCTAGTTGACAGGCTCTATCCTGTAAATGCGAGAACCCCTTATATTTTAGAATTGGAACCTTTAATAAGGGTGTACTTAAGTAGATGATCATATTTTCGCAAGGCCAGTTGCTGAGTAGTGTAAACCCAAATCTTAGATCGAGTCCGATTGAAATGCGGGGATTGACAGTACCCTGTTTCACGTACTTTAGTCCACCTACAGCCAACTGTGGAGCTCGGCCCACACAGTACATGCCAGTGGCGGCAACCCCCGAGGTCAGGAACCGGGGTAAGAGATCAGGCAGCGTCCCCACTTTTGTATGGACCAAGTTCTGGGTTCATATTCTGTATGGAGTACTCCGTAGTTGATTTTAGATCACAACAAAGACTTTTAATTATGGACCTAACACCCCCTGTCTACGCATTTATCGAGACTTGTGCGGAAGCTTCTATTTGTTTCTGTTCTTGGGGATCGTCAACAGTCTTTCCCCTTTTCCCGTGCTACAACAAAGACACTTTATCCAGGTCAGTAATATCGATTAAACTAACTAATGCATGTCAGCTACCGTGGTAATTTTCGTCTCCCAGATCCGACCCTAGCAAAGTACTTATACCCTGGAACAGGATCGGAGGATCCAACGACCGGTCTTCGAATATATTGGACCTAGCTGGGTTCATCACATACATCCGATGCCTGCCAATTATGGCCTTTGTTGATTGGTTTCCCCTATGTCTACCTCTGCCGAGTAGTAGTTTCTGCAGGACGCCCCCGGGGCCAGAAAAAGAATGTGAGGCGCTTTCCCCTCCCCCAGGGTCCGAAGAAGAATATTTATAACGGAGCGGGACGGCCCGTTTCGCAATCCATTCACCATTCCACGCCACTTAGGCATTTACCGCACACATCAATAATGCCGCAACCGCCAAACAGGTGGAATTCTGCCGAGGATGATCTACTTCGAAGAGAAGTGCTTACCCAATGTATGTCCAGAAAAGTTTGACGGCAGCCCTGGAGGAATGCAGTCCAATTGATAGATGGCATAGTTGGCTAATCAATGATGATCAATTGCTCTAGTGGGGGAGGGAGGGGTGAAAGACTGGCAGTGCATTGCGACCAAGCTTCCAGGCCGCACCAACAAAGATTGCAGAAAGCGATGGCATAATGTTGTCTGTGGCGGGGTGAATAAAGGCCACTGGACGCAGGATGAGGACAAACTACTCACAGAAGCTGTTCAAGCCCGTGGAAAAAGGTGAGGAGCTCATCAAGCGTCGACGAAGCTTGTTGAAGATTTGCAAGCTGACTTTTAAATCTTGTCAAATTCAGCTGGACGGTCGTTGCAACTGCCGTCAGGACTCGAAATGCAGACCGTGTGTTGCTCTTTTAATTATAAATGTGAATAGATCACAGTTCTGTAGCTGACCACTCGATGAGCTAGAATGCGCCAAGCGGTGGAAGCAATTCCTCGATCCTGAATTGGACCGCAGTCAGTGGACAGATAAGGAAGTAAGCATTCGTCGATATGATGCAGGCCAGCGAGATACTGTCAGATCAGAATTGACCCAATATTTCTGTGTTCAGAACAAGCTTCTCCAGGAGGCGCACGACAAATACGGCAGACGATGGAAAGAAATTCAGGCCAAGCACTTCCCCACGCGGTCAAGAAATGCAATCAAGAACCAGTACATATCACCTTGCTGAAAAACCAAGGGATAAGCCATGATTGCTGATATTCTGAGCAGATACACCATCCTTATCCGAAAACGGAAACAACCGCAAATTAATGGCATTGAAGACAACGAAGAAGCTCCGAGTCAATCAGAAAGTGAAGAAAATGGCACCATGGAAGCACGGGAGACAGATATTATGGACTTTTCATACGAACAATGGGATGATGATCTGAGTGATCATGATGCCATGATCGACGAGTGTGATTCTGCAGGCGAACAAGAGCCTGCCAATGAAATTGATACCTGGAGTTCTGACTTCTGCAGCACCTATAGTCACTTGCTCAGTGATGCAACTCCCGCAGACCATATGGCGCTGGATCCTACGACTAATGCAGACCAGGTCTTGTCGCAGTGCTTTCCAGGCGGAGAACTGCAATGCTGGGATATACCAGCGCCACAGACAGTCCAGACAAGCCCTGAGGTCTTCCAGAACAACATCCCTGATCCGCTGAAAGACCCCGCGCTCTTGGCATCGGAATTCTTCCCGACCCCAGACACTGGCCCGGGGTCTGTTGGTCAGAATCTTAACTTGGTTGATTGGCACCAGACGTCACCCCTTGCTCGTTACGAGGCCGGTTCCTCTCCCAAGAGGATCACCCTTACGGTGCAATCCCCGTGCCCAGAAACCGTTGAGTCCCTCATGCGGATTGCCTTGACAACTGCATCCTCGTTCAGCTTTGACAGAGAATAGAGCATCGGAAATTTCCATCCCTCGCACTAAACCCTTTTCAGACTCTTAGCCACGGTGGCAGCTGGTATAGGGCTGAGGCCACGTTATACCTCAGTGGAGCTATGATCGCAGGGGAACGGTGCTTGAATTTGAGACATATAATGATAGAATAGTGTATGAGAGTCAACTGTGAATTCATCGGCCACCTGGCAGTCGGTTGTGTATTCTGAAGACCATAGAACGCGTATTGAGAAATGATCAAGGATAAGCTCAATTATCAAGCTATCGTAGTAAAAGGGTCTGCATTATCCAACATCATCATTTCCCAGCTTTCGGCAGTTCACACATCACCAGAGAAACCTGACTCCGGCAGTCGTAGATCTTACTCAAAGAGAGTCCTGCCAGATTAATGATCCGTTCAAACTGGGCCGGAGTCCTCTCGATACCGTTGATGATACTCATCATGGTGATGTCTCTCTGATGGCTGTACCGTGCAAAATATCCATAGTTCGCCGGCAATGGTTCCGGGGCTGAAGATATCCCTTCAAATCCAAGTGTGGTATTCATGACCTGATCGCAAATGAGAAGTCGCGATTTGGAACTCATACTCTTGCGTATACCACTCAGAATCTGGATGCAGTATTCATCGGACCAGTCATGCCTGCCGAGTACAAATGTCAGAAAGAGACGAAAGAAGGATGTTGTTTGAGACATATTCTCTTACAAAATATAGCGGAGCCAATATACATCAGCTCCTTTGACTGGGTTCTCGTCAAAGAAGTCATGCGGCATGAAGGTAACTCGGCCTTCTTTCACTGCACGGGGGTTTTTTTGTGGCCAAATTTCGGTCTTTGCCTGCTCTAGAGCTGGAGGCCGATCTTGGACAATGAATTTGAGGTCTGGGTAAAGATGTGATAGTTCCAGGCAGAAGCCACCTGCATGCCATGAGTGAGCTGCACAGGAAGGTGGGAGAGTGAGCACCAAAGACGTACCAACACCACCTCCAACATCTACCACGAGTGCCTCACCTAGGCTTTTCCAAGGATAATCTGAAAAAAGGACAAGTGTTAGTGGCGGCATTGACCCTTGGAGAATTTTACAAGAGCGCATACCGAACAAATGGGCGACACCAAACACCCGACCGCCACCGACCATGGCCAGACCAAAAACGGCATGTTCTGGTCGTTTTACCAGGGTTTCCGGAGACTTTGAGCCAACTGCCTGTGTCAGCTCCGGACCGAAGGGCCCAGGATACGCGGAGTCGGAGCCACTCTGCAGCTCCGCTACTTTGACCTCTTCTTCCAGCCAGATCCATCGCTCAGAAGTTGTGTTAGCGGCCTTCTGAAATGCAGTTTCCTTGACTGAGTATGACGGTCCCAACTTGGGGTCGAGCAGGGCTCGAGGCAGCGCATCCGAAGCGCTGTAGAGATCGAAGGAGCTAACAAAGGTAAGCAAAAGGGTAAATGATACATGCGCGAGGAACAAGAGTCACACACAACATCATAACATAGGCACGAAGTGCCTCATTGTGTATAAGAGAAGCAGAAATTCTGTTATTGGCGAAACAATCCTCTCGCACTTCTTTGAAGATATGGATTGAACAGAGACATCTCATGACTCGGGCTAAAAAAAAGAGAAAATTTAGTAGCTTCTCAAAACAAAGATACCGTTTGTAGAGATGACTGACACAGCTTTTGAGCCTCAATGCCCACCGCGTCACTTAGCTGATCAACTGGAACACCCATGTCTCCGGCTTTGGCCAAGATATCGGCTACTTGGAGTCCAACAGCAATGTGAAGACACCGAGATTCATTGTATTGGGAAGAAACCTCGAGAATACGCTCACTGGGGGTTGCAACGAGCTCGACAAACTTGCCCGTAGCAGAAATGAGCGTGCGCTTGGCCTCAAAAAGCTCCCGAGTGGGAATCTGGGTCTCGGTCTTCCTTTTATCCTGGTCATCAACTTTGTCTCCCGCACTGGGAATCTTTGACCACTCGTTGATGACAGTGCGCACTGCCTGAGTGGTCACTTCCAAGAGCTGAAGAAGCTGGTGAACATCGCGAACAGTTGGTGATGAAGCCATGACACAGCAGAACTAGAAGTGAGAAGTAAAATATCAAGCGTTGCTCGCTATGAGGAAGAATTGGGTGACAGGAATTTCCGAATACTTACATACCTGTGGGCCTGCGTACGGCAATGGTAGGTCTGCGAGTCCTCCAGCGGGCCGCAGTACATCAATTATGGGCCGCGGTAAATTTATCTGATGAGCATTCTGCTCGGGAAGAAGGGAGACAAGAGACACGATCCATTCAGGTAGAAGAGAGAGGTTGCAGAAGGTAAACTTGAACGGGGCAAACTATGTGATTTTGACTACATGAAATTTAGTCCAACCTTTAACACCATCATTTCAATGATTTCACCCAGAATAGGATATTGAAATACGCTTCTGAAGATGGGTGTATTGTTACGTGCTTTGGACTTTTAGTTCAATTGACATATTGAGAAAAGGATTTCAATCTAGACATCTGGATGTCCATATCTCGTGCTGGGGCAGTAACGACACGGATTAGAAAATTCTTAACTTCCATTCACTGTGGCCCCATGAACCGGCTTCGTCGACGATTTTGTATCTATGAATTCTGATGGACAAAACTCGTGAAAGGCGATGTTTCAGACCTTTGCCTTGATTATAGAAAAGAAAATATTTAGAACCAATCCGTGCTTCGTTGTGCCCAAAACGCACCACCGTATTGATCATATATCCTCCACAGAAAACAATAAAGAACTGGAAGTTGCATATTGCGTACTCATTTCTACATCATTCCGAGACACGCGTGGTCAAAAAGCCAGCGAAGTAATCATTCAGCAAGTCAAGATCATCGGGCATGCCACTCATCCCAACCCACAAATCTGGGCGGATCACCACCACAGCACCTGTGCGGTGGTTCACTCCATAGGTGCTATGAGCATCTTCATCTGGAGTACGGTCATCGAACAGGAAGGTTGCGTTCTCACCAAGAGCACACAGGTCGTCACCCTGCAATCTTTCTTCCACTTCAAATGGAGTTCCTTTCGCGACAACTACAATATTGAAACGCCGAGGCCCACCATACCGGGCGTAGAAGTTAAGTGGGGCGTCAGCTGCCAGCATGCTTGAGAAACGACATATTTTCTCTCTGACAGGGCCCAGTAGGTCAGACACAAAGAGCACAAGGTGGAAACGATTGGTCCCCGTAAGATGATCATATAGATATCCTGTATGGGCTGCGTCAAAACACAACCGAGGATTAGGTGCGCGCACCCCATTCTTGACCGCAATCGGAGGTCGAGATTGAGGAACAACGTCTCTTGTAGGAGGGCTGATACAATTCCACCCATAAGCGGCGTCAACGCCCAAAAGGAATGGTCCGTGTCGCGAGAAGAAGTCTCCCAGAAACGCCTTCGCCTCAGCGGGAGACATAGAGCTAGCATACCGTGAGTTTGCCTCATAAATGCTACCACTGTGATCAGAAGGTCCTGAGCCGTTCGTGGTGGCGGCTTCTTTGTCCTCTGTCGAGAAAAGTCCCTCAATCGTTTCATGACCAAGAGCCGCTCCGATTTCGTACAGGTTGGCTGTTGGCAATGGTGAGCTACAAACAAATCGAAGATATTTCCCTGACACTTGGATGACCCTGTTGGCGTGCAGTCGGCGTTCACGGTCATATGTGGGCAGCAGCTTCTCCATTGCGGCGTCTTGGGACACGCAAAGTCCAATTTTCCAGGCAAGATTGGCAGCATCCAAAATAGACGCGTTGAGGCCAAACGCTCCCATCACACTGTGGACGTGACTGTTCGTTTTGAGAAACCCACAAGCGTTAGCAAATGTCAAATATGCATGTTAACCGTCTTGCTTGACGGTTTCACTTACGCTGAATCACCAACTAGATGAACTCTGAGATCATCAGAGGAGAATGAGCGTGCAACACGCTCACTGACTGTTTACCACCACACACTTAGTCACATTGTTGAAGGATCAGGGGAAGGAAGAAGGAAGAGAGGGAGGGATCAAGTACTTTTCCACACGGCGAACCAACTCAGTGGCGCTCCGAATTTCAGCTTGTAAGGCGCAAATATTCTGTTGGCTTGTTCCAATACCTCATCAGGAGTAATTGACTCGACATCAATCTGACCTCCAGATTCGGCGACTTCGGGATCTATCGCTTGCCGTGAAGCTGCGAGAGGGCCATGTTGGGAGGTGTCGAGCTGCGTGTAGAGCCTGGAAAGAATTGAGCATAATCATGAGAGGAGATGTCAACGTATGCCATCGGAGCTATGACTTACCGGATGAGACCATTTTCTCTCGGTATGATCACACATCCGCCATGTTCAGAGCTGACAACAGAGCTAGAGAGGGAGTGTTAGGGCATGTGGTTTATGTAGACATGGGGCACACCCTTACCCAAATATCCAAGCATGTGGATAGTCCGTCTCAAAGACACAATCCATGATTCCCCAATACAAGTCAGTGCTCATGCCATCAAAAGGGATACCAAGCCGCTTTCGAATAGAACTAGCCCCTCCATCACTGCCCACCAGGAACTTTGCTCTAATCGTTTCCTGCTGCCCTGTGATACCATTTTCAATTATACCATGGATTGGATATGACTCGGGCGACAAGTCAGAGCTCTGACTCTGGTCAACATGGAACTCCTTGAGCGTGGTATTTCTTTCTACGAGCATCTTGTGTCGAAGAAGATCTCGGATGTAAATGCGTTCGATCTGGCCTTGAGTGATAATGTGTAAGCCGCGATAGCGTGAGTCGGACTGGTGAGATCGCCCATGATGCAACAATTGGCCGTTGAAATAGATCGCCGTGCGTTCAATGAGTGGGCCTTCTTCTTGCACCTCGCTGGCTAAACCCCAGGATGAGAGAGTCTCGAGGAAGCGAGGCTGAACGCCGTCGGCGCGACCTGCAATCAGAGGGGTGGGCGCTTTGTCTATAGTATAAAATCTCAGGGTCAACAAGTGCAAGTTGCTTGTAGCATCGGGTGTGTGTGCATACCGATAATTCGAAAAGTCAAGCCTTGACGGAGTAGACTTAGCGCAACTTCTAAGCCACTGGGCCCAGCTGTGGAAAAGATAATGTCTTGGTTAGAAACAATCGCTTTGCGTAGAAAAACTGAGTACAAATCTGAGGGCCAGGGTCCTCACTCACCTCCACAAATGAGAACGTCTACTTGATTCAATGGTTTCCACCACTCAGGGACACCGTGTGGGGAGGCGGTACCATCGTAGAGCGTTGGCCAGGTTCTCAAGACGTTAAAGCCAGCGGAATTGTGTTTAGACGAGGTGATACACTCCACCGCAGGGGGAGTTCATAGTGAGGTCGGTCATCTTCGGGGTCCTGTTCCATTCGTGAGTCAGCGGTAACTTCCAAGGCAGAAGGTGTGGGAGATGGAGATGCACATTATCTTCTATGATCTTCCAGTGCTCCTTTGTCGCTGGTTGCTTGAACCCGTTTCGAAAAGTGGCGGGAAGAACCGAATGCCCCATGGCAGGTAAAGGTCGATGAGGGATAACAAAGATATGGATATCGTCGTGTCCTAACAAAAAAGATCAATCCTGAAAGAATAGGCTCTTAGGTAGTATCCTGAATATATGTGCTGAGGGTACACTCGAAGTCAGTGTGCTAGCATTATGGCAGACCTGCGTATACTTGTAAGTGTAAGGTGTAGATACTCCGGTCCCTCCAAAGAGAGACTGATCATTGAGATCCAAGAAAGGATCACTGATCTCATGTAGGAACACACACCCAAATCATAGACTTGATTACCTGAACGTGAGGACGGTCTCCAAAGCCCAAAATCTAGGGTATCGTGCATCCATTCTGACATAAAGATGCCAACTAGCAACACATACACAAAAGAAACAAATAGAAGTTTTCCCAACTACAGTCTGGCAGCTGGATCGTACAGTGGGGTGCATACTCTTCCCTAAAATTGAGACCTGAATGCCCATTCACGGCGTGAGAGATTAATCATGAAATCGGCCTCAGGTTTGGATGGCTTTAGTATGCACGATATGAATAGTGTAGAGAATCGAGTTAATCTTCATGGAGTTTCGTCTTATTGTACGCTTCTTCATTGGCAAATCCGCTACTTCTGGCAATTAAATGATTTGAGATTTTTACCTAGTATACGCATGCTGATACCCCTTCTTCACTGGGTATGAATGTCCAATTCCAAAGCCGTCCAATGTTTCAAGTGACTCGAATCTCAACCTTGAAACCTCGCCTTGACAATAGCCGCAAGAGCCTTTTGTAGCTTCTCAGATACATCATGAACCTATGTGAAGTCAGCGAAATTCAGAAAATGCCTTGATCCAGCTAAAGACCTCCGGGTTCTGTGACTCACATTTGCAGGTTTGAAGGGCTCGAAGTGATTACCCGGTATATCGAAAACAAGGAGTTCTTGACCGATAACACTTTGCCAATTGGAGAGCGATTCGATTCTCGCATTCGCATCCTCGAGCCAAGGGTATTTTACACCGCACAGACGTGTGGTGTCAAAACAATCTTGACTGTGTAACATTCCGTACACTCTATCCTCTGGAATAGAGCCACTAGGGCGGTAGTCGGCGAGGAACCGCGCATGGTGGGCAAACTGCTCAGTAATCCTGGGTGATGTAGCATGTACTGGATGCAGAATGTGATCAATAACCGCACTGGGAAGTGGCTCATGATTGAGAGGGGATGGGGAGTCAATCAAAATGATTCCAAGAGTATCGTAGTCTTGAGATTGGAGCTGCTGGGCTACCTCATGGGCCACTACACCTCCGAACGACCATCCTAGTTATCAGGCACAAGTTAGCATGATTATTATATCTAGAGGTCTCAAGGAAAAAAAGAAAACAAACAGAAACAAGGATCGGTATACCTCCAAGGATAATCGGACTGATCGCAGACGCTTTGATGGTCGATGCATATCGGCGGGCCATATCTTTGAGATCTGCTGCCCAATGGGAGGAGCTCTTCAGTGGCGGGTTTGCAACGCCCATGATATTGCAACCTATCTTGTCGAGTCTTCTGTAGCTCTCAATAGTGCCGCTTCCATCATGGAAGAGGACTAACGTGGGAAGTTTTGGAGAGCCAGCCTGAAGCATAGTGAGGACGGGATCTGGTAGATTCTCCTGTGCCCCCTCAAGAGGAGGGAACAGCGATCCCGATGTAGCTGTGGAGGGTGAAAGTTGCCCGTCGGGAGTGGAATACAGTCTAAATGCAAGATCACTGACACTAAGCTCTGCATCGAGATCCTCCCAACAAATACCTTTGCCAAATTCGTGTTCCAGGAACTCCCGGGCTTCAATAGCCATCATGGAATCTAGCCCGAGGTTTGCCAGTGTCATGTCGTGATTGATCTTGTTCTCTGGAATTCCACAGACATCGCTGAATATTTTTACCAGCCTTTCGAGTCCTGCCGACTGAGAAAAGCTATCGCTCAAATACTTTGTTGCTTGTTGTAATTCCGAGTTACTGGATGCATGCCCGGACGATTCCTGACTAGGGAATACCTTGTGTTGCACATCTGGGCTCTGCACACCGACATCATCTTTGATTTGGTCATGGTCTGATGGTGGCAGCATACGCGCAGCCACAAAATCTTGAATTTTCCGAACGCTTGCATGTTCGTCCAATTCTGCAGAGCTCAACGAGAGACCGTTTGCAAACTGGCTGCTCAGGGAGGCACACAGCTCTATCTTCATTAACGAGTCTACCCCAAGAGAAGAAAGTTTGCAATCTTGTGTGATGGAGTGCAATGGCCTGCCGCATGTAGCAGAAACCAACTCCATCACTTTTTGCCGCGCTGTGGCAATAGACATCTCTGCTCGTCGATGACGATCATCGACGGGATTAGGCATCTGACTCGGAGCAGCACTCGGGCTGGCACTGGGGTGACGTTGACTCTGCCGGGAAAGATGATCATGGAGGGTCCTCAGCTTGACTTTTTTAAAGTGCATCCCTTCGACGCAAGCAACAACAATGCCTGCCTCTGTCATGGCAAAAGCCTCTCCAACTAAGGTGCCATCCTGACCGTCCAGCAAGCTGCAATATAAAGAATACCGCTGGGATTGATCCAGATCCTGGTAAAGGATGCGAACATTCTCCACTCGCACACAGATGCAGACATCAGAAAGTGGGATGTGGCTGTTGGCGACGAAGCCTGCGGCATGCAGTAGCGTATCAACAAAGACCGGAGAGAGCACTCCGCGGGCCTTGATAGATTCCCCTGGCACCTTGAACGCCCCGAATGCCTCCAAAGCATCCTCGGCGACGGTGAGCCGTTCCAAGGAATGGTACTCTGGCGAATATTGTACAACGCGAGAGAAGATCACGTTGTAGATAGCCTTTGTATGGAAGACATTCTTGACGGTATGGCTTCCCTGTAGGTGATGCATTTGCCGCTTCATGTAAGCAGCTTTGCGAGTCAGATACCTCCGAGTCTCAGACAGAGGGACGGGTAACAGTAATCCAGAGCAGTGCTTGACGTCGGCTTTAGGCAGCGACTTATCACCTGAGGCAACCTCAAAATGCCATTCAGTTCCCACTCGTTTTACAGACAGATAAACTGCCGTTCCTCCATCCTTCGTCTGATAAAGAAGGGGTCGTTCGAAGGAGAGATCCTTGACAACAAGCATCTCATTCTCCCCAACCAATGAATCCGTAACACCGGCTTCCAGTGCCATTTCGTGATAAACAGATGCAGGGCACAAGAAATTGGCCGCGACCGCATGACCGAGCAAATAGCTCGAGAGGACTTCCATTTTAGACATGTAAATAGTTGGGCTATCTGCCGACTCTTCCTGGACCTTGTCCGTGAGAAGCAGAAGTGACCGAGGCTTCTCCAGGGTGGCTGAAGGGATTTGCTGCTCGTGGCTACAAGTCATTTCTTGGAATGGAATATGGATAGTGCTATATTGAAGCGGATACTCAGGACAGTCCATGATTCGGGCGTTAGTACCGCTGAAAACCTGGCGCCAGTTGACTGGTTCGTTCTGCAAGCCTAAGGTCTGTAGAGATGCGCACAGCGTCTCCCAGGGATCTTGGTCTTTCTTCAGAGAGGGCAAGAACAGACTGCGGTCAGAGGTGACTCCTTTTCGAATCATTGGGAGGGTAATTGGAGCAGCACCAATGTCAATAAAAGCCGTATGGCGCTTGCCATCCTGGAGATCCAAAGAGGACAAAAGAGCCGCGAATTGGACCACATGACGCGTCTGCTTGGGGATATATTCACTGGTAAGATCTTCGGAAGTTAGTAAACGGCCGTGATATGACGACCCGATTGGGTACTTGGGCTCTGAAAACTGCAAACCCCTGCAAAACCTTTCCAGTGGCTCGATGATAGGGTCTAATGCCGGGGAATGAAAGCCCAGCGACACATTAAGCTCCGTGCAGCGAGTACCTTGTGCACTTAACAGGTCCGACAGTGTACGGATCTCATCTCGAGGGCCAGAAACGACTGAATCATGTGCAGTGTTTTCGCAGGAAAGAGTGATATGTGACAGCCCTGGGCCTTGTGACTTGAGAACATCTGTCAGGTCCGAGGCCGACTTCTGACACGCCAACATGGTTGTTTCGTCGACCTGACAATTGTCCGCCATTAACTGCGCTCGGTGTGAAACAAGCCATAGTGCGTCCTTTAAGGAAAGGACACCACTGATAGCCATTGCGACGTACTCTCCCAAGCTACTGACTCGTGAGTGATTCCATACCTTACATAGTGGTCAGAGCGGGATACTCGTACCTGTGGCCAATGAGCAACTCTGGCTGCACACCCCAGGACAACCATAGATACGCCAGCGCATATTCGACGACAAAGCAAGCAACTTGGGACAAGACAAGATGTTCTTTTCCTGGCCGAGGAACCTGTGTACCACGTATGATTGGCATGATCTCAGGATAGTCGAGATTCTGGAGTATAAGATCACACTGCTGGACGGTTTGCTGAAATACGGGCGATGTTGACAGAAGTACCTTGCCCATGCCCACGTAGAAGCTGCCCTGGCCGGAAAAGACGAAAATGACCCGAGGTTTCAGGTTGGATTTGCAGCATGTCACCCCGGGAGGGTTTGCTAGTTGTTCCAGCAAATGGCTGGTACTCTTACAAACCAGTGAAACTCGATAGTCATATACTTGCCTTCGGGCTGTGAGGGTATAGCATAGATTTCGGATTGTAATGTTCGACCCAGAAAGAAGCATCTCACGCAGAGCATGGAGAATCAGCTGAAGAGCGCCCTCGGTCTTGGCTGAGACGATCAAGTTATATGCCGTCCGCGACGGCAACTTCACGGCCAGAGGGCTCGAATATTCTTCCAAGATGAGGGCGGCATTGGATCCTGCAGCACCGAAGTTATTCAACAAGGCCCGTCGTACCTCACCATCTTGCCCTGTGGGCCAATCCTGGCCAACAGTAGTGATCCGGATGTTATTCGATGCCAATGCCGTCAACTTTGGATTGAGATATTTCAGTCCCACTTGAGCTGGAATTCGCTTCTTCTGCAACATCAGCAGAAGTTTTGCCAGGCCAGCCGCACCGGACGCTGCCTCTGCGTGTCCAATATTGGCTTTTACAGATGTCAGGAAAACTGGGCGTGATGCAGTAGTACTTCCAAAGACCCGTTGAATACTTGACGCCTCTGTTGCATCTCCAGCCTACCGATACGGTGTCAGCATCCATACCCCCTGAGCTGAAAATATCCCCTTGCCTGAGTCCTGAATGAACATACCTGGGTTCCCGTGCCATGGGCCTCTACCACATTTACTGATCTCGCGTCAAGCTTGGTTTTTCGCAACAATTTCTGCATCAGCCTTTCTTGGGTGTCCACATGGGGATGCGTGATTGAATGGGCATTTCCACTCTGGTTCAGCTCAACGCCTCTGATCACTCCGTGAATGCGGTCATTCTCATGAACGGCGTCTGCAAGTCGTTTTATCACAAAAAGCCCACACCCTTCAGCACGGCAGTATCCATCGGCGGTGGCATCGAATGGCTTACACTGGCCAGTAGGGCTGAGAAAATGGGCGCGAGAGAGTTTCATATACATCTATATTGCACAGTCAGCAAATGATCCGCAATCCAACAGTCCAGATAATGGCTCACATCTGGGCTGGTGATGGCGTTCACCCCACCCACAAGGGCTGCTGAGCAGTCCCCATTCGCTAGGGCTCGACAGGCCAGCGCGATGGACACCAGAGACGATGAGCATGCGGTATCGCTGACCAGAGAAGGACCACTCCAGCCAAAGGCATAGGATATCTTACCGCTGAGGAATGCCCGTAGGGTGCCTACAGGAGCACATCATCAGTCGGGACCAGAACTAGAAATGGATACATGATAGGATGAACTAACCTGTGGAGGAGTAGACATCGATATCGTTCATGAGATTTTGGACATAGTCATCCGTTGCAACTCCAATATAGCAACCCATGGTGTCAGTCTGGAAAGAAGGAGTGGCATTCGGGGTGTATCCGGCATCATCCAGTGCTCGCAGCGCTCCCTGTAAGAGAAGCTTTTGCTGAGGATCCATGGATTTTGCCTCCCGGGGAGATATATTGAAAAATTGATGGTCAAATGCATGAGGGTCTGACAAGAAATTTCCATGCCGCGTCGGCATATGTCGAGAATTGCCAGCCTGATTCCCATCCCCAGAAGGGGAATATTGCTCAACCTTGAACCGGGTGGTGGGGATCTGAGCCTTTTCATCAGCCATTATCACGACAATTATTACGACTAGAGGTGAAAAAGAAGTGAAAGGAAGTAGAAAGGAGCCCACATACCTCCTCCACTGAGTTCAGGCCGCTTTCGAGCGTGTTCCAGAATTCCTCCTTGGTTGCACCGAGGGGGAAATTAACAGACATACCAACCACAGCAAACCCGTCTTGCTTCTCCGTCCGGATTCTATTACAACCAGAACCTGTCATATTTAGAACAGTCGTCCTCGGGAGTGTCAAGTCTTTTGACAGGTTGTGGATGATTCCATGCGCGCCGGGGCCCACGGTCATAATCTCCCGGTCATGGCCAGCGTCTGTCATCAATTGGGACAGATTTATCCACGTCGTGTATAAGTCATCTCTTTCAACGAGGATGCTGTCCAAAGTGATATGCAGTAAGGATGTATTTAAGCTTGTTTCAAAGTCGATAAATTTGACCAGCTGTGGCGACCAGATCGGAAAAGCGAGATCGTCAACAGACGGAAAGGATATTTCCCGCCGTTCGACATCAAGCAGAACCTTGTCTCGGGCAATATATCCCAGATCCCCTCCATGGTAGAGGGCATGAACATGGATAGGGTCGCAGATGGCACGTCCCGTCAGACACTGGGCACGAAATCGGTCTAGTATGCCCCAAGGGCCCACCACAGTGATTGCGGATCTACCAAATCGATTGGAAAGGCGGATTTCGTTGCTGGGTGTGGCTGTTCCCTATATTGGCCCGTGTTAGAAGTGAGCATCTTGCTATTTCCCCACTGGCATTCGCTTTGAACTTGCCTGGCTGATATTGAATGAAGTCAAAAGGCTTGAGAGCTCGCTTTGCTCCAGCCCAAGCACGGACAGTCCCCAAGCCCCTTCCGTGTTTGATATACTTCTACTGAGCTCGCCGGCTCGGTATCCTATCCAATATACCAGGCGAATTGCCTGTCTGCTGTGTTCAATGTATTCACTGATTGATCGACTGGAGGCTAGAACCAGCGCAGGCAATACCCCAGAGCAAAAGCCGATCACCCCCAAGGGAGGAGACTGGATGTGGTCTAGGCTCGGGCTTTGCTGCAGATAGGTGGCCAGCTGTTGGAGGCAAAGTGCAACGCCTTGGACGATCGGGTTATGCCAATGTTTCTGGGGAATGCTGATCAAGAGATCGGGTGACTGGAAATCATCTAAGTTGGCCCACGAAGGCCCAGTGTTATGGTTCTTTGTGGCTTCTATCTCACCAAGAAACGCCGCATGGCAAGCTTTAAACAGCGATTCGACGGACGAGGACTGCTGAATCGACTGGTTCAACTCAGCGGAGGTCTTGGAAGAGAAAATGGCTCTACTTCCTTGTCCTCCGAAGAAGAGAATGCGCTGAGATGCAGCCATGCCTGGGATTGGCAAGATGTTCGTTGTCACTGTCATTTAATACTAACACAGGAGTATGTCAGGCTATGATGCACTGTAACCACGAACTATGAAGGGCATACTTAGCCTTGGTATAGTTATGGACCTGCGTACTGACTAAGCAGAGCTCGCCGGCCCCGGCATCTGGGGGGTTACCCTAGGTGCCTGTGGTAGATTCTACCACATGCAGGCGCCATAGCTGACAATGGGCACTTTCAAAGGCTGGACCGTACGCAGGTCCCATGCACATCTCCAGCATACGTGAGGAAAGCGGAAATCGCTTCAATATAAGCTCCAAGTCCTGGATTTCAGTGCATTGCGTTGAATCCGAACAATTTGTGGACCTGATATCAAGATGCTAATCCAGTCTGAGAACCCACCGTTTCGAAGGCCTATATTGGACCTGTCAATTGCAACATTGAATGAAGAATGCGATGACGCATCCAATGAGGCGTCAGGTATATGCTCTCTACCGGAATTAATTGACTTCAACGCTACTCACAATCCTCATCACCTGTTCTGCCTGCAAGAGGAACGTGAGAACGGGGAACATAGCAATCTCACACCACTCACCTTCCTCGGCGTCCAAAAGGCAATATATGCCGCTGCTGCTTCCCTGCGGAAGATCACGAGTCCTTCACTCAAGACTTCCCAGCAACCTGTCGCCCTGCTCCTAGAAAGCGATGTGACTCTCTTTATGTACATGTCGGCTCTACTTTACATGGACATACCGGTGAGTAGCCACGAATGCACACCGATCATTGGCCGGTCCAGAAGTACTCAATGTTCCATAGGTCCTGCTCTTGTCCATACGATTGAGCCCTGTGGCAACGGCTCACCTGCTGCAAGAGACATCTGCTCGGGCCCTGATTGTCTCGCACCGAACCAGCCACGCAGGAAACCAGGCACTCGACCTTCTGCCTACTGCGGGCCCCCGGTTGCCCCTCATCTCCGCAATATCGTACAAGAACCTCATTACCTCAGGCGAGGAGGTTGCTGTCCCGCCCACCACCTCCAGAACCGGTTCGTCGCGGGCCCGGGATGAGATGATGGTAATTCTGCATTCTTCTGGAACGACGGGGTTGCCCAAAACCATCCGACTGTCGCAGCGGTATCCCCTGACGTACGCTGCCTGCCATCTTCTGGCGCCGGAGGAGTGTGTGAATCGTGTCAACCTATCCACTCTGCCCCTTTACCATGTGCGTTGAAGCCATCAAGACGTTCAGTCACGAAAACGTGTTGCGCCAGACTGACTCGGCCCGTTCATGTCTAGGGATTTGGTCTTCTCGCCCCATGCCTGAGTCTATCGACGGGCAAGTCATGTTGCTTTCCCTCATCGGCGATCATTCCATCGGCCACGTCGGTGACGGAGCTACTGGAGAGATCCGCGGCTGCCTCCTTGATGACTGTGCCAATCATTCTGGAGGAGATGATAGAGTCCAGCCAGAGTATTGAGATCCTAAAGCCATTAGACTTTGTTGCCGTTGGAGGTGGCGCGATCAAGAGAAATGTGGGTGAGCTTCTGGCCGCCAACGGCGTCAGACTTCTCAATCACTACGGCGCCACAGAGATCGGCCCCATTGCCCCCATCTTTATTCCGTCCGTAGATTATGACTGGAACTATCTCCGAATTCGCACCGACCTTGGCCTGCGCGTCGTCGACCTTGAATTTGACCAGAGTGCAGCAGAAGCCCCGCGTTGCCAACTGATCGGGTTCCCATTGGGCTGGCAGCAGCCCTATAATGTGCCCGATCTCCTGGAGAAAAGGGCGGGTTCCACATTCCTTGAGGTACGGATCTTGGGCCGCAATGATGATCTCATTGTGCTCTCGACTGGTGAGAAAGTGCGACCTGGCAAATTAGAAAACGCCTTACGGGCGACAGATCTCATCCAGACGGCCATCGTGTTCGGGGAACATCGTGAGGAAATCGGGGTCCTTGTGGAACCCAGGCAGGCGATCCCTTCGCAGGACCTTTCACAATTCCTAGCAACTATCTGGTCTTTGGTTGAGGCTCAGAACTGTAACTTGGATCGCCATGCCCGAGTTTCTTCGATGGATATGATCATTGTGAAGCCCGAAGGCAAGCAAATGCCTTTGTCTGATAAGGGCTCAGTAATGCGCAAGGAGGCCTATGAGCGCTTTCAAACGGAGATAGACGCCGTCTATTCCCAACGCACAGGCAACGGAAGTTCGATTACTCTGCTTTCACCAGAGCCAGGAAAACTTGAAGCCGATCTGAGAGTGTTGGTCGAGCGGTGCGTCCACGACCGAATCGCTGGTCGGCCATGGACAAATCAGCATGATTTCTTCGAGCTGGGAATGGACTCTCTGGAAGCGTCCCGTCTAGCGCAGCTTTTGAACCGCGTGCAGGACAAGTCGGCGTTCGCTGTTCTGCGCGACGGCCCCGTCAGGCCAAGTTTTATCTACCAACATCCCAGCGTGGTTGACTTAGCGGCTGCCCTGCAATTGGGAGAATGCGGTGGTGAAAACGTAAATCGAGTGCACGCCATGACCGACCTTGTGAGTCGCTTCTCACCCTCTTCATCAACAACCTCCGACCGTGTGGTCCTGATCACAGGATCAACTGGCAGCCTAGGAGTGCACCTCCTCCAGGAGCTCTGTAGGGACGTTAGCGTGAACCAGGTCATTTGTCTGATGCGACGGGCCCATGGCGATCAGAATGCTGACGACCTTGACGATCTTCGGGCTCGTCAGGAGAGAGCCAACTCCGCCAAGGGAGTGCATCTCACCGACGAGGGATCGGCAAAGATCACCTTTCACGAGGCCCAGCTAGACGACCACACTCTTGGGCTGGACGGCGAAACGTATGCACAACTAACAGGTACAGTTACAGACGTTTTGCACAATGCTTGGCCAGTGAACTTCCAACGCACGCTCCACTCGCTAGAACCGCAAATACAAACTGTCAAAAACCTTATACACTTTTCCATCCAATGCCAACGCGACCGGTCACATCTGACCCCGAGATTGATCTTCATATCTTCTATCGCAGTGGGGGCTCGCTTTCCGTCTACTGTACTCCCTGAGATCCTGATCACGGACCCAACCAGCACGGCGGCACTAGGCTATGCTGAGGCCAAATGGGTCTGTGAACGCATCATCGCTGAAAGTCTGGCTGTATTTCCGGGCCGGCTGCAGCCCTCGATTGTCCGCTTGGGTCAAATCACGGGGGCGACTGAGGGCGCACGGTGGAATCAGAATGAACACATCCCGGCGATTCTCAAGGCATCGCAGATCGTAGGTGCAATGCCAGAGATAAATGGGGTAGGTTGCAATTTGCACCGCTTGATCTCACATTGTTGCTGTTGTTAACTCGCATCTCACAAAAATAGACCTACTCCTGGATCCCAGTCGATATCGCTGCCAAGGCCATCCGCGATATCCTCACTACCTTGCAACCAACGAATCTGGTGTATCACGTTGAAAATCCAGTGAGACAGCCCTGGAAGGCCCTGCTAACTGTCCTCGCCCGCCAGCTCAACTTGTCTTCTCTGGTGACAATCCCTCTAGACCTGTGGCTGCGCAAGGTTGAGTCACAGAACAACTTATTGTCCGAGTTGGAAGATTTCCTGCGGGGGGAGTTTCTGCGACTGGCCGGAGGGCGTCTCATTTTGGATACTACGCAGGCACGAAAGGTCTCCTACACACTTCGTACGTGTAACGGAGTTACTCCAGATCTTGTCTGCAAGTACATTGAAGTGTGGCAGAAGGAGGGCTTTCTCCATTGAAACGATGAGAAGATGAGCGGTTGGGTATATCTGGTGACGCGCCATGTAGTTGACATATCGATTTGTCTGGGGCGAGTCTAAGGGGAATGCCGCTAATCCCTCGAATTAAAGAGGCACCTCTTTTGTTAGTGGGATGACCGGGCTTTTGGACTGTCTTCTCTTTGTTTATTTACTCCGTGCTGACAACACGGAGTACAACCTTCATTTGAATGCGCATGATCAAGCATGCGTCACCGCCTTCGTATAACGGATTCTGCCAACTTTGTGCCATTTTTGTGCCAATTCTACTTTCACGGCATATCTTTCGCCTGTCAATTTCCCCCTTGGTCTCTTGCTCACTTATCCCATTGCTTCTCTAGCTTCAATCTTTGTTGTATAATAGCAAATCAGATTTCCATTCTATCTGGCTGCTCGTTACTCCGTAAATATCATGTAATAAACATGTGCCTGTGATAGCTGGCAAGACAGCACTGTCTCTATTCCCCTCATCATACCTCACCATCCACATCCGTTACGCTGGTCCAAGCGTGTACCGCCTGCATCTGGCTAGCACGAGACTCATGTGCTTGCAACTCTGCTGCCGGGACGTCCGGTCCAACAGGTAAAAGCCAAGGGAGCGTGCCGTCACCGCGGGCCACAGCATCAACAATCACCCGGGCGCCCTTGACCGGATCGCCCTGCTGCGAACCATCAAAGGAATCGAAAGCGGCGCGAATTGGATTCAACACAGGGTCATAATCGCTGATATGGCCGGCGACTTTGCGGCGATGCCCGGCCGAGAGAAACGGGGTGCGGAAGTGACCCAGCTGCACCAGGGAGACATGAATCCCTAGGGGATCAACCTCCTTCTGCAAGGCCTCGACTGCCATTGAGAGAGCGGCCTTGGAGGCGCAGAAGATACCGGCGTTAGCTGCGCCTTGGAGACTGCCAATACCGGACACGTGGGCAATTGTGCCTTTGTGGGCAGATCTCATTGAGGGGAGGATAGCGCGGGTCAGGCGTAGTGGTCCGAAGACATGGGTTTCGAAAATATGTTGCGTCTCTTCATCACTGGCCGAAGGGAGTAATCAGTCGCGGATACAGGGGGGAAATTGTGAGAAGAATTATCAGTACCTGGCCTCTTCGACTGCCCCTTCCAAGAGATACCCGGCCACGTTGATGATGGCGTCGATAAACCCGTGTTGCAGGATCAACGGGGCGAGAGCTTCTTGAATCACAGCAGAAGAACTAGTCAAATCTAACTCTAGGATCTGGCAGCCAGCTGTGGCCACCGTCTGTAGCCTGGATTTATCCCTTCCCGCTGCGATGACAGTGGCATGCGACTGAGCCTGCATGGCGATTTCCTGACCGATTCCCGACGATGCCCCGATGACTAACCACACAGGACGTCGACCTGCACAGGATTTGGGGATATCATGAGCCATCTTCTTGTTTCCTTTCGCCTTTGATTGTGAATGGTCAGTGGTCACAAATCACGATATGGCGGGAATGGGAAGACCAGGTGGAAGTTTCGTTGGAGCATTTGAAGGGGGAATGATCTCAAAATGAAAGAAGTAACAGGAACTGTGGTCCAAGTATCCATGAATGTATATATTTACGCAGGCCCAAGAACTGGTGTGTAGTCGATTCAATGGGGGGGTTTCAGCGGGAGACCATCTACTGACAAAAGTGACTGAACACATGAAAACCTTGGAAGTTATGTATATACCATTTGCATATGCACTATTAAGTAGAGGCATTAACGGAATGCCCTCACCGTTTGAAACCCCTTTAGAATGGGGATCCATGGATCCCAGTTGTTCTCGGTGTCCAAAAGGTGTCCACCATTGCCTGATGTTCAAGACATTTAGGTATACCAACCGGGTGACTCATTGAGCAAGCCCTTAAGCAGCGGTGTGGAGGCTAACAGGTAATGAAGGCTACTCGCATCACCCTCGGCCCTACAGTATCTGCGATGTTTATCTCCGTCTTTTTAGGATCCATGAATATCACATTTCTTTGTTTAAGGATATTGATGCATCATGATCCCCAATGTCTGATCTGATTCGTCAGTTTGGATACTAGCCTTTACACTGTCCATACAATCCTTTCGCTAACCAATAAGCACCCGTTTAGTATATAGGATTTGGTCCACTTTGCTAGGCAGTTCCGACAGGGATGCTTTAGTGGATTTACAGTTGAGCTATTTCAGCCGAAAACCCCTCATTTACGCAGGTCCCATCATATGTGACATCAGACTATACATCCAGGACTAAATGGCTTAAATGAACGTCCTCGCCTACCGGTTCTTGAACATCCTAATCTCAATTTCTTTGGGAACACATCCATTTATCCACCATGTCTTCTACCTCCCGGATCTGGCTCATCACTGGCACCTCGTCTGGATTTGGCCTGGAGTTGGCTAAAGTGGCCGCCAAGAGCGGAGATCGTGTATTGGCCGCCACTCGGAGTCCGCATAAATTAGCCGAGCTCGAGTCAGCCAATCCCAACATCAAGGCTGTCTACTTAGACCACAACGAGCCCCCAGCCCAGATACAAGAAGCAGTCAAAACCATCCTGGCTGTCTATGGAACGGTCGACATTGTCGTCAACAATGCCGCCTACGTGCACACAGGAATGCTGGAAGAGGCTACAGCAGAAGAGACTCAGCGTCAATTCCAAGCCAATACATTTGGCCCCCTGAACCTCTACCGCGCCTTGCTGCCCCACCTCCGTGCTAAGGGGTCAGGCACTCTGGTTACAATCGGCTCTATGGCCGCCTGGTACCCCATGGCCGGCTGCAATCTCTACAACGCCTCCAAGGCTGCTCTGCGCTGGCTCGGACTTGGACTCGGGGGTGAAATCTCCCAATTCGGGATCCGCCACTGTTTAGTTGAACCGGGCTTCTTCCGTACCGAGTTGCTGAACCCTAAAGCCAATATTACCCCGACCGAAAAGACCTCGCGCCTATCGGCCTACAAGGAGGCTAACGACACAACCGACGCCAACTTTGCCGCCTTTAACGGCGCCCAACTGGGTAACCCCGTCAAGGGCGCGCAGGTTATCTACGACGTCACTACCTCCACGGGAGTCGCGGAGGGGAGATCCCTACCTGCTTTCTTGCCTTTGGGCAGTGATGCCAGCGAGGCGATTGGCAAGGCCGCATCTGAGACCTTGGCGGCGATTGAGGAATGGCGGGAGATTAGTGCCTTGACGGACTTTCCCAAGGGTTCGTAATTGAGTACTGCGTTTTATGGGTATTCTGGGGGAATGTACCCATCTATGCTGTCCGGGATAACCCACAAAAGCTTGCCCAAGGTTGTGCACGCGCTTGTCCGGCTTGTGGACATGGGTCTGTATTCACAGGGTCTGCGGAACCTTTCGCCTTGCTCAACCCTTGGCTTTTCTACATAGAAACTAGATTTGCCCCTCCTTTTGATCATATCACCAGTCAATTTTATGGATTTTTTGGAGCTTTTCTCTCTCCCGTAGCCTTGCATATATCACCGTCAAGGGACAGTCCCACTAGTTGCCAGCATTAAAGTTCATCCGGCTCTTCGCAGACTCCGATTGATAGAAAGTGAATTCCCTGATTGGTTTGGACCGCCACACTAGCCCTATCAGGCTTAGGTAGGTAGCTTATCTTAATCAAGTGGGGCTCCCCGGTATCCTGTCGGAGCACGCCCGGGCTGGTAACCTTGCCCAGGTGGAACTCACGAGAATTTTGTGTGGCATCGTTGAGCCCATTCCTTTTTTGTTCTTATATGAAAAGCTGGGATATGACAAATCTCGCAGGGTATCCTTAAGAATATTACCATCTTCCCTATCTCCGACCATGCCTTAACCCGTGCTTTGATCCCACCTGGGCATCATACTCGTCCAAGGTTAATATGTGTAAAGTGGACTTCAGGATGTATGCAGGTGGGTACAGAAGTATTCCCCATTGGCCCTTTGACATTGACATGCAGTGCCAAGGTGTTAAGTAGAGCTTGTTTGAATTAGGTACGAAATTGAAACCGCGTTGACTGCTGATCGCAGGACTAGTTTAAAGCTAATATTTAGGAACTCATGCTTCGACACTTTTTCTACGACAGTTGAGTCACATTTACTTTAGCATATAAAAGCTGATTTAATCAACTTTAAAAAAATCCCAATATTTCTTTCCTAAAACTACCTAATCAAGTATTATGTATTTGTTGTACACCAAGATCCATGAACCTGGAATTATAACCCGTCCAGGTCATCCGTAGAAACCCAGCGCTTTTTAAAGTTCCACAACGATCTGGGCAAAATTATCCTCCCTTCCTCTCCCAGCAGGTCGGCTTACTTGCTTGCATATTTACTTGACGAGCGCCATTTCTGGCCGTACTGGTTTGATTTTCGAAAGTTAGCACAAAAAGAAAACCAAGAAACTCCAATGGTTTGCTAGGAAGAAGGAAAACTGAACTGGGAAAACTTACCCGGTACAAGACAAAGAGGGGCGGGATCATGGCGAGACTAATGAAGCCCAGAATACTAGAAGCCCATCCGATGCCAAGCGATTGCAGCATGCGTCTGGCAGCGAGTGGCAACGCTCCGCCAAATGCGCTGCGGAAGAAAGCGTTGCCGGCAAAGACGCCAGCGACATGGCTTGGGTATGATTGGCCCAGATAGTTGAGAATGGTCTGGAACGTGAGGTGGAATCCCGGGGCAAAGAAGGCGGTGCCGATGATAGGGAGGATCCAGTGGACACTGCTTGGGGATTTAGTATTAACTTGGGATTGAGCTCGTAGAGCGGGACTATTCAAACTTTAGAATGAAATCTCACATACTTTTCACGGGAGGTCCAGCCGAATATGAAGAGGCAGATAGGGATGCAAATTGCTCCCACTGCACCTGGCAGGATTTGCTCTTCGGGTTCGACAACTTCGTTGTTTGCCTCCTTTCGGGCTACATGGGGCTGGAAATAGTAATGGATCCAGAGCATGTAGGAGCTGACGGAGATGACCGCGCCGACGAATATGCCAAAGAAGGCAACTGTAAAGTTCATTGGGTCAGTCACAGAGTTGGAAGAAGAGGCAAGCTTGGAAAAAAGAACCTACAGCTTTGTTTCATTCCTGTGAACCCGTAGATTTCCCCGAAGACTAGACAAGGCAAGACAAAATCAGTGGACGTCTTTTCATCAATCAACCCCATACACCAGTTGATTCACTTACCGTACGGGAAAAACTCATACCAGAGATATAAAATCCCGTATATGAACATAGTGTGGATATTGATGAATAGGATCACAGGGTCAATGAAGGAGAGTCGGAAGTCAGCGGCGATCTGCTTGAGCATCGCCCGGAACAGGTTATTCTCGGTGGTTTCCGTCTCACTCGGGCTGCAATACCTGTTATCCCCAGTTACCTGGCGCAAATGAGCGGCTCGACGATAGAGAATGTTGTCGGCCAGAGTTTCTGGGAGCAGGAAGAACATAAAAACTGTCGACATGGCGGCGATTCCAGCGATCAACCAAAGTGCTGCAGACCACGAACCCCAGCGGTCGCTAATAGGTGTAATTAGCAATCTGGACGAGAGAGAAGAAATGAAAAAGGCACAGAGAAGACTCACACCACGGCGGTTCCCAGTACCTAAAGATACAAAAAGTTTCAAGGTCAGGACCGTCCGATCATACTAGTTGTAAGTAAGGAGCAGGCAACTTACAGGACCGAAAGCTGGGCCACACACTCCGCTCAGGACATACACTGCCAACGCGTAGGGTAATTCACGGGGTCCAAACACCTCAGCAATGGTAGTGCCACCGATACAGGTGGGGGAGGCCCCGACTAGGCCACCTAGAACACGGAGAATGATAACGGTTTCTATGTTCTTCGCCAACGCGGCTCCAATGCTGAATAAACAGAAGGCCAGTGAGCCGAGCACGTAGACCGGGGTGCGACCGATGGCCGGCAAATTGGAAATGGGCGACAACTGAATACGAAGGACTAGCTGTTAGTGATTCCAGATTAGGGTCAATAGGTCCGTCGGGCTAGCTTACAATCAGCGGGCCTACACCATACGCAATTACAAACAACGAGAGGCCAAGCATGGCCACCTCGTAGGAGGCACCCAAGGATTCTTGGATCGGAGTCATGCTGGCTGCGTAGATTCCTGGCGCCGTGTAAAAGCTGAGGTTGACGATCAGCACATTGTACAGGACCAGCAGCTTGAGCCATGATGGCCAGTTCCTGGGATTGTCCTGGTCCGTAGGGCCGGTCCAGTCCACCAGATAGACTGCTTCGGGCACAATGTCATTCTTGGACGGATGGATGTCGGTATCTGCGGTCACACGATAAGGGTCGAGGCCACTTGGCTTGGTGAACAGGCTTAGCGTCCGACCAAAGGCCGTATGGCGAAGGAGAATGGCCATAAGACGTAACAATTCCCAGTGCGTTTACTACTACAGGGTGACGGGCGATATTTAGGTGTTATCTACCCCGTACTTTGACTCCTTATTGCTCCTTTAGACTTGTGGAGTATGGAGTAATAGGAGACCCATTTTATTTCTTTGTTTCTAATTGGGGTCTAGCGGACCGGAGTACAGAACATTTAGGGTAAAAAGGACAAAAAGGAGCTGCGAGTCATGTTTGCGGATTTACTCGGATTTTAATGTAAAGTCCGAAATGAAAAGACAAAAAAAAATCAATTGGCTACATCGTCATGATCCGTTGCCATGACAATATCCCGCCACTGATCTAATCCCTCCTGGTTGCGAGCCAATGCGGCCTGTATCGCTGTAACCGCATCCCGGCCTAGTGCCAGTCGTGGAGGCAATTTACGGCCCTCGCAGCGGCCCGTCTTGGTCAAAGCTTCGACGATCACTCGGGCGCCCTTAGCCGGATCTCCGGGCTGGTGGTGGTTGTACGCCGCCAGCCCCGCCCGCGTAGACTCGGTGGCGATGTCCAACTCGGGCAAGCGGTTCTGCGCCACGACTTTGTGCCCACCGCTGAGGAAGTTGGTGCGGAAATATCCTGGCTCAATGCAGGTGGCCTCAATGCCGAACGGGGCCAGCTCCCCGCGCAGAGCTTCGGTGTAGATCGCGACAGCTGCTTTAGTGGCACAGTACAGTCCAGCAGCGGGGGTCCCAGACCATCCGCCGATGGAGCCTAAATTCGCAACCACCCCTGACTTCTGCTTGCGCATACTGGGGAGGACGGCACGAAGCACTCGCATTTGGCCAAACACGTTGGTTGCAAACACTGCTTCAGCCTCGGGTCCCCTGTACCAAGGAAAAATGTTAGTGGTAACACACGGATGGCGGGTCAGGGGAGGAGTCGGGACGATTGAATGTGATACTCACGAGCATTCCTCAACGGCACCCTCGAGGATATATCCGGCATTGTTGACCAGGACATCGATGCGCCCAACTTTCTCCAGGATGGAAGCCACCTGCGCCTGTACGGTATCATCGCTGCCATTGACATCCAGCTGGTGAAGCACAATTTGGCCGGGTCTTTGTTCCTCAAGGTCCTTGAGCTTGTCTGCGTATCTGGATGTGGCTACCACTGTATCGCCGATGTCCGCGGCGGCGATGGCAATTTCGCGACCGAAGCCGGATGAGGAACCTGTGATGAGCCAGACGCGCGGCATGTCTGCAAAATATGGCTTAGAGAGTGGGAGTGTGTCTAATTAGAAAACCTGAAAGCTCTATCACAGTTGAAATGTGAGAAGAACAGGCTGAAATACCCAGGAGAAGACGGGTGTAGGCGTGTGTATGAAGCTACAAGTAGAAAATCAAGATCATCACATTTTAATATATTTTTTTCTCTTCTTTGTCTTCAATTAGTTTCCACCAGGGGTTTGTCCGAGGATGGCCGGGGGAGGGGTTTTACGCAGGTCCTTTGTATATGTATTGGGCGTTTCAATTGGCTATTTGACACAAGACCTTATAGGGCTTTGAGAGGTAAACAACACTATCAGTAAACTCTTGGGGGTTTTTTCATTTCAATTTTCATATTCACATCGGGACAAAGAGTCCAATATGCGTCTATTGGCTATCCTTTTAGCTACCCAGGCGCTCCAGTCTGTCATGGCCTGGACAGACCTCCAGTCTGTTCTTTCTCAACCGGCCTGCCATGACTCTAACATCACGGTGCACGTCTCTAAGACCACCAATAGATCGTTTGTCAATCAAGTCTATGACCTAGATATCCTCTATGCGCTTGCCGGCAAGCAACTTTTGGTCTCCAATTCATACAGTATCTCGTCCCGACTATGCGAACCTTCCCAGACCAACACCCACTCGGATACTCTCCAGGTCTTGATTCATGGGGCGTCGTTCAATAAGAACATGTGGGATTCTCAATACCAACCGGAGACTTACAGCTGGGTTCAACGCATGAATAAGGAGGGCTATTACACCCTCGCCGTCGATCTGATCGGTAATCCTCTCCTCTGTATAACCCGATTGACTGAACGTTGTATTAACCTAAAGGACAGGAAACGGAAATAGTACATTCCCCGATGGCCTCCTGGAAGCCCAGACTCAAACTTATGTTGAGACAACCCACCAGTTGATCCAGCAGATCCGTAATGGCACCGTCGGTGGCCGCCGATGGCGCAAGGTTGTCATTGTCGGTTTTTCCATCGGGGCCATCGTCGCCAACTCGCTCGCCCAGCAATATCCAGAAGATATGGATGCAATTATACTGCACGGCATCTCTTGGGATTCCAGCTGGATCTATCCCGCCTTTCTCGCTGGACTTCAGGCACCCGCCTCGCAAATTGACCCAGCTCGTTGGGGCCAAATTCCGGCTACCTATCAAACCCAGTCGACTCGGGAAGGTCGAAAAGTGGCATGCTTTGCGGGATCATACGATGAAAACATTCTGGAATACGACTGGTGAGTAAATTTTGTCTCTAATCTACGGATCTGCCAACTGACTGCCAAATTTCGACAGGAATACCCGCGATTTCGACTCTATGGGGGCCGCTGTGACATTTGTTTATCACCTGGTGGAAGCGCCAAAGTACACTGGTCCAGTATTCTTAGGTATTGGTGACCGTAAGTTTCCCTTTCAGGATTATTTATCTGCATCCACTTCTATGCAAACAGATCATAACTAATTGTACATGCTCCTAGGTGACGCAACCTTTTGTGGCGGTCAACGTTGCGGCAGTCAGCCATATGCGTTGTATGACAAGTTTCCCAGCGCCATTGATCATGATATCAACCTGTATCCCGAAACTGGACACTTGATTCTCTTCCATCGAGCTGCGCCAACCTTGATGGCTGACTCGCTTGCTTTCTTGAGGAAGCATAATTTGTGAGCTGGAAATATTACATGGCCAATAGGCATATCGTCCGCCACTACTTGTTTTCGATGAGTCTCTAATGATTAGTCGCAGAAAGTTCATGTATCGGAGCAGGAGCAACCTCGAAACTATTTTGAAGGTTGTATGCATCTACTCTACTATTGGGGTCAATCATTCTAGACTAGGTAGTTGGCGTAATAGAGGATAGACGATGTTCTGCTCGATTTTGGACACGTAACCTTCGAGTCGCTTTCATAAAATTCTGGGACCTATTCCAAGTGTGCATGGCGTTCCAAAACGTTAATTTCATATCCTTTAGAGGTGAGCCTTGAAATTGCCCAATTTCAAGGCTCATGCAGCAACTTGCCAAGGGTCAATTTATTCAGTCAACCTTGGAGTCTCTATAGAGCTCTACAGTGATTTCTGAATCAACGATGAGAGCAGTTTCAGAACATCGAGGGGACATTGAAACTTATTTTTATCACTCAGACAGGTCGAATACCTCTGGAGCCTGACACTGATCCTTTGACAACAGACGCGCCTCGTGTACCTTATAACTCTGCCCTTCTACCCCCTTCCGCCTCAAGTTTCAACTCTGCTACAACAACATGACTCGGGATCTCGCTATTTTTGAAATAAAAATCAGACACAACAGTGCCTGCCGCCCACCAAGCGGTCATTTTACCCCGAGTACCTGCGCTGAAGAAGTTGTCTCCTGCCTTCACACGCAGACACCTTCCATTCGACATGCGGAGATCTCCTACGGTACCAGAACCAGTAAGCACAGTGTCCTTGGTCAATAGAAAATAAAAATTGAACAACTTGAGAATGAAAGCTGTGGTCTTCTTGTGTGAATTGAAACAAAACAAAACTTACCAATACCACTGCTCATGACAATCAAACTGGGCACTGGGGTACTATGAGCCTTCATGAATGACTCGCCAGAGAATATATACTGGTAGCCAATATCAAACCCGCCCTCCCAGTCCAGTCGATAGGCATTATCGATGCCAGGGAGAGCAGTCGAAACGGTGTCCACTTGCCAGCATTCGAGGACGTTCTCCCAATACCCGGTCGCATTTTGGACCTCGGAAATGGCGGGCAGGATGATTTTGGACGGGTCGGTACTCTGAGGGCAGCGAATCTGACAGTCTTGGTCTGCAAGGCCAGCATGTGTGTCTGACTTGTCAAACCTGAGTTGCTGCGCACTAGCAGTGCTCAAGATGAGAAGGGAAAGAAATGGAGCTTTCATGGTGGAGCAATGACATGTAACTGAGGGATTCTTGATCAGCTCGAGCTATACGGAGCAATTGGAGTATTTGGCCCCCGAATGGCAATGAGCTTATGTTATGTGACGGTTGGTGCTGGACCTCTCTCGATTTACGCAGGTCCCTGGAGACCACCACGGTCCTCTATTGCATGCCCCGACACCGGTGGGCAATCCTCATTCGATGGCTACATAAACTTCACAGGGATCACCATTTTTTCTCACAGGGAATATTATTTTGGTCTGCAGATCTGCTCCAAGCCCGTCATGAAGTTCGTTCGCGTATTGACTGCTTTGTTCTCCTTGCTTGGAGGCTCAAATGCACTCACCACTTCACAATGTGTTCGTATATCATTTTTTTTCCTTTCAAGTGGCACGATGCAGTGCCTAAGTGAACGGAAGGTGTTCATTTCTCACCATTTCTTGCACATAGTGTAACCTACTCAACCAAAAATACTCGTCGGCTGTTCATCTTCAGAACACTTCCGTCTATACCTTCGAGAACCACAATTTCTGGTGCAAGTCGACCTTGTCATGAAACTTCCTTGAGCAACTAGCTAACTCTCTAATAGCGGCCACTGAGAACCTTAACCCAGGATGTGTTTTCCTGCCTGACACACCGAAGAAGGTCTCCGAGGCCATTTCCATCTTCGCCAAAAATGACTGCAAGTTTGCGATTAAGGGTGGCGGCCACAGCGCCATTCCTGGGGCTGCCAGTATTCACGATGGTGTGCTCATGCCGATGGAGTATATAAATTCCACCGAAGTCAAGCTGCAAGAGGGATACATCCGGGCTGGGGCCGGAGCGACGTTAGGCTCGGTTTACGAGGCCCTGGACCCTTACAATCTGTCCGCTGTCATTGGACGTTATAAGAAAGTAGGACTGGGGCTTGCGCTTGGGGCGGGCTTCTCCTACTTCTCCAACAGCGAAGGTCTTACCATTGACAATGTCGTCAACTACGAAGTGGTCTTAGCCAATGGGACCATTGTCAATGCCAATGCCAGCAGTCATAACGACTTATTCTGGGCCCTCAAGGGAGGAAACAACAACTTTGGTGTGGTCACTCACTTTGATCTTGCTACCATCGCCACCGATGGTCGCGTGTTGGGTGGTATCGTCTACTACCCGGAATCCTCACTCGATGAACTCGCGGACGTGATTTATGATTATCATGTGAACCAGGCTGTCAACGATATTCGTACCCATACTTTGCCTCAGTACGGATACAACGGTACTACCAACGAGACCATCAGCTTCTCTCCTGTGATCTATAACGCCGATCTCCAAGAATTGCCCGACATCATGCAACCCTGGAACAACACCCCTCACTACAAGAGCACAGTCCACAATCGGAATTACACTTCCCTTGCAGCTGAGCTGAACGACGGATTCCCAGATGGCAAGTTGTAAGTATTCTCACTGGTCGCCATAGTCGACATCCAAAGGAGACACGCAGAGAAGGAAAGCTAAAACAGATCTCACGTTTAGCCAAGCTCAGCGGATCATGACCGTCTATGCAGACGCCCAATTGTACAAGGATATCTGGTGGGAGTTCCGCAAATGGATGAAGAATTATCGGGATGTCGAGGGCTTTTATGGCTTACATTGCAACATGCCAATTACACCTAGACAAGTCACTCAGGGCATACTCAAAGGGACGAACGCGCTAGGATTGGAAGATGCTGGAAACCGCACGCTGGGCGGTGAGTACTTGAACAATCCTCAAACTATCTCACATGAATGTCGACTAAGATACTTTGATCTAGTCCTCTACTTTGGAGTCACCTTCGACAACAAAGCGGATTCCGATCGAGTGTTGCCAGATCACGACGAGTTCGTTCAAAAGATGCAGAAATTGGCCGCCAGTCGTGATCTTCTTCATCCTTACCTGTTCGTCTCCCTGCCTTTTCGTGCCTACTTTACTCTTCCTGTTGTCTCGACTGTGGCTAATGTGCGAATCTTCTTTAGTATGCTTACATACTCAGGCTGGAACCAGCCAGTCTTGAGAAACTACGGCGAGAAAAACCTTGCTAAACTCCGTGCTGTTCAGGCGATCTACGACCCGACACATGTCTTCCAACGTCTAGTTCCTGGTGGCCAGAAACTACCTGCTAAATAAGAATAGAGATCAAGAATGATGGGCTAATGTGCCTGGATTTAGTTCGATCATGGCGAGGATGGAACTGAGGACACGCATCATAGAGGCCTCTGCACAATCAGGTTTAACCGAAAGGGTCGAGCTATGGCAATTAGTGGGCGATTAAGACTGCCGGCTGTGCCGCACCCGATCCATGCATATACATAAATTTATGAGACTTAAGAATTCTGAGCTTTGGTCGCGGCAGTAAAATTTATTTGGGCAGACATGTTGGAAACCCCTTCTTAAATAGACTGTATTCATCTTAATGTATGGCCGTTTGAGGAAAGTCAAGTTATTTGTCTTCTCTAAAAATTTAAGCTGTGCGTTGGGGGTAGGATATTTTGGTAATAAGCTATAGGATTCGGTGGTAAACTTCGGTGCTTCGCTTGAGCTCCAATACACTTAGTGAAAAGTATATAATTAGACCGCGACATCGCCCGTCCATGGGCACCCAGGGTGGGTTACTTAGATTTTCGAGTGCCCATCCATAACGCCTAAGGCCTATAGGTATATCTATCCTAGGTATACCCACTATACCCACCTTTATATAGTCACCTAAAATAGATAGATAATTCGCTGACTTTATATGATAAATAATTATTATTCATACCTATCTTACTGACTCTATATAAAATCGCGGTTTTAATCTATAATGTCTATGAAATTTCTTAAAATATCTAAGTATATAAGAAAATATATATATCATATTATATAGTATTTTAATGAACTTATCAAATTATACTATAATAGTTCCAAGATATATATTCAAGTCGGTAGTATATACCTACTATTTTCTATAAGTAAAATACTCTATTAGTGTGGTTCAGAAAGGATCGCATGAGTTCTATTCGTAGAAGGATCTATCGACTATATACAGGGCTGTACGGGTCCGTAGATAGACTACTATGGCAGGGAGTAGTCACGTGCGGTCCTGTATGGGTGTCTACAGTCCCCAGAGACGCAAGTCTCATGTTTGAAATGGGCTCTAGGATCTCAGTAGCTATTCTTAATTACCCTCTTAAATATATCGGCCCTAATTGGAGAAAGTAGTATATCCTCTATAACACGATACATAATATATCTACAGTAAAGTTTTATCGAGTGGTAGTGTGCTAGATTGCAGGTATATCGAGTGGAAAAGTAAAAGCTGAATAAATGGTCAATTGTACGCTGGAGCCTCAATTAGATGTACTAGGTTTGGATCTATTGATATATATTGCATGTGTTGTATATAGTGTAGGTATACGGAGTACGGAGTACGGAGTAATCTGCTATGAGCTCGAACCTTGGAACTCTCCCGGTGTGTAATTCCGGGTTCCGATAAGGTTTGTAAAGATTTTTAGTGACCTCGGGACCCATGGAGACTTACTTAAGATCCTTCATATATGATAGCTATCCAGAGAAAGCTGAATTAGACGAGAGCATAATATCGTACTTATGATATCTAAACAGCAGTTTCACAATATTCTCGCTCATGTCGGATTGGGGTCCGCTCCAGAAATAGAAGAAAAAATGGATCTGTGGATTGGAAATTGGAAAAAGCTGGTTCCCTGGTCCGTGCATAGTGGAATCAAGTATCAAAAATGTGCGTCATATATATTCTTGCCAGGCATCTTATAGAGCTTCATGCCGCTGGGGTTACGGCAGATTTCTCATTGTGCGTTAGATCTCCTAGTGTAGATTTGAGATTACTAAAAATATATATATCTTAGTACAACATACGCACAGACTAGAGGGCCATGCCGCGTATATTGTACCTGAATTGACGGGATGTACTCCGTTACGGAGTACGATGTATTCCGTACCCGGGTTCACTTCAAATACAATGTTTGATCCAACAGGGATGTACTTTGAGGGCAAATCACAGGGAATGAATATACCGCTGCCCGTGAATCCAGCAATTCCGATGCAGGATTCGACTCCTGCATCATGCAGTCACGCCTGCAAAAGACCTATAACGCCGACTAGATAGGAATGGATGCCTAACAAGGCCCAAAATATAATCGCGCATGCTTGTCCGAAATAGTATTAGAAGGAAAAAAATATCAAGGTAGCCCTTGGAAGTAGAGCCCTTTTTTTCCGGGCTGAGTAAGCACCACTTTTTTTTCCCCACGAAGTGCCCACGACTCCGTCATCTCTCCAGGACTCTCTCACATCCCCTGCTATCTGGGTCCTTGCACAGCTTATTGACAAGGTGAGTCTTTTATTTCCAAGTTAACTTGTTTTGGGGTGTGCGTGCATTTGTGTGTGTGGTGTGTGTTACCCCCTGCGGCGTTTTATTTCCCCCAATAGTCGTGTGCCCTAAGCTCGCTCACTGCCCCCCCCAAGAAAAATTTCTCAAACTCTCGACTCCTTCCTCTCATCCGTCCCTTTTTTTCTCTCATAGCTATCATAGCACCTGGAAATTAGACCAGGCTTGCTAACAACGCTGCTCTTAGATCTCTTCGGTCATTCAGGCCCACTTATTCGACCCTGCCTTTGGAATCCCCAAAGGCGATTTGGTCACCACGGCTCCAGTAGCCTCCCTTCTGGTTCTTTGCCAAATTGTCTCCACTCAACGTCTCCGCGACACTCTTAACAACATTCCACCTCCTGGTCTTCTCTGAACTCTCGTCCGGTGCGCCTTTTTTCGTCCCGTTGACGTCCCCGGAGATTATTCCCTCGTTCTCTGAGCTGCCGCATAGGACTTCTTTCAAGGTTCTTCCTCTTCAGGGGGAAGGGTCTAGGAGGCTTGGTCCAGTCAACTACGGTTGTGACACTTTTCGTCCTCCCTAACGCGCAGTCGCCTGCCGGTTTAAAAACTTTTCTATTATCTCTTTTTCTTCTATTATTGTGCTGAGTCGCAGCGGCATGGTTATGGCACCGACTGCGTGTGTATCGACTGCTGAAGTATGCACCTTCAGAAAAGACTATACCAATAGTCTGGACCATCTTGGTCTCGTCAGCAGTCATGGGGACAACAATTTGTTGCAATCATCGTTGACTGCCAAGGAGCTTGTGTTGGATGTTTTGAAGAAGCGTGCGGCGGAAGTGGATGTGGAGCACTGTGGTGCTGGTGATGAGGATGCTTTCTATGTGGCGGATATGGGTGAAGTCTACCGCCAGCATATGCGCTGGAAGATGAACTTGGGCCGTGTGAAGCCCTTCTACGGTAGGTCTTTCTCTACCACTACACCACCTACCACAGAGCTCTGCTAACAAACACCGAACAGCTGTCAAGTGTAACCCGGACCCGGAAGTACTCCGGCTCATGGCCCAGCTTGGAAACGGTTTCGACTGTGCCTCCAAGTCTGAGATCGATCTGGCCCTTCAGACGGGCATTGATCCTAGTCGCATCATTTATGCGCAACCTTGCAAGACCAAGTCTTACTTGCGCTATGCTGCCGAGGTTGGCGTCAAGCAGATGACGTTTGACAATGCCGATGAGCTGTACAAGATCAAGTCCAACTTCCCTGAGGCGGAGCTCTACCTCCGCATCTTGACCGATGACTCGACCAGTCTGTGCCGGCTAAGCATGAAGTTCGGTGCTTCTATGGACCAGGCTCGTCCGTTGCTTGAGCTGGCTTATAAATTGGACCTCAAGGTCGTCGGTGTCAGTTTCCACGTCGGATCTGGTGCCGAGGATCCCCGCGCGTTCCTCAAGGCCGTGCAGGATGCGCGCATGGTCTTCGATCAGGCAGGAGAGATCGGCCATGAACTCCACACCCTGGATGTTGGTGGCGGCTTCTGCCAGGACACGTTTGAGAAGTTCGCGGGCATTCTCGGTGAAGCCGTGGACAGCTATTTCCCGCCGAACATTCGTGTGATCGCTGAGCCCGGCCGCTACTATGTAGCCACTGCCTACACTCTGGCCGCTAATGTCATTGCTCGGCGTGACATTCCGGATCCCCAAGATCCCTCTCGTGATGCTTACATGTTGTACCTGAATGACGGCGTCTACGGCAACTTTTCGAACATCATCTTCGATCACCAGAATCCCGTCGCTCAGGTTCTTACCTGTGCCTCAGAAGGCTCCCAGCCTGGTTCTCCGAACTCTGCGACTTCGGAGGACATCACTTACTCTATCTGGGGACCTACCTGCGATGGCATCGATGTTATAACTCAGCGTATTTGCTTGCCTGCCCTCCTCAACACGGGTGACTGGCTCTACTTTGAGGAGATGGGAGCCTACACCAAGTGTAGTGCTACTCGCTTCAATGGCTTCTCTGACAACCACGAGGTGATCTATATCTCTAGTGAGCCTGGCGCTTCCGCTCTGCTCAACTACTAGTTTGAAATTTGTTTTCGTGATCTTTTGCAATTGTGTCTTTTGTTTAGTGTCACTGTTTGTTCAGTGACCTCTACCATTAGGAGGCTATCTAATATAGTATCTATTGTGCGTTCTCGCTGAATATGGGATTGTATCTACTGCCCATTAGATTCTCAATTAGAATAGAGGTCGTTCTGTTTGTATCAATGTCCTTTGACCAGAGGTCTTTTAAGTATCTCTTGTGTCTGAGGTGTTGCCATTTGATCATCGTTAGTGCTTTCTGAGCATAAAATATGAAAAGACTTGATGTTTGATTACAGGTGTATGGCGCTCTATCATCACATTTACAAGGTATCATGAGAAATTAAGGACATCTCAGCATCTATAAACAAGAGCCCCATCAAAAATCTAGACCAACCGCTCCACACTCAACTCCACACCGTCGCCCGCCTGGACCAGCCCACCAGCTTCGAGCTTCTTCTTCCACTTGGCCGACTCATATCTAGCCAAAATCAATGTAATGCGGGCAATGACAGCCGGGTCTGCAGATTCGGTGACCACAGCAGAAGGAGTGCAAGTCCAGCGTCCAAACGCCCAGTTGAGAATATAATACTGCACCCCAGACGCCTCAATCGTCTGTCTCGCAGTCAAATTATCCGACGATTCCACCGGAAGATCCTGGTTTGAGCAGCGAACAATTCCTTTGATGCGATACACCTCATCACGAGGCGCCAAAGAGAGGAATCGCTCCAGAGCAGCGACATCAACCGTTTTCCCCTCAATATCCGACTTCAAAACAACGGACAGAACCTCCACCTCAGATTGATGATCATGCTGATGATGATGTTCATGTCCATGACGAGCCGTAGCCCCATCCTCAGATTCTTTAAACAAAGCCCCATCAATACCCAGCATCACATCCATATCAACTCTCCCCTTATTCGACTTGACCCAAGGCGTGTCGACCTCCAGATCACCCACCCGATCCAGACAGATATCAAACCGATCTGGCGAATCCTCCCACTTATTGAAAACAATCAAATCGGTATACTTTGCCTGGATCTTAGCCGTGTACGAAGTATCCTCATACCCCTCCCAGTTCTCCACATCGATAACGCTGATCACACCATCAAGAACGTAGTGTCCACCCTGTTCGCGCGCAAGTCGGTTCACTTCCATCGCAAGCGTTGCGGGGAACGCGCTGCCGCTGGTTTCGATCACGATGCGGTCGGGTTGGACTTCGGTGCGGAGCTGGTCTAGGGCATCGCTGAGTTGACCGACGAGGTTGCAGCAGATACAACCGTTGAGCAGTTCGCGCACGCCGCTGATGGATTGTGTTGAGGCTAGTTGGGAGTCCACGGCTACGTCGCCGAATTCGTTCTTGAGGAGAGCGAGCTTGTAGGTCTCTGGGAGTTGGGGAATTAGGTTGAGCAGAAGGGTTGTTTTGCCCGAGCCGAGGAAACCCGTCACGATCGTTATGGGGATTGGCGCCATTGTTGTGGTGCTGGGCGACTATCTTGGTCTGCGGCTGATGCTTTCTGATGTTGGCGGGATGTTATCGCTGATCCATCGCCGATGGAGGGGCTAGCCCTAGATTAGGAGCCCTAATCACCCTTTTGGGGTTGTATACATTGGGTTTGGACTTCAAGTTTAGGTGTTCAAGGAAAATAATGCGAATTCTTTACCTGTCTGTACATTTTTAGCTAGTCCCACATCGTGTGCCAGAACAAGTCGTATGCCATTGTCCACCATACCTGTCAGATGACACACCACAGCTCGGCTTCATACCGAAACATCAGTGAAACCGCAGCGAATATAAAATATACCACACAACATTCATGCCCTATCCTTTCCAGTCTACATGAAGCGGAACTATGGATGCATGAGGCGAGATTGGGTGGTTATCAAAAAAACCGTAGAGACTAGGTATGCTTTGTCTACATCGTAAGGGGCGGATAGGTTATATATATGAGTTCAGATATGGATGACATTGATGTCAATCAGCCTGCGCCAAATATCGCCCAATAAATGGCAGTCACCCCAAACACAAACCCGTAAATCACATATCGCACGAAGTATCAATGTTTTGAGGTAGATCGATACTTCGACCCCGTAGTTCCCTTAGTCGGTCTATCGCTCGCCCTATTCCATGATCGATACTCGGACCGCTGGCGGCGTGAGTGACGTGCCGGTGCACCGCGGTTGGTAACTACCGAGTGGTCTGTATAATTGACGGACTCCTGGTTGCGTTCTCGATCGGACTCGTTGCTGGAACGACTCACACTTCGGGGCCGGGAGCTCATGTTGTATGATCGTGTTTAAGAAAAGTAAGGCACGAGTTAATACTTGTAGAGTTGAGCGGTAATGGGTAAAATAGAAACATCATTTCTTTCTTATACAGAGTGGCGGCAGTGGCACACATCGCCCAAGGATTGACATTTACTTCATTGTGAACACATTTTGATGCAATATACAAAGGGGCAACTTGGGAAGTTCTTCGACTTGCTAGTATCGATCCATAGGTTGAAGGCATGATATATGTAGCATTACCAGGAACCAATCTAAAAAAGGATTGGCAATACACACCCACAGCACTCCCATATGTTACTACATTATCCCGTATGAAATATGTCTGTTGGGGATGACAATGTTGCGATGTCAAATAGACAAGAAACTTGGGTCGGCATAAAGAACAGTGCACTGTATGAACGAAGAAGTCTCGGAGCTGAAGATTTGACATTCCTTATTCAATTTCATTAGTCTCCCTCTACCTTGAATTCTCTACCTTGAAACTTGCTTTGTCGGATTTCACGGTCACCCTTTACTTCGTCATCATTAGACCCTTCGCATACATTGCGTTTCATGTGCTGGAGGTATAGAGACTGAGAGTTTTGAGGCTCAATATCTGCTGTGGCTCTAGAACTCTCCCGCGTTTATAAGATGTGAAATTACATATGTTCCGATTCTACTCAGGGGTCTGATGAATAAATATGGCAACAGCCCTGCATTGGAAACTAAGAGTGAGTGAACGTTCTGAGTAGACACATTGCTACAATGAAAAGCTGATGAGTGTCTTTTATTAACATTGAATACCTACTTAGGCCAGTAGTGAGTGCGATGGGCGAAATACTTCTCAGTCCCGATTGTAGAGGAATATCCCAAAGGCTTCCATTTCCACACCTCACCCGTGCAACGTGGACTGTGTGCACTTTCACAGAAAACCCCAGAAGAGCTCACCACTGATTGCGGCGTTATTCTACACGTTTTGAGCTGAAGGCAATGCAGCCATCGTGGAACCCGATGGTCTGGTGCCGGTGACTGAGATCGCACTTGGGAAGCAAGGAACGTATGAGATAATGTCTTTTGTGAGTACATTACAATATTGCCCGAGATGATGATTAGTTCGGTGAAAAGGGAACGCAAGGACCAATTTAACTTGGCCTGGAGATGGACAATCCGAAAGTCAAGGCCCTTCTGATTGGGAATACTGGTCAGCCTTTTAAATCGGGAGCTTTTGGAATCTCGTGGTTTGAGTGCACCAACTCCAAGGGCGAGAGCTAGGGCTTCTTCGGTGTTGATAGTTCGGGCCACTTGGCCGACTTCTTGGGGTTGGATAGCGCCCTCGACAGAATATTCAAGGCGGCTCTCTAGTATAGCAGTAGTATTGAGTTAAATCGAGTCTCGTACATTGTAAGACGTGATGTAAATCCTTCCCTTCAAGGCGTTTCAGTCGCTACGAGATCTAGTTATACATGTAAAATAATGAGCGAGGATCCCGTCCCCTCGAGAATAGATGCGATCACCGATATCTGCAATGTCCAACAAGCTGTAACAAAACATAAATGATTCTAGATCTCCAGTCAATGGAGACTAGCCCCCAAAACGTCTAGAATGTGCTGCCAGTTGTCTACTCCGTTGGCAATGAGTGTTTATTGCTCATATGTTTCTCTCGTAGATAATCGCAAATCTGCTCGTTGCTCATTTTATCAATGCATTCGCGCTCTTCCTTGGAAAGTTCTAAACATGAACCTCGTTAACAACAAAGTCATACCTGCTGTGGGGGGTCTCATCAAAACAAGAACATACCTTCAGGTACCGTCTCCTTAACTTCGTTGGATTCACCTGAAATGGAGCGAATATGACCCCGGACGGTACGTAACGCTCCCTGCGCAGCAGGCAACGCACTCTCCATTAGCGTGCCTTTCGCAGCGATGAGCTTCTCTTGGGCGACAGAGCTGATGGAAATCCCAAAGTCGGAGATCGAGCCACCAGGAGCCATAGAGTCCAACTGGGTTTTAATGCCCGAAAGAACACCTTGCCCTTCGTGCTCTTGCTTCTCGGCTTTGTGGAAAGCAGCATCATTCGCCTTCATCTCGATGTTAGACTGCCCTCGTTGCCCGAGCGCAACCTGGGAATCCAAGTACAATGAGTCGCTGGAGGTGTTTGGGATCAGGGTAAATTGTTTTGGTTGTTTGGAGTGGGGGACCTTTTCGGATACTGGCAACTTTGCCCCCATCTCTTCCTTGGCCTGCCTCCGTTGTTCGAGCGCAACATTGGAATTCAAGTATAATGAGTCGCTGGAGGTGTCAGGGATCATGGTAAACTGCTTCACTTGCTTCGAGGAGAAGTCTTCGGCTTCGATAAACGACATGTGTGTTGAGATCAGGAATTTTGAGAATGATGCTAGTAAGGCGTAGGGCTGAGACTGACGTAGGGCTGATTTCGGGTGATCGGTTTGAATTGCGTATCGGGTGGAGATTTATGACACTAGAGAATAGGGGATATTAAGGGTTATGAATAGGCAGCAGGGATTCCGAGTAATTGGTCTTGTTTCACTGAACATTTTCCTCCAAGAAAAAGATGTTTTGGGAGTCGATCGTTCCTAGCAATGACGTCAGTCCCACTTTTGATTGCGTTCATCGATGCCAAGGGTACCTAGGTACAACTCTGTTCATTTTCCCCGGACTTATTTTTTTTTACCAAGAGAATTCTAGAAGGTATTCGCTTGGGATTAACCCGACTCTGGTAGGACGAAGGCTAGACTGACTCTAGATTGACTCAGGCTCTCGGATCTGCTGGGGAAGCGCATCTTTCTTGATCATTCTATTGGTATATTGATGTGTTGATCCCGGACTATGTATGTTGTACGAATGCGATCATATCCAAGACCCAACTAATTATAGATCGTAGCCTGAAGACCGGGAATGATTTCGAGATCCTTGGGCTTGTAGCTATACTTTCCCTCGGAGGAAACCTTGACATCCCGATTTCTTCGCTGCTGTTGTGTTTGCCGAACTTTAACCCACTCCTCGGTCGTGAGGTGTTGCCCAAGTTCGGTGAATACGTTGGTGGTTAAGCCAAGTCTCTGGAGGAGAGGGCTATTCCGGATGGGATCAAGGACAACGTGGTTATTGGGGCTGCATCCATTAAATTCCGAAGACCCCGGATGCGGGATATCCAAAACAACTTACCGAGCAAAGTACAGCACACCCAAACGGTCAATATGAGCCTGATCGGCAGGTGGTGCGTGCACCCGATGAATGCTAGACTTGATCAAGCCGCCAGTGAGCGCCGTCAAGGCGTCGCAGGTGTTGATTGTAATAGTTCCATCTTGGGGCCGCACCCACTTCCATTCACCCTTTGAATTGAGGATTTGAAGTGCTGCTACGGGTTGCCGGAATAGGAGAGTGACGGTCCCCAAATCTGTGTGGCCGGGGCTGTAAAGCTCACCGACCTTCTTGTTATCCTCAGCACTTCGCGCAGCATAATGCATATAGCGCAGATGATCCTCGCCCTTGACATCGTACTGATGGTCGCGGACTAGTTGATCTTCATCCGGTAATTCAAGCAGTATTGCGAACAGGCGGAGAAGCTTCTCAACGACTTCGGTGTGGCATTTCTAGGGTCGCTGTGAGTTGAAAGCATCAAACGAGAATTATGAAAGGAAAGTACCCGACTGAAGATTTCAATCTCCTTGATATTCTCAGTAAGAACGAAAGGCTGGGGTCGCTCGTGGTGACCGTCGAACTTTGGGATATTGTACACCTGGACATTATCTTTGACGCCATTTCCTAGGCTAAGGTAAGACGTGTTAGTATGACACATTTGTAATCTGAAAATAACTTGTTTCTCACATCCGCTGCCCAGCCGGACGGTAAGAGTTATATTCACCTCTCTCAAGGTCACTGGCGCTGTGGAACTTGAGTTTCTCTTCAAGTGGCAGGGCATAGAACTCCCGCCCTAAAGCGAACTGGTTGTCAATCTCTTCTTGACTGATATTAAAGTTCTTCACATAGAAAAATCCTGTTTACAAACCTTGATTAGCATCAAACATAAAGATCAAGTCCAATCAAAGTGCGGTTTGGGGATATAGGTTGTTTTTCTAGACGTGGTTGTATCATACAGATCCCCGACTTCTGGTATGATACGTAAGATGGGAGCAACTCACCCACATTCCTAACGGCATGATCAAGTTGCTTGACAAGATCTTCCTTTCCTCCTGGCTGCTCATACTGACTGAGGTCCAATGTGATAAGCTCGGCCCACTCAACTAACCAGATTATCAGTAAGACGACAGGATCAAGAAAGCAAGGATCACCCACGGTCTTCCTTGGTGACAGGGACCTGGTCATATTTCTCAATATATCTGTTCGGCATATTGAATAGTCGATGAGTTCCCGAAAGGTGATAATTTAATATCTCTAGTGACTTCTAGTTGTCCTTTCTGACCACACCTTGAGAAGGATGCATTGTATATAAGTCCGGCATTTCATTCCGACCATTTCCCCCGCATCAGATAGACGGAGGAAATAAGAAAGAGCACGCAATAAATCCCTCCGCTGAGGCCGAAGATAACGGCTGGTTTTCCGGATTTCGCATAGGCTGGGATGCGCGCACGCCATCGCACATAAGCATGTCGCCTCCGTTGGCGCGTCAAAGTGAGTAGATGTGCTAGCGTGATATCAAACATCCTTTGATCTCCCTGATGGCTGGTTTTGATCATTTGGATTTGTTGAAGGAGCGATGGTGACAGCGGGTGGGGGAATTGGTTCACATCCCACAGCTTATCTTCTCTTCTTATATTCCGGAACTCTATAGCGAGATGCCCGTGAGGTATCCTATAAAAAGTAATGGTAATGGTCTACAATTCAATGTGCTTTGTATTTTGTACCTCTAGGAACCGCATCGGAAATCCGACCATTTCTACTCATGTCTGATCCGAAGCAGAAGGCTGGGAGACTGTCTCCATTGGGTCTTATCAAAGAGGTTTTCAACTGGTACCCATCCTCTTATCCTGTTGAGGAGAGAAAGTAAGTAGATCAATGCTAGAGAATGTCCCAGCTGAGGTGTGCTGACATTTCTAGGCTATTGTTCAAGTTGGACTTGTCAATTCTGATATTTGCCTGTCTCTGCTGTAAGTGTGCACCAGATCCAATGATTATCCCAGGGAGACAACTGACAAACTTAGTCTTTGTCAAGTATCTAGGTAAGCTGATGTCCCCATTTATTGCCGCTCAACTCAGTGCCAATATATCGCAGACCAGACAAATATCAGCAACGCGTATGTTAGTGGTCTGAAAGAAGACTTCGGTTTGTACGGAAACGAGCTGAACTACTTCAATGTCTGCTACTATACAGCATATGTACTGTTCCAAATCCCTGGACTGCTGCTCATGTCACGCCCGAAGTTGTGAGTCTCACAAAGTTATATGTCAGTCCACTCATAGCAAGCCACTCACCAATTGCGTAGGGCTCGCTGGTTGTTGCCTACTCTTGAAATTCTTTGGGGTATTTGCACATTTGCCCAAAGTCGTGTCACAAACGTACACCAGATCTATGCCCTTCGTTTCTTGGTTGGAATGCTAGAAGCACCCGTCTTTGCTGGAACCCATTTTGTTCTTGGTAAGTTACATATACATATATTCGTTGAGGGCTAAACTAATCATCATGAAGGTTCATGGTACACGGGGCCCGAACTTTTTAAACGAGCCGGAACGTGGTTTATCTGTAATCCACTCGGTACTATGGTGAGTGGGTATCTACAGGCAGCCGCATATACCAACCTATCTGGTGTTGGGGGTATGTCAGGATGGAGGTGGCTGTTCATAATTGACGGCATATTTACCATACCCGTGGCCTTGATTGGATTCCTTATATTTCCCGGTATCCCGGGCTCACCCAAGCCATTCTATCTGACGGATCGCAATATTGCATTGGCCAAGGAGAGAACTGAAAGAGCCAAAATTCGTCAGCCTGGCAAGATGAGTATCGATGTCTTCAAGAGGACGTTCAAAAGATGGCACATCTGGATGTTTATCACCTGCTACGCGTAAGTTTTGAGAGAGGTGGTTGACTATGTTTTGTGGTCAGTACTCTAACCCTTTTTTTTAGATGTATGATCATCTGTTGCTATCCCATCAGCTATATGGGTTTGTGGCTTAAAGCAGAGGGGTACTCCGTAACTCAAATCAACCAGCTGCCGACTGTCACTTACGCGATTAACATCGTGGCCTCATGGCTCGGGTCAACATTAGCTGCAATCTATCCGGAATGGATCATTTTTACTATTGCATCGGCATGTTGTTTATTCTCGACATTATGTTTGATCATATGGAACATCCCTACAGCGCTGAAGTAAGATACATTCTATTCTTACTCGTTTCTATGGGGAGTTTTTTTTTGGTCACTGTTACTGACAAGTACTTTCAAAGATTTGTTGCCTGGTACACTTTTGGAGCATCAGGATGTTTGAGTCCAATTCTCTACTCCACCATCAATATAATAGTGAGGGACGATGCAGAGGAGCGTGCCCTCATCATGGTATGGATATTTCCTTCATCTCACACATAAAGAAAGTCTTACTGATCACTTTATCCCTTACTATATAGGGTTCCATGATGTCATTTGGCTATTCATTCAATATTTGGGTCCCGTTGTTGGCATACCCAACCGCCGGCCCCGACGGCGCGCCGAGATGGCGAAAGGGATGGCCAATATCGTTCGTCTTCTTCTTCCTCCTATGGGCTGGCTTCGTGGCTTCTGTTTTCGTATGGCGAAGGTCAATAGCCCCGTCATCAATACCGGTAAACATTGAACTGACATCACATCATAGGGAGCAAAAGAAGGAAGCATTGGTGTCACCGCAGGAAAGTAGTGATGAGGAAACGGACACTGTGGTAGTTGACACGACCTCGGTATTGAAGAACTGAATAGAATATTATGAATGGCATGCTTGTCACGATAATACTAGTACTGGCGAAATATCTGATCACGATCGCGTAAGCGATGGGACAATTAAAGATCGCACCGACTTTCATTTAGTCTGAATCTGGATCTCCCGTCATATAGCATGCCGTATCCAAAAGTACGGATGCAGGGACCGAAGAGTCAGGTCCGTCATAATGATGCTTACCATCGGATTTCTAATTGGAAAATTCCTTTTGGTTGAAACTTGAAAGATATTTTAGTATTGAATAGAGTGGCCTCCTATTGCTATAGTGCATACATTGATCTCACGTCAGTGTGATCTAGTACCTAGAAGGACCAATAAGGACTCAAGACAGCACTTACCCACCACAATTACGTATGGTGTAAGGAGGCCACATTTAGACCTGTTGAGGTCCCTGTCGTATATCTCTTCTCTCATGACTACAATGCCTTTTGTCCTTCGTCAGTTAAGAACCACTCCACTCAACCAACTCGTGACACGAGTTATTCCCAGACGTGGATTTGCATCTTCACCTGCCATCATGACACCCCGTATCAGCGACACAATCAAAAAGGATCACCGTGACATTGAATCGTATTTTGGGACGATAATTAGCTCCACGGACCAGGATGAGCAGACACGCTTTCAGAACCTGTTCACCTGGGAACTAGCTCGGCACTCCATTGGTGAGGAGCTTATTGTCTATCCTCTGTTTGAGAAGATGCTCCCCAATGGCGTGCAAATGGCAAATAAGGACCGCGAGGAGCATTTGGAGGTGAGTTGAGCTATGTCTGCCACCCATTACGGTGCTCACATGACGTATATAGGTCAAAAAGCAACTGAAAGCATTCCAAAACATGACACCCTCGGATATACGCTTTGTTCCTGCCATCAGGGAGCTGATGGAAAATCTTTCCAGGCATATCAAAGAGGAGGAGCTGAATGATCTGCCTAAGCTAGAGGAGGCTTTGTCTCAAGATGAGAGTGAGGACTGTGCAAAAACCTTTAGTCGAACGAAGATGTTCGTTCCTTCGCGGTCTCATCCTAGTGCACCAGACAAGCCACCCTATGAGACAGCCGTCGGGCTTCTAACGGCGCCGATCGACCATCTTGCAGACCTGTTCCGCAAGTGGCCACACACCGCGGGAATGCCTAATCCATCTACGAAATAAGTTCACCCTGATGTGAGCCTTGCTGGTTGTATTTACTTTGATTGAAAATAAACTTCATCGTCGTTTACTCTATGTGTGAAACAATGTTTGTCTTGATTAGAACCATGATTGATCTATCACATTGATTCATATTCTCTCTCGGTCGACATGGGATGACTACAGGAATAATGTATCTGAAGAAGTGTTTCAATTATGGGTTCGGTAGGGCTGGATATTGGTTTCCACGTCTGGGCTATCATCGGGTAGGGCATGGCGGTAATATAGTTGTGGTTGTCATTTTCAGAGAGATAATAAAAAGAAACAAAACATTTGAAGTTATCTATAAGTTGTTTCAACACTGAGATTTGACACCTCACTTAGGGTGAACTTCTGCATGCACCCGCCAGTTGGCTACCAGTTGGCGAGCGCAACCACCTTGGGGTCGTAATCTGCTCCATTAGATCAAGGTGGAGGGTTGCCAATTCAAGGTATGGTTTTCAAGCCTTCTTTGCCCTTCCTGTGGTGAAGCATGCATGAGAATTTGTGTAGAAAGATCATCTATTTTATAGGGTATCTACAGCCACGGTAGAAAGTAACCGTCCTGTATAGGGTTTCTCCGTGTACATACAATCAATGTGCTAGCCACATTACTGCTCAAAAGCCCTCATAACAGCAATACCAGCCACCGACCCCGATGCAACGCGATTGTGACCTAAAAGATTGCTAGTTAGACTGGGGAATTCTGGGAATTGTTGCTTCAACATACCGCCGTATCGAATCCGTTCCCACCTGACTGTCTTCATAGTTTCAGTACCGTCTTCATTGCTGATCTGATTCTTCCAAATCTTGACCTCGCTGGGGTTGCCATCTTCGGCTTTGTGATATGTCATAGCCCCAGGAGCATCTTTGATGTTCCCACCCGTGGCAGCCACCCAGACGCGGCGTCCTTCATACCAGGGAATTTCGGCATCATCGAAAGCATGAACTATAGTGAGGTCAAAGCTTTTGTTCGTGTATTCCGTCTTTACACTGTTCAATGAAGTGGTATTGACGCCGGTAAGACGCGCCAATCTACTAGCCGTGTCCCAATGGTCCACAATGTGCCTCAACAGCCACTTCTGAGCCCGGGGATATCCCATGATAGGGGACAGCATAGGCGGTGTGATGCCTTTGAAGCTGTAGGATTCGAGGAGATTTTTTAGGCTGCTGAAGGACGCCAATAGAACTACACCGGCGAATGGCTCAGCGTTCTTAATAGCTGGCTGTATAGCTGCCGGGTCAGGCGATCCGAATGCAAAGCGCTCTGCCACTGCGGCTGTGACCGCAGTTCCAAGACTCTGGCCCACGATGGCGATGCGAGAAGTGGGAACCTTTAATGAGCCTGCAGTAAGGAAGTTGATGAGGGAAACACCATCCGTGATCAGACCTTCCTCTGTAGGAGATCCAGTGCTAACACCAAAGCCGCGATAATCAATCGCAAAGACGTGGACTGGGTTTGACGGGGTAGACAGGCTCAACATGGTGTTGTAAGTGGCAGGGCGTTGAGCAGAACCCAAGTGTGCCGCATTTCCGTGGACTGTATTTCTCACATGTCAGTTTTTTACAGTGAGAAGTCCGGATATTGATATCACTTACAGCTTACGACGACTCGTGCATTGGGGTCATTGGCGAGAAGCTTGTGGGCAACTGTCTTTGTGTAATCCTCAGCTGGCCCAGTAGAGGGATTCTCCATTAATTCCTTTTCATGTTCCAGGCAAAGATGCAAGGGCATCAAGTGCCAGCCATAAATGGTCTCATTGTCAGGCGTCACCAAATGAAACGGTTGGACTTGGGTTCCTTTGGGGGTCAGTTAGTAAATGTACTTCTGTTGGAGTTCACCTCGGCAAAGGGGGCGTACTCAAGAATCCGAACTGCTCAACTTGATTGACATCCTGCCATAAGCTGGGGTTGATCTTATTGGCATAAAGAACACTGTGTTATCTATGTTAGGTCACTCTCAGCTTAGACCCGAGAACTAGATACATACAAACGTTGGATCTCTGGGAAGGTCAAGGAGAAGAGACAGAGCACATATATCAGTCCACCAAATGCAAGAGACCAGTAGGCCTTCCTGAAAATAGGTTTAAGTTCAACCATTTTGCGTTCAGGGGTTGAGGTGATGTCTGTTGACGGCCACACGAGTCCCGGGGGACGGAGGTGAGCGGGCAAGAAACGGCGCTGATAAGCGGCGCGTTATCGCGTGTCTTTCATTTCTCCCTTCTTACGTTCCACTCTCTCTCCATCGCCCTTCAACGCTTCAATATACGATGTTTTTTATAGTTCCATCGTGGGCATCGTGATTGTTTCGTGGAATCCACTATGGCCGAAAAGCGCAAACTTCCCTCGCGGCGTGAGTCTGCAGCTAAAAGACGTGTCTCCGAAGCCGCACCGCAGTCTCACAAGAAAAAGGCACCAACGCCTCGCGCCGCATCGCCGGAACCAGTTGACGCCCCTTTGCCAACGAAAGTCAAGGATGGAGACAGCTTACCTATTGTCCGCATGCGCCAGCCACTTTCCTTGCCTGACAATGAGTACCAGTCAATCGCCGAAAGGTTTGGAATCGCGGTCCTCTTTGGTGTTGCACGACTGACATTTTCTTTCTTCTCTCAACAGTGCAGTCCTCCTCGCCTCACTCGAACGATCGAAGAAAAAGTGGCTGAGTGATGGCATACTTGTTCGATACTACACAAAGCCGAAGAAGACGAAGCGCGAACAGACCGAGAAGAACAACCCATCCAAGGACACCATGACGAAAATCGGTCCATGCGATATTACCATTGGTCCCCACTTCTTTGATGCCATGATTTACATTGTCAAAGATCCCAGTGCACCAGCAGCACTCCAATACGCACCAGCTCAACGACCGATGGTTCACTATGGCCACCCTAATAACTTCCAACAATACCGACCGTATCCCACGCCATCGAACCAACAACGACCTGTGCAATATTCCCCGGCTCCTCCGGGTCGCCCTGGTTATGCAGGAAGCCAACCCTCGCCCCAGTCAACTCGTGGTCCGAATCAACCCTCCCCCCAAGGAGGACAAAAGCCATCACAAGGGCACAAAGGCCAACCTGCTAAGCCGAGTCCAGATCCCGTGATTCAAATGCTGGCTACAAGGGCAGCCGCAGACCCTGAACTGAAGGCCTTGATGCGCGTTGTTGCCTCAAGTCAAGCATCCCAGGAGCAGCTCCGGGCTTTCCAGGCACACATCGACGAACTCAACGCCATAATCAAATCAAGAGAACAGCAAGAACAACGGCAGCAATATTCAACAGCACAACCAATTACACAAAAGTCGACCCCAACACCTCAAGCTCAGACTCAAAACCAACAAGATAGTGGGACGAAGCCAGTATCGCTAGATCGACCAGAAAATTCGCAAACGCCATCCAAAGGTCTCAAGCAGCCACCTGCGAAGACGGAAGGGCAGCCTCAGACTCCTGCTCAAGCCCCGACAAGCCAGACTCCCAAACCTCCCCAGAGCATCACCGGGTCGAGCACGATAAAAGAAGAGCAACCAGCCGCAGAGCACAACAGCTCCCAGCCTGCGCCGCCTGAAGGAGGGCGCGCAGTGGCACCAACTCAATCAGCGACCCCTAGTGCTGCAAGCACCCCGGTCCCCGCTTCTACCTCCCAGCAGCAGCCTCCTGTGGTAAACCCGGCACCACTAGGCAGTGCTCAACAGCCAGGAGCACGACCGGGACCACCATATGCCCCCCTCCAGCAACCTGCTTATGGGTCCCAACCTCCACTTCAGTCTCGACCACCACAATTCGGTGCCCCTGCTCCATTTCCCCGTCCGCATCCTATTCCTTACGTCTCCCCGCTTGGATCTCCGCCGGTAAACTACAAGTCTGTGGTGTTTGAATTCACATCCCCCTTAACTCCATATGGAAGTAGCACATCAGGCCATGCGGGCTCGGGTGACCGCTATCTTTTCCCTGAGTATACTATCCTGGAATGGCTTCCTGCCGAGAACACTGTCATCGCCTCGTTTTTGATAGTACGGAAAGTAGCTCCAAACACACCATTCCCTCTTGAGACTGCCGCAGAAGCTGCCAACTCCAAAAGTAAAGGGAAGGGGGCATCGAAAGCTAAGAAGGGAGAATCAAAAGTCAAAGCCGACAAGGGAAAACTACCAACCGATATTCCAACCCCCGGCCAGCCAGGCACACCTACACCCGGAACGCCGCAAAAGCAGGAACCCGCCGACCAAACAGGAGTCCTAACCCCCAGCCTCCCAGGGACTCCTGCCAATGAGGCGAATCTTAAGGAATACTGGCAGCCAGTTACGTTCCGCATCCATGCCCCCAATGCCAAAATCCTCGAGCCTCTAGCCCGCGTCGTCAAGCCAGCCGACGAGGTGCGCAAGTATATGAACGATATCATGGACCGCGCTGAGCGCGCGCCAGATGGCTACCTGGCCATGCGTCTACCTCGCGAGGCGGCCTCAGAATCATTCGAAAAGGACGGGACACCTGCTTCCTCCGGCAATTTCGGTACCGGCACCCGCAGTCGTCTTTCCCGTGTTCAGCTCGCTGGCGATGAATCTGAGGCAGAGGTCTCTGGATTCGAATTCGAGGAGGACGAAGAAGATCTCAAAGATTTCTATGATGCGCCAAGTGGATTACCCCCGTTGAAAGCATGATGATGGGTTTTTTTTACTGCTGGAGGCGTCTAAGGGCTGGATCCTTCAGCTCAGTGGTCATTCGACACCACAATTTAGATGGCCAGAATGATTGAGTAACTCTATAGCATCGGTCTGGTAAATGCAGACACGGGGTCGAAAATAACAATGGTATGGTGACAATACCAGGACTTGCGAAACAAGTCAGATCTATACTAAGAAATTCTGAACTCCGAGGATGTCTCTGGGTTGATGTTTGTACCATATAAAGTTATGTTTGTGCCAGTTGTTGAATTTACGATAACGAATTGCTCCAGCGCTTCCATTTATCTATGCAACAGCTGTTCTCTCCTTCCACGTTTAGTGGGAGTCATAGCATGCTTTTCAACTAGGTTTACTGGATGGCAACTGGATTGTGTGGGAAGATGCCGCTGAAAATGTCGCCAGGTTTGGGTAACCCGAGAAATTCAAGCCTTTTAGGGCGAGTTATTAATGTATAGAAATGACACTACGTCTCCAAGGGTATCTCAGAGCCTCTTCGCATGAGGTTGGAACAAACGATTGCTCGGTAAATAGGTAACAGACCAGCTCTAGCCCCCTCCACCAGCGTATTGCGCCTCATCCCCAATAATTCCGGCCGCTTCCAAGAGCCACCTTGCACTCTGGGTCGCCGGATCCCCAGCCCCAGCTTTGATGTTGATATTACGACGGCGCTCGGCCTCCCGTGCCTCAAATTCCCACTTTGCACGCTGTATCTCCACCGGACTCAAGCTAGGGTCTGCGGAGAAAGATGCATCCGGATCTGGGACCATACCCCAAATCTCCAGGGTATAAAGATCAAGCTTAATCTTCGTCGGAGCGTCTTCGGGGCGTGTATTGGCAGCGGGTAAGAAAACCCCGTTGTGCCCAAATGGTGCAGCGTAGAATTCGGCAGTTTCTATGTTCGCGTCGATAAGAAGACTGCCTGCTCCTTGCGGAGACGGGTAGGTTTGGTGTGTGCGGGATGGGGCAGGGATTTTGCAGCCGATTGCGATCCCAGTGTTGGCTGAGAAATAGGCGGTTGGAGTGTTGGGCTTTGTTGCAGATGAGGAGGGATTTCCAGGGAGGAGCATGTGTTTCGGGGATAGTTGGAAGAGGCAGGGGAGGAGGTCTGTCGTTTTTGAAGATGAGCCTGAGGTCGATATGGAGGTTTTCCACGGTTGGGGAATGTATGCACCCAGTGTTACCAATTCCTCGCTGGATGAATCTGCTAATAATCCTTGCAGGATGAGGAGACTGGCGGATTGCCAGGTAAGGACGTGGTGAGAGAAGTATGTCAAAGAAGACCCGTGGGCGCTTGTCGAGAAGACAGGGTGTAGTTTGACGTCACTTCGGAGGATATTGATATCGGGTGATGTGGAAGGGAGGAAGAATGAAAGATGAGAGTTGATTGTCGGGTTTAATATGGCCGACTCGAAGCTCCCCGGAAGAGTGAGTGCAGCCGGTGGCGATGGGGGTTCTTCGTTCTCCTTGCTCTCCTGTTCGCTCTCCGTGGCTAGACCATTTTGGCGGCGTTGAGATAGGTTCAAGTTTTTGCTGAAAAGCATGTGCTCGAACAGAGCAGTGAGCGGATCAAATAGGTATGGAAGAGACAGAGAAATCGTTCGAGCAAAACCCTTGTAGGATATCCCGCTGGCGCGCTCTTCCGAAGAAAACCCCGCAATAATACTGTCTGCTTCCTTCTTAACCAAATCCATACGCCGATCATCCAGCCCAGATGTATAAACCTTCAGTGACTCCATTGGCTTCAATGGTGCAATTACAAGCAGTAGCATGAGCAACCGACGGAACGTATCGATGGAAATTCGGGTCTCGTAAACGGTCTTGTCAACCCGGTGGTCATGTTTGAATACTTCAATTGCATCAAGAGATTCCAGTGCTGCAAGTGCAAGGTCATCATCCTCATCCTCGTCGTACTCATCATTGACCGGTTCGTCTATGGAGAACCCCAGCGCATGGGAATTCCCAGCCGCACCTTCGGAATCCTTGGTCGTGGACTCTCCATTATGCTCGGCGGGAGTCTTCCTCCCCACATCAGCCAAGCTGCCAAAGAGCAACTTGATTCGATCTTTATGTCCTCTTTTCAGTGCTTTCCCATAGCGGTCTGTCAAGAGTACAACCACTTTAACCATGGCCTCAAATGTCAACACACTGGGGGCGAGCGTGTTTTGGAATGGAAAGGCTCCCAGATAAGAGACCATGCGAAATATCACCGGCCCTGCATCTAAAGGCTGTGTCTGTGAGGGGGTATAGGTACTATCCGGGATGCCCAAAAAGTCCGAGAGGACCTTCTCATTCCAGTACTTCAGGCCTCCCTGCTCTAAGGCCCGGGAGTTAAAATTGTCTTTGAAATGCGTGAGCTCTAATGGCGTGAAGCATTTTGTCGCAAAGCGCTCCGCGAGCACGGAGCTCAGCTCCTCTGTTTATGCATATGGTCAGATACACTTGGCATTGACATTTTATTGACCATAGGGAGACCATTCAGGTCAAGTCAAAGCCATATATGATTGACAATTATGGATGATCAAGCGACATGACATTCATGTATCTTCAGAGCCCAAGCAAGAACGTAATAGCATTAACTCACCTGGAGATGATGCACCATGCTCACTCGACTGCCCTGCACCCATCGTTGGTAGTTGCGGGGACGACCCCACTGCAGAGCTACAGCTGCGTCCCGTCACAGTGCGCAAGAACCGAGTTCAAGCGAGAAGTTGGAAGAATAGAAAGACTAGGGGAATGAATTGATTTAAGATGATCAAGTAAACTCCGATAAAAACAGGGTCAACAGGCAATAAATAGTAAAGAAGAACTGCTTCCTGCCATGAGACGACGTCAGGAAGTCTGCCTGAGGCAGCATGGCTCTAGACTCTTGGTGCGGTGCCTGAGGCTGCCAGTTAGCTAAAATTACGTAAGGGTAGATCAGGTGCCCACAGCTGGGCGGGTTCCTGGGGCCACATGACCTCCAATCCCCTATTACAGTTGCTAATTCGACTGGACTAGGCCTCTTGGTATCTCCAGTCAACTGCCCAGGTGGGCAGCTCAGAAAGCATTTCTTTGTGCTACATCTATTTTGGAACTCTTTGATCATTTTTACCATTTTCCTCGCTTACCGACTTTGTACTCCATCTGGCATGATGCGTTGTTCACCCTGGATGATTAGAGGCGCCAGTCGACTAGCTTCCTGGCACCCCCGAACCAATGCAATCAGTTTGTCCAAGATCATGCTTCAAAGAGAAAACGTAACTTTTCATTCAAAGGGAGACCAATCGAAATGCTCCGAAGTCCCTCTCCCTCGGCATAAACACAGGACATACCTTTCCTCGGGAGTCTCACCAGAATTAGAATCCGATCAAGTATGATCTAAACCAGTATACCTCATCTCGACTATATAACCTTCGAGACTCGATGTGGTTTCAATCAGCGTGACTTTGTGATGACCGCAAGGCTATATATGCGCACTCTAGAAGAAAGGAGAATGCAATGACTGATTGTCTCCAAGCGTGCGCAGAGTTTTCCCAACTTTCAATTGAACGCTGGCTTTCTAATGTCTGCGCGTCAGTTACGAGGAGAACAGGTTGGCAATGCAACTAATTGCATGGCATCACTGACAGCTACTCTCTTTCCTTTCAGAAGCAGGCATAGAAGCAGGCATTCATCAAAGGGCTAGATGGTCATGTTACTTTGACACTCAAATAAGGAGGCGTGGATCGATAAGGAATTCCACTTCGCGGGACTGATTCCTCCATTTCAGTAGGGGAACATAGGACCTTGACACGGCTCATACCTCGGGGAGGGGCACAGTCCAAGGTCTTCTGGCATTAGTGTGGCAGGAGATGGACTCCATGGCATGCCTTGTGTGGTTGCACATACAAGCAAAGCTGGTAGCCAGTGTCTGCAGTGACGTCGGAAAAAACCACGAACCCGAACATCACAGGTCGGATTTATAATTACTACGCGACTACTTCCAGGTTTGGACGAGCGGGTGCTGATGTTCCAGAAATCTGGGGTATTCCATGCTGACCATTAATCTGTTGCGACGGAACTATGTGCGCCTGGCTCAATGCATGGTTAAAATTGGTGCTGAATAGAGATTGATGAGCCTTATACAGTGGGAAGACTTGTTACGCAGTCGCTTTCGGCGATTCACCGCGCTTCATTCGGAACAGAACAGCCATTTAGACGGGGACGAAGCTAGCGGGGGGTTCGGACCGGAGTAGAGTTAAGGATATTCCCTTTGTCGGCCGTGAAGAGTCGCAGTCCGAACCAGTAATTGCTTACGGCGTAAAAAGGTGTGGCGCATCTAAGCTATCGGACCGGGGCCAAAAAGCTTTCTTGTCCGGAAATAGTGCGCCAGAGATTTCAGGAAAGACGTTCAAATCGTACAGAAAAATGCTTTTCAATATCCACAGCCCAAATGATAAAAAGACATACATCGACGGGTAGTAGTACGCTATATTCAAGGCATTATACACTGGGCCCGAAATACATACCGAAATACCTATTACAGCGGTTTATTCCCGAGACGTTAGGGCTAAATTGTCTTCGTGCTGACGTGCATTGACCTAGCGTCAGGGCTCGACTAAGTGCCTATATTCAATTGGCTTCCCCAAGGCTACAAGATATAATTGAGTACAATGCTTGATAATCAATTTGGATGTTCTCATTATCTGGATACTCTTACAGAGTAATAATCGTGGCAAAATGCCCATGCATCACACTCTTACCAGGTAACCGAGATTATAAGGAACGGCAATCCACAATGGAAACAGCCAACTGACCTTTTGCAGAGTCTCAAAATATTGATGAGAGATGACTGTCGCCTTGTATAGACCCCTAAGCTAGGTGGAATGATCGCGAGCTAGAAGCTCGCCCGGTGGGCCTAGTTCGATAATGGCCCCGTCCAACATCACTAGAACAGTAGAATTACGATACGCAATTTCATAACAGTATGGGATCTAAAGTGATAACAGGTTATCTGCTGCATTTTTGGATCTATCTCCCGATCCACGTTGGCTGTGACCTCGTTCACAATACCACCGAGCCCGGACAGATCATGGCCCGAGCTAGACACAGCAGTTGCTGCTGCACAACAAATAACAGACCATCCCAGAGATAGAGGCTAACGCCGTCTCGTAAGGTAAATTCATCCTATAGATACACCTCTTCGAGTGGTATTTAATCGCCTACTTAGCGGTTGTTGCACCGAAGGGCTCGGCAGTTTCGCGAGTCGCGCCTGTGATGAAATGAGTGGACTGCTTGGCGTAGATCCGTCAGTGCTTTATTGTCGTAGACCGCAGTTGCGATGTAAATTCAAAGACATGATGGCAACCGCCTCTCGCATTGGGTGCGGAGATGATGTATGCTGACAGGGAAAGACGATTTGCCGCTACTGCGCGCACAGTCATTCAGCCAATGAGGGCTTTTGAACCAACTTGGACGACGAATCTTACCTTCCTAGAGCCTTATAGTTGGCGGAGGGGCTAGACTAGGGATCATACTCTGGTCGCCATCGTCATTTGACTAAGGCGTATCTAGAGCAAATGCGTCAATCCGAGACGGTAGAAAATTCTAGCCGGCTATCATAACCACTGATTTCGCCAAGAATGCCCAATAACAGCATGGTAGTTCTATATATTATTAGGCTGACCACGAAGTTAATACTAAACGGCCGAACCTCGAAGCTAAGATTTTTCAGGCCGTAGATCTCTGTAATCCCATACATCACGAAATAGTAGCCGCCCCCGACTCAATGAAGAGTTGTAGCTTGGTGGTAACAAGTTAGTAGTAGGTAAGCAGAAGCAGCGCATATGGAAGGTCAGTGGAAGAAGTCTCTTCCAATAGCAAGGTGTAATCAAAGCCATTGTAACAGTCGGCGCTAAGGTAGGACCAAAGACGTTCTGCGCAGAAATTTCACAGAGATTGTTGCCTAATTTTCCATTTCTTTCTTGAAACAAAGAAAATGGGGAGATTTTAGCTCGCATTACTAGCCCTGGTGGAAATTGAGGGCGTATGTTATTTGGGGGCCAAGTGCAAGTCTAGATGTCTCTGTGGTACGCTGTGTATGTGTATTAATGTGGAGTATTTGCAATACCAACTACGGAATAGCCCCCATGCCGCTCTAATTCGCCTTAAGCCTCACACCTCTAGGGCTATTTTTAACTGGCGTCTGAATCTCTGATCTCTATTTCAAGGCAGCCATGATTGCAAGTGTGTTGTTTCTCCAGGCATCAGACATTGATATAAACTGACTGCCTGGGCGCGCTACCTTTGAAATGGTTGTAACGATCTCTGCTTGTACTTTCGCATCTCTTTCTCTTAGGCATTCTGACCTAATACATTCCTTTTTTCTTCAACTGTGTGCCCTCTATAGTTTCTCGTCATTATGCGATTTCCGATCTCGGGGTTGTTGTTCATGGTGGTGTCGGCCATGATGGCCCGGGCATCCCCCGTCCAGACCGCGGCTCCCCAGCCCGGGGTGGTACCGCGGGATGCCACCCCCACTACAGCGACGGACCCGGGGACCACGGCGACCACAGCGACCACAACGACAGATGACTTTGAATTCCACTTGACCTTGAGCTTGGATTTGCCCACAAATACATGTACGCCTACCATATCGCCCGACAAAAATGGTTGGGTACCACCCTCAGAGTGCAACGCCTTGTACCTATATTACCCGTCTTTTGGAGCCGCAGTCGCTGCCGCTGTAATTTTCACGCTCCTCACGATGGCACACTTTGTGCAAGCGACAATTTACGCCGCGGGATTTGCCTGGGTCATCCTCATGGGAGTCTCATGGGAAGCCGTAGCTTACGCAGTCCGCGCCTTTAGCACTCGCAATCAGCAGAATGATACTGTTGTGACCGTCGCCCAGATGTTTGTTCTGTTGGCTCCATTGTGTACGACCCTGAGCATCTTAGTTTGAGGCCCCCCAGTTCTATAATACTGACTTTTGATATAGGGGTCAATGCATTCGACTACATGGTGTTGGCTCGGATGATCCATTTCTTCGTCCCCGAGCGTCGCATCGGCATGTTCAAGCCCTCCCTACTAGCCAAGATCTTCGTCTTGCTTGACTTCGTCTCATTCATTATCCAAATGATTGGTGGCTTTATGGCCACTGGGACAGACCAGCAGCAAATGGACGGCATCCATCTCTACATGGGCGGTATCGGAATCCAGGAGTTCTTTATCGTATGCTTTTTGGTACTGGCCCTGCAGTTCCACCGATTGATGCTGCAGTTGGAGCGAGCTGGCCGACTGCCTGTCGAGAAACAGAACTGGCGTCGACTCCTCTATGCTCTATATGGCAGTCTCATCGCAATTACAGTGCGTATCATCTATCGCTTGATTGAATTTTCCGCCGGCTACCATGAGTCAAATCCCATTCCATACCATGAATGGTATATGTATGTGTTTGATGGCATGCCCATGGCCTTGGCCATTCTCGTCTGGAACTTCGCGCCGCCGGGTGCTGTGCTACAAGGTCCGGACGCGAAAATGCCCTCTAGTGGCATTGGAAAGTGGCTCTTCTGCAATGGCTGTGGATGCTGTGGTGGATGTTGCTGTCGAAGCTGCCGGAAGCCCAGGAAGGGAAAGAAGAATATGCAACGACTACCCGATCACGATGTATACGGCGATGACGTGCCACTTCATAGCAGAGAATCATCTCCATACCGCGATACATACACTGGTCGCCACTGAGTCTGGAGCTTTTTTGGTCTCTTCAATGTGCGGTCTTTCACGCACATTTACGTGTGGATGAGCCACATTCTACTTTCATGTCTATGTTCACCTTCTTCGCCTCGTTTCACTCCGATTCTATTTTGCATTGTTCTCTTTTACTCTGGATTGCACACGCATCTAAGAGCAAAGATATAGACCAGGTGTTCAGTGACAGCGGCTCTTGGACTATTTACGAAGGTCTTGCATATACCCCACCAGCCCCGGGATCATTCAGGCTCATACAATTTTAACATAATAAAAGATAGATGATGACAGCAAAAATGTATAAACCAGATCAATAAATACATATAAGTCACGGCATTGTGCAATGGACGAAAGTAATCTATAGCACATTCGGCCTTGACTGGCTCAAACTGCCGTAGGTTTCGCAGTTAATCCCATACCAAATTTGTATGGTATTGAGAAGACGGTGTAAGGCGGTATCGTATTATATTTTGGGTCTGGATGGTATAGTGGAAGTGGCAGTGGATATGGTATGATATGTATGATACTTAATGATTATGGATGTATGCCATTAGACCTGGAACTTCTATCAAATAGCATATGAAACAGACTGAGGGAAGCAAAGGGGTCATAAAAATTAACCATACCACAATGTACAAACTTGAACTCGCTTCGCAACTTGGGCTGGCCTCGAGGGACCATCATTGCGGACCCCATGTTGAATTGAGCTGCTACCTTGCATTACACAGACCTTACCTGCGCCGGAAACTTCTTCATCTAAATTCTACGTAGGTAGAGAAGGAAAGTCGCAATAAATATTTGTAAGACAAAAAACGTAAATTTCTTCCGGTGTTGCAATCACTACTAGCCTTCACAATTCTGGCCCAATGAAATTCGTATATAAGAGTATATTTTTATATTCTCATCGCTAGCACGAGATAAGGCAAAGAAATTCGTTTTCGGGGTATCCGACGTTAGATTTGCTAGCCAAAGCATCAAGCCTACAGCATGACGATACCGACGCCTCCCATCTTCGACTCGTCGGGCAAGTTTTTCTCGTTAATTCCACCACCAATAGGTGCAGCGCGGTAGTTGTATAGATAAAAGTGGAGCTGGCCATCACCGGCACCGAACTTGAGATCCTCGAGGAAGAGGGGGTTGTCGTGCGAGGTGAGTGCATTAAAGACGTCAAAACGGGCCTAAAACAAATAATAAAATCGCGGGATTAGCATATAGATCCGAATATAAGGTATTGCAACATACCTGCTTTGCGCAAATCAGGGCATCGTTCATCAAAAGTTGCAAGCGAGCCTTGAAAGCTTTCTTGTCGTCAGAAAACGCGGTCTCGGTCGCGTAGTAGTACAGGTATGCGGCACGGACAGTATCGTGCTTAGGGTGGTCGATCACAGTAGACTCGAGGTTGTAGAACGAGACGAAGTCAGTGATCTGGTGGGTTTCCGGATCTTCGGCGACGTATGACCAGACAACCTGCTCCTTGCCGGGCTGCTCTTTGTAAACCAGCCAGTGATCAATTTCTTCACGTGTAAAGGCCTGGTTCAAGTCGAAGCGCCGCATGTATCGCTCCAGCAGATCATAGACGGCATCGATGTCCTTAGATTCCATAGGCCGCAGACCGGGGGTCGATGTCTCGCTAGGGAGGTGATTCTTAGTGATCATGCGGGCCTTGGTCGAACCATGGGGGAGAGGGGAGAAGCCAACGTCGTAGAGCTTCAACCAATCGAGAGAACGGTGGTAGTATCGGCAGGAGCTGACGGGTGTGGGCAGGATTATACCACCGGTGTAGATGGCCTGGTAGATGCCCCTCAGATAACAGCGGCGGGTAATCTCCTTGATCAAAACGGGGGTAAGGCGCTTGGAGCGGAGTTTCTTGTGGATACACAGGAAGTTGATCTCCGTCACCTTGATGCGCTCGCCCCGTACGCGGAGTTCAGTCGGGACACCGCAAATGGATGCAACCAACTTCCGCGACTTTGAGGCACGCACTCCAACATGCCATTCCTTTTTCCATCCAGGAGACATCAGTGCCCTATTTATGTAGCATTAGCGTTCTGAGATAGGTACGACAGTCCAAAACTCAATCGTACCAATGAAGGAAGGATTCCGAGTAGTTGAAACGGAACATGGCGTTATCGTCCTCGACATAGTGCTTGTTAAGAAGCTCGTAGAGCTCTTTCAACTCCTCCTCGTTCGTCAAGTCAAGAGTGCACCACTCGAACCCTTCAACCAGCGCATCGGGAGTCTTGGAGACCTTCTCTGGGTCAATGGTCTTGATAGGTCCTTGGGTGATCTGCTTCTTCCCGGCTTCTTCAAAAGCAGGTACTGGCTGTGTCTGCCAAAACTTGTATGAGGCCATATCCTTCTGGTTCTTGCCTCCCACTGCCAATCCGGTCAGCATCTGCGAGAGGTCCATGTTGTGCAGCAGAGCAGCTGCCTGGTCCTTGTCCATCGCAGCTAGCTCATTCTTCAAGGCAGGGTTTTGTTCGAGGAGTAGAGAAGCGAATTTCGGGGGAGCTTCTTGCCAGCTTTTTAAATGTGGATGTCAGCAGATGCGAATCAACGGGTGCTAGGTGCCTAGGGAGGCTAGGTAGAGAGGCATAGTTACCTGAGTCAGATTGAGTTCCAGACTCATCTTCATTGCGCTTAGGGGCTTTTCCCTTCTTATCGCTAGAATCAGACATGATGTGTTGGGGTGTTGAGGAAGAAGGAATTGAAGGTCCCACGTTTCAAACACCACGGATCTCTGGTGGGGGGAACTACGGGCGGGCACTTTCACTTAAATGACACAGGAACGGACTCTACATAACTCTCTATGCACGATCTTTGGGAAAAATCTAAAATAACTCATTGAAAAGTACTATTTTTTAGGGACACGTTTCACACTGTACGAAGTACTTCATGCTCCACCGTGAAGAGTAAAGACCCCTGCTCAGTGAGCTCTCGGTGGCCTGGAGGAACCTCGGCACTCACATATGCAAAGCCCAGGTAAATCTAAAGCACATAGAACCTTTGAATTCGGTACCATTCGAATACACTGTAAATTCAGAAACTATACTGAGAGTCAGAGAATTGTTGAAATCCGAGCAAAAACACCTCTATGTCCGTTCTATGCTAAGCCAAAAGCATATCTCAAGTTGATACAAGAATGCAAGTCATTGGAGCTCCAGGCTACCAATCACCGGGGAATCACTCATCGGTAGGGGGCTTTGTCTCGACCACGTCGAGGAATCCTCCAACCAAATGGATGCTGCCGGTGACAAAAGTCATGACCGGCGCTTCGTCCTTCTGCAAGACCTTGCGTTCCTGGCCCGCAATCTCCCGCGCAAAATCAACAGCCTCCTCAATTGTACCAAAAACATGTGTTTGGGCGTGGGGGTCAATAGCATTCCACTCCACAGCAAGGGACTTTTGGACTCGAAGGCGTTCGAGGTCATCAGCGTTGGTGTTCATACTGACCAAATCGGGTCGGAAGCCCGCCTGTTTGTAGGTGATGTTCGTGCAAAACAGGGCGTGAGTGAATGGATTATCATTTCCAAGGGCAGACGAGAGGGTCTCATGGAGAGCACGAGCAAGAGCTGTGCTGTTACGAGTCTGTTGGTTGAAGATCAAAATTCGTGTCTTTTTGGCGGCTACATCCTCGGACGATGAGTCGGCCTTGATCCGCGATGCAAACCACTGGCCAGCCAGCCGGATGCTCTCCAAAGTATGTCCACCATCGATATACCAAGAGACATTCTTCTCAAATCGGGTCTCACACCTGCCACCTAGGCGAGTTTCTTCGAGCCCGGTCTTGAACTTCGCCGGTAGGGGTTCTTTCATAATATTTTCAGGAACAGCGATACCAGCCTGGCGCAAGAAATCCGCGGCAACCGCCACTGCGACCGAGGCGTTGGTGTACTGGAAGTCTCCAGCCAACCCAAGGGTGATCTTGCTGCTTTCAGGACGAAGCTCTGGATGGCCAGCCACGATTTCCAACTGAGAGCCAGCCTCCTCGGCGCGTTTAGCCAAGACTTGTTCCGCGCCCAAGGGCTGTGGTGCCGCAAATCCATTCACGCCAGACTTAAGAATGCCACCCTTGTGCCACGCAATTTCCTCAATCGAATGTCCCAGCAAATCAACGTGATCAATTCCCAGACTGCTAATAGCTGTCACCTTGGGCTGTGGAATCACATTGGTACAATCGTATTGACCGCCGATTCCACATTCGATCACCGCGGCGTCCACACCCTCGCTCAGGTAGGTATGGAAGGCCATGATGGTCAAGTACCGGAAATATTGTGGTTTTGTCGCAGGCTGAGCGGGATCCTGGCCCGCCAGTCTAGCAGACTTTTCAAGACGATCCCATACTTCGAAGAAATAGCGCGCAAACTGTTCTTCGGACAATGGGACATTGTTTATCTTTATACGCTCGCGTGCGAACCGAAGGTGCGGGGAGGTGTAGAGACCGATCTTGAGGTTGGACCCGGGTTGATCCGCATCTTTTCGGGTGTATTGGGAGAGGATCGTGGAGATGAATGCGGAGGTCGAGCCCTTGCCTTTCGTGCCGGCCACATGAATTGCGTTCAGCCGATTTAGGTCAGAAGGCTAGAGAACGTAAGGATCTCACATCAGCGTCGCTCATAAGGAATCACGATCCATGCCATCAGCGCACCTTGTATCCAATGCGCTCTAGCCACTCCACAGTCTCCGGGAGGGATGACTCGTTGATCTCCTGCCTCGTTTTGGACTTCTTGAACGCTTCCACAATCGCAAAGTTGGTCTGCAGTGAGTTGAGAGACGAAATCGCAGCCTACCCATTCCAATGTCAGCATGTTCTTTTATTTTGTAGAGATTAGTCCCATGTCGCAAAGGTCCAAGTGGCATACCTCGTATGTTCGAGTCATGGCGGGCGAAGTCGAAAGGCGCCGTGCGCAAAACTGCCAGCGAATAGAGCTCCAAAGCCCTTTCATGAACAATTCAAGCCCGTGCCTGAAGTCCTCAAATGAGCAGGGGCGATTACGAAACCCCCAGTAGCTCTAACAGTTTATGATTCTTGGTCGATCCCACCCGCTCTCCTCGGGAAACCGATTCGTTGCTGATCGGAAAGATCACGTGTTGGGTAGCATACTAAGACCAGACTGAGGTGAACTGTACTCTGTATCCGTACAAAGTACATGATTATTTTTACTTCATACGCCGCAGATAACTCATTTCGCGGTTATATTTGTATATTGTACAGCACGAGCTCAAATTTTGGTGACCTCTGGAGCAACGAAACCGAGTAACTACCGGAGACCATAAGGCGATCGCTAACAACAATATTTATTCCAACTTTCGAAACCTACCTCGTGTGCTGTCTATTGCGAATCCGGATAAAAAGCGGACTAACATCAAATTGTGAGTCAACGATGTGGAATTTTATATGACTGGCTTCAATGATCCGATAGTGGGTCGCTATTCAATGTATAGATGCTCAGACAGTCCTATGCCCTAGTTTGATCCTGAAGGCACAATCCTTCTGTCTACCTTAACAAGAATCAAAGCAATATACCATTCGAATTATCAAAAGTCATCAATATGAGCGAAATCGAGCTTATTGGATACGAAGGCCGGCCTGTTCACAGTATGTGTATCCCACATTATCCAAATCACACATAACGCTTGATCACTGCCCACTAAATACCGGCTCATTTATAGTCAACACGGGCCTTTTCATCAACAACGAGTTTCACCTAGCGGCGGGAGGATCACAGCTTGAGGTCGAGAATCCTACCACGGGCAGCCATCTTGCATCCGTCTCAGCTGCACAGCGAGAAGATGTCGATGCCGCCGTGAGTGCAGCCCAATCGGCATTGCGGGGTGAATGGGCGACCGTGCTCCCAGCTCGTAGAGGCCAGTTGCTGAACCGGCTCGCCGACCTGATTGAGCGGGATGCGAATGACCTTGCCAGCCTCGAGGCCCTGGACGCGGGTGTCTTGTTTGGGGAGTCCAAGAATCTCCATATTCCCCAAGCTACAGAGACACTCAGGTACTTCGCCGGATGGGCAGACAAGATCACTGGTCAGCTGTTGAACATCCCACAGGGATATGCGTATACTCGAAGAGAGCCGCTCGGGGTGTGCGCTGCCGTTGTGCCGTGGAACGCGCCATTGTAAGTTCTCCTCACATGTCCGATGTCAATATATTGGCTGATCCTGGAGATGTAGAATGATTACTATCTGGAAGCTGGCTCCTGCCATCGCAGCAGGTAACGCATTGATAATCAAGACACCAGAGCTCGCCCCTTTGTATGCGCAGAAACTTGCTGCACTCATAAAAGAAGCAGGATTCCCACCCGGTGTGCTCGCTATCCTCTGTGGGTATGGCTCAGTCGCCGGCCAAGCGCTAGCTGAGCACGGCGGGGTTAAGAAGATTGCATTCACTGGCAGTGCCCCCGTCGGCCGGGAGATATTGCGAGCTGCAGCGGGTTCGAATCTCAAGAAGGTGACATTGGAACTAGGCGGCAAGAGCCCATCAATCGTCTTTTCTGATGCTGAACTGGAAAATGCCATATTTTGGACGACATTAGGATTTACGGCCAACAATGGACAGGTTTGTGCGGCGGGGTCGCGCATATATGTCCATGCAAATATCTACGATAAATTCCTCCTCGCATTCGCCGAGAAGCTGGCCCACACCACCCCTGGAGACCCTCTATCGGGACAGACCACCAAAGGCCCTGTTATTAGTCAGAGGCAGAGGGAGAAAATCACTGAATATATCCGCCATGCAAAGGAATCCGGTATTCGCCTGTTGACTGGAGGAGATGAGATTCCCGGGAAAGGCAACTTTGTTCCCAATGCTGCCTTCGCTGATGTCCCTGATGACGCGCGCATCATGCAAGAGGAAATTTTTGGCCCTGTCGCCGTAAGTTTTCTAGACAAAGGCGGCAGTTTGCCATACTTTCTAACCTTTGATCCTAGTCAATCGCGAAATTCACCACCGAAGCCGAGGTCATTGAGAAGGCCAACGCTACCGAGTTTGGACTTAGTGCCGCCGTGTTCACAAATAATGTTAACCGGGCACAGCGCGTTTCGGAGGCCATGGAATGTGGCCAGGTCACAATTAACTGCTGGGGGATGTTACACGCCAACACTCCGTTTGGAGGAGTTAAGCAGTCTGGCTTCGGCCGTGATATGGGCGAAGAGGCTTTGGATGCGTGGATGTCGACGAAAACTGTCAAGTACTTCAATCTACCGACAGTGGATGAGAAGTAGTTGTTGGCAAAAGCCAAATATTAAAATGGTCCATCACGCAACTATATATAGAAAATTCCGCATCTCTTTTTTCGAGGTAATTACGTTTAATTTGTAAACTTTCTATCGCTCCAAAGGCTGTACGCATTGGAAACCTACCAACGCGTTCTGGTATATGTTACATGATATATATATACCCCAAAAGTGTCCCGTAGGAATGGAGACTTTCACCCGACTCACACTGCATTTTGGGAAGAATTGATTGTATATTATTAGCTCCCTCCTGTTCATACCAAAAAGAGGTATAAAGTGACACCAATAGAGGCCGTAATGTGAAAAAGGGATTATGCCGAAAGGATAGCTGATGTAGTGCAATATCTATAATCCAGAAATCTAGGGTACAAAGTAGGTATTAAATGACAACTTGCATGCAAATCACAGGCAATTAATGGAGAATTTAGATCTTGGAAGTCAGCAGAGGTTCCAAAAAACTTCAGAGGCAGCCCGGATATTCAGACCAGTTGGCAACGTGGTAACTAGGTGGTGACACAGGTACCTAATAGGTAGGCGATCTAGGCGCTGTGATGTATCGCGTATAGATAACGGGATTCTGCATCTCAAGCTATTTTGACAGACAAATGATTTCAAAACCAACAGATATAAGAGGAATGAAGATTTAAGCTTATGTATATATTCATCAATCTTGTATCTCAATCTCACTAACCATATCCCACCCAAGTTTTGTGAATCTAAGTCGTAAATTCATCCCTCTCCAGGCATTACCATGCACTTGTTTTAGTGCATTTTGGGGCGAGCGCCAACTTTGTAAGCCACGGCGTACCGGGGCGTAGAGAAGATGATGCTGCTTCCACGGTGAATGAAGAAGGTGTCTCCAGGGAACAGCTTAGCTGTGTTTCCCTTCTCATCCTCGAGGTGCAGCTCGCCTACGAACAACCGAACCGGGAAATTCTCAGCATTTGCTATGCTTTCGTATGGCATTGTGTAGGGTAGGTATCATTTGATGGGGATTCTCTCACCTTTTAGCACTACTCCTGTTTCGTCATAGTCGTACAAGGGGGCCGGTTCGGGGTTATCGATTTGTTCAAGGAGAAACATGGATCCAGCCAAGAGGTTCGGGGCATCTTGTGAAGCCGAAGAGAAAACATCGCCTGCCGAACAGTAGATTTTGGTAAGTCTACGCCAGCACGTGGGGACATGGGATCTTCGAGGGCCTTACCAAAGTAGACGTTGGGAGGACCGGGCTCCAGCTTAGGAACGCGGTGGAACTTGCCCTCATCTAGCCACTCAAAAACCATGATGAAAAGAGTGCACGGGTGCTTTTGCGTAGGGTTATTATTTAATTGAAATAATCTGGACACCAAAAGACGTGTTGTTGTGAGTATGTCAACAGCTTTCGAGCTGGCTGATCTTTTTATATTACGCTCCTAGATCTTCTACGGAGCAATTTTCCAAGAACTTGGTGTAACCAATAATTTATTGATCCTCGAATTTCCAATTCGACGCTTGATCTACTTGAGCTTGTGGGGTCAGAGGTTACTAGCTTTGATATCAGGGCTGGGCATCAAGATATGACAATGAGATACATCTCCACTCGACCACAAATGAGAATTAGCTTATCAGGACATCATGTATGCTGACTACCGTCTGAGACATCTACTCTCTAGCAATTGAAGTCAGATAGACGTAAAGATAGATTATCGTGCATTGGGGCTGATAGCTCCAGGTAGTCACAGGCTTGCTCTGTATGGATCAGCCCGACATTTCTCTGTTTCTACATCTTCTACATTGAGCTTATATATCCAAGCCTATTTCTAGGTAACGTGCTGGATGTTTCCTTTTCTTTTATTGTGCTCTGGTAGCCCCGTATTTTATGTTCATAACCGATAGTTGTGTTTATTCCTGAACTGACAATTACATTGGTTGTTTTGCACAACTCCCTAGCCTGTCAATATGAGATCCACTACCAGAACTCCCGGCTGGAGCCTAGGCTAAGACAATCGCATATTAATCCGGCCATATCATAGAATCCACTTCCCCAGGGTTCCCCGCATATTTGCTATCTTTTAGCGCAAATCCTCGCTGGATATTTTCCTGATTGGGTCTGATATAGTGTGGCCTCGAAACTTGATGGGTTAAACTTTAAGTGCACACTACGAATCTCCATTGATAACGCCCGGGTTACTGTCTATGAAAATACCCTACCGTATTATGGATATCTTATCCTTCGAGGTGCTCTTTTATACGACATCCTTCCCAAAATTGCCTCTTTCACCTCAATCTTCAAGTACACACTTTGTTGCTTCTTTCACTTTCTGACGAGGCTGGAGCATTCTGGGAGTCGCAATGGAAACATCTCTGAAAGTGGAGAGGCCGCAAAGCGATGATGAGGCCCGCCTGGCAGCTCTTGGCCAGGAGCAAGCGATGAGCCGCCACTTCAACGTTTGGTCCCTGATATTTCTCGCCTTCTGCACCAGTGTCACCTGGGAAGCCCTCACCTCGACTATGGCCCAATCTCTTCGAGCAGGTGGCAGCTCAATCCTCGTGTGGGGGTTCGCCGCCTCGGCTATTGGGGCCATGGCTATCGCCCTCTCACTCAGCGAGTTCTCCAGCATGGTTCCAACCGCCGGTGGGCAATACCACTATGTGGCCGCTCTGTCTCCACTCAAATATAGACGATTTTTTTCATGGATCGCTGGCTGGGCCACCATCTGGAGCTGGCTTCTGTCAGCCCTGACGGGTATCTTCTCCAATGCCATGCAGCTACAGGCGTACATCATATTGTTTGCTCCAAATTACGAGTATCAGCGATGGCATACGAGCTTGCTTGTCATCGGTATGACCACCTGCTTTCTCGGGATCAACGTCCTCGGTACTCGCTGGCTGCATCGATTGACCTTCTTGGGTATCGTGCTACACATTGCCGGATACGTCACCATCATCGTTTACCTGTTGGTGAAGGTGCACCCTAAGAATACGGCCTCCTATGTATTCTCCGACTTAACTAACCTAAGTGGGTGGAAAAGTGACGGAATCTCATGGTCAATCGGTCTGATGAGCTCTGCCGTTGCTTTTATCAACTGGGACTCGGCCACACATATGGCCGAGGAGATGCAAAACGCGTCGAGGGATCTTCCACGAGTCCGTAAGTTCAAACCATTGTGATAATCTAGGTTGTCTCGCATTAACCCTCCGCCAGTTTACGGCTGTGTTGCTCTCTCCGGTATCCTTACCTTCCCTTGGGTTATCGCCCTGGCCTTCTGCATGACAGACATCGAGGGCGTATTGAATGGGCCGGTTGGCAGAATATGTCCGTTGGTGCAGCTCGTGTACAACGTTTCCGGCGGTAGTCAAAGCATGACCATCGGAATCACCTGGTTCTTTCTCTTCCTAGGATTTTTTATCGGCGGTCCAGGGTGCATGGCGGCGTCATCCCGCGTCATCTGGTCGTTCGCCCGAGAAGGAGGTCTTCCTGACTGCTTTGCGCGCATCCACGGCCGCTTTGAGGTTCCCTTCAACGCACTATTGCTGTCATGGTTCGGGATATCTGCCTTAGCCTTAATCTACATCGGCAATGAGACCGCTTTTTATGGAATCGCCTCCGGTGTGACGGTGATTATGATTTTCTCATATGCAATGCCTATCTTCCTCCGGATTCTTTACGGATTTGAGCATACAAATCTGCAGCCCGGTCCATTCACCCTCGGCGCCTGGGGCTTACCAATTAACGTCTTTGCCGCGTGCTGGTGTATCTACCTCATCCTTTTCCTGTGCTTCCCCACTATTATCCCTGTCACGCCTGAAAACATGAACTACGCGCCGCTTATCTTTGGAGCAAGCATGTTGATCGCTGCCGGGACATGGTGGATATACGGTAATCAGGTTTATCTCGGTGTTCTTTCCGAGGAGGTTAGCCCTATCCATCAGCAGGAGACCGAGGTGGATGAGCAGATTGGACATGAAAAGAAAGCCTAAGATATTTATCTCGACATACAGCTCTAGTGCCCGACATTCATTTAATTTATATCTTGACCATACTATTAAGCCTTTGGTAGTATATGGCGTAGCTCAGCAATCATTTCAGAAGAGAGAAGCCCCTTTCTTACCTGCCACTAGATTCCCAATGGTAGTCTCCTAAAAAAAACACCACTCTCGGCATGAAAAATTAGAAAAATTGTTGTTCGGTATCTGAAAACCTTGCCTCTTCAAGTAAGTGGATGACTGGGTCGATTGCGCACACTGGTTAAGGTGACAGAAAACTGAGAAGCAGCTATAGTCGGCGAAGCTGAGAGGCTGAAAGATAGTATAAAGCTCATATCTCCGTTATCATCAGTTTATTCACCGACGTTATAAAATCGACTATTAATCCGGCCTGGTATCATGTGCGTGTACGGAGTACGGAGTATTAGCGAATAGAAAAGGAGACCAGGAAGTTGATTTATTAGTGGATCCCCCTTGAAATAATATACAAACCGACAGGCGGAATATCTTTTGATTGGGTCGTTGAAGCGGTCTTTCAATCATCCAAACGGGAAAAGAAGACCACAATATCCGGGCTTGGAGTAAAATGGCTTCATATAGAACGAATTCTCTTGATTCGACTGTAACAAAATTTATCGGAACCCCTCAGATATTCGGATCCGTTAAGCTCCTATCACCACGCAAACATGGTCAAATCAACCAGCAAAGACCTCCGCGTCGTCATCGTGGGCGGTGGATTTGCCGGCCTTACCGCAGCCATTGAGTGCAAGCTACGCGGCATGCACCCGATCCTGGTTGAGGCCTACCCGGGCGCCAGCTCGCACGGCGATCTACTCGACTTTGTGCGCAACGCCGGCCGGGTGTTCGAAAGCTGGGATAACGGCAACGTCGGCCGCAGACTCATGGCAGCAGGAGTGAATGCTGCCAAGTATCTCGAGTTTTATAACGCCGAAAATGTCCTGCTGCGGAGGGACCCCTGGCCGCAGGCAGCGGACAAGGACTGCGTCTACGCCGGCCACCGCGGAGAGATGCACAGGATTATCTACGAGTACGCTATTGAGATTGGCGTGGATATGCAGTTCAACAAGCGCGTTGAGAAGTATCTTGACTCGGAAACCGAGAGAGGTGTCTTGATTTTTGGAGGCGAGAAGATCCTCGGTGATGTTGTTCTGGCCTGTGATGGTCCCCGGTCCTTGGCTCGCTCTCAACTCCTTCATCTGCCCGAGTCCACGGTCAACAGTGGTTATGCCATCTTTCGAGCCTTCTTCAATATTACTGATGAGATGCGTCAGCTTCCTGAGTTCTCTGAGATGATTAAAGAGGGTGAAGACAGCGTTAGGTTCTGGGTTGGCCGCGACATGCATGGGTTCATCTACACATGGAAGAACGGAAGGTACATATTCTTTCTGGCGCTTCACTAGATCACATTCTGACGAACCACTTTGCTTCTATCTATAGGGACTGTGCCTGGGTTTTGACACATCTTGACGATGCAAATATCGCCGAGACGTGGTCCTTCCCTGGAAAGAAAGAGGACGTTGCTAAATATCTCAAAGATGCCGGGTTCCCTATAATCTGGCACCAAGCCCTCGAGGCCACACCAGCTGACCGAATTATCGATTATAAGCTGGTCTGGCGGGATGCCATCCCGACATGGCTGTCCGATTCCAAGAAATGTGCTGTAATGGGCGATGCAGCGCATTGTCATCTCCCAACATCTGCCCAGGGAGCCTGTCAAGCAGTTGAAGATGCGGTCACTGCCGCTATCTGTCTGCAAAAGTGCAACGGGAATGTGGCAGAGGGCTTACAGGTATTCGAGCGGATCCGATTCAACCGGTCGCATGTAATCCACCAAGCGTCCATTTTGACGCGCAATATTTATCATAAGAACGACTGGACACCGGAGCTGGTACGCGAATACCCTGATTCTCTAATCATTCCATTCTACCCCTGGGTTACCGATTTCGACGTCTTCGCCAATGCGGAGGAACACTTCAACCACTTGCTACAGGATGTCAGAAGCGCGAAACCTGGTACCATCCAAGAGCTCGCGCTGCCCGCTGGGGGAGATTACGATGGAATGTTGTTGGAGAAGAGAGTCCCAGAAGAGAGATTAGATGAGTTGGCGCCTTCTAATGCGGTACAGGTTCAGTCGTGAGTTAGTGGTTATATGAGAAATTGATGGAAGTAACACAAAATTCTACTGCTAGGCCAATGGCCAAGGTTTCGGCTTGTAGTCTAGGGAGCATACCTATATTCTACTCAAGTTGCCTGACCGAAGACATCGTTGGTAAATTTGGTGTAGAGATAGACCTAATATATAAAATTGTATTTCTATAACCATGCCCCAAATGCCACAATGTTTCAGTCACACATACCATTGCATAGTATAACTACCGCGCAAGTGATGTACATCAGTAACTTGTCCATTTCGATGAACCACGAGCTTGACCTATGTCTTGTGAGATATATTACGATGTCAAAAAGGACACAATAGAAAGTTTACTATGAAAATATAGAAATCCGGAGGGCTCCCTAGGTATTTTCAAATCCAGAGACGGGAATATTCCACCGCTTAGCAAAGAAAGTAGCTATAGAACAAAGAATAACAACAATAGCGTCACTCCGGCAATCAATCTCATATTTTCACATAAAAAAAGCACAATTTATCCCATGAGTTTGTTCACTCTAAAGGTGCCGTTTAGCCAGTTTCACTATCAGCCCTTTCTGGGGTGTAAACCACCGACACTTGAATGACAACTTCGCATTCGGATCCACCAATGCAAGATCGTACTTCACTAGCAATGATGCTACCAACTTCGTAATTTCCATCAAACTGATGTGCTTCCCGAGGCAAGTATGCGAGCCAGCACTGAATGCGAACATGGACCTCTTCCTCTGCGCCACCAAGTCAGCGTCAGCGGACAGCCAACGCTCAGGCTGGAACTTCTCGGGCTCGGGGAACAGTTCCGGATCATAATGCAACACCCAAGGGCTGATCCCCACTTCTGTGCCTGCTGGCATGAACTTTCCACATACTATAGCACCTTGTGGCGGCACGGTTCGGCCGTACATAATACCAGTGGGTGGATGGATGCGCAGAGCTTCTTTGATGACTGCATCTAGATATGGGAGGGTACTGGCAGCAGCGTACGTGATAGGAAGGGTCAGTTTGGCCTCTCCGCGAATTTCACGGCACAAGGTTTCGTAGATGTCGGGATTCTTTAGCACGTTAAACATGATGGTCCGCATGGCAATTGCAGTGGTGTCTGCTCCCGCAGTCACATTTCCAAACGCATGAGTGTTCAACTCCCGATCCGTGATTGAGTCTGGATGGGCTACCTGGTGCTCTAAGAGACGCTGCACGAATGAGCAAGGACCTGTCACTAAATTGGCTGCCATCTTCTCTCGGAATTTCGCAACCTGCTTTTGCGCCAGCTTTAAAGTAGCACCGTCGGGTGCACTGTTTCCAAGCACTAGCTTGGAAACAAAACTATTACCAAGCAAGAAATTGTGAGCCCATGGAAATTGACCAACCTGACGAATCGTGCGTTAGCAAATGCATTTGCAGATTTCCAAGGTAGTATAGTTGGGGAGAGCTCTTTACAATTGACACATAATCTCCCGCAATATATTCAAGCATCGGCATCATTCCAATGGGATCCCCCTTTTCCATAAATTTAAGGTCCTCACCGAATGTGACAGCGAAGATGACATCGGTTGCATAATAGCGCAACCAATGTCCCAAGTCGCACGTCCGGCTTGGAGTGTCGGCCATCTCATCGAGGATTTTGAAAAAGCGTTCTGTGACTGCTTCGACAAGGGGCTCCAGTTGCAACATTGAACCCATCGAGTATGCATTGTACGCGTTTTTCTTCATGCGGGTATGGAGTGCCTTGTCCGATAAGACCAATGGATCAGGAAGCAACCCTTCATCGTCGTAAACCATGAAAGGATTATAGAATGCCGACTAAATGTCGATTAGACCTTGCAAGCAACATATGATATCCGTTCGCCAATTTCTTACCTTCTTGAACTTATCAGAGGCATTATAGATGACGTTGATTGCCGCTGGATCTCCCACTGACACAAGGTCTGGGCCTGTCCGCACAAGCTTTCCGTACTTGCGGTGTAGGTCTAGTTCCCATTCATGTGGTCGGCCTCGCACCACAGCAATGAATCGGGGGAGGCGGGTCCATGATGCGAAGAACGGCCCGGGAATGTGCCTTAGAGGCGTTAGATATTTTTGGGACAAGGCCCATGATACCAGTATACCGAAGATCACAAGTGGCCAGTACTGTTTGGCAAAGCCCGCCAGCAATGATGGAGTTTCTTTCGAGGTGAGCATCGTGCCCAAAACAAAACCAAAAGAAAGATGAAGACAAAGGCTCCGAAAACCGAAGGCCGTAGAGATACTCTACGACCTATTTAGGAAGATACGGCCCTTGTTCAAGGAAGTATGATCTTCCAATCAAATGACACAAATTCCATGTCGGGGTCTTTATCGAAGGTAGCCATTCCAGGCCTATGGAGCCGAAGACGGGGTATAGTGGGGAAAACAAAAAGGAAAAACTTGCTATTGGACACAGGAAAAGATTTGACCCCAATTTTTATCATCTCTAATACATCAAATCTCATTTGGGGGATTGATCCGTACATAACTAGCCAGCCGAGTGCACTAAGCTTGCTCCGGGGTGTGGACAACAGTCCCCGGCAATCCATGGCTGTTAGACCTCCCAAAGTCTGTCTTCAACCCTTAGCATGGGGTGCAACTCGAGTTGAGACCAGGCTATGTTGAGACTCTATGGCTAGGGGTGATCGGGGATTTTGATACCATGGATCCTATTACTCGTAAAAACTGAAGAAACTGAACTTGCAGTAAATACTTTTTGGACGGATAATGCGCAAACAACTCACAAGAGCTTCATAGCTGCGACCGTGATAATTTAGATATTTGACAGAAACCCGTGGACGTAGGCACGCATGGGAAATAAAGGATTGGCGATCATAATCACACGGCAAATGAAGGAATTACCTCACTAGCCTGGAGTAAGGCTGGACAACAAGGTGTGCTGGCAATGAAATTTGCCTGTACTAGGCAGGAGAGAGAAACTTGAGAAGACACTGCGTCCCTCGTCCCAAGATGTAAGATTCGAACTCGGCCCGAATGCAGCTACGAGGCAGCCAGGGCTGAGTTCTAGACAGTGCTATCCACACCTCCGAGAACGACATCGGAGTATTTGCACTGATCCCATCCCTTCGGTCGCCAATGGGGCAGCGTGCATCGGGCCATCTTCCTTTCCCTAATTCTCGGCTCCAACTTCCTCGACTGCTAGGATGAGAACATGTTATCACCCATTCAGTAAAGAGGATTTCACTCGCAAGAAGTTCCGTGAATTTTCGTGGGTTTTCCAGTTGGGAAACCCGGCGTACTGGCTTGGGGTCAAGCCGTTGTGTCGAGGAGCGCTTGAGAAGGTGGCATGGAAGATATGCTGGTGAGCTAAGCTATTTCCACGTAACATGTCCACTCCATAGTGAACTATAGTGTTCCCGTGCCAGCTGCAAAATCGAACAAGTCGAAGATTTACTAGACTAATATCTGTGACTGTCCAATCCGTTGCATCGTATCCTGCCACCTTTCTGGTGTTGCCTGTCCACGAGTAACAAGATCTCGACGAGTCCAGACCTCATCGAGGATTTTTTGACCATTTTTTGTATTATGGATTCCCAGAAGATGGAGGCCATCCAGTCTAGACTGAACATAGTCTCTCTGGTGAACGCCGTCCATTTCAGCCCCAATCACAACCAGGCACCAACCGAGGTTCGCGCCGGGGCCGAGAGCGTCGGGGACCATAGTCAGTAGTTCTTGCGCGGTGTCAAGTGATGCCTGCATCTCCTCTGTGAGAGGCTCCTCGGGCCCGTGTAGAATGCGGTGTACATATATGTGCGACGAATGACGGAATATTTCCGCTGTCGCCACCATCCTCCGGCGCAGCTCCTCCTGACCCATCCCCACGGTCGCGAACGGCTGCGCAGTACTCCGGCATGAGATGTTTACTAGAGGGCTTGATTCGAGAATTATAGCTGTCGACCGGATCTGGGCTTGTAGGGCGTCTACTTGGCTCCGTAATTCGGTCATGGTTGTTTGGTTGTCCTTGGAGGCTGCGTATAATCGAGAAGCAGCCCACTAAAATACCAACAAAGTCAGCTCGTCGTATTGAAAAATTTCCAGAGGAAACATCCGCAGTCAGGGGGAGAGGGAAGCATAGTCATATGGGCTGACTGACCATAAGCTTGGGTAGCCTGGATGAGCAGCCAAAAAGAGCATCAACGAATTCTCCTTGATTCGCCTGTTCTGCCGTTATATCAAGCCACGACTCTAGCTCTGGCATCGCTGGTTGGCCAAGATTGAGCGCAGTCTGGGTGTCGATCAGGCAAACCCACGTTTTCAGAAATGGTTCGAGGTCAGAACAGTCGCCTCGAGATCGGATCCAGCCCCTGATTGCATCGTAATGTCCCTTCCATCGGCTCGAGCCCGAGAATACCTGAGAACCACACGATTTAGTAAAATGTAGAATAATCGAAGTCGGGATAAGGTAGGGAGAAGATTAGCGACCCAAAAATAAAACAAAAGAAGTATACCTCAAAAGAAACTAACAGCAGCATGGAAGCTAAAGTAACAGGATCATGGATACTGTTCGGAGACATAAACCTCTCTCGAAGGGCTTTGGAAGCGGCACGGAGATACTTGCGAGACACAGTGTCGGGCTTGCGCTGCCAGCGGCTGTGGTGGGAAGCGGCTACTGCTAGTGCCGCATTTAATACCGCGGGCTCTTGTACAGCCATAGGTAGCAGGGAGCGATATCCATTTCCGTTATAGTCGATGGCGAGGGCTATCCTGGCGATATTCTCTGATTGAAGGGGTATGTATGAGCAATCGAGTATAGAATCGGCAGACGAAATGAAGAAGTCATAGCTTAGCTTATCTGGACAACGTACGGAGGTAATGCTGCATGAAGAAGCTCTCCTCTGCCGGTAGCGCTAGAGCTGATATGGCCCCTGGCAGGGCCAGCTCCAGCAAGTCGGGAGTCGATGATGCTCTGCTTAGGCGCCTCCTCATTACCTTTTGTTTTGAGACACTTGCAACTCCCGATGGCCACTGCAGACGGACTCCATATCCGCGGCATTTTACCCCCCTTTGTATGCAGATCCTACAGCCTAGGAGAGTGGTCAATATCTCACCCCTGATAAGTTCGTCCACACGATCATCCTAGCTGGGGATCTAGAGCAAGGAAACGCACGAGGTAGGCCGCCATCACATTGTCTGTTCTTATCCAGACACGTCCAACATACGCCGCTATCATTTAGACGCTCCGCCTGAGGTAGGTTCCGCTCCATTGTTTGCGTCTTCAGGTCGGGACGAGATATCAATCCCACTGTGTTCATTAGAGGCAAAAGAAGAAACAAAATCCCGGAAGAAAAAGCGGGCGCGCGGAAGATGTGGACGCTTATCATTAGATTTGACATATTCCCCGCCTGCACTCCAAATCAAACGCCACGATTAGTCCTAGTAACCCTAGTTTGCATATCATATACATGCCAAGACCTTTAGTGCACAATATTCTATTGAGGGTCATTACGAGGCTTATTGGAGGTAGCATATATATATATTGTAACTGTGTTGTTGACACTTTGTTGTGGGGAATCTGGGAATATCCACGTTGCAGTTACCACGTACGATGTAGAGTGTAGAGCCCCCCCCGGTGTTTTGCCTCCCTTTTTTGAAGATCCCAGAAAGTTGTCAAAATCATTACGAACAGGGAGAATTCGATCATCATTTGAACATATTATGGTTAAATATATCTGACCACATGTCGGACTCACCAACAACGGATTCCAATTCTGGAAAGACGGGCATCTCAGGACCCAGTCCACCAAGTTCAGCAAAAGTAGGCATTTGACTGAAGAGCCCTGGGAAGAGGTTGATCGATATGGACGGTTGAGCTGCGCGGACTTTCATCGGCGTTCTGCTCATCATCCGTATCGATATCTCCTGATAGATGACCTGCATATGCTTGCAGCCATTCCGGAGCCTTCTTCGCGAAGTCTTGTTGTTCTTGGCTTCCAGTGGGATGGTCATTCTGCGATTTTGCGATGGACTTGGATTCATTGTTCCCCCCGGTATTCCCAGGTGTGTTCTCGTTATCCGTAGGATGTAGAGGCATAAATGGTGGCTGCTCGATGTCGAGAAATCGACTAAAGTAGTTGTGAAATGACATATCAATCACCTCAGATGCATGTCTGAGTCGGGTATTTGTATCGTGGGCACGAAAGAGGACGTCCATCTGTATTCACAATGAAGACAAATTGGCTATTGTCAGCAAGGTGCGTAAATTTGTAGCTACCCTGTTCCACAGGGGAAAAAAAACATACCCACTCTTTTGCCGGGGCATAGAATGTTTTGAGGGCCCCAAGTACAATGAAGGCAAGTTTCAGGTTCTCCACAATTCGATTATCATACGGCTGCGGTGACCGATGAAGGCGGTTGATAGACACCAGTGCACTCTGCATGCAGGCGAACCCGACAAATAGGGCATGCTAATCGCGGCAAATTCCAGATTTTGTCAGCAGATAATCCATAGAAACAGAAGTGGGTTAGTACTTGCAGAATAAAACCCTCCATTTCTGATGACATCCTGTGAGATATCGCATATTGCCTCTGCACTGGACTCGCATCGGTAGATTCTCTCTTTCAAAAATAGGGATGGTGCATTGGGGAACTGAAGACAGTGAGTTGGCAGCTCTTGTCCACCATTCTCTGCTGTCTGGGGTCGTCTTTCCGGTATGGGAAGAAAGGTTCAGTTAAGTACGATAACACAGCAATGCCAAATCATGGATGAAATAGACGCGTCTAGATCTGCCAGTTTTGAGGGGCAATTCGAAGGAGAATTGGAGCCGAAGCGAAATGTGCTAGGGTGGCGGAGGAGATATTCCTCCAGATCATCTTGCAATGCTCGAAATCCTGAATTCAAAGTCCAGGGTGGCGGGGTTTGCTCCGTAAATGGGGTGAGACACAGTTGATAGATACAAGCAAGTACTTCAAGCAACTCCACTAGATGCGGACAATCCTCGGGGCATGGTGCACATTCCAATCTCGGCCTTTTGACTGGTAGATTGGTTGACGGTTGAAGATGACGATGGCCCAAGCAGTGAGATGCTTGTGCGATGGCAAGATATCGCTCCGCAATGTTTAGCACTTGACTCTGTTCCGCGTCAAGTCCGCAACCTGCTCTGGCAAGCTGCACTAGGCTGCGGCCCATTGCTGCGGATAGTCAGCATCTTCTCCGATTATCCAGGTATTATCAGGGACATATGTGGAAGCTGTTTGGCCGAGCTTACCAATATCTATCCATGCTTGCCGCCCGTGAGCCCTGCTGGCCTCATAGTCGATTAAAACACATATGGTCTTAACATCGTTTACTTGTTGCCAGGTTGTACTGGTGGCTTGAATACAATTTCGGGCCTCTCGTTCCATTGACTCGGCAAACTCCCGAGCGTGTGCTCCACGCGCGGCTTTGTGCACAGTGAAACGCATGCTCGAAGCGCATACCGCCAGCACTAAGGCCCGAGACATGGTACCCTGGGATAGATGATGTTGCATTTGGGCCGGTGAAAGCAACGATCTCAACTGCGTGTTTGCTCGAGTGCAAAAAACATGAATGAGATGGCACATGAGATCTATACTCAGCATTGGCAGGCTGTGGGGATAAATCGTACATCAGCATCAGGGCAAGATGAGTACAAGAAAACGGGCATTGTTTTATCATACATTCTTGAAATGGTGTCATTGCCGTAAATCAAGTCCTCCAAGCCAGGTTTCCATACAGATGGATCTAGCGCAAGGTGATCGTCATCATCATCATCATCATCTTCTTCTTCTTCATCTCCATTTTCTTCTTCTTCCCCATCACAGTTGTCGTCCGTGACACATCTCTCGGTCTCTTCCACATCCTGCATTTCCTCTTGAGGATGCCATAGTATGTCGGCTGCAATATTCTGATTTGAAGGGACAGCCACTTGCTCACTGGATGGGATTCGAGCAGCCAACTGATGAATGATTCTTTGAGACTGCACAGTCCGTCGGGGTCTGGGGCCGCGTCGCCCTCTATTCTTGCTATCAAATTCACAATGCCGCCCGCTCTCAGAGCATAGCGTGCATGGTTGGCTACCGCTACATTTGACCTTGAGATTTTAGTAGCTACGTTAGCATCAGCTGCCAGTGTGTGAGAATAGTCCCTGGACTAGTTACTCACCCTTCGCTTGCGACAAGAATCACAAGCTAGAGTCACCTTCCTTCTGTACGGTCCATGAATAGCAGAATTGGCTTGAGACATTGCCCAGGAAAAGCCAACATTCCGCCTGAGATTCAACACTTGATCGTTTCTAAATTGCCAAATTGATGGAATCTAAGACTGAGCCTCTTAGTTTCCAGTACCCTCGTAATCTCTCACAGTCTCTCGTGAAAGCCCCGGCAATCGCTTTTTTTTGGTTGGTCCTCGGGGAGATTGAAATGTCCAAGACAGCTCTGGGGGACTTCGGAATTTCCTACCTGGTCCTATCGCGAGAACACAACACATTGTGATTGGTCGTATTTTTCCGTCTTGGCAGCTCCATGTCAATTATGGACCCATTGAACCATCTCACCCATATTCCAGCGAATCAGCATGGAATGCTTGGATGGAGGATATTGTCATGGTCAAGTGGACTGATACACTTGCTGTGTTTTTCCCTTTGGAGCTTTGAGCTAGCCGGGATATGAGGAAATGGAAGAAAGACATAAGACTGCAGCGTACCGCGCGTGGGATCATCAATTCGTCGGTTTTGATTCATACAACTTGAAGATTGCAAGTCAAGACATCACAACATGGTCTACTCTTCCGATGGCTTTTCCTGGACCCCTTCCACCGGTCGTCGGGATGGCCTTCCAACAATTGGCGTTGTCGAACCCTCGTCGCACTCGACTCAGCCGGAAGAAGTCATCCACGATGTGATCGTTATCGGAGCTGGGTATGCTGGCTTAGTCGCGTCTCGAGACCTGGCCACCCAAGGTAGGATTTCTGATACACCCCACCTTCATCCAAGCCTTAGATGGCCCTGAATAATAGTGTTTTGCAGGAAAGACGACACTGCTCCTAGAAGCCCGAGACAGACTCGGTGGCCGCACATGGCACGCAACCATTGATGGCTTCAATTACGAGATGGGAGGGACTTGGATCCATTGGCACATGCCCCATATCTATCGTGAAGTCTCTCTATATGGTCTACACAACGACTGGATTGTCACCCAAAACCCCGGTGGAAAAGAAGACTACTTCACTACCACCACGGGAAGTGAGCAGCGTAATCTTTCACACGAAGAAGAGGTGTGTACTCAAACATGAAATGTCTAGTCTCGTGAGAAGGAAGGTCCAGAACTCATCAGGCTTTGATACAATAGGCCGACATCTGCGGCAGAGTCTTCCGCATCTTCAGCAATCTCGACGGAGATGATCTCCGGCAGTCGTGGAAATACGCCTTCGGCACCGACCAGTCGCCTGAGCTCATGTCCAGGTGGGATAAGCTCTCGTGCCAGGACCGGCTAGACGAGATCCGTGGCCAGCTAACAGATGAGGAGGTGAGCGTGTTGGAGGCCCAGCTGATGCAGATGGGCGGCAATACCCTGGACAAGATGGGCCTCGTGGGCGCACTCCGCTGGTGGGTGCTGGGGAGCCACACTCCGACAGGCCTGAATGACATCGCCCTCCACACGCGGCTTCGGAGCGGGAACAGCGAGCTGCACCGCCGAATCTTCGAACACGCCCTGTCTACCGATAATCTGTCCTACGCATTCAGTTCGCCGGTTCAGCGGATTGAGGACGCTGGAGACATTGTCACCGTGACAGCCAGGAATGGTAAGACGTGGAAGGCTAGATCAGTCATCTGCACGGTGCCGCTCAACGTCTTGTCCTCGGTCGAGTTTAATCCCCGGCTTCCAGCGGACAAGGTGGAGGCTGTGCAGCAGCAGTCGGTCAACAGGTGCAACAAGGTCCACGTCGATATCAATGGGCCTGATTACCTGTCATGGGGGTCGTTGGCAACACCCGGGAAAGGGTTTATCTCGGCGTTTGGGGATCACCTCACACCAGCAGACGACACCCATCTCGTATGCTTTGGTCCTGACCCGAAATCTTCCACTGGAATCTTGCTCGACGACCTCGATACTGTGAAGGCTGCCGTTGTCCACCTCCTGCCCGAGAACAAGCAGGGCGAAGCTATCATTAACCGTATTGTATGTGAATACTCCTAGGCAGTCGCACCCTTCGCTATGGCTGCTTCGTTTCCTTTGGCTTTGGTTGCTCTTTCTTCTCTCTTTTCTCTCTCTCACTGTCGAAGTAATATACTGACTTTGATTGCCTAGGTGTCTCACGACTGGAACAAGGACGAGTTTGCGAATGGCACATGGCTCTTCCCTCCACCGAACGCCACGACAAAGTATCTCTCCGTGCTACAAAGGCCACATGGCAACGTTTTCTTCGCTAGCGCCGACTGGTCTGACGGCTGGTGTGGTTGGATCGATGGCGCCGTCCAGAGCGGTATGCAGACGGCGCGTCAAGTAATTCTGGAGCAGAAGAAGGCTGCCGTTGTGGAAAAGAAGGTCATACAAAAGGGCGTTTCCATTGACCTTTCCATTGACCTCTCCAAGGGTATCGTACGGTGCGTTATCTAAGGACTGCTGAATAAGTACTTGTTGTGATAGCTCTGGGGGTGAAGATGGAGTAGGAAGAAGTGAATGTATAGACAATCTTCGCGCTGGTTTATATCTGAACACGTATTTCAATCACATTAATATGGGTTGCAGTATGAGGTGTCGTGGAAAGATGACATCTTCCTGGGATCTAGCCGTAGAAAAACAAGGCGGGAAAGGCCTCCAAAAAATGTAATACTCCTCTGTTCATGGTGTGCCTTTCCAGCCTCAATATTCCTATCCATTCCATTTTTTGAAGATTGGAATTACGAGACCTAATATTGACATAAATTATTTTCAATATGAATTAGGGTCTTTGAAGCTTTTCATGTATTGACCAAGCTCTTCGGGACTTCGAGGTAGAGAGAATCTGGGCAGCAGGGACAATGGGACGGTTCGAAAACCACAACAGTAGCATACAGAAGGGAAATATCATGACTCCGAGCAAGGAACAATGTATCGAACGATGATGAAGGATGATTGAAATCGAAAGGACAAGGAACAGAAAGGAAAGTGCCGGCGAGCCCTGTAGAGGTGAAAAGGATGGTAATAAAACATGCAGCCATGAAGTATAGAGTATATGGGGACAAAAGGTAGAAAGAAATGGCCTAAAAACGCCAGAATGAGTGAAACATCTACTCAATCCTAGTCTTTCCCTCTTCCAAAAAGACGAGACGAGCATTGCTAATACCACGTTGGTGTCGTCTGGCAGGAAGCCATTTACCGACGATGGGATCGGAGCGTGCTTTGATGAGAGCATCCTGGTAGCCCTCAGCGCCAGCTACCGGCGTGTTTAGCTTGGGCCAATTGACCTGTTGGGAAAAGGAAGAACAGGGTCAGCGAGACAATACTTAAGGTTGGTTACGGTGGGATTGAACTTACATAGAGCATGCCATGTCCGTGTACGAAACGGAAACAATAGACTGCCACCAAGAGCCAGAAGATCGTAAACAGACGGAGCGGCCAGACAGCGGCATCAGGCATTCTTCTTGTGAATAGCGCTACCAATATCATAAAAACACTGGCAGCGAGAACATATGGAACCGACTGGATGACCAATGGTCGCTGGTCGAGGAATAGCTGGATGTTGGCAAATGTAGAGTCTGATGGGATATAGTTGCCCAAAAATACGTCGAACCCATCTTGTCGAGGGCCGTCCATAAAGTTGTTGCGTACATATCGCGTGATGGAATTGTTCAAATCTTGCAGCATGCCGGCCCGTGTACGTTTGCCGGTCCGAGTGAAATCAGTCTTCAGCGCACCAGTGCCGGAATAAGACTTGGAGACCACATCTGCGTTATCTGCCCAGATATTCCGGAACAGGTTTGCAAACTCTTGGTCATCGTTGGCAGTCTCCCCGGCACGGAGAACGCCTGCATCCATGAGCTGCCGTGTAACCGCCCAGCGGCCAAGCATGCTCTGGACTACATTGGTGCGATCTAGACAATCCATACAATTTGTTCGGACAACACTCGTTTGCGTAGAACGAGTATCCAACTGGCCACCAGGAGCACCAGGACTCTCCACTCCACGGAAATAACCGCCCTGGGTCAGCCCGTCATTCAGACGACCCATGAGCAACTCTGCGCGGTGCCACTTAAGGCCCTTGGTCTCGTTGTGGAAATCAAAGTACACATAATGTAGGTGATCCATCTCGGTTTGCTTGAATCCGGGTTCCAAAACATGCATCCTTTCAGGGGTGCGTTCATCAGCCTCGGTGCTTTCAGATGTGGAAGTCACTAGTATGCGAACCAGCTCCTCATATGCCCGTTTGACATTGTCCTCCCTGCCTTTTTGGTTGACGAGATTGACCATATAATTTTCGCCATAGATGCGAATCTGTTCGGCGAAATGTTTCCGTGCAGCTTCGACGGAAGTCTCGACCCCACGAACCTGAAGCTTCGGTGTGTATTTAAGGTCATTTATTTCGGCCCAAAACACAGGGACACTACCCCGAGTCTGCACAAATGAGTAGACTTGAAGATCCTGTCCAGGTTTTCCACTAGTCATTGATTGGCCTCCACCAAACCCAGAGAGTCCACCTGTTGAGTCATTCAAGATCACAATCTGTTCGGTCTCGTTATAGTTTGAGACATTGCCTTGTTCGTCGATTCCGCGAGAGAAGTATCTCGTTCCGGCTCGGTGTCTGGATCGCCGGGTGATAAGCGCGAAGGTGAACGACGTCGATTTCACTCGTGCAGGAGTAATGCGCATCATTCCAAACATGACTGGCAAGATGTAGGGGTCTACCCCTGGTTGGGGCCCGTAGCGGATTCCACTCGTGTCGTTTGCGCCGACGCTAAAATTGATCAAATCAGATTGAATGAAGCGGTTCCAGAAGAAGCGGTCGTCGGCGCCCTTCCACATCGGAATATCGGGTGGATTTTGTGATTGTCGCTGGAAACTATTGGTGATGTCCAGCGAGTAGGAGAAATACATGGGTCCCCTTCGAAGAAGGTCTTTCACCAATGTAAGATAGGCATCTTCATCGGTGTCGTGAAGCGGCCGTTCTCGCATGGGAAGGAACTCTGTTCCGGCGACTTTATACACCATATGGCCGCGCAACCGTCCCATGGGCTGGGCCTTGGTAATAACAATGATGTACTTATCTTCGAACGTCAGCACAACCTCCTGAGTTTCTGTCTGGGGGAGCAATTACCAAGCTTCAACTTGAGAATTCCTAAGATTCCAGCAATACTGGAAATGCGCTTAGCGCCTGGAAGGGGGCCATCGTTCAGACGCAAATCACCAGTTGGTCGGTCAACTACCAGAGTGGGTGCCTGGCGTGATGATGGCGAAGTAAAGGCATAGTGGGAGGGCGACGCATGTAAGTTGATGTCCCGAAACGGGAGAATAGGAGCCATATCTGAGACTAAGCCTCTCGAAAATGAGGATTACAGGAGAATGTGAAGAGCATCAAAAGTCAACCCTCTTGAGCCCAAAAAACAATGGGGAAGGTACAAGGTACAGCGGGCCACTCTGGTCAGTACGCAGCCACACCGCCCCGCTGCTATTGTGGCTGGGCCTTCCGTCATCTATTCCTGTCTGCCTTAAACTACGAGGTCTTTGAATCTCTAAATCTTTGTACCGTTTGGATCTTCCATTTTTCTCTATTCACCGGGTCTTAAGACCTTGAGTCTCATATCATATTTCCTCGACCGTTTCATCTTCCTTCCGCCCACCCTCCTTCAACCCTCCACCGACCCTCCTCCATCCTCTCCTGATCATGGCTTCCAGACAAGCAGCAGGAGCCCGCCCGGGCGCAAGATTTGCTCAGTTCAAACTCGTCCTTCTTGGTATGTTCTGGTGTATATTCTCTTTGTTTTAAGGAAACACACTTTGGAACCATGGCTAACTTACTATACTTATAGGAGAGTCCGCCGTCGGAAAGGTTTGGGATAATACTTGCGATCGTCTTTATCAGCCGCTGACTTGACCGCTATCTTCCAGAGTTCGCTAGTCCTCAGATTTGTTAAAGTGAGTATTTTAACGGCCGCCAGATTACCTCCCGTGGCGAGCCGAACGTACTTGGAGTAACAAAATGCTAATCGGTTCAGGACCAATTCGATGATTATCGCGAGTCGACGATCGGAGCCGCCTTCCTGACACAGACCATCTCCCTCGACGATACCACCACAGTCAAGTTCGAAATCTGGGATACCGCTGGTCAGGAGCGTTACAAGTCGTTGGCTCCGATGTACTATCGGAATGCCAACTGCGCTGTGGTTGTCTATGACATCACTCAAGCTGTATGGTCCAATCCTACATCGTGCTTTTGACTAAATTGCCAGTATAGAAGCTAACATTCATGAACTTCCCATGTAGTCGTCGTTGGACAAAGCCAAGTCATGGGTTAAGGAACTCCAGCGCCAAGCGAATGAGAACATCGTGATCGCTCTGGCAGGCAACAAGCTCGATCTTGTCACAGAGAGCCCTGATAAGCGAGCAATCCAAGAAGCGGACGCCGAGGCCTACGCACGTGAAGCGGGCTTGCTCTTCTTCGAAACTTCCGCCAAGTCCTCGACAAATGTCAAGGAACTATTCACCGCTATCGCTAAGAAACTACCTCTGGATCAGGCAGGCCCTCGGAATATGCGGGCGACCCCCGGCCCGGTGTCGACTTGCGACCAGAGGCTCCTGGAACTCAGGGTGCCGGTGCGTGCAATTGCTAAAGAATTACCCGACCATATTCTCCCTTGGCCAATGCGCCCTTGCCCCACCCACCGTTTGAAAGAAGGCAAAAGCTACATATCCCGGCATCGTTCAACGGTGGTATAACTCTGTGAATTTCTATTATTCGCCAATGTCATTTGATCGGACTCTGGCACATTCACCACCCACTATGGAGCCGAGGGATAGACTCTCGGTTCACGATCAATCTAACTCTCTCGGATTTTTCTTTGCTTCTTCCGTCCTTGCTCAGCCTGCTCAAGTGAGGCCTCTCAAGTTTCCCGTTGGCAAAAGGTTTTAACTTCCATGGAGGCACATGGAATTTGGCTTTAGATATGCTGCAGCTGGATCTGTCAGTACTTTGATGGTGCTGTTCCTTCTGTACTCCTTGTTCCTTCTCACCTGGCGTCTGCATCTGCTCTTCTTTCTTTCGTCCTATGTCTTGGGCTGATTTCCTGCTATTCCCGTTGCCTTTGTCCCTTGCAGACCTCTTAGTATGTTATGCTCAAATAATACATTTTCCTCACCTGTATGTACAATGATGGCCTACAGTATGTTAGTGGTTAAGGCATATTAGATAAACATATACATTCTGTATACTTAGCATCATCTCGAGTAAGCTCAACAAGTATGGATGCTTTCGTTGCTTATAGCGGTCTCCGAATCTGTGTGTGTTGCTTGTGTCGATATATCTATCCCTCAGCCGCCGTTTACAAATGACCCCCGAAGACAATATCCACGAAATATCTCCCCATATTTATACGCCGGCCTCGTTTTTATTTTTGATTGCATCAAATCCCAAGCTATACCTGTACTTATCTGATGTCACAGTAGTATATGGAAGTGGTCACGAAATGGCGCGCGAAGCCACTCTGACCGCCCGCAGGATTATCGGAGCGGATCGCAACTGAGCAACCAAATCCCGTTTTCCTACCCATCCATCTTTCTGATCACCTTTAGCCACTCATTTTGGCGATTGTGCAGCTCGTCATGCTGCGCTCCTCGATTGCTCCGGGTCGGCAATTGCTGTCGAACCCTGTCCGCCAACGGATCCCGTCGCAATGGCTATCCAGAGCCGGTGCAAGCAACCGGCTGGCAGGTCAGGTAAAGACAGCCATATCCACAAGCTTCCTATCTATTCATGCTCACAAGTATCATACGTAGCGATTCTTCGCCGACATTAAGCCCCCTACTACCGGTGGTCCGACACCAGCCTCTCCTTCCTCCGAATCCAGTATCCCTCCGGAGACCATTTTGAAGGCTGCTGAGCACGGTATGACGATCCCCTCCTTCATCAATTACCATTGAGGGCTACCGCTCATGTCCTAATGAAATATTTTCGTAGAATCTAAGCTTCCTCCCTCGCCCCCGACACCTGCTCCTCGCAAATCCGGTCGTTTCCGTCGGTTCTTGATTTATCTGATCCTCACATCCGGCTTTGCCTATGGTGGTAGCATCTTCCTGGCCCTGAAGTCCGACAACTTCCACGATTTCTTTACCGAGTACATTCCCTACGGTGAAGAATGTGTTCTTTACTTTGAGGAGCGCGACTTCTACCGCCGCTTCCCCAATGCCTCGACACAGCAACACCGTCTCCCGGCTGCAACCCGAGAAGATGGGAAGCCCGTCACAATTCCTAGCAAGAGCGGTCTGTCTTGGAAGCTTGCTGAAGAAGATAAGGCCCACGTTGATTCCAAGAAGCCAGCCCACATGAACGCTAGTGCCCAGGAGGGTCAAGCCAAGTCCGCAACCGCCAAGCCCGAGGATCGGAATGCCACAGTCATGAAGGCCAAGGAAGACACGGCCTTGAAGCACAGCTCCAAGACAACGAAGTCGGAGTCTGAGGCGAAGAACGCCGTCTCACTGGATGAGCCCAGGCAACCTGCGGTTTCTGCGAGCACCATTGAATTGCTCCAGTTGCATGATGCTGATGACGCCGTTGTCCAGGATCTGGTCAAGACGTTCAATGACATCGTTACCGTCATTAGCGCCGATGAAAACTCCGGCAAATACTCCGCGCCTGTCGCCAAGGCCAAGGGCGAGCTGGAGAAGATTGCCGAGAAGATCGCTGCCATTCGCGGCGATGCTCGCAACACCGCCCAGGAGGAGCTCAACAAGCTACATGCTACCTTTGACGATTCGGCACGTGAATTGATGCGTCAATTTGAGGAAGTGCGCTCCACTGATCTCGCTTCGTTCCGTGAAGAGTTCGAGGCCGAGCGCGAGAAGCTCGCCTTGGCATACCAGCAAAAGGTCCAGAGTGAGCTTCGCCACGCTCAGGAGCTTGCTGAGCAGCGTCTTCAGAATGAGCTTGTTGAGCAGGCCATCGAGCTGAACCGCAAGTATGTTCACCAGGTTCAGAGCCTGGTCGAACGCGAGCGTGAGGGCCGCCTCAGCAAGTTGACTGAGCTCACAGCCGATATTAACGAGCTTGAGAAGTTGACTGCTGGATGGAGCGACGTTATCGACACTAACCTCAAGACTCAGCAGCTGCAGGTCGCCCTGGACGCCGTCCGCACCGTGGTCGAGCGTGCCGAGACCCCCCGGCCATTTGTTCGTGAGCTTGTGGCTGTGAAAGAGCTTGCTGCTGGTGATGCTGTCGTTGAGGCTGCCATCGCATCTATCAACCCCACCGCTTACCAGCGTGGTATCCCGTCCACGACTCAGATCTTCGAGCGTTTCCGCCGAGTTGCAAGTGAAGTCCGCAAGGCAAGCCTGCTGCCCGAGGATGCCGGTGTGGCCAGTCACGCTGCTAGCCTTGTCCTAAGCAAGGTCATGTTCAAGAAGGATGCTTTGTCCGAGGGTGATGACGTGGAGAGCGTTCTGGTGCGCACTGAGAACTTGTTGCAGCAGGGTGATATTGACGCTGCTGCTCGGGAAATGAACAGTCTCCAGGGCTGGGCTAAGATTCTTAGCAAGGACTGGCTGGGTGATGTTCGCAAGGTTCTTGAAGTCAGACAGGCTCTCGAGGTAAGCTCTTGTTCCACGTTTCGGTTTGGCAGTTTGCAACATATCCACTAACATATCTTTTCTTTTCACAGGTCATTGAGGCTGAGGCCCGCCTCCAATGCCTGCGGGTTGAGTAAGCGCATCCATTTGAGCGAAGCTGAATTCATTTACCCTGTATATTCTCGTCTTTTACAGGAATTGTACCTCTAGTTGTACTTGTGCTTTAGACCCAAATGCTAGAACTTTCCCATGTTTCTTGATTCGTCCAAGCTGTGCAGTGTATAGCCCCTGTACTATAGATCTGATCAAGTTTGATGCTTTAAGGGTTTAGTGCCCAGGCGGGTGCGAATAGAGTGGTTACGTAATATTGGCTGACGCGCATTCTAATATACACTGGGGATGTTACGTCTCGCAGGTCATGCAACATTTTGTTAATCTTGCTGGTATTTGAACCCTTGCCAACTTGGCGGATTGCACATATGCTTGTGTCAGACCGAACTATGTCTGTCTCTTTTTCGAGCCTTCCCATCTAGCATTGTTGCCCTTGCAGCAATGTCGCAACGATCAAACGAGCCCCCTGCACGAGCGTCAATATCTCCAGCGGGTATACGACCACAAGACCGATCCTCAGGAACCCAGTCCCCTTTGCTCCGGTCCGATGGCGGCTCGTTTCGTCAGACCCCGCCCCGAAAGAACGACGGCCGACCGAGTCGGGAGTTGGAAGGTAGTACATTGGGCAGTGGTTCCCGTTATGGGGATCGAAGGACACCGGGTCAGCGGAGGACCCAGAGCTCAGGTGGCTTCCTGCTTGACTCGCTACCTCGCTCGCGAAGCACAAGAGTCAGCCTGAACCGCCCTCGTCCCTCGGAACCTTCCCAAGAGAAGCGCAGCGCTCCCGAACCAGAAATCGTGGTCCCCAAGAAACGCTCGCGATTTCCATGGAGCCGGCATAAACACCATCCATCTGAAGTGAAGTCAAAAATTGCGACTTCAAGCACGATCAATGCTAGGCAAGGTTCCACCTCTCCTGATAGACGGCCCTCCGGAAGCTCTTCGCATCCGGAGGCACAGGAAAAATGATGTGCCACATGCAACTCCTGGACTCGATAGGGACTCGATTCAGATTGTCAACCTAGCCTTAAATCTCAATGAATCCCGGAGGAGGACAGCTTCTGGAATACCCCCGGGTTCCGAGAGCCGAAGACCAATATCTGTCTCTCAACCGGCTGTTCCGTCAGTCGACAGCTATGCATATACTTCACGAGCGAAGAATTTGCAGCGCGATTTGACGTATCGCAATTTTACTCAGCTCTCTGGTAATCGTTTGTCACAGGGGACACTGCCGAGCTTAGAGCAATCATCTGTTGTCAATTTGTTGCCTCCATCCGCGATCGAGGATCAACGGGCATACGAATTCTCCGAAAGTACTTTGGCTCGTGCTGAGAAAGCTCGCAATCATTTTGATCTATTTCATGAATATATGCGGCTACTGCCCTCATTGCCACCTCTTCGAGATGCAGTCAAGGATGACTCTGAGTTTAAAAGCCAGAAATGCAGCCGTTGCTATAACCCGCTTCAAATGATTCGCAACCGAAAGGTCAGGTATCGTGAAAAATGCTCCATCGATGCAGATGCAGAAGGATGGCATGACGTTGAAAGAGTTCACCAATGGATCAATAATGTCGAGAAAAAATATAGCCAAAGAGAACACGGCCAATTAAATTGCTTAAAGCTTCCACCTTTCCAACAGGGTCGTCGCCATATATCCACTGGAGAACACGAAGATATAGATATGCTGCCTACCTCTCCGGGATCAAGCTTGCGGCGAGCCAGCCGAACCAGCAGCACGAAGGCGCGTCGGCCACGTATTGATTGGAAGATCTCACCGGCAGAGCTTCTGGCCGATGCTGCTTGGCTAGAACATGGTACCAACAAGACGAAGGTGGTCGATAAGGATGGCCATAAACTCTACCCTGACCCCAAAGAATTAGTTGTCGTGGACACAAGCGATGACTTCAGAACGCCACATAAGCAGAAGCGCCTTTCGGTCGAAATGGAGGATTCTAGGGAGACACATTTGTCACCGCGCACTTCTTTCTCCAGTTCCCACCCTGCATTGGCACACGAATTCAAGAGTGTGGGCCGTGGGCGGCACAGGCACAGATTTCGAAGTCATTCGCATAGCTTACGCAGCCGCAGTGCTTCCAGCAAACGAAAGCTATCACGATGGGATAATGTCAAAATGCGTTCAGGCAGTGTCTCGAGTTCTTCAAGCTCAGATACTCGTCCTTCCATCGATGAAAACCCTCGCGCGTCTCGTGAGCATTTCCGCGATCATGTCCAAAGAATCGTCGACCATGCACATTCAGGCACTCGGATGACCCGTGCCAAATCTCCGGCTGTTCCTCACGGTGACATTGATAGGGGAAGGGCACCGCAACCGATAGAGCCGTTGTCAGCCGACAGGAAGCAAGCCCGCAAAGACAGAAAAGGCTCTTTCTCATCAGCAGGCAGCCTTGATGACCGGCAGGATCCTCGGATGTCCGTGGATGGCATTGATAGCACTGCGCCTAACTCTCCCGGCCATTTTGGTTACTTCCCAAGCATAGCAGTAAATCTGTCCCCTCCCTCAAGTCGATCTCCCTCGCCCGCAAAGAAGGGTCTCCGTCACAAGATTGTTTCACGGCACGAGCGCAGCAAGAGCAAACAAGCAGATCGAGAGCGAGAGCGGGAAGCTGACTTACCGGAACCCGAGACCTTGCGCCGGCGAAATGTGACGGCGCCTGAGCGGACGGAGGGTGCCTCCAAACTCGAGCCCAGTCCTCTCCCTGATGTTTTGTCGTCATCTCCTCCTGATGATCAAGCCACACTCGAAGGGAATCGAGCAGATGGGCATCGGTCCCGTAAAGGGCCCCATCTTACCGAATCAAAGCTGCGAGGAATATTCAAGGGACCAGGTCGAATAGCAGAGATTGTCGGGAATGAGGTCTCCAAGGTCGGAGATCTCATCCTGAAGAAAGACGCAGGTCCTGAATCTCGAAAATCATCGTCTGCCACCACTTTTACATCAGAGGATAGTGATTCTGATGAAGAATCCAGAGGCGATAGGAAATCTGGCAAAGGTCTTTTACGGCGCCTGCCAACCCTTACAGATGAGCCTGAGCGGTTGACTCGCAGAAATTCCGAGAAGAACTCATCCCGAAGCTTTATTCCCTCTCTGCCAACCTTCACATCCCCCCTACGGCAAGATGAGCGAAGCGAAACAGCAGAAGTGACCGATTTCGGCAGTCCTAGCGAGGGAGTTTCCACTCCACAAAATTATGCTTCCCGTGATTCTCCCAAGAAGTTCACGCTGCCACGCAGCAAAACGCTTGATTTCGGTACTTCTCTACACACGGGACGGACCAAACGCCACGAGATGAAAGACCCTTCCGTTCCTTTCAGCTTAACGCGGCCTCCTGTCACTGGGCTTGCCAATGCTCGAGCATCGCCAGGGCTTTCCCCGGCAGGGAGAAGCACGGGTCTTTCGGATTCTAGTCGTGCCTGGAGTATATCTGGGCGTAGTATTCACACCTTGATTGACACGGGCGTACCTGGGAAACCAGAAGTCGAGCGCACTCGGGCTCTTCTATTGTCATCGGGGATTAAGGCCCGCGAGATCACTCGCCGAGCCCACACTCGCCGCGAGCCAGTTCCTCACTGGCTTCAAAGCTCCATGGGTTCTGGTACATCTGTTCCACAAGTGACGAGGCTCGGCGAATTCGACCTCGCTGCTCAAACCCTCCTCCGTCGTTTCGAGCAGACCCAGCACTCGTTTCAACAATCCATGCATCATTTCTCCACCTCCACCTCGTCACCCCTCCGATCTCAGCTATCGAACCTGGAAAACCTGGTCAACGATTCCTTGGCTCCCCGTGTCCGAACCACGGCTAACGATGCAGAGGACCTGTGTGTTCATCTCAATACCACTAGTACACTCGCTGTTAAGCAGCTGAGTGATGCCCTTGACAGGGGGCTTCGTAAGCGTCGCCGTCGATTGCGGTGGATTCGGCGCACTGGGTTCATGGTCTTGGAATGGGCCCTTGTTGCGATGCTTTGGTGGGTGTGGCTTATTGTCATGGCTTTCAAGCTTGTGCGCGGTGTCTTCCGGGGTGCCTTCACTGGTATCCGATGGGTCTTGTGGCTTTGATCACAGGCGACATTCGGACATTTCTTCATTCTTTTATGTGCCCATCACTTTTGGGGGAACTTTTCTTTTTTTACATTACTGGTTTTAACTACATCGCCCCAATTGGCATGCATATACCCTTCCATTGAGCTTGATTATGCTCACTGTCTTCTTTTCTAATTCATCATACATGATTTAATGGAGTGTTGCATCTGTTACAAATGATTCCCATCATAATTTCTCTCCTCCAACAATCCAGCTGTCCTGTCTCTGTTCCAATATATATGCATTGGAATCATGCTCACAGTGCTAATTCGCGTCTTCTGATGGTGGAACTTGTCCACTGTGTGTCCTTCAGACGATGACAATCACCCGGAAGCAACCGGTACGACAATGAACGAGTCGAAATTTTGGGAACAAAGCTCCTCAGTCTTTGTTTGCTTTCACTCTTGCAGGATATTTTATAACAATATCTTCTTTGATCAAATAATTGAAAGTGTGCAAGTATACCCCTTTGCTTTGTCCTCTTCCTCCTATGTTGAACAATGGGAACTTCCACTATATGAAAAGAACCCAAGAATAAATATCTGAATATTTCCGTTAGATTCAATCGAAAATTCCAAGTACAGCATCTCTTTTCAGCAGAAACAAATCCATCCTCTCTCAGGTATATCCATTTTCACTCACAATATATCGCTCATCTTGTACCCCAAAAATGTCCCCAACAGGTAACAAGCTTATCACTAACCCCTCCAGCCTAGCAAACCTCCATCTAAACCACTGCTACAAGGAAGCTAGCACCAGCCGGTGGCAACTACAAGCCCTCTTCCAGTCATTCTTGGAGGGCAGATCGGCTGATACCTTGCTTGCCGTTCAAGAACGACGACTTCTCATTTCCTGGGACCTTAAGGCTATTCACCACCTGAGGAGATGCTTGAGGGCATGGATTTTAGATCAGGTCCCAGGTGACGCGATCGGTGCATTCCTCGTGACTATCTTGTATGAACAAGACTATCATCTGGATTACCGACTGACCATGATGGTGAGGCAAGGCCAAACCCAGCTGCATATTGCTCGTCGTTTGTTGGCATTTTATCAAATTCGCGATGAAACAGGCGCTCCGATCTGGGATAACGTAGCAGTCTATGCCGAGGACGCTCACCCGAATACACCAGCCCATGGCAAGAGTGTCTCTGGATGCTCCGATACCACGAGAGATTTCCCCCTCACATCCCTACACCGCTGCCAGCTGATGCGAGATGGCCCCTCTTCATGGGTGCCCTCAGTGACCCGGAGCTTGAAGACCTCATGGACAGGCTAGGAGACGGCGATGACCATGCAGGGGGATATTCGCCTCCTCTGTTCACTGGTGTGCGTGAGGAAGATATTCCTATCATCCAGGCGTTCCGGAGATTCAATCTTCACAAGAATGATTTCTCCGAAGACTTTCCTCTGCCCGAGTCTAGGACCGATCGGATTGAACATACATCGCATCAGACTAATAGATTACAGGATAAGCCTCTCCCATCCATTCCCATTTTCACTCCCGTGAGAAAGCCTCTCCGAGCCATACCCATTGACAAGGCTCTTCCCCATAATCCTCTCCTTCCCCTTCCTCCACTTTCACGTCCAGCAAGCCCAAATTTCTCATCTGTGCGTGTGTCGACATTTCCATCAGGAATGAGGCCTAAAGTTCAAGGGGCAGACTGTATACCAAGCGGAAATGCTAACATCGAGCAGAGAAAGGATAAGACTGGGCTGCAATCGTCCGCGACGTCTCGCCTGAAGTCGACACCTTCCGTTAACCTCAACCAACAGGCTCCTCATCCTTCAGACATCACTTATATTCCCTGTTATATACATCATAATGCTTCCCCGGCCCCTCCTAGGCTGAAAAGGAAAGCAGCGCTCGAAGACTTACGCAAGGCTCGAGAGCAAGGTGGTTGAACGGAGATGCTGGATTGAGATACTGGGGTTAGGCTTAGAGTCCTGAATTCATGCTCCACTGGAGTCATTAGCAATCCAAAAAAAAAATATCGTAAAAAAAGAAGAATCTATTTGTTCAGATAGGAGAGTAGAAAGTAGTATCTTAATCTTAAAATACAGGTCCCAGAAAGTCACAACGTGATATAGTGCCATGCGTAAATAGTACAGGGGGATTTTGGGTGGAAGAAGCATCAGTGATTGAAACCAAAATGCCCTGCTTCTTAGTTCCAACAAGAGCCGATACCAGGCACTGCCTGGTTTGGGTTGCCAGAGTAGTCGGAGTTGGTGGGTGTTATTACATATTTTATCGTTTATTTCTTGTGTCTGTCGGCCTGGGCCTTCAGGTACTTGGCAATGAGTTCCTTCCTGTAAGAGAAGACGATTAGTAATGGGCAATGTATGAAGAGGCATAATTCTAGTTAAAACATACTGCATGTGGGGAGGAGCCTTCTCATAGTGGCTGAACTCCATGGTGTATTCACCCTTGCCCTGGGTAGCGGCGCGCAGGTTGCTGCTGAAACCGAACATGCCGTTCAGACTGCAGTCAGCGTAGACAGTGAACTCATCAACACCGGTCTCGGTGTCGTTGATAGTGGCACCGCGCTTGTTCAGTAGGCCAATAACATCACCCTGGAACTCAGTAGGAGCGGTCACGACCGTCTTCATGAGAGGCTCCAGGACAGAGGGTTGACTTTCGGCGAAAGCCTTGCGGAACGCCTGCTGGGTAGCGTTCTTGAAGGACATTTCAGAAGAATCAGTCATGTGAGTGGCACCGTCGTTGATGACCATGCGAGTACCAAGAACTTTGTGGCCGATCAGGGGACCCTTATCGCAAGAGAGGTTGAAGCCCTTTTCGCAAGCATAAAGGAACTTCTCCGAAATGCTGCCTCCAATAACCTGCTGCTCAAACTTGTTCTCCTCGAGAGCGCCAGTAGGCTCCATGTATCCCATAACACGGGCGAATTCACCAGGTCCACCGGACTGCTTCTTGAGCAGGTGGTCGAACTCAACACGGTTGCCAATGGTCTCACGATAGGCAACCTGAGGCTGGCCAGTCTCGCAGTCGACCCGGTACTCACGGCGCATACGCTCCACGTAGATGTCAAGGTGGAGTTCACCCATTCCGGAGATGATGGTCTGGTCACTCTCGCTATCGTAGGACACTCGGAAGGTCGGGTCCTCTCTCTGGAAGCGGGCCATGGCCTTCGAGAAATTGGCACCATCTTTGCTCTGCTTAGGCTTGATAGAGAGCGAGATAACAGGCTCGGGGACGAACATGGATGACATGCTGTAGCCGAGAGTGCCATCCGTGAAGGTGTCACCAGATGCACACTCAATACCGAACACGGCGCAAATCTCACCAGAGCCAATCTCACTGACTTCCTCCATGTCGTTGGAGTGCATGCGAACAATACGAGGAACCTTGACCTTCTTGTTGTTGCGAGCGTTGAAGACGTTGGAGCCCTTGCGAAGAGTTCCCTGGTAGACGCGGATGTAGGTCAATTGACCGAAGTTGCTCTCTTCCAGCTTGAAGGCCAGACCAACAAAGGGAAGAGAGTTATAGGGGACAAGCTTGACGGGAGCTTCTTCACGCTTCTGGTCAAGGGCAAGGTTCTCAACCTCAGAAGGGTTGGGAAGGAAGTCAATAACACCGTCCAGCATGGGCTGAACTGACTTGTTGGCCAGAGCAGATCCCATGAACACAGGGGTGAACTTCAAGCTAATAGTAGCTCGGCGGATGGCGGCTCGGATCTGATCCTCGCTGGGTGTAATCTCTTCCAAGAACAACTCGGCGATCTCATCGTCGACATCGGCAAGAGTCTCAATGAGCATGGTGCGGCGTTCCTCTGCAATGGCTTTGACCTTCTCGGGGATTTCATCCTTCTCCAAAATCTCCTCACCATTCGCACCAACGTTGTACAGGGCCTTCATGCGGATCAAGTCAACAACACCCTCGAACTCGTCCTCGGCACCGATGGGGACCTGAACAGCAGCGGCAGGGATCTTTAGCTTAGTGTTGATCTGGTCAACCGCCTTGAAGGGGTTAGCACCCATTCGGTCCATTTTGTTAACAAACGAGATACGGGGAACGTTGTAGCGGCGCATTTGGCGATCGACGGTAATCGTTTGGGACTGAACACCCGAGACAGCACACAGGATCATGACAGCGCCGTCCAGAACGCGCAGCGCTCTCTCGACCTCGATAGTGAAATCAATGTGGCCGGGGGTATCAATCAAGTTAAGGTGATACTTCTGGTCAACGCCCTCCTTATCCTTCTTGACCCAGTCACAGAAAGTGGCGGCGGACTGGATGGTAATACCCTTCTCACGTTCCAAGTCCATGGAGTCCATCTTGGCACCGACGCTGTCACGCCCGCGGACCTCGTGGATAGCCTTGATACGGCCAGTGTAGAAAAGAACTCGCTCGGTACAGGTGGTTTTACCGCTGTCGATGTGAGCCTGTGTAGGGAGAACTTCATTAGACAAGAACAAGAAGCACATCTGGATCAATTGGGATAGTATATACCGCAATACCGATGTTACGACACTTGTCGAGACGAGCGGCCTCAACCGGATCGAGACTGTCGATAATGGCGGCTTGGGATAGAGAGTCCGGGTTGGCCTTAGCAGCCTCGAGACTAACAACAAGAAATATTAAAAAGAGCGTAAGAAAGAGATTAGAGTTCGACAAGTGTACTTACACCGCAGAGGCAACCTCAGAGGCATTTCGGCGCTGGTCCCATTGTCCCAGCTTCGACTGATAAGCCGGCGCAACAGCGGCAGACCGGAACACGGCCGTGGAAGCGCATCGCTGGCGCAGAAGAGTCTGGGGCTGGAAACGAGCTGATCTGGTCAAACCAGACACCGCGCGGCTTTGTAAACGCAGAAGAGAAGGGGACCGCATGGTGATGATCCAACCACACCAGAATTGATATGATCAGCGCGAATTGAATGTTTAGTTGGCTCCCCGAAAAAAAGTTCGGGGAAGCCAGGAACGCATCACGTGACTATTTACATCGGCCCATCAGAGCCGGGAGATTGCAATTCGGTGAGCGCATAACCGTAAAATCAGATATCAACACTGTGAACGAGAATGGTTCGGTTGTTTGGGGGCTTGGATATGGTGGCAAGCTGTTCGCTGGAGTAGACTGCGCATATATCCATAGATGTTGGCTATCCAAGAAAGACAAGACTGGAGTCATGATGAGTTGAATTGAAACATGAAGACCCAATGAACTTTATTGCAACACTAATATACAGGAAAAAGACACAAGCGCCGTGGTATCCAACCACTGTCTGGTTTTGAAACAAGAATGCAAAGGTATGCTGCCGATCCGAGTTCCGCGACGATAAGTCGTGTATCCGAGGGATTTAAAGACGACCTAATGTTCGATAGCATATTTATATGCTGAAGAAGATTGCCAAGATCTCAGATTTAATCGAGTGAAGGCTGCCGTGGAACGACAAAGCGATAGACGCTACCGGAGAAAATGATGGAAAGCGACGACTCTATTTCCCCTGCCGTTGCTTGTGTTTGGGGTTCTTCGAGCTGAAAGACCAAGGAAACAAAGTATTAGAACCGAGAGACTTCAAGTATAGCTTTAGATAGCACAGGGTAATTATAACTCACCAGATGATGTACACACGACCTTTTCGGTGAACGGGCTGTTCAGCAGTCAGCACCAGCCAAGACACGATCCCCCGATCATTTCAATATGACGATGTCCAATATCTTGGATCATACCTTGCAACCATCACACAGTCTCTTGACAGAAGACCGAGTCTTCATTCCCCGAACCTGCTCCACCTGTCTAGCAGACGCATTCGCTACAGCAATAGCATTGCCGGACTTTGCTTGACCACGGAGCCTCGTCAGGCTGTTGCGAATCATGTGCGAGAAAGGCCGTAATGAGGCGGTCCGGGCGGTCACAGAGGGGAGGAACTGGCGGAGGGCACCGGAGGAGGCGCCGAAGACGGTGCGGAGGGAGAACATGGCGGCGGGTTTAGATTTTGGTCTATCTCCACGAAATGTGATCGATTGGAGGCTACGCCTCGATTATCACCTTATGAAGAACAAAGAGGTATCGGGGTGCGGGTGCGAGGTTGATGCTTGGCTCCAAAGGTTCTTGTGCTGCGATCGCAAATGTTGGCCGGAGCTTCTGTATCGCCGGTCAGCCGGGGTGATCCACCACTGTGATTGGTGGAGTTTGCAACACAACTATAAGGACGGGAGGAAAACAAATAGACAATGCGAAAGGGTGGATTTGTTTGATGACTGTCGAGAAGAGTAAGTTCTTTTTCCTAGCAGCTAGCCGAAATACATGTACTGGGCTGGAGTGAAGTCTTGATTTGCAGGACAGAATTGCGTGCATGAATGCTCAATAGTGAGATATGGATATTCGAGGACCTTTGTACTTCCGCAAATGTGCAGTGAGAAATCCTAAAAGTAAACTATGTGACCTATGATACAGAGGGTCTATCGAAATGAACCAAACGCCAGACAAGAGACAAAACAGGCCGGAACCCTAAACCGCTGAAACCATAACAGGCTATGAACAATGCATCTTCTCGTTACCCACCTTTACTTCTTATGCAATTTTAAGTTGAAACGCTTATTCAGAGCGCAAGAAGGTCTTGTAGGTGGGAGAGTCAGTGTGCTCACTGAATGGATAGCCAAGATCCCGAAGGAAAGCTTCCAGATCCTCCTTCTCGGGCGACGGGCACTGGATTCCAGCCAAAACCTTGCCCACATCACCGCCGTAGTTGCGGTAGTGGAACAAAGAGATATTTTGTTCAGGACGAAGGGTGGTGAGGAATTTGGCAAGAGCACCTGGACGCTCGGGGAACTCGAACATGAAGATGCGCTCATCGGCGACCTCACAGCGGCCGCCGACAAGGAAACGTAGATGACGCTTGGCAAGTTCGTCGTCACTCAAGTCCCGGCAGCTCATGCCGCCCTTCTCCAACTCTCCCATTATCTTGGCCAGGTCTTCGCGGCCAGTAGAGGCGGATAGTGAGATACCCATGAGCACATCGGCCGAGTCTTCACGGGCATAGCGGTAATTGAACGCGGTAACGGCGTGGGGCAGGACAACTTCAACAAGCTTGGCGAAAGCACCGGGCTTTTCGGGGATCTTTACGCTGAGGAGTGCTTCCTTCTTCTCGCCAAGGGCAGCGCGCTCAGCAACAAACCGCAGACGGTCAAAGTCCATATTGGCACCGGAGGTGATGGCAACAAGCTCGCGGTTGGGATCAGGGCTGGGATTCTTGGCAATGTACTTCTTGAGACCGGCAAGAGCGAGAGCGCCGGCAGGCTCGACGATGGACCGGGTATCTTCGAAGGCGTCCTTGATGGCCGCGCAGGTCTCATCGGTGGACACCTGGATGACATCGTCGATGACCTCGCGGCTCAGGCGCCATGTTTCCTCGCCAACAGACTTGACTGCTGCACCGTCCGCAAATAGGCCAACCTCCTTGAGGAAAACTCGGTTACCCGCATCGAGGGACTGAGTCATAGCGTTGGCATCATAAGCCTCGACGCCGATGACCTTCACCTGGGGTGCGATGCGCTTGATGTAAACTCCAATTCCAGCAATCAGACCACCTCCACCGACAGCACAGAAGACTGCCTCAAGCTTTTCCAGGTTTGCCTGGCGCAGGAGCTCCATACCAATGGTACCTTGGCCAGCAATGACATAAGGATCGTCGAACGGCGGGATGTTTGTCAGATCATGCTGCTTCTCCAATCGGTGAGCCTCATCCTTGGCAGCATCAAAGTCCATTCCGTGAAGAACCACACTTCCTCCCAAGCGAGCAACATTCAGGTGTTTGATGGCAGGGGTGCCCGAGGGCATGACGATCGTAGCGGGGATTCTAAGCTTGCGGGCAGAATAGGCCACACCTTGAGCATGGTTTCCTATACAGATTGAGTTAGAAGCAGTTCCAGTTTGTTTAATCTATCAGGTTTATATTCACCAGCAGAGCAGGCAATAACGCCCTTCCAGCGCTGCTCATTGTTCAGATGAGCCATCTTGTTATATGCGCCGCGAAGCTTGAAGCTGAACACCGGCAGCAGATCCTCACGCTTGAGAAGCACCCGGCTTTCCAGCCGGTTACTGAGGTTGACAGCATGGGTCAGAGGGCTTTCGTCAATAACATCGTAAACTCGTGACGTCAAAATCAACCGGAGATACTATAATCGCGGGGCAACGTTAGAACTGGTTGATTGAGTACGAATTGCAAAGGTTGAATTACATCTGGGTATCCGTTAGGAAGTAGGAAAGCTTCAGGGATGCCCCAATTGGGAGGCAATCCGGGGGCCCTGTGCTCGCGCTCAGAGGGCGGCGTCGGAGCGGCGGTATACTCGGTCAATGCAAGCCCGCTCATCTTGGGAGTGACGGGCGTCGCGGCGCCGTGAGTTTCATCAGACATAATGACTTGGAGATGATTTCTTCCAGATAGAGACAATCGATCCCAATTCAGATTAGAAGGAATTCGGAAGCCGACAGATTATAAACTTTCTCTGACTCTTTTTTCTCACGAAGGCGGGACCGGTGATCGGAGGCCCTTATGTCATCAACCCTCAGTGCGAGCCCTAAACAAAGCTTGTTGTCGGTGTGTTGACGGGGAAGTAGATGGGATCACAGTCAATACTCGAGAGATCTCTAGACAAATATGAGATTGTGTATCTTTTAGACAGAATGATTGAATGTCGGAGGGGTAGCCATGAACAAGTCCAGGTGTTGTACAAGTACAGCATATAGAAGCGTAGATAGCGGTCAACAAATGCAGTGCTGTACAACTAATCTTTGTTTTTGTTTTTGATTTCTATATGATAGAGCAGCCACAAGATAAGCATTTCCCCCGATAGAAGCATTTAAACAAAACAAACCGCTCAGTATCTTTATTCGTCCAGAGACACTGATGCTATAGGAGTTCATTGGTCTTCGAGGCTGGGTCCGGATAGTTACATAACCCGATATGTTAGAAAACTTGGCGTCATACCACAGACCCTGCCAGCATCTCGAGTCTATTCCAACCTCGACACTTCTAAATTCTCGCGCCTCTGGATTGGGCTTTTCCTACTCAACCTTCAATTTCTAAGAATACTACAAATATCCCTGACGCGAAAACTCCGCATCCCGTGGACGCAACTGAACTCCGCACGACCATTTTCGAGATACCCGACCTCAATCAACTTCACGATGAACAGGGATCCTGTACCTTCGTCCTTTGAGGATAATCCGTATGTATCACATATTATCCGCGTGGCTCGCAAGCGGCACCCAACCATGCCGGAAAGAAAGCGAAGGGAAGGTTCGTCTGCTAACAGTCAGCATCGGACAGTCAATTTACAGAAGAGACTGGCACTCAAAAATTCACACGACGCCTCAGAGAAGAGCCACTCGTTCCACTTGGTACGAAAACTCCTCTAGCACAAACCCATATCTATTCCCTCCGCATCTCCTTCCCAACATCAAAAACTCATACAAACTACCACAGGATGCGCCGCAACATGTTATGCCCTCTACCGCGCCTACCGGTCGATGAAATCCGGCGACTCGGTTGAAATGAACCGAATGTTCCGAGCGCGTATCTACGCACAAGCCTTCACACTAGTCGCCCTAGTCGCCGGTGGAATGTACTTCAAGACAGAGCGACAGCAGCGCCGAGAATTCGATCAGGCTGTGGAACTTCGGAAGAAGCAAGAAAAGCGCGACGCGTGGTTGCGCGAGCTGGAGATTCGTGATAAGGAGGATCGCGAGTGGAGGGAGCGCCACGCTTCCATTGAGGCTGCGGCTAAGGAGGCCGGGAACAAGCCAGTGCAACCAGCGCCGCGCAAGGAGTCTGAAGAGGCGCGGTCTTCGATTGAGCCCGCCGACGAGAAGTCTATTGGAGTTATGGATGCCGTGAGAGCTCTTCTTTCACGGAACTGAAGGCGTGGGCCCTGTAAGATAGGAGATAACATTTTTTGTTTTTGTAAATATGCATCGAATTTCTACGGTATGGAATCTTCAACTGATGATTTTGCTGGTGTTCTTGAATGCTTAAGCATTATTAACAGAAGTACGATGAGCTCATCCAGTCGTTATGCCTGGGTTGTGCTGTGTACGGTCAGTCCGAGGATCGACGTGCCGAGGTTGAAATGTCCCATTGATCCACGCCAAACAAGCTTGAATATGGCGGCACTAGCACAATAAGGTAAACCACGTTCTTGGCAGCATCCTGGAAACATTTCCGAAAAAGCAGCACGTTGATTTTGGATCAGCATGGCCGAATCTGTTTCCTTGGCCGAGGCTTTCATGTGAGATCGACAAGGCTAGCGCCGTGCGGGCAACCTAACATATGATGCTCTGATTCGGAACGGAGATACCGTCAAATGAGTTGGTTTGAAATGGCATTCTTCACTCCTTGATAATATTGGATGAATGGTGTTTTTCATCTTGAAGATATACAGCATGGTCAGGCACATGGTTAAGGGAGATGATCCCAAGGCGGGGAAGACTACTCGACACCAAACCCTAATTTGGAAAGCCTCAGGGTCTATCAGAGCAATTATGCGTCAAACTTTCCAATCCCTGCTCCGAGACTCCACCTATCCAGTGTAATCCTCGCAATTCTTCCCCAATGCACATTCTTTCCCAATTCACAATGCCATGACGTGGGGAAACATGAGCTAGTCGCCTTGTGGGCCGTCTCTCACGAGAGTATAAAAGCCCATCACATTCCCTTACCACTGTAGATCTTCTCGTTTTGCAGTCCTTTCCTCCACACGCCCACCCAAAAGACCCCATACACCTGTACACGTTATACCCACCAAAAAGAACCATTTCACATCAAAGATGCTTTCCTGGATCTACCCACTGCGAATCGTGCAAGCCATCCTGTCACTAGCCACGATTGGTCTTACTGCATACGGTTCGTTTTACTATGATATGCATCAGAACACTACTGACCCAATCTAGAAATTGCCTCTCTGTACGATGAATGGTCCTACTCAAATGTGGTCTACTACATGCTCTTCAACGGCTGCTGGACAACAGCCATCGCAGTCCCCTACTTGGGCCTCGCACCCGTAGCCTACCCTCGCTTCTCACATGAAGTCGCCATTCCTCTCCTCGAGCTACTCACCGGTGGCCTCTGGCTAAGCGGTTGGATTGCCTTGGCTGCCATGATCCCATCGCCTAGTGCATGCCACTATTCCAGCTGCCATGCCCTCCAAGCTTTGATTGTCGTCGGAGCCATCCAATGGTAAGAAAAAAAACGTCAAAGGATTAATACACATGTCCATGTTCTAACCAATTGTTCTGAACAGGGCTACTTTTGCTGTAACAAACACCTTTGCCATCATGGACGTGAAGAACTCTCGCCGCAACTCAAAGAACCACCGCAATGATGCTGCCCCAGAAATGACTACTTCTGGTGCCAATACCAATGGCAACACCACTGCCGCCACCGTCGATACCGCTGTCTAGGTGGGTGGCTCTTTATCCTAAGGATATGGTGATATACCGAGACTTGCACTGCTTGCAAGCTATGATACGCATGTGGTTTGGTTTCTTAGATGAAAGCGATACCCCACTTGGTTGATTTGATGAACACATGCCCGACCCTGTTTATATGCAAGGATTTCTTGATCATGCCAGAAATGGTCTGGTCATGTATCAAGTTAATGTTAATACGATAATTTCCTTACTCCTTACCTCCCCTCTCCTCTCCATCCCAACGTCCTACTCGTTTTATACTGCCAAAAGCTATTGTGCCAAATTCGAAATTGATCTACTTGATGTGGATACGCTACTATTAAAATGGCATCAGCCGTCTAATTAACAAAAACCTTCGATGAACCTGAAATAACCGAGAGACCCGAACGGTATGTATCGATATATATAGATCTTCGCTTAACCAATGTCCATTCCGTCCACCTGGTGTATTGATTTCATCGGCCCGCTCTGGCCTGTATGGTTCATATCTGAGTGAAATGCCAGCACCTCACCGTACCTAGTAGGACTGGTCAGAAGAAGACTCGGGGATGTGTCAACGCGCATTAAATTTAAGACTTGCATGATGGTTTTCCAAATATCGGCTGGAAGGTTTGCCTCAAGGAAGGCCCAATCGAATGCTTCTGCTGCGACTGGTTCGTCGTTAGGATCGTGATATGGTGCGAGATACGGGGAGGAGAGGGCTTCTGTTGCTGAGATTCGCTTTTGAGGGTCGAATTCAAGCATTTTTTCGATCAATACAGCCGCTGAACAAGTCAATATCCCGATTCTCTCAAAGAAAAGGCTTGAAACGTACCACCTGCGTTGGCTTTAGGGATAAGCTGTGATATTGGTTTGCGTTCTCGCTTAGGAAGTGAATTGATAAAGTTCAATGTCTGTAGAGAAAGGACAAGCAATCAGTGGACCTCATTCTTTTCCAAGATAGTATGGTCTCTGTCTACTCACATTTTCGCTTGTAATATTGTTGATCACTCCCTCGGGGGGATTACCAAGTAGATCTGTGATAACACAAAACTGGTTAATATGATTTGTTCCCGGGAACAAAGGCTCGCCCAGAAGTAATTCCGCGAAGATGCACCCGGCACTCCACATATCGACTTTTTCCGTGTATTTTCGCCATGTCAGCATGATCTCCGGGGCACGGTAGTATCTTGTTGAGACATAGCCAGTCATGTGAGATTCTTGGATGCGGGCCAGGCCAAAGTCACATATTTTCAGATCGCAGTTCTCGTTCACCAAAATGTTGCTTGGTTTTAGATCTCGATGGATGACACCGGCTGAATGTAGATATTTTAAGCCACGCTGGAAGTGTTGGTCAGAGACTTGTGCTTGCTGGGGATCGGGTTAGGTGAGGATGAGACCAACCATTATCTGATACATGAAATATTGGGCGAATTGGTCCTCGACCTTTTTCGCCTTGAGAATTGTATTAAGGTCGGTTGCCATCAGTTCGGTCACAATGTATCTGAGATGATTAGTACTTTCCCCTTGAAAAGAGTGAGGTCTCTTCCTACATGTCTTCAGAAGGAGAAATAAATAGATCGGTCAGGTTGATGATCTGTCTGTCAATTAGAGAGTTGTCGTATCCTAGCTCTCGGGATTCTCACGTTTTCATGTCGCAACTGTCTCAGTAATTTCATCTCTCGGAACATGTGTCTTGCAATAGTCGGAGTCTTGAAAGGTTCCGCGAGTTTCTTTACAGCAACAGTTTGATGAGCAAGCTGATCTCTTGCGGAGCTGGGAAAGTACCCGTTAGTTTCAATAGTGGTCTGCTCCACAGGAAACGATACCAGACAAGCCCGGATACTCCAAGCCCAAGAGGTTTCCATTCTGTATAGCTGGGTAAAATAGTCTTAGCATATAAGATAGGGTATTACTGCTTTCCTTTCATTTTCTAACCGTTCAGTAGTCTCAAATATTGTACCCATTACTGATTTCTGGGTGAAAGTTGCCAGTTGCTCCCCGTAGGGTGGCGTAAATGAGGCCGTGGGCATCATCGGGAGAATGAAGTTAATGGTCTATAGTATTCGATACATCAGAGACTTGTAACAAAATGGACCTATATGGTAAGAAGAAATAATATATAGCTATAGTACACTTCGATGACATCAGAGGCTTCGTGGATCTCCCCACATATTTTCTCAGCACAGACCAGCGTCGACCAGCGTAGACCATCACTCTCGTGAAGACTCTTGCACGTTCCACACATTCCTTTTGCAGATTGTGTGTGCATCTTCCGTGTGACAAAATGGAAATGGTCTATTGGAGGGTTCCAAGTGGTTTCAAGGGGGTTGCCCTACAAATTTGTCAGTGGCATAAGCCTCATCGTCATTGCATCTGGAATGTCCATGGAAAAAGTAAATGTCATAGGTAACTTCGTAATTTCATTGATTCGTATGAGTTTTAGTCCCGAGCTTGCGGGTCTGAGATTAATATACAACTTGAAACGCCCCCTTCGCTAAAAGAACAGCCCAAGGCCAGCTAAGGCCAGGTCCTTAGGCATACACATTGTCCGCCTCGATAAAGTTATCAAACAGCGTATCGATAAAACCATTCGGCTCGTAAGGGGCGAAATCGTTCGCGATCGCAGGCAACACCGTCCAATCGTTGCGCTCGTATGTGTTGGGATTAAATGCGCCCGATCCGGCGGGGTTGGAATCATCCGCGACTGATTCATCGGACCACGTCCCTGAAAAAGGAGATGTGGTTGTGGGTAGGCCAGGCTTGACCTCCATGTTAGGATTACCGTGCAGGACGGTCTCGGTCATTCTGGCCAGCTGGTGGTTGATTTGATGGTCTTGGCACTCGGCGTGTTGGAAGATGAGGTTTTTCAACCCCCAGACTTCTTCTCGTAGACAGTTCAACTGTGCTAGGAGCAAATCTTTCTTTTCCGTTTCATCGCTGAGGCGACGCTCGATTTGCTTGTGTTCTCTCTTTTTTCTTTCGCGGCATTTATTGGCGGCGACGCGGTTGCGTTCGAGGTGCTTGGCCCGCCCGGGGCTGACGGAGGAAGAGGGAGAGGTTGGCGATACGGATTTCATGTTTTGTATTTCTTTTTGGTCACGCTTCCCTGGTGAGGTTATTGGGCGTGTTCGGGGTGAGAAAGAGGTAATAGATCGTAATTTGGAGTATAGAAATTTTTATTTATTTTTTTCAGTCAATGACTAGAAGAATCTCAAGAGTCTGCGAAGGATATGTAGCGATCTGACTTGATAAATGAAACCATCAGCGCGGACTCTATATAAAAGAGTCTGGACCAAAATCAATGACGTACCACTTCAAGGATCCGGACAGGATCTGGACTCAAAAGAAAACCAAGCTTCCAAACAGCTGTAACCTGGCAGCCGTTTCCGGTTTCAACATCTAATCATGCAATGATGCCTCAGGTCCCACCTACAGTGTGTGAGTGATAGACAGAGCGTATGGAGAGGCAAACCTATTCTATAGAAATCTATATCACGAAGATTGAACTGAAATTAAAGATCTCGGGTCTGACATCATATACTCAACTGTCTGGATCATCTAACAATAAGAGGCACAGTGTAACAAAGCACAATGTCTTCGACGGAAACTAGAACTTGATTTGCTTGACCGCGACAGATTCGGAGATATTATACTGTGACATGCCTTGTGGATAATACCCCCCCCAGAAACTTAGCGCTTATCCTGTGAAACAAGCTTGTAAGTCTCCCCAATTCCTCATTGGAAACCAACTTCGAACTGATCTGCAACCCCAGCAAGTTCCATTGCCGTGATAATGGGACTTCTTGACCAATAGAAACCTTGAACGGTACCCTCGTATTACAGTAGTGCATAGGACTATGGAGGTCAACCCCTCCAATGTCAACGGGCTTCTCTTAATTCCACATTAAATGTCGCTTTCCCTGAAACATAGGCTGATTTCAAACCCAGAAAATATATTTACATGCTTATCAACACAGCTCAACCAGCGATCTGTTCATCGATATAGCGTCTCATCGTCTCGAACTCTGACTTGCCGGTCTTGGAATTTGTTAGCAAAAACAGGTTTCTTTATCACATTACACCAAATCTTCATACCGAAAGTAAGTATCTTATGTGTTGCTAGCAAAAACAAGTTAGTCCGCTACTCTGAAATGTCGAACTTTCCCAAGAACCAATCATATCGACTTACCACATCTGATACTTCACGATGGCGCTCAAATTCATCACGTGCATATCTGTGCAGCTCAGTCCGTGTTGGTGAAGGAGGGACTTCTGAAGATATCTTAGTACCTGTCATATATGGCGCGTAAGTTGGGATGCTTGGTAGGTGTACTTATTAATGCTCGTACAATCTCCCGCCATAATGATAGTACTCGCTGTCTTTGAATAAACTGCATTGGTCAATTAGGACATGTACTTTAAACTTGTTTGAAGTACTTACATGGTCTAGACTGATGGAAGGCTTTTTCAGCTTGGAGGGCTGGCTGCGCGAGACCGCGGCAAGGAAACTTGGTGAGGGGCGCATTGAAGCAAATCAAACCACGGCCGTATGTATGAAATAGAGAATTGCACGCGTCATAAAGTTTTCTCTTTCTGATGATAGCGATACCGATTAGTCCGTAGGAGAAGGGATAAGGGCGGTGAAGGAGTGGATATTTCTGCCGCAAGTATTTCTCCAAGGTCAGGTGATCTTCCTATGTGATCCAAGTCCAAGTGAAAAGATGGCGATTTGAATTTTTGTAAAAATTACCACGCTCTTAGGGCTATCCAAGCTGGACTGCAAAGCCCAATTACTATTGTGCGTGGAATGTGGAAGGGGAAAAGCTTCGTATAAATAAGTGATGGGCTTTCATATTAAGGAAGAGATAATATATAGTTTGGAAGTAGATCAATGTTCATTTTTTTGTTTACTCCTGCAGCGGTACACCCATGCCACCGAAAGTAATACTCTTGATAGTCATGAACTCGTCAATACCATACTTGCTGCCCTCACGGCCAAAGCCACTCTGCTTGATACCACCGAATCTATCGAAAGGTTAGCGCTTAGTATATCAATGTAGGGAGATGTAAACTTACGGAGAGGCAACATCACTAATCAACCCAGTGTTGACACCAACCATGCCGACCTCCAGGGCCTCAGCAACGCGGAAGATGCGGCGAACATTGCCACTGAAGAAGTAACCAGCAAGACCAACCTCGGCGCGGTTAGCCAGGTCAACAACCTCCTTCTCGGTCTTGAAGGAGAAGAGACCAGCGACGGGGCCGAAAGTCTCCTCGGAAGCGAGAAGCATATCCTTGCTCATGCCGGTAAGAACAGTAGGGTGGTAGAAGTTAGGTCCGAGCGCGGTAGCCCGCTGTCCACCGATGACAACCTCGGCGCCCTTGGAAGTAGCATCCTGCACATGCTCGTGAGCCTTGTTAGCGGCGCGCTCGTGAATCACAGGTCCGTGAGTAATGCCGTCCTCAAAGCCACCACCGAGCTTGAAGTCCTTGACCTTCTGGACAAAGCGCTTGGCAAACTCCTCATACACGCCCTCTTGAACGTAGATCCGGTTCGCGCACACACATGTCTGACCAGAGCTGCGGAACTTGGAGTTGATGGCACCGGTCACGGCAGCGTCGAGGTCCTCGACATCATCGAACACGATGAATGGCGCATTACCGCCAAGCTCCCAGGAAACCTTCTTGAGGGTTGATGCAGACTGCTTCATAAGGATGCGGCCGACGTTGGTCGAGCCGGTGAATGAGACCTTGCGCACTTCGGGGTGGGTGGTAATGAGCTCGCCCACTGCAGGGGTGTTCTTCGAGGAAGTGACGATATTGACCACGCCCTTGGGGATTCCAGCCCGACGCGCAAGCTCAGCAATCGCGTTCGCTGTAAAGGGTGTCTCCTGTGGAGACTTGGCCACGACTGTGCAGCCCGCCGCCAGGGCAGGGCCGATTTTGCGCGTGATCATCGCCGCCGGGAAGTTCCATGGCGTAATCAGACCGCACACACCCACCGGCTCCTTCAGAGTCATCACCCGGTTTCCGGGCACGGTGGCGGGAATTGTGTCACCGTATGTGCGGGGTGCCTCCTCACTGAACCACTCAAAGAAGCTGGCGGCATAGTTGACCTCACCCTTCGCGTCCGCAAGGGGCTTTCCATTCTCCCATGTGATCAACTTTGCTAAATCATCCGCGTTCTCAATCATTAAATCGTACCACCGACGCAACATGCGTGCGCGCTCACGGCCTAGTGTTGTGCGGAATTTGGGGAATGCTTCGGAGGCGGCGTCAATCGCTTTCTCAACATCGGACGTATCGAGCTCGGGACATGTTCCGATCAATTTGCCAGTAGCCGGGTCTGAACGAGACAAATGATCAGCGACTTCTCCGGACCCCTAGTATTCTTTCATGTAGTATTTACCATGGACTTCGAACGTCTGGCCGGACTTTGCATCGACCCACTCGCCATTGATGTAGGCCTTCTCAATGAACAGCGACTGGTCTTTCAACTGAAATTGGTTAGTGACTCGAGAACCACATTTGACTGGGCAAGTTACCTGCGGCGCGCTGTGTTTCATACTGTATAGTCTCTGTGCGCGAGCTGTCGGGGGAATTGAAAAGGGGTATCTTGGTCGAGGTCTTAATAATTGACGGACGACAGGGCGAATGATGCGGTCCATTGTGAGAAATCAAGGAAATGCTGAAATGCAGACAAAATAGTGCGGGGAGGAGAGCTGCAGACGCCTTTAAAGCAGATTTCAGTAGTGGGGATCTCCCTGGGATCAATGCTGATTTGCTCTTTACGACCGAGAAGCACCGAGTGAGTAATTGGCAATGCTAAGAGATGACAATCTTAGAAGGGAAGCTCCATGGTTAAAGCGGGGATCTGCGGAGTTGATGTCATCCTTCAAGCACTGGATGTTTTGGTTTCTTTCGCTTGGTGTTGACCTATGTGTCTTTACCGATCTTTCATTCCTCAATCATGGAGCAGAAATCATTTCAGATCAAAAATAAACAGAGCGATCTTCTGTAGAGAACGATAGATAATATGCTTCATCTTCATAGATCTGGTAACTTTTGTAATTTCGGAATCCATCTTACAATACCCGGCAGTTTGAGCCAATGGACATCTCGCTACTTTGAGTCTTCGGGCTACCCAACCAATAAACATCAATCTTGAGCCTCCGGCTTTGAGATAGTGTATTTGTAATACTCCGAGATCGCGTATGTTTTCCCTAGTCACCATCGAGGAGAATCTGTTCTTTTACCTTCTTTTACCCAAAAAATAAGAAAGAAAAAAAGAGAGACTGGACCTTGTTAAAGGAGGAAATATGCGGCACAATCTACGCCACTTCAGACTTGGTTCTAATTGGCCTGCAGCCCCTTCTAGAAGAATAGTCGGGTAGAATGTTTTGAGTCCTAGATGTACTTGTTCACATGACTTGCCCTTTCTTTCCAGGTTTCATGGCGAAGTGAACGGCAGAAAAATTCATAATTCAGGGCTTAGGATTGAGCGTCAATGATCTCTGTTCTGAAACCGAGCAAGTTGGGAGCTAATATTCAGGGAATGCCGTGGAATATCTTTGCATGGCGGTGAACTCAATAAGAATCGAGTGCAATGGCATAGATTGTTTGTGGACATATAGGGCAAAGTGCAGATTCACTCAATAACATGACAGGGGTAAGCAACGTCTGGTGGCAGTATTCCTAGCACACAGCCCAACATGAGACTCTCGCAAGAGTAATATAGACACCTTGGAGAGATAAAAGCCTGAAGCATGGCCGTGAGGTCAAAGCATCGCTGTCTACTTGGAATGTAAGACCATCTGACCGGTAGACGGATTCATATTCCATGTCTACAAGGAACTGAGCCTCTCTACAATGTAGTTAGATGCACCAGCCAATACTATTCTCTACTATTCACCTCATGAGTCAATCCCAATAAAGCCCCCTCTTGTGGGTTTGGTCTTTTAGAATGTCCTGCCCTAATACCGTCATTTGATGCTACCGTAGAAGATAGTTGAAACGTGACGATTCCAAGACTGATAGTCGTCCAGGCGATAATGACTAGAATAGAAAAGAGGTCAAGAGGCAATCGATACTTGGAAGCTATTTGCTCCAGAACTAATCGACCTTCTCTCACTTGAGATCAACCGACAACCACACACTTTCCTTTCCTCCACCACTCTACCTACTCCTCCACCATCCCACTTTCTTATCAGTTTATTCATTCACTACTTCACTTGGAGAAGTTCTTCTTGTGTACTCTATCCATATCTCCACGAGCCTCTACAGCTTCTCAGCTTTTACCCATTCGTTGTGCATCAGCTTGCTTCAGGACTCCATCCTCCTTTCCGCTTTGACTTACCCTGAAACTGCTGATAATCCCACAAGCCGACTCATCATGGCTTCATCTTCTCACGGGGTGTTCGACGTCCTCTGCGAGCGGATGGACGGCACATCTATCTCCTCCAACAAGAATGGTCAACACGAAAATCTCTCGTCTTCGACCGTCGTGGTTCCAACCCTCTCATCTCTGTCGCCGGAGTCAGATGGTAAGGACCCATTCAGACTGCTGCCATGGTTCGCCATGGAAGACATCATCCTACGACTGAAAGATCTGCCAACGCTTCATCAGTTGTACCAAGCTTCCCCAGCCGTGGCTGACTACTTGAATCACACACCGGGATTCTTTCCCAAGGTGGTCGAAGCATTGATGGTCCGCTGGTATTATGGCATTGACTTCAGTCCACACCCAGATACCACGGTCTTCTACCGAACACTAGTCTATCTATGGTGGAAAGAAGAATCCGTCGATACCGGAGGGCTTGTTCCTTCAACGCAGAATCCATTGCCGGCCAATTTCGGAGAAGACGGGATTTACCATATCAATACCTCCACACTGTACGGCTTTGAACCGCGAGCCTGGGTCGGAGAGACTCCCCTCCCGCCTGAAACACCCCCACAATGCTTGCGACGGCTATTGAGTCTATCGAGCCGAATCCGTCGGGATGCACATGCATTCTTCCACGGCTGTATGTACTTGATCTCAGCTTCGAATCTTCAGCGTCTAAAATACCGGAAAAAGCCTTGGCCAACCAACGGGACTCGGCCTCAAGGCATCCCTATCCACAATCGGAATATAGACCGAGGGATACTCTCTTGGGTGGAGGAACAGCGATTGGTGCAGGCGCTACTGAAACCATACATCTTTTCTGAACTGCAACGCATCGTGTGTCAGAAAAAGATTTTGAATCCCGATACAACTCCCGATTTCGCTGGTGGATGGCTACGGCATACAACGGAGTATTTGAAGGAAGGCAACGTGATGGCCTCTTGGGCAGATTTTGTCGAAGGCTTGAGAGAACCAGCGCACCTTGAACAGCTAGCGTCCGTGATTTATTGGTTAGATGAAGGACGACCGATGCACGGCAAACCACTCAAGGGCAAATGGGAGTTTGAAACCTGTTGCCCATATCTCTACAGGCACGACCTTACGAGAGAAGAACGCGTGTGCATGGGAGAGGATCCTATGAAGCAACGCTCGGCCACTGGGTCCAATTGGGCACAACATTGCGAGGTTGCGCCTCAGTCTGGCATCAAGGAAGCAGGCTTGCAAGGCAAGTTCAGAAAATTTGGAGTTTCATTTTGGCACGATGAGACAATGACACGTTTGGGGCTTCTCTTGCCTCATCTGACGAGCGAAACTACCTGCAGAGATATGGCCTTTAGGTGGACATCGCTCTTGCAGCGGCGGCGCAGAAGCTATAACAGCACGAATAAGTTGCCAACCAACCGAGCACGGCCAAATCCAAATAAATCAAACCACTAGGTCTGATCGAGTCACCTCTTTCAGCTACAGAATGAGCACCTTCGCATCGGATTGCTTCCATTGATGGAAGTCAAGCATCTTCAGATATTATCTACTTTCTCTTCTTCGATTTTCTTCATTTTCTTTGTGATTTATGCAATTTTTGCTTGAGATACTGGCGTTATGGGAGGAAGCAACAAATAAAAAAAATTTACAAAAAAATTTACATGCATGCTTGGAGCATGTCTTGGCCGTGAGAGAACGGTTGATTTGGTTATGGAAAAATGGCAGAAAAATACCAAAAAAAAGGATAAAAGAATACAAAAACATGGACTCGTCCATGGATACATACATACCTCCTAACTAGTAGAGCGTAATCTGGACCTTTTGTTAAATGTTTTGTATTAATGTTGGCTTCCTTCATCACTCGAGTGAATTGTATGTCTTAACTAGATCTTGGGTCATCGGTATCTCCATCACCCAGATCCTGTGACAACGGTGGAACACGAAATGAACATGTTCTATTGGTATTCTAAGGTGGGTGTTGGAGAACGAGGATGGGAAACAATATCTGAAAAAAAAGACATCTTTGAGAGAGATAGCCGAGAAGACTTGAAGGTCTGCTTTGAAGACATCACAAAACCGCAGAAGCGGCCGACTACTCTTATCTGATCAAGCCGGCACTACTACTTACAGATGTGCAACTTCAACCTTGAACATTCACATTCGCAACTAAGCTAGATAAGGATGAAATACACAATCTATTCAATCATGATAGTTTGATCATCCCGCTCAATCGAGGTTTCCTTCCCAGGGGTAACATGTATACCATGAGCCTTTTTCAAATGTTGGTTGAGGTTCCATTTTCGAGAGAACCCGTTCTTATGTCGAGTACAGGACCTGACAGGGCAGAGAATATCCACTTTCCGATGAGGACCCTTTCCAACGCCTGGTTTGACCGTCTTTGGCTCCTGATCGACGGTCTGCTGTTCTGTGTTCTCTACAGCAGGTTCCACTGGTTCTGGCGGCGCCTCCGGGGCTGGGGATGGGGATGCAGAGGGAGGAACAATTGCAGGAGTCATGTATGTTTTCGAGCGACGCTGGCTTGGTATCTTCGCCTTGGCCTTGGCCTTGGGTTGAGCTTCAGGTTTGGATTTGGGTTTGCGCTTGTGACTTGGCCGGGCAGCTGGCTCAGGGCTTGGTGGCGCCGAGTCACTCTCGCTCTCGCTTTCGGTGTAGACATATTCTTCTCGGGAATTTGCCTTCCTTTTCTTTCTGACCCTGCCTTCAGGCATTATACGGAATTCCATGTCTTCACCGAAAAGGTCTGCGCATCGCTTTGAGGCGCGCATTACCGCAGGCGCGGGGAGGTCCATCATTGATGCCAGTCCCAATACTTCACTCCAGTCTCGCAATTTGAGTCGGCCCTTGTTGTGATGATCGCCATCACCAGAAGGGGAGTTGCGAGATTGTGCGCGGGTTTGGGAAACGTCTGGCAAACTTTCATCTTCGGTCTCGACTCCAGTGGATATGCGTGCACTTTTGGAATGGCGTGATGTTTCTCGCTCATGAGACTGACGACCACTTCTTCGACCACGCGATCGACTTCTACTTCTGCGTTTGTGGCTCTCTCGAGTCTGGTAATCTTCTTCGTCCGAATCAGTCCATTGCTCGTCAGCAGAGTCTTCCTCGTACTTGCGACCTTTCATGGCGCAATGCAGCCCATAGAGTAGCCGGTCTACCTGTGAGATCACATTGCGGACTAGTGGACGTAATTGGCGAAGAGATTTGTCCTCATCAATTAGGACTGTCGGCCGGAGGATTCTTGTATCGACAGGCTCTTGTCCTTCTTCTTCTTCTTCTTCTTCTTCTTCTTCTTCCTCCTCCTTCTTGGCCGATTCATCTTCCATAAGTTCATCCCCGTCATTCAACTGATCCTCCAAAGTATCTTGAATTTCTTCAAAATCCACCTCTCGGGCCTGAAGGGCCTCCTTGGAGGCCTTCAGTATGAACGCGGTGAGGTATTCCTCCAATTCCGCACTAGGTCGGGGATCAGATTGCATTTGATACCTATCAGGGTCATCCATTATTCTTTGGATGACCTCGTTGGCACGGGGAACTTTTGTTGCATGAACAGGCCATGCAGCCCATCGCTTGCTCAGATGGAGTGGCGTTTTTTGGACGACTCCAGGGTTCTTCTGCGCAGCATCCCGGGCTCGCCTGCGAATCGCATGGGCATTGTAAAGATGAGCGGCCAAATCCCTGGTTCGGTTGATGACCATTGCATTGTATGCTCCGATATCGTCGGCGTTGTAGTTCCTCCATGAAGTGGCATGCCCATCAAATAGATTAGGACGCTCAACCCCAGGTCGTAAGTCAAGACCTCGGTCAACTACGTAGTAAATTGGGTCATGCTGAGACTGCTGTGCCCTTTTTACGCGTGTGCGACTTCTACCACGATCACCTTCCTCATAGCTTTCGTCATCAGAGTCATCCTGGAACGCCAAGGGCTGCTCTCGCATTATCATATCAAATTCACTTTCGACTTGATCTAGTGCCTCATCCATGGGCTCTGCTTCGGAGAGTGGCTCTAAATGATCATATTCCTTGATGGGGCCTCCGAAAAGAGAACTTCTTGGCGGTTCTGGCTGAGAGGAAGGTTGCAAACCGACATCACTGCTTGGGCCTCCAAATAATGATTGGTGTGGCTGCGCAGATTGCGGTGGAGGGAGTTCTGGCCAGGGAACCTGACTTCCATATAAAGACGACATGTCGGGAGGAAACTTTGGTCTCTTGCCGTTGTATGCGTAAAAGGTTCGGACCAGTAGTGCCTAGATATCACATAGATGCGGATTTTTATTGGACAACATCCGACTTGAAAATGACGAGAGCATCCAGTGCCAGGTCGCTCGGTAATCAGTACTTTAAATAGTGAATTTTGACTTTCTTCTCCGACTTTAATTGTTCTTTGGTGTTGAAGATGTCAAAAATTCCAGGCGGGTGGATCACTGACGCAGTCACATGATCAGTATACACGATCCTGTCCAGAGTATTTACGCTAGTCCCAAAAAGGCAATATACATATTTTAAATCAGTCTCTTTTGTTTCTACCTTTATGATTCAATTTCAGCTTTGGAGGCAGATCATAGACTCTATAATGCCGATGATGGCTCGGGGCTCGATCAGACGTTGGGCCACAGCAATATAAGCTGCCGTAAATACTAGCAAGGTCTCGGTGAGAAGTTGAGACTTTCTAAAAGGCAATGCATGATACGATCAGAACAGGCCGCTAAGGTTGAAGTTAGAGTACTGAAGAGTATGAATATTGTTACGGTAGCCTGGATCGGCTGCGCGCAGTGCACGGTTAGTAGCAGAACAGGCCGTGTTAGACGCTGTCACTATCTGGGTGGCGAGAAATCTAGACCACGAGGCGGCGGGACAACAAATAATAGTGACAAGCAAACAATTTTCTAGATCTGGGCAGTTTCCAATGGGGGGAAAACACTCCTAATGAAAGGCGACTCATCATTATGCAGCCCGTTAGCAATGACCCCGACGAAGACAAAAATCCAGACGAATGTATACAATTAAATCAACGCCTGTAAATGATGTGTCTGGGATGCTCTGCTTTCCAGAACCCTCGGGGTTGGCTTCTCGTTGGGGTTTAGCGGTCTCCACAAATCTGAAGACCAATCAATTCGTGTCATTCTCCCAACTTGAATCTATATCTTGCTTGGTGAGTTTAAGCAATGGAAATCGGAGCTTCTATCGCATGAGCCATTGGCAGAGAGACATGTATTGCACACATAAAGTAATGATAGCATCTCCGTAGTAATATAGACAGAGGGCTCTATCTAATCTTCCAAAACGAACGAAAGTAACAAGTCAATTGTCAGGAAGCAAAGCATAACCACTCTCCTTTTATTATTTTCAACCCGCATTCTAGAACCAATCGTGAGGAAGAAAGAGAGGCATGGAGTCTTCCCAAATGGAGTTGGTCAGAGGACGCTTGTTGGATCCATCGGAGTCCATGATCATGATTTGACCGTAGGGCTGAAAGGTCTCATCGTATAAAGGACACTCATACTGGAACCCATACATGCCGGAGGACCACAGAATTTTCCCATCCTGGCGCCAAACGGCATGTGCATCGTTAGCGCCGCTGGAAGTTAGGATACGAAGATCAGTGCCGTCAGGGCGGATGGTGCAGACATCGTAGTTAGTCGGGGAAACCTTGCGGGTGAAGAGTATGGTATCTCCATCGGGCGAGAAAGTAGGAAGGTTATCCCAGCTACTGGTGAGCTGGGTGATATTTTTAGTCTCAATGTCGATGACTCGTAGACCAATATCTGGCTCATCGCCGTACTTCGCAGTGTCGGCACCCCAGACGCGGTAGACGATCCGTTTCCCATCGTGAGAGAAGCTGGGAAACCCTGTGTTTAGATCCTTGGTGTTATTGAGATATAGGTTGCTGGTGGTGAGTACCTCGCTGTAGGTGCCATTTGCGGTGGAGCGTACAATCCAGGCTCCTCGCCAATCACGCGCCTCAAACCAGGCTCCTACTCCAAAAACAATCCATTCGCTGTCTGGGGACCAGCTGGGGTTGAACGCGCCGGCCAAGCCTTCGGGAATCAGCGTAGTGTCTAGGAGAGTGGTATTATCAGGCTTGTAGACCAAAGAGAGCTGATCGCCCTCTACGTCAAAGGTAGCAATGGAGCAGTTCCCAAGTTGCTTTTCAGTCACAGCTACGCGATCATCTGACGAGAGTTGAGGGAACACATCAGTGAAGCGATATTCCCAGTCCCTGTCCCAGCCGTAAAGCTCCTTGAATAGCGGGCGGATGGACCAACCAGCCTTCTCGTAAACCACGTACTTTCCATCGCGTGACCACGACGGAGAGCGAATAGTGGTATTATAGTAGGTACCGTTTGTGAGGTATAAGCCCTCCTTGAAGCCGCCCTTCAGATGGTACCCAATGGTAGAATTCGTGACGTATTGAGGAAAAGTCTTCACACCAGGACCACAGACCTCCATACGACGGTCATTGCCATCGACTCCAATAGACACAATTGTGGAGTTAGCAAACCCCACAAGCTCAGGTCGATGTGCATCCCACGTCGCACTACGGGTCATCTCGTAGAATATGAGGCGCGTGCCATCAGGTGACCACTTGGGGGACCCAAGGCAATGGGCAGCACGGCGGGTGACACAGCGAAGGTCTGAGCCATCAGGGCGAATAACATAGATACCGAGCTCTTGGGTGTGCTCCCAGCCATAGAGGCCCAGGAAGGTTTGATTTCCGTGACCATCCCACATTGTGTTGCGGTCTGAGGAAAATGCAAGCCAATCTCCGTCTGGTGACCAGGCTGGACGGAAGTGACCATGCATCATGTCCTCATCTGCCCGATTATACGGGAGATCGGTGATGTTCCACTCGGCACCGGTCTCTAGGTTCTTGACCCAAATGTTAGCGTTGTAGTTATTGGCGGTTGAAACATATGCTGCCAACGTCCCATTGGGTGAGATTACAACGCTGTCTTCCGCTGCTGGGGACGTCACAATCGGCTGGAGATCGGAGCCATCTGGGCGCACACGCCAAAGATCGGAGTTTCCATCACCGTGGCGCTCACTGGTGAAGCTGATCCACTCACCATCGGGGGAGAAATCGGCGTGGTATTCATAACCGGGATGTTGCAATAGAGGACGCTCGTTGGTGCCGTCCGCGTTGGCGATGTATATTTCTGAGGTGCCGGGGGCAATGCGGTTCATTAACAAAAGGCCCTTTTTCCCAGCCGCTGCGGAAGGCATAGGAGATGGAACACCTGTAGTTGACTGGCTTGGAATGCCCCCGCGACGCAGGTGAGCATGGAGGCTAGCACCCTTGCCCACCTCAGTACCCTCATCTTGAGCATAAGGGCAGCTGGCTAACACAGGGGCGACAGCGAGACCCGCTATAGCAGCAATTCTCAGACGCATTTCAAGTGACGTCGATGGCCTGAGCAAGTCAAGCACCTCGGATAAACGGAGCGATATCCAGGGATCTTCCAATTGAAAAAAGGAGTCGAGAGTACTACCCGTGAACCTAGTACATAGGTGATATGAAATGTGGGAGCGAAAACCCGGAAGGTGCCACCTCCATAATGTCTTATATCCATAGATCTGAGGTTCCCTTGGGCGGCCCATCAAATACTTTGCTTGCAAATGATCTTCTCATAACAAATCTCTCGATAGATAACCTTCTAATGGAACTTGTCTGAACCAGCAACTTACTCATTACCTTGCATCAATTGATATTCTGCGTACTAAATGCAGGCCAAGTCGTTCTTACCTCTCAAAATAATGATTTTGATTTCTCGAATAGAGGGTTAGTAGACATCCGTACAATAGTCACAACAATGGTATTTGTATATATTATCACTGGTACAACCCGGCAGCTGAATCATTGTTTCCGCGTAACAGAACTCCGGGCATTTTACTTTCATCAAGCACTTCCTACCAAATAAGAGGCAATTAATTTACTACTTTGACTATCAGAAGAGCAGGATTAGTCTGGATAGACGCTGAATACTGCCCAGGTAACCATAAGCCTGTCATCGATTTGCCACGTTTTGGGCATAGAAGGCATTAAATAATATAGAGGATAATATATCGGACAGATTTCTAACGACTAGTCATATGTTATATAGTTCTACGCTTCAAACCATAACTATCAACACGAAATGATGCATGATGACTACAAAGACGTGAGGTATGCCAAATCGGAGTTAATAACCTGCCACTAGACCTGGATGGGCCATCCATTTTGTACAGCCAACAGATATTTATCCCATACATACTTTCCCGAAATTGAAGTAGAAGTATACGTGCTGACCTGACCTGATTTAACTTTTCCCGTCTATGAGATAGTAGACGTCTCGGGAGGTTTCACAAATTGTCCATGTGTTCAAAGCTGACATTGAACTAGGTGCCCGATCTGGCCAAGGTCGTCAATCTGGCTAGACCTGTCATGGTTAAAATAATTCATCTCAATATTAAACCCGACAACCTGGGGATTTCTCGGGTATAAATGTGGGGTGGCAAGTGGTTGAGACTCGGAGCTGTTGGATAAAGACATATCTTTCGCCATTCACGGTTGGAATAAGTTCCTCTTCGTATAGGACATGCCAGACATAATAGGCAAAAAAAAAAAGGAAGATAGATAAATTAATAAATAGAAACAGGAAAGCGTAGATTCGCTCTATTCTATCCATATACAGATTGCCAACACTCAACTGGCGAATCAAAGCCTGGTGCATTCTCCCAAACCTGATTCCACAACAATTCTCGAGTCCTTATCGAATGTCACCATAAAACTCTTCCACTTTGCCTGTCCAACTTCTGTTTTCTCTTGACCGATGACGGAGCTCAAAAACCCGCCATGTGTAACGACGACAATGTCAGGCCTTCCACCATCCTTTAGTTCGTTGAATTTCTGCTCCAGTCGACGCTGGATTCGGGCTCCGCGCAGCTTCAAGCACTCAGAGTCACTAGCGTAAAGACCTTCCTTTGCCGGGAATGTAGGGTCCATATCTAAGAGCTCCCAGGGAAGATCATAAAACTCCGTATGTAAGATAGCGATATCTGAACCAGTGTCACATGGTCGAGCTGAGTGTGCCTGCACATCTGGTTCTAACAGAAGATGCGCACCATTTTGAACCCCGACCCCGGAGCCTTGGGCGTAATATGTCTCATCGATAGTTTGCTGGAAGCCCAGGCGGGCTGTTTGAAGAGTGCGTCGGAGTGGAGATGTCATCACTAGGCCAACACTGTCCTTGAAGGGAAAGTCTTGACAGAGTTCCAAGCATTGTTCAATCCCTTTCTCTGTCAATGGTGGGTCGTGAATGTTTGTGTCATGTCCGGGATTGTGTGTTCCCTCTGCGTGTCGGATGAGATGTAACCGGAAAGACATTCTGGCGAAGGTTGGACAGTGAATCTGTGACCGAGTCGGGAGGTTCAATAGAAGGATCAAGATGAAAATAACGATAAATCCCATAAATACTCTCATTCTCTAGAATTGGATGATCGGTATAAGTATGGGGCCCCGAAGCTTATATCCGACCTTGGGAAATATCAACCGCAGCTAAGTACACTCGGACTTGGGACCGGAACCTTTCCGATTGCATTCGGACCAGTTAAAGGACAGGCTACGGATCAGCTTCCTATATGAGTATACTTGTATTTGATCAAACGACAACGTACAGAAGGGTGGTAAAAAAAAATCGATCGCGGACGATTCAAACCATCCCTAACCTTGAAAGCGATCCTGAGAGCTTGCACAAGCCGTGGAAATGTACTATTGGGAGGAATTACCGTCCTTCCCGGAGTCTCGTTTCTTCACAAAATTATTCTCAAAGTCAAGGCCAGCATCTTGACGTATGATACCGTATCCGGACGATGAATCCAAAGGTCGGCCGCCATGTGCATCTGCAAATTCCTTCGCCCGTACCATATTATCCATTACCACCTCGGCAACTTTCAATCTCGCGCCGACATCTTTAGCATAAGTGATGCCATGTTGAACATCCTTGATACCGAGATTCAAGTTGGACTGAGGGAATTGACCTGGAGGATATGGTCAGAACGAGAAAGGAAAACTCGAGGATCCTCGATTAATTTTTGATTCACAATCATACCTTCCTCTGGAATGTAAACGCCCTGTGTCATGCGCCTGGAGCTGGAATACATCATTCCAAAATTCATTTCAAGCAACTTTTCAAGCATATCTGCGCCAAGGTCACTTTTCTCCGCTAGCACATGGGCTTCTCCTACAATCTCCATGGCTCCTGCGACGATGAAATTACTGGATACTGTCAGTGAGATGATGCTACGGCAGCATGTATTGGTCGCAATCTCACCCCAAAGTTTTGAGCAGAGTGGCCTTCTCGGGCTGATCTGACACAATCATCACGTCTCGAGCAATGACACCTTTCCCGAAAGGTGCAATTTGATCAATGGCCTCGCTTGGGCCGGCCATGGCCATAAGCACCGTACCACTTTGCGCAGCAGGGGTAGCCCCGAAGATAGGTGCTAGTGTAGTAGATGAGAATCTGCAAATCATGACCGTTCTGGGCTCACTTACCAGCAACAAAGGACGCATTCCTATTCTTGAGTTTTTCATCTGTCTCCTTCGTTGTACTAGGATGGACGGTGGTAGTATCCACGAACAACTTTCCATTAATATCTTTGACAGCCAATATTTGGTCGAGGATAGCGTTCAAAGCCGCATCATCGCTGGTCTGTTGGTCAATATCAGCGCAAAGGTTCATTCTGAATATAGAAGATCCGTAGATGTCTCAGTAGAACCAAATTCAAATTATATACTTACAGATATGAATATCAGGTCACATTCGGTGACGAGCTGGGCGACAGACTCGCATCCAATAGCCCCAAGTAATGCAAGTGACGTGCCACGAGACGGCGTCCGATTCCAGAATCTCAATTGAGGTTTTGTGCCTTCTTGTAAAAATCTTTGGACATTTTTCGCCATTGCGAGTCCCATACTCCCGAGTCCTAGGAGAAATTAGAAAAGTCCATTCAGATTATTTTTCATTGCGGTACCTATCCATCCCACATGTAGTGGTTTGTTCGATCCCATTGTTGGTGATGAGTTTGGTTATAAGATGTATGTACTGATGCTGGTTCCTACGTGCAAGTTGTTGACTTGTTTCAAGGAATCAGTAAATACACCTGGTCGGGTGAGATCTCGGATGTGACCCGAGGGATGACTCACAATACGCTCCCGGCCCCAGCCCCGGGGCGCCGAACACTCTGGTTTTGGGCCTAAAGCATCCCGAGCTGGTGCCCACTAAGATGAAAAGGGTCTATGAGATGTGGGATATTGAGCCTATAGGTGAATTTGCTCGGTGACCTGTGGTTGAAGCAAGATCATCACAAAGAAGAGTACCTCTGAGCAACATCATGACTACAAAAGGACAGACAAGAGTATGTGATTGCTAGCTCTAACCTACGCATGTTCAAGTGAGTGCACATAAAGTTGTTAAGACAGGAAAGGCACAGGCCAATGTGAAAGATCAGGAAGCTATGCACAGCCGGGTTGACAGAATATTCATTACAATGAGCTACCAATGTTTCCTATACCTGATGATACGTCGATCAGTCGAACTACACAGGCTTTCAAGATGGAAATAAAGTTATACATATAACTGGGGTGTTAGCCCATAGATAGCATTAAAACTTCACAAATTTTGAGGTGCCTATACATGGGACATATCCAAACCGCAACGCCCGGAAAAAGCACTATTTAACATGCACAAATGACCCGAGCTTTAGTTCTTCTCGCCCTTCTCACCCTTCTCAAGCTTGCGTCTCTTGGAACGCAGCTTGGCGGACTCGTCGGCGGTCTTCTTGTTCGAGTACATCATCTTCTCAAGCAGCTTGCGCTTCTTCCGGCTCATCATCATCTTCTGTCTCTCGAGCTCCTCGTCCTCGGAGCGCTTCTTGGCGGCCACCTTCTTGGACTTGGAGGATCTCTTCTTGGCAGCTTCCTCAGCGGCGGCGTTAGATGTGAAAGGCAGACCAGCGGCTTCGGCCTCGAGCTCCTTCTGGTGTTGAGTGCGAGCAGCCTCCTCATCATCCTCAGACTCAGATGCGGCTTCCTCCTCAAAGCCACCGAAGTCCTCGACCTCCTCGTCAGACTCCTCATCGCTCTCGTCGTCAGTGCCGGCGACATCCATGCCTCCGTCAACGGATTCTGCATCGGATTCCTCAGCAGTAGCAGCCTCGACCGCGGGCTCGTCCTCCATCTCCTCGTCGCTATCAGAGGCCTCGGCGGCAATTTCAGCTTCATCTTCCTCCTCCTGATCGGCGAGGCTGGCGCGGGGGTCGTAAGCGCCGCGAGTAGCCTTAACCCAAGGGCTCAAGTGGGGTGGGAGAGTGGCGCCGGGTGCGTAGAGATCAGCTCGGAGAAGCTTGCCCTCGTTGATGCAGTCCCAGACCCACTGGGGCTGGACGTAGGTACGACCAGGGATGCGGCTTCCGGGCTGGATCTTCTGGACGGCATTCTCATCGGCAGCGGGAATGGCGGGAAGAGATTCCTGAGGAAGCTGGGGACGATCAACAATTTGGTGAGTGATGCGGGGATCGGTCTCGTCGTGGGTGAAAGCTCCATCGCCCAGTACGGAGGCCCATCCAACGCGCTTGCAGCCGAATGAGCGCAGAATGAACTCGATGGGAGCCTTGGGCGCTTCACGGGAAATGTAGAAGACGAAGGGGGCGAAGAGTGCACCGGCCTCGTTGCCGCTCATTCCAGGCTGGGGGAGGGTGTCGGCTTCGGGAGCAGCGGGCTCGAAGCGGTCGAAGGCATCCGTTGTCTCGTCGGGCGTAGTGTCAACCATCTCCTCATCCGCGCTCTGGTCCAAACCGGCCTTCTTGATCACCTTATCAACCTTGGCTTGAAGTTCCTTGGAGACTTCCTTATTGGAGTTGCCATTGCTCTGAGCCTTGCTAGCCTCGAGGGCCTTGGGCACCTCACCCACTGCCCGGCCCTCAAGGGTGAAAGCCGCCAACTCGGCACCGTTCTCGTCACTGCGGGTATCGAACTTAGGGGGGTATCTCAATCCAATCGAGGAGTACAGGCGGAAGTTGACGAAGCCCAGCAGGGTGGTGTAAAACTCGACGAAGGTAGCCATGATACGGTAATCGACGTCGCCATTGACACGCTGGACGAAACGGTATGGCACGAGCCACATGATGTCTTGACCCTGAATCGTGGCCTGGTAGTAAATACCCTTAATGGAAAGGAAGGATCTGCGCAGAGAGTTGGTCATGATCAGGTAGTGCTGGAACTCGTGGCAAAGGCGTTGGCAGAGCGCAACGGTCTTAGAGGGAACATGATCTGTGGATGGAAGGGTAGCGAAAAGGAATAGAAGAGACAGAGCGTCGTCAAGATCACGGAGGGCATCGATAAAGGTCGGGTAGCGCTCTTTAATGACATGGTCCAAGGTGAGTCTCGGGGCGTGGTTCTTTTCTAAACGGGAGGCATCGCTGACTTCTCCGCGGCCGAGAGAGCGGGCAATCTTTTTCGCGAGTGACTTTTGATCACGGAACTTGTTGAGCAGGGGCTCGTGTAGCAAATATTGAATGTCCTTGGTGTAATAGAAGGTGGTGTTGGGCGTGGATGTCTTCGAGGCCTTCTTCTTACTACGGGGCTCGCGAGGATAGATACCTAATATCGGAGACCATGTTAGCCTTTCGGTTCATATGGCATAGCGATAGAAGAAAAAATTACCCTTGAAGATACATAGTCGGCGGAAATCAGGCAAAGAAATCTGAAGTTTGCGCACGGCCTGAGTTCTGGTAATGTAGTTCTTGGCTGCGCCAGAGGTACCTGAAAGGAGTGTTAGTAAATTCAATTGAAATCCTCGGCTCATTTCAGCATACCCTTCTTCTTAACTTTGCCCATGATGAAAATTGGTTGTCAAAAGATCTTAATGGACTGCTGATAAGAAGAAGAAAATTTCTCGATAACTTTTTTTTCTTACCGCAACAAAGGTGGTCCGTGCCCGAAGGCGGAGAGAGACCGTTGGGTCCATATGGACCAGCTGGAATCAACAACGAGAACACTCATCCCGTCATGGCTGTAGACCGACGGAAGATTGCTGTGTTCGGCGCGGCTTTCGTATTGCGCTTACTTCTCACATGTCTTTTTCCATCATTGCCTGATTTGTTAACGGGGAGAGTCGAGGTTTCAACACCCGTCAATAGTTTCAAACGCCGTACGTGTCTCCGACCATTGGCTCCGCAGTCTATAAACTAATAATTTGCAGTGCAAGAGGGCCTATTCTTGTACACAAGAAATGTCTCGCCTTATGATGGTGGCGTCTTCCACCAGGTTCGTGGATATAGACCCCTATGACTCGGTTTCTTGAATTGACAATCCGATCTGAACGATCTAGGCACCGCTCCTGTTACCTCTGTTCGCTTTACTCCCCGATGCGAATAGCTCGCCCTTACCAACATCAATCTTCTATTTCCTTGTCGACCTTTTGAATGCGTATGCATTGATAGCCATTTCTGCGTCGGGCCAATCGGTCAAATCGAGACTACACTCGGCAGTCCGAAAACATGTCCGGTGGGATGGAGTGTCCGTTGCAGCATGGTATGCCTCTCCAGGGCCGGTCAATCATATATGATTGCTTGCTGATCAGGAAATAGGTTTTTGTTCAATCCTTTCACTATTGCGACATGTTTAGCGCGGTCAACCAGCGTATTTACAGCATCAGGAATCCTCTTTGCCGTTTCCAATGCTGTCAGTGGAAATAGCATCAATGCGATGCTAGCCCTGGGATTCGCTTCATACCTGTCTTTATACCCGGCGCTGCTCTTTGTTCCTTTGGTCCTGCTTTGCTACGACCAACGCTCGGAGAGACCAAACCCACCCAATGTTGGACCTTTCGTTGTTCAACACGCTGCCCTACTACTGGCGAGCGTGGCCGGCTTGATTGGTCTCTCGTGTCTGATCACTGGTAATTTCTGGGAGTTTATTTCGGCAACGTATGGGTTCCATCTTTTGGTTCCAGACTTGACCCCCAACGTGGGGCTATGGTGGTACTTTTTCATTGAGATGTTCGACTCATTCCGAGAGTTCTTCCTCGGCGTTTTCTGGCTTCACTTGGCCAGCTATGTAGGGGGTCTTACGGCTCGCTTCCGCAGCCAACCCCTATTTGTCATTACCTCCCTCTTGGGTGTCTTCGCCATCTTCAAGCCATACCCTAGCATTTCGGACGCGTCATTGTTTTTCGCGTTGTTGCCATTATACCGGCACCTTTTCCCACGTAAGTATATCCAAAAATCGAGTATATATCGGAATCACCTCAGCTAACTCGGCACAGTGATGCGTTATACTTTCTTTGCTGGCTCGGCAATATTGTATTCCAGCCTCCTCGGTCCCGCTTTCTACTACCTTTGGATCTACGCAGGATCCGGAAATGCGAATTTCTTCTACGCTATCACCCTAGTCTGGAGTCTGGGCCTCTCCATCCTGCTTGCTGACACCGTCTTCGCCGCTCTCAGAGATGAGTGGGAGCAAGAACACCCAGAACAAGTGGGCGCAGAGGTGCGGCAGGTGTAATGTATATGTATTGACTTTTGAACATGCGCCATTCTCATATCAACTATTAGCATTCAAACCCTTAACAAAAAGATATCCCGCTGTTATAATTTTAACCTCTTCGATAAGATTAAATAATCCACATCCTTAATAGTCCCATTTCGCAACTTGCGCGGTTGGGGCGAGTACTCATCAACCTCATATCCAAGCCGCTCATAGAACCGCCGAGCAGTCTCATTCGACTTGAAAACCGTCAACATAGACTTCTCCAATCCGACAGCACGGCCGATTCCCTCCATCTGAGCCATAAGCAATCTCCCAGCTCCCCGACCCCGGGCCACCGCCGACAAATGAATCTCGTAGCAATAAACAACCTCCTTTCCGTCCTCGTAGGTAACCATAAATGATAAAAAGCCGAGAAAATTCCGAAAACCTGTATCAGATGACGCAACAGGCTCATCGCTTTCCTTCAGTGGAGACGGAGCATTGTTGTCGACGATCTCGCTTTGTTTCCCTCCCGGAACTTGCCCGCTAGAATTACTCGAATCATCCGGCATGTCCCGCAGAATCAAGAATTTCATGTCGGGCAACTTCATCTCTTTCCGCTTCTTGATACGCGACCAGCCTACGCTCGACGCGATGTATGCTTCGCTTGAGGTTTGCTCGATTAGGTCCAAACATGCTTCCAGATCAACCGCGGAGATTGTTGCAGCGGAGTAGACATCCACGCGTGGTTTGCAGGCCGTATCTTGCCGTGGCTGGACTTGGGATGGATGGGGTTGATCCGTCGCATCATTTTGGGCTGGTTCTCTTGTTTGTGTGGGTGTAGTCACGTATTGAGCGATGAATTCGCCAATGGACAGTGCGTTGGTCTGTTCTACCAGTAGGACTGAACGGTCATTAGTACGCGTCATTCATTATATATGGTCGATACAAGCAAGTCAATACAACAAGCTTTGAGGCTGAACCAGGCTTGCGAGTGTGGTATTTACTCACTTTTGCTCGAGGCGCGTCGGGTTGTAGTTCGCGGTCCTTTGGCTTTTGGTTTTGTAATTCGGCCTTCTTTCCCAGATTGCATAGTTCAAAGATATCTGAGAGGGTTTTTGATAAGTCCAAAATTAAGTGCAACTTGAATATAAGGATTTGGGGATAGCTGAAGAATGTGGGCCGGCGACCCCGGACTTTGACCGTTGCCTGTTAACGGGAAATATACGCGCATTGACTTGTTCAACTTCGAATTATTATGCAGATAGATCCTGTTTCCCAAAAATATTCTCATCATTCTCCACGTACTAGGATATAGTATATAGAGTAAGTATGGTGTGAAGAATGCATAAGGTGCTTCTTACGCTTCAAAATCAAGACGTTTTTGGTTTTCGGTTTGTTCTTCCTGTTTTTATATATGCGACTTCTGAAGCCGAGAGTATCCATCTTGTCTTGTTCTTTTCCTATCCTTAATCACCAGATTATTTTCTTTAATCTCTCCGTTTTCTTCATCCTCAACCCCACTACACCCTAAATCCAATTAGCTGGATGCCCTGTCAGTCTTAGTGCGGCTACTGATGGCAATACGCCCTGACAAGACTAGATACGCATGAAGCTACATCTGGCAAAGAAGATTAAGCGACGAATTTCCTATCTGAGTAATAGGATTTGTGAGGCCTTCTAATTAATCCTTCCGTCATACACTGGGTGGATCTTTCGCCTAAAGGAGACATATATACGTCAGGGACTCCAAGATTATAAATTCCCCCCAATACCATTTACGTTCACCTCTTGTAGCTATAGTAAAACATATTAGGAAAAATGTCTCCTTCCACTATGAAACAATGGGTCGTTGAGGGCAAGGAGCACGGCTTTGATGGTCTTGTTTACAAGGACGCTCCTGTTCCGAAAGTCGGCGAAAATGAAGTCTTGGTGAAGCTCCAAGCTGCGTCACTGAACTATCGCGATCTCACTATCCCAAAGGTATGGCCTTGAGAGAAGTCGATAATCTTTTGATTGAGTTGTCTGCGAAAGGCTACTACTCCGCCATAACCAACTTCTAACCTCTCCAACAGGGTCTCTACCCATTCCCTCTCAGTCTTCCTGTGGTGCCAGGATCGGATGGCGCGGGCGAAGTAATTGAAGTGGGATCCAAGGTTTCTCAATTCAAGAAGGGTGATCAAGTCGCGACTCTCTTCAACCAGGGCCACCAATACGCCGAGATTGATACATACGCAGCGGGTACTGGCCTAGGTGGTGTGATCGACGGTACTCTGCGCGAGTATGGCGTATTCAACGAGCAGGGTCTTGTCAAGGCTCCAAGCAACCTTAATGCCCGCGAAACTAGCACTCTAACGTGCGCAGCGCTCACCAGCTGGAATGCATTGTATGGTCTGAAGCCTTTGAAACCCGGCCAGATTGTTCTTGTGCAAGGAACTGGTGGTGTTAGTATGTTTGGCCTGCAGGTGAGTACTGGGCTCATTTATACTCTTTGGGAATGGACACGGCTAAGACGATTTGTTTTAATAGTTCGCCAAAGCTGCTGGGGCGACTGTTATCGCCACAACATCTTCTGCCCAGAAGGCCGAGAAGCTCAAGAAGCTCGGTGCTGATCACATCATCAACTATAAAACCGAGCCCAACTGGGGTGATGCTGCTCGCAAGCTGACTCCTGGCGAAGCTGGTGTGGACTATGTCATCGAAGTGGGTGGTAGCGGAACTCTCAAGGAGAGCCTCAAGTGTATCAAGTACGAGGGTATCATCAGTGTTATTGGGTTCCTTTCAGGCGTGGACCCCAAGACACAGCCCACTGTTCTGGAGGCATTGACTCACATCTGCACCGTGCGTGGTGTTTATGTGGGTAGCAAGGCTCTCATGCAGGATATGATCCGAGCCATCGAGGCCAATGATATCCACCCTGTGGTAGATGACAAGGTGTTTAGCCTTGACCAGACACGGGAAGCATATGATTACATGGTAGGTCATTTCCCATCTATGAGTGTTCACATGCTAAAATATTGGACTTTAGTGGGCCCAGAAACACTTTGGGAAGTTGACCATCAAAATCAACTAAGAATGGGAACCGGCTAGGAACGTGTGCTTGCTAGCATCTATACGATCATATGTGAGCACCATCTGTGTACAGAGCTGGCAAGGAAACTGCGAGAGAAAAGGAAGTGTAACTTCATGGGAACAACAGCCGGTGGCCTAGTGGTAACATGACAATGTGTACTACGAGGGAAGTGCCTCAGATCTTCCACTACTTGACTGTTCCGGTTCGATCCGTCGAGACCGCGCTTATGACTTCTTTTTTTCTCTTTTTATTTCTCTGTTTAACCTATTACTTCTCTTTAAATGGATAGGTTGATAATGGAGATCTGCAATACTTGACCCCAGTGTCTCTGTTGGACATCTTTCTGACGTGTATTTTTCAAGACTCTCAATATTAAAACTGATTATTCCAAAATAATTTGCTGATAGACACTTCCCAGGTTGGGGGTAAAGGCATTCTGGTTGGTAGACAGGGCTGAGAGCTTCCCCGCCACTTCCCCTGCATGACTTAAAACCAACCACCTGGAAGCTCCCTTCTCTCTGTTACACTCAAGAAGCCTTCTCTAGCGTTGCTTCTGGTATACTTGATAACCATTTTTGTTGACGATCCTCTGCTGAATACCTGTGTCAACCACCTTTTTTCTTCAATGCAGGTCAACAAGGGAGATATCTCCTCAACACTCCCAATCAAGGGCAGCCAAAGTACTCGGCAGTCACTGGCACCATTTGTGCGCCCAGCTCAGATGGCCATGTTTGCACGAGTAACATCCTACCCCCGCTAGGGCAAATCACTTGTCACCAACCGGTGCAGAAAGCATTACAGTCTAAAGAAGATACCGTGAGTCCCCCAAACATGGTCGACCACATTTGATGTCGCTAGCAAGACTTCCCTACAATTATTGAAGTTGAAATGAAAAAGCATACTGAAATCGTCAACAGCTACGTTTCACGGTCACCATCGAGTCCAGTAGCTCATTCCCCGCACAATCATGGGAAGCGCAGATCTGGCACAACATCAATGGACCCAAATGGGGATCTCTACCATTGCAGAGTTGCAAGACAGATCATGCCGCTCTTTTGACCGGAGATGACAGCGAGTACAACTATCATCGTTATGTATTCTCAGAGGTAGTATCTCTGCCAGCCGCAGGCGGTCATGCACAGTTCACCGTGCGCTTCAGAACTGGTCCAGATACGGAATGGCAGTGGGCCAATGAAACTCACCACGTGAGCGATGGTGAAATTGTATATAGTGCACGCCACTCTGCTTTCGACGAGGCTCTATCTACGGAACTTGCAGCGCAATTCCCCAAAGAACAGCTTGAGAAATACATCGACACCCTCCACGAGGACTTGCAGATTCAATCACGGCCTAGTGAAGCTCCTGGTTCGGTCCTCTGGGCTCTGTCTGGCGATATAGATGCTGTTCAAAACGGATCTTCAATCATCAAACAAGTTGCACTTGGGACCCCGTCGTCAGTGGTGAAGTATTTCTCATTGGTTCGTGTTTGGAGCCCATGGTTGGGTCCTAGACATGGCAAAGACAACTTTCGACTTACCGAAGATGCAATACTTTGCTCTTTTCTGCGCAGAGATGGCATCAATCTTGTTCTACTGGCTGTTTCGGGAGTCAATGATGTTTTGACTGTGTTTCAGTCAGGAGCAGAGGGTGAAGTTGTCATCTCCGCAAAGAGTGACAATTCAGAAACATCAAAGTTCCATGTGCTTGTCAGCGCCGCGGAGAACTTCGAAGTTGCCATGTCTGCGGTAGTTTACGAGGCACGGAAAGTAGTCAGACCTTTTGCAGATCCGAGTCATCTGGATCTGAAAGATTCAGTCCCATCATCTCCCCTTGGTGATGATATAGTCCTTGTCGAGAAGGATCCAAGTGCACAGTGGCTGTCCGAGTGGTTTGACGGTCTCACATATTGTACCTGGAATGGACTGGGGCAGGATCTCACGGAACAGAAAATCATGCATGCCCTGGACTCACTGAAGTCTAATGGGATCAACATCACCAACCTTATTATTGATGATGGTTGGCAGACAAACGACAATGAGAGTGAATCTCAGTTCAAGCAAGGCTGGAAACAGTTTGAGGCACATTCAAAGGGATTTCCTAAAGGATTAAAGCATACTGTAGGAGCTATTCGTCAAGCACATCCCAATATTGAACATGTTGCGGTCTGGCATGCTTTACTGGGCTACTGGGGAGGTATCTCACCAGATGGCGATCTAGCTCAAAGATTCAAAACAAAGCGAGTGAAGATCAAAGATCCCGCCGCGAATGGACCCATTGAAGAGAATCTTCCAGACGGAACGATTCTCGCCATTGACCCCGAGGATATTAAACAATTCTATGAAGACTTTTATAGTTACCTTACATCTGTCGGTATAGACTCAGTCAAGACGGACGCACAATTCTTCCTCGATCTTCTTGAGGACGCCGAGGACCGCCGGCGATTCATGACTTCTTATCAAGATGCATGGTCTATCGCATCACTCAAGCACTTCAGCACTCGGTCAATGTCTTGCGGATCAATGACCCCCCAGATAATCTTCCATTCGCAAATGCCAACCAACAAACCGGCGCTTCTACTGCGGAACTCTGACGACTTCTTTCCAGATGTTACCGCATCTCACCCGTGGCATGTATTCTGCAATGCCCACAACGCACTATTCACCCGTTACTTGAACGTATTGCCCGACTGGGATATGTTCCAGACGAGTCACGCATACGCATCATTCCACGCAGCTGCACGATGTGTTTCGGGAGGGCCGATTTATATCACCGATGAGCCGGGTAAACACGACTTGAGCCTGCTCGGTCAGATGACTGCACCTACGGTCAAAGAAACCACGGTGATCTTGCGTCCTAGTGTCATCGGACGCACGATAGACATATACCACGACTACAACGAAGGGAATGTCCTGCGTATTGGAAGCTACACCGGCTGGGCCAAGACCGGAAGTGGAATTATGGGCCTTTTCAATATGCAGTCTGCCGAAGCCTCGATCATAGTCTCACTGATGGATTTCTCGGGAATTCACGAGGACTCCGAAGGCCAGTATATCGTGCGCGCACACAGCAGTGGTAGGATCTCACCTCGCATGCGGGCCTCTACCCAGAAATCTGTGGTGTCAGTTGTTTTGGAGCCAAAAGGCTGGGAAATTCTCACCGCATACCCGATTCGGTCGATCCCGCTAACGGGAGGTCGTGGTGGAAATCCCTCTGGTGATAATCTGACACATGTGGCGGTGCTGGGACTTTTAGGAAAGATGACTGGCGCAGCAGCTATGGTAACTTCGGATACATCTGTTCTTGAGAACGGCCGTTTGCGACTCAATATCAGCTTAAAAGCACTGGGCACTCTGGGGATCTATTTCTCAGATCTCCCAAACAAGAGCATCGCAGAGAACTTCATGGTCATGATTCTAGGACGGCCAGTTCCACAGAGTACAGTGTGGAAACAGGGTGGGGAGAATGCTAATGTGCTGGCAATTGATGTATTGACAGCATGGAGATCCATGAAGTTGGACAGTGGATGGAGTAACGAGGCCTTTGTACAGGTTTTTGTAGGCTGAGTTGATACCTCAGACCCAGTTGTCTTTAGGCTTTAGTATCGTATGTTTCTGGTAGAGATAGTACTATTCCAACACAGCATCCTTTCTTTACAATGGAACCTGATGTATACTTCTGTGGCCCTAAGCCCTAAATTTGGTCCAGATTGGGAAATCAATCAGCATGTCGGTGATAAGGGCCGCATCATTGATGTTCCGGACTTATCGAAAGAATCTCGGACATCGGGATCTATTGATCGCGTCCAGACTTGAGTTCATTGCGTGCCGTTTCATTAATATTCGCATTCATAAACCGGTCCAATGCGGCCAAAGTCGACATCGCTCGGCCTAGCGCCATACCGCACCCTTCTCGCCCCTCACCGGATTCCATGCGGAGCGCGCAGCTTTGCCGCAACAACAGCGATTCCGCTACGCGGTGACGGCAATCGGCCAGCATTGTCCGCTTTGCAGTCTAGCACATGCTTTCAACAGCAGAGATGGATTACGCAAAAACATATCCAGCGCATGAAAGAAGGTGAGAAGGAGTGGGCTGAGTTTGCAAAGGAAATCAAGGCCGGGAACAGGAAGAACTTCGCGCAACACCTTGAGGAGCGAGGATTGATTCATGATGTTGTCGGGTATGTTACATCGCAATATGCTAAGCCTCATGGTATTGGCTGCAGAAAATTCTTTACATGGATCGCTAATTGTTTTCCTTGGATTGAAGTGAACGGGAGCTGCTGCATAAGGTCTTGACAGAGAAGCGGGCTGGAATATATGTTGGAATTGACCCGACTGCCCCCTCCATGCACGTTGGACATATGCTTCCTTTCATGGTTTTGGCTTGGGGATATGTCTGGGGCTTGCCTGTGACATTCCTTGTAGGTTGCCTGCAACTTCGGGCTCAATTGAATACCTTTACTAATGCCCTATAGCTCGGCGGTGCTACCTCTAGAGTTGGCGACCCCAGCGGACGCCTCAAGGGCCGAGACGCGGTCCATTCCTCTATCCGAAAAGCAAACATGGCTAGCATGCACATGCAATTGAAGAAGTTGGGCTCTAGCATTGAGCAGTACGGCAGAAGACACGGCTATGAGAGACACCCTATGTGGAAGCGGGCGTTGACGAACAACAACACTTGGTGGAACTCGATGCCTTTCCTCGAAGTGTTGAGAGACCTTGGCGCTTTCATGCGACTTGGTCCCATGCTCGGCAGAGATACGTGAGTTTTGGCAGGCCTGACGGTGCTTCTGTCGCGGTTCACTGATGTTTTCTACTAGTGTCAAGACACGATTAAGCCAAGGCGATGGCATGTCATTTGCTGAGTTTTCCTACCCTATTCTCCAGGCCTGGGATTGGTGGACGCTGTTCCAAAAGGGCACTCAAATCCAAATTGGAGGTGCCGACCAATATGGAAATATCCTGTTTGGCATGGAGGCTGTCAAGTCGATCAGCCGAAACACCGCCGACGAACAACTTCGCAACCCATTAGAATCAGAAATCGATCGGCCGATAGGTTTCACCACGCCGCTACTGGTAGCTCCGTCCGGCGAGAAGTTTGGCAAGTCTGCCGGAAACGCTGTCTGGCTCGATAAGGACCTGACTTCTACATTCGAACTTTACCAGTTCTTTGTGCGCACACCTGACGACGTTGTCGAACGCTACCTCAAGCTTTTTACTTTCATCCCCCTACCCGAAATCGCTACTATCATGGAGGAGCAGAATAAGGACCCTTCCAAGCGCGTTGCGCAGCACAAGCTTGCCCTTGAATTTGTCGAACTTGTTCATGGCAAGGTCGAAGCTGATGCCGTGGCTCTCCAACACCGCCAGCTTTTCCGTCCCCGATCCTCAACTGGAGAGCCCACTCCTCTTCCCAAGTCATCCGGTCTTTCCGCTGGTCATCCCCAATCTCCCACCGCCGGGTTCCAGACTCCCCAGTCCGGGAACCCATATGCTCCCCAAACAAACTGGGCCAACATGGGCGATATCAAGGTCACCCTTCCCGAATCCCTTGTCTTCAACCAGCCGTTCAACAAAATTCTGTGGTCAGCTGGCCTTGTTTCATCCAAGAGCGAGGGACACCGAGTCATAATCAACAATGGCGCTAAAGTCGGAAGTCGTCCTGGTGATAGTGGTCCCATGTCGGACCAATTGTCTTTCACACCCATCCGGCCTTGGGAGGCCGACAAAACTAAAGAATTTGTCTTGAATGGCAATCTTCTGATGCTCAAGTTGGGCAAGTGGAAGCTCAAGGCCGTTCACATTGTGACTGACGAAGAATTCCGCGCCCAAGGGCTCACAGCTCCTGGTTGGGAGACTGAGGCCGTTGAGCCGACTGAGCCGGCTGAACCAACCAAGTCGGAATAATGTAAATCTCCGCTAGATCTGTAATTCTACAATATCCAATCTGTACAATAGTATAAATATTAGAAAGTCATCAGCATTTGAAACCATATACATTTGATAATGGTGGGAAAAGGCAATATCGCGGATGTCCGAAAGGTGTCGATCAATAGACAGGTCGACTCTCGGAGAAAAGTGCTTTACGCGTCGACGCGATCCGCGCCTTATCTCCTCCTCCCCGTCCCCAGTTCCCTCACAACTCCCCTACCATGTTGAGTTGAGAGCGTACTGTCTTTTACCCCCAATTGCTTTTAATTTATAAAAAAATATGGCCAAACCATCGGCCTCATCTCCGTCTGCAGCGTCATCGCCTGCGCTCAAGCGCACGACCCCCAGCACCCAGAACATGCGAAGTCAGAAGTCAATTCTTGGGTTCTTCCAAAAGTCCTCTCCAGCGACCCCTTCGAACAATCGGACGCGAGAACCGGCATCATCACCTGCACAGAGAGCCTCCGAAAAGCGTACTGAGAGCGCTGTCAAGCCCACACCGAAGGAACAAAAGCGAAGCTTCTCAAGCTTTGCCCAGGATTTGAGTCCTGTACCAAGCAGCGATCTTCTTATACCAGAAGAGGAAGAGGAAAGTGGTAATGCTTTAAAGGTACATTGATCTAAAGTCTGTTGTTTGTTATATTCCTTCCCTCTGACTAAACTCTTCACTTCTTAGACCACCAAGGAGGCACAGCAGGACTCCACCATGTCGCCTTCGCGTCGGGTACGTATGCCGTCTAGTTGCTTAATTGGTCTACCCTACTAACATATCTGACCAGGGAAAAAAGAAGGTGAGCTACAAGGAGTCTGACTCTGAGGGTGAGGATGACGACGAGGTTATTTTCCGTCCTAATCGCAAGGACCGTGCCTCCGGCCGTGCGGCCAAGAGAAGACGAACTGAACCGGAAAGCGAGGACGAGTTCAAAGATGCAGAAGACAATGGGGAATATTCGGACGATGGTATGGTATTCTGTTGCTGGTTAGCTTTGCTAGCATGTGATTAACCAAGATATAGATATGGACGATTTCATTGTTGCAGATGACTCCGATGAGGAAATAGCCACATCCTCCACCAAGCGGAAAAGACCATCTACACAATCGACACGCAAGCCTACCTCCAAATCTTCATCTGTCCCTGCTCCTCCCCCGCCCGTCGACGACCTCGATCTTGATATCCCAGAGGGAGAAGGTTCAGCTGGAACCGCGAAGAAATGGGCGTTTGATCCAGAGAATACAGAGCCTCGGAAAGAAAGAGTTGCTGTGGCGTCTACCAAAACCGCATCCAATACGAAAAAGGTCAAGGCCCACACCAGGGAGCCCGAGCAGCGCTATCCATGGCTTGCTAATCTCAAAGATATTGATGGCAATCCTCATGGCCACCCTGACTACGATCCCCGAACTGTTTACATTCCTCCGCTCGCATGGTCAGGGTTCTCACCTTTCGAGAAGCAATACTGGGAGATCAAGCAGAAATTCTGGGACACTGTCGTTTTCTTCAAGAAGGGCAAATTCTATGAGCTCTATGAAAACGATGCCACCATTGGTCACCAACTTTTTGATCTCAAGCTCACGGATAGGGTGAACATGCGCATGGTTGGTGTTCCCGAGATGAGCTTAGATCACTGGGCGAACCAATTCGTGGCCAAGGGTTTCAAGATTGCCCGTGTGGACCAGTCTGAATCCGCGCTTGGTAAAGAAATGCGTGAGAGAGAGGGCAAGAAGCCCACTAAAGAAGACAAGATCATCAAGCGAGAGCTTGCATGTGTCCTTACGGCGGGTACACTGGTCGAGGGTTCCATGCTTACAGATGATATGTCCACATACTGTGTTGCAATCAAGGAGGCAATTGTGGACGAACATCCCGCGTTTGGTATCGCATTTGTCGATACTGCTACGGGCCAATTCTTCTTGTCTGAGTTTGTGGACGACGTTGACATGACCAAATTCGAGACTTTTGTCGCGCAGACCCGTCCTCGGGAGTTACTACTGGAGAAGTTTTGTGTTTCACAAAAGGCAATGCGCATTTTGAAAAATAACACTGGGCCAACCACTATCTGGAATTTCATGAAACCTGGAAAGGAGTTCTGGGAATCTGATATCACGATTCGGGAGCTTGAGGCAAGCGAGTATTTCGTTTCCGTTGACGACGATAACCTCACAGCCTGGCCCGAGACCTTGCGTCAAGCCCGTGAGAAGGAATTGCTGATGTGTGCATTCGGTGCTTTGGTTCAATATTTGCGAATGTTGAAGATCGAACGGGACTTGATTACTATTGGCAACTTCACCTGGTACGATCCCATCAAGAAGGCTACAAGTCTTGTACTGGATGGCCAAACTCTGATCAACATGGAGATCTTCGCCAATTCCTTCGATGGCGGATCTGAGGGCACTCTGTTCCAGTTACTCAACCGATGCATTACGCCCTTCGGCAAGCGCATGTTCAAGCAGTGGGTGTGCCACCCATTGATTGATTCAAAGAAAATCAATGCCAGATTGGATGCTGTGGATTCACTCAATGCCGATCCCAGTGCTCGGGACCAGTTTTCTTCCCAGTTGACAAAGATGCCAGATCTCGAACGACTGATCTCTCGTATCCACGCTGGTAATTGCAAGGCTCAAGACTTTGTACGTGTCCTAGAAGGATTCGAACAGATCGACTATATCATGGGTCTCCTCAAGGAAAGTGAGACTGGCTCAGGCGAAAGCATTATTGGTCAATTGACAAGCGCGATGCCCGATCTTACATCTTTGCTGGAATACTGGAAGACCGCATTCGATCGTCCAAAGGCAAAGGATAATGGAATCCTTGTTCCAGAGTCGGGCGTCGAAGAAGACTTCGATAACTCCCAGGAGATCATTGAGCAACTCCACCGGGACCTCGACGCCGTGCTGAAGAAAGCTCGCCGGGATTTGGGGTCGTCCGCTATCTGCTACCGGGATAACGGCAAGGAAATCTACCAACTTGAAGTTCCAATCAAAGTGAAAAACATTCCTAAGGATTGGAATCAGATGTCAGCAACCAAGCAGGTCAAGCGATACTACTTCCCCGAGCTCCGAAGCCTCATTCGCAAGTTGCAAGAGGCTCAAGAAACCCACAGTCAAATCGTTAAAGAGGTTGCCGGGCGGTTCCATGCCCGCTTCGATGAGCATTACAGCACATGGCTGGCTGCTGTTAGGATTGTATCCCAGCTTGACTGCCTCATCAGTTTGGCCAAAGCTTCCGGGGCCATTGGTCATCCCAGTTGCCGACCAGTGTTTGTGGACGATGAACGAAGTGTCCTCGAGTTTGAAGAGCTTCGTCACCCTTGTCTTCTTTCCTCTGTTGAGGACTTTATTCCCAACGATATCCAGCTTGGTGGCAATCATGCTAGCATTGACTTGTTGACCGGTGCCAACGCTGCCGGAAAGTCTACTGTTCTCCGAATGGTATGTTCAACTCGTTTTCCCCTTTGTTTTAATGCTGTTGCTAACAAGTATAGACCTGCGTTGCTGTTATTATGGCCCAGATTGGTTGCTACATTCCTTGCCAGTCAGCTCGACTAACCCCGGTTGACCGGATCATGTCTCGACTCGGTGCAAACGATAACATCTTCGCTGCCCAGTCGACATTCTTTGTCGAGCTTTCTGAAACAAAGAAGATTCTCTCCGAGGCTACTCCTCGTTCACTCGTCATCCTTGACGAGCTCGGCCGCGGAACTAGCTCCTATGACGGTGTTGCAGTGGCCCAAGCCGTACTACATCACATTGCTACCCATATCGGTGCCCTAGGCTTCTTCGCCACCCACTACCACTCCCTTGCTGCCGAGTTTGAAAATCATCCCGAAATCGCACCCAAACGTATGGCCATCCATGTCGATGACGTTGAGCGCCGTGTGACATTCCTGTACAAGCTTGAGGAAGGTGTTGCAGAAGGTAGTTTCGGCATGCACTGTGCATCCATGTGTGGGATTCCAAGCAAGGTCATTGAATGTGCGGAAAATGCTGCCAAGCAGTGGGAGCACACTAGCCGACTCAAAGAGAGCCTGGAGCGCCGCAAGGGCGGTGGCCTCATCGGCCTGGGCTGGTGGAGTGACGTCGCCTGGGCCCTGCGTGAGTCTGTCACAGAGGAAGACTCGAATGCCGGCGATGTCTCTGATCGCGGCTTGGATGTTTTGATGAAGGCGATTGAGGCACTTTAATGATCGAGATGCTTGTTAGATGGTGATTCGTTCTTTCTTTTGTCCTTCTTCATAATGTGGGCTTATGATGCTTGTCCATGTTTCTATTTTTCACTTCGACTGGCAGATCGTGTCAGCTTTTATTCTGTTCTTTTATCTGTTGATTAAAATGGCGCTTTTGGATCCGTTTGGTTATCTCGTCATTCTTTGCGAATCCAGCCTCCCTCCCTTTCCTAGAAATATGCATCTCCATAGCAAAACAAGTTTTTCATTCCAATCAGCCCTAAACCCAACATCAAATCCAATCAACCAGGTCTCTCCCTCCAATTCCTCCGTTTTCTCCCTCCTGTTCCTTTTCTGTTGACGTCAGAAAATAACCCTGTCGATTGAACAAAACACACACCACATAGAACATCGCGGCAAACACGCAATTGAACAATTCAACGGTTGATAATAGTCCGTACCGACCATGTAGATACCAACTTCCCCTTCTAGCAGATATGATAGCAGCAATCGATCGATGGCAAACATGACGAATTTCAGGCCCCTCGGCTTCCTTACTCTTCTCATTCGTTCTTGACTCAATTAGCCTTGGCGATTGTTGAGCAGCTCGGCGTCTGACGTCTTCATCGATGTCACTATCGTTGTTTGAGGCATCAGGTAGTCCACTGGGCTTCGCGAGTCACTTATGCTTGGCTCTATCATAACTATGGCGGAAAGAGGAGGTATCCATATCTATACCAGATGACTCGCAGGTACCTTCTTTGGTAGATCCATTTTCGAACCCGTTTGGGTTTCTGTCACGCTTCACACCACGCTTGCGCTGGACAGTTGGACAATCGGTGCGGGAGGACATGGGCTTTATGCCTGCATGGGAAAGACTGTTCTTTCCCTTTGTGACTCCATGGTCTGTAGGGTATCAGGTATTTCTGTTGCGCTCTGCAGTTTTCTGCTTCGTGTTCCGACGCTGGTCTTGCTTGGGATTTGAAGTCTGCCAGGGAATACCCATTGTCCTCAAGCTCGTTGTTCTCGCTATCTTTACCGTCGCTGTCGGGGCGTGCTCTTGCCTTTTCCCTTACGCCTAGCATGGTCGTGGGGCTTGGCCTCTCAGCGATGGCCCTTGGACCGTTCTTTGTCTGGTCGTCAGATGTTTCTTCTGTAGCGGTGTCACATCTCTGTTTCGCGAAAGTCGAGAAAATTTGCACATCAGAAGAACATAAAGATAACGACCTTTTCCATAGCGTTTCGGAATGCAGGTGAAGCATTACGGGGTTTCACATTCACAAGCAGCGCCAGACGGTCTTTATCAATTTCCTGACACATGTTCAGTACAAGGTAGTATTCAGAGTCTGTGGGTAGCAACCTGTGGGCCATGACAAAAGTTTGCCAGAAGTAGATGATTGACATCAGCCCCGCTAAGACTAAGCTATCCGGGATTCTTTGCCCAAGTTGAGAAGCCATGATGTGCTAGTGGATGTAGTTCTTGGCTAGATAAACTGGCGTCAAAGGCAGAATCACAGGGTGTGTTGAAGGAGGATGAAAAACAAAAGGCAAAGAAAGACATCTTATACCAGAGCTTCACAAATGTACCGCGTGTGTACACACATTCACCAGCAATATCATGTTGTGCAATGTGATTATCATTAGGCAAAGGTACGGTGCGGCCATCCCCATGTGAGACGGCGAACTAAATACACCTGATACACACCCTGTAACGTACTTGCAGTTAAATCAATTTCTCAGAAACTCAGATCCCATAAAAGACTCTGCGAGAAGTTCCCTGTCAATATCCTTGGGGAAAGCTGCCTCAAAGCCCCATTCCTATTCCTCATTCCGTGCCGAAGACATGATGATACCATTCACCACCTAGTCCACAGGTTCAGGCTTGATGTCCATAAGATCGGCATTGAACTTCCACAGATCTTCGATATCATCTTCAGGTTTAGCTTTGATCTCCATTTTCACGGGAAAATCAAAGCTTTCTCCAGATCCAGCGTTGGTCTTGTTCTCAACTTCAGCCTCGGGCTGTGGTTCTGTAACTTTGTCACGACGCTTTTTTGCGCGGCTTTTGGGGAGAGAATTGTCATCCACAGGGGTATTATTCTGCTCGTCCAGAGTGTTCAGTTGAGCCTCGAACATCTTTTCGAGCTTTCGTTTCACAGATGGAAATCGGCTTGCTGCCGAATTTCTCTTCATGTTGGTCAGCTTTCCGAGTTTGTTGGTGTCAAGCTAAGTTATAGGGACTGTCAGTTTGAATCATGGCTTGAAGTCTAGGAGAAGTAGCATACCTTTCCTGGGGTGCACAGGACACTGGCCATGATGAGCTTCATTTCGCCGGCTGTGAAATCGCCTAAGTGGTCGGGCTTCTTCTTGGGAGACGGGGACGACATTGCGTCAGTTGAGAACATATGTAGCAGTAGTTTTGTTGATGGGTTCTCTGACTGTTGTGGAATCGTTTGTTGCTGTGGTGAAATATGGATGATTCCGAGTTCGAACTGTTGTGTGATGAAGAGGAAGGAATATCACTTTCACTTGATTTGGGGAAATAAGAAACTTGTGATTTTGGATATGAAGCTAACAGATTGCCTCGGATCTTTTGACCCAATTAAGTGTACTTCACAAATTTATTTGCGGATCTTGGACCTTGTATGATTCACCATGAATGAAGTTTTATGCTAGGATTGACCCCGAACAAGAAATGTCCACCTGGAAACTCGAGCAAAGATGAAAGTTACAAATTCCCCATTGCTCTTGATCTAGAGCTCATTTTATCCTAGCTCCCCAGTATCCTCGGCATGTGCATCCTTCACAGCTTCCATGGCATTTTCGGTATCTTTCTCCTATTCTTCGGCTTCCTTGGTAACTGCTCCAGCAGTCCTCTTTTCCTCCCATTTCTCAAGGGTGCGTCGAGCCTTAGTGAAGGTAGTTCTAGCAGAATCAGGCGTGACATTGCTGAACTCCGCGAGCTTCTTCCAATCAAGCTGTCCAGAATATTCAGCCGGGGCTCTCATGATACGAGATTTGACAGCACACTCTCTTACTGACCTTTGATTTCTTCATGCACAAATATCCCATCAAGAGGTGCTCTGTCTGGCTTGGAGTGAGCCCCAAGCTTCTTACTAGATTGGGGCTTTTCTGTTGCTTTTGGGAAGACATGGGTGCTGTCTGTGATATTAGACAGCAATTGAAGTTGAATAAGAGATTGTAGAATCAAGCATTGTAGACATCAATCTTAAAATAATAAGAAACTGTCAAAACAGATAGAAAGATTATGCCGAAGACATAGCCACTTGTGGGGGATTTCAGAGAAAGGTCCCATTTCGCCAGGGACTCGCATAATCCACCATCCCGATTCGACATGTTCCATCAAGGGATGCTTGTAATAAATTGGAGTCTCCCTAATGTCCCTTTTGTCCCGGCTGAAGTCTTAATGATAGGGCTAGAGACTGCAGACTAGAGACCGTAGACATCATTCGATCTAGTAGATTGATTACCAACGGAATACCCCCATAACCACAACGCCTGGCAACAAATTCAAACTCATGATCGTTCCTAAAACTAAGAAGATCTGACCATGTATTCTCCAATATGCTTTGACACTCTCCATCACCTGCTTTCTCATCCTGCTACTCAGCGGCGTCGAACATCAGCGTAGAGAAAGGTTTCTATAGTATCAACCATTCTCGATCATCACTCGTCTCTCTTGTCCAGTTCATTCGTTTAAACCAGACTTGTTTAGACGAATTCTGATTTGAACCCTCGAAAGAATCCTGTATCAATGGCAACAGCTTTTTGATCATGTTCAGCTCGTAAATAAGGCGTGTTGACTTTGATCACTTCATGAAGGAGTCAAAAATGTACCAATCAGTATCACTGGGCTTCATTACGCACATTGCCCCAAGTAGTGGGGTGATAGATGGTCCAAATGAGTATTTCAGCAATGTTCTGTATGGGTGATTGATTATTGGATGGGCCGTTCAGTTACTAGCTGTTGACTAGGGCTTCAACTCGAGCTGGGGCGAGAATATAGATTAAGATGATTATCAAGTAGCGCTTTGCAGTATCAAAGTAAATTGTAGCACTTGGGGAAGTAGAAGACAATATCTGGCACGGGCAAGTTCCATTGGATAGTCCCCCATAACTATCAGTTCCTACCAGCGTACAAATAGCTCGAGAGACCATTCATCGGAAGCCCGCTTCCTACAAAACTGAACCAAAGTCGATATTATCCACTCCACTAATTGTGTGAGGTCCCAGCAACTATTAAACCGATGTGTGGTCCGTTGATCAGGAATTGATGGCGATTTCTGAAAGGAAACAGTCAACATTGCTACAGAGAAAGACATCATATGTAGTTGGATGTAAGTTTCTCAGTCTGGCAATGTACTTCGACATGGAGCTAAATGTTGATATATATAGTGCATAGAGTGAATATGGATACCCCTTGCAGCCGGCTATTTGCAGCGTTATACACATATGGTTCCAGGGCTATACTAAACAGCTATCATTCTGGGATTGACATTGAAGGCAATGCAAGAATAGTTGGCCGCTTATGTCCTAGTGGTCTTTTCAGATGTTATGTTTGGAAGTTTGATTTTCTGCATGACCTGAGATTTTGGATATGACCTCCATATTCTTTGCAACCATCCTCAATGAGAACACCCCCCAAGCCTAAGTTATTTATATACATCTATTCCTACGCACACAAAATCACTACAGCTCCAGAACAGGAGGAGTCAATGCACCCCCCATACGACCTTCTATTACCAACCTTGGAATGTACTTCATACATGATGGGTAGGTTCTAGAGCATGCAAACGCAATATCCACTGTGTTTGATTTGGATGTCATGTCGGTTGCTTTAGACAAACCTGCAGCAGACACATTTTCGCTTTTTACATTTTTTTGTTTTTTTTTTTTGGTTTTCTCTTCTTTTTTTCCTCAAGAGCATTCACAATTCCCCTCGGTAACATCCTCCCTTTCTCCTCCTGATCCCATCCTAGCCACCTCCTAGAAACCAATTGTTCTCAAATGTCCTTGTATGATTGTTCCATCTCGTGCTCTTGAAGTGCTGAGCCCAGATTTAATCGTCCTCCTCTTCGTTCTCTTGCACATCTTCATAGGGGGCATCATCCTCTTCCTTGGGCGATGGGGACTCAGGAAGCTGCTGGTTTACCGCCAGATTAAGCGCATCCTCGTTAGGCTTGTCACTGTTGTTGGCAATTTCATTTTCCTCCTTATCTTCAGCAGTGACCTTTGGGGCTTTATCAGTGGCGCCAGACGCGGCAAGAGTATCAGTGGAAGGGTCGGCAATAGCGGTCTCACGGGTAGTATCTTTTGCGAATATGTCGGCGGGCTTGGTGATAGTACTGAGCTTGGGATCGACAGTGTCCTGAGCTCCACTCTCCGCGAACTTGACAGCGCCCTTGCTACCCTTGGGGGTCTTGGGAGCTTGCGATGTCTTGGGGTTCTTGGGAGGCTTCGGAGTCTTGGGAGTGCGAAGCTTGGCCTTCGCATTCGACTTTCCACGCTTCGATGGAGTCTCAACAGGTGTCAGGTCGGCCTGCGCACCATTTCCATCGACATTGGCATCGTCATCACCAAACAGCTTGTCTAGCTTTCGCTTAGCATTTCGGAAGAGCGTCTGAGCGGAAGACGCCTTGATGCCAGCGTTCAAAGCAAGCTTGTCATAGTCGATCTGTGGATTCCATTATGTTAGTAGGCCATGAGAAAAGTTGGGACCAAACGACATACACGGTCATTCTTCAGGCAGACATTGGCGAGGACCAGGAGCTTGGTCTCAGTTGCAGAGATGCCAGGGAAGAGCTTGTCCTTTGAAGCAGCGGGAGAAGACATTTTGGCGAGGTTCGTTGAGATTGTACTGAGATGGGGTTAAATTCGAGTATCAAAGGTGGATTTGAACTTGAAGTGATGGTGTGTACGGTGAGAAAGAGAAGTTGGATGGCGTGTGGAAAGAATAAAAATGGCAAACGGCGTGGATCTGAAGAAGGAAAACAAGGTTGTGTGGACTGAACCGATCTTGTAGAACAAGGAAGTGAACTGATATTGTAGAATGCAAGTCTGTCAACATGAAACCGGCAACGTGAGGCTTTTGACTTGGATGAAGGAAGAGAACCAGTTGAGCCAATGATGAAGGCTATTTAACCACGCCTAGATTTTCAGTCTCGGAGATGTTGAAGGGATAGTGGATTTCTTTTTATAGAGCCTTTGGTTAAGAGCTGCCTAAGATGAGAGCTAGGTGAGACTTCAGGGGAAGGACATATAAAAAGACTTGATTTTGCCTTGCTACCGAATACTTCTTTGCGTTAACATGATTGACACAAGTTAGTTTCGACTTGATTAATGTCCAAATAACGTCTAGGTAAGATGAAGTTTAGATTCATAGCGGTTGAGGAATGGGAAGCCTCCAAGGCATGGGCAAAGTTCTTCTATATTCTGTTAACATGACTAATTTCACGTTGATTATAACTGGGATTTCATGGTTGCTTTTTAGGAGACACAAGACCATCGAGTGAACGTATATAAAAATGCTCCTGATGGGACCAATCGTCATTTGACTGTCACCGGGTCTTCAATCAGAGTGGCCGAGACTGGCTCTCAATCAATGGACTGAGAAATTTTGACATCAGATCATCCATGTGACCCGCCATCAAATCGCAGACTTATGTTCGATTAATAAGGCTACGACTTGGCCTTTTGAATTTGCTCGTAAATTCCATTCCACAGTTCCGGATAGAAAGCCGATGTCTGTCTCCCGGGTTTGCTGTGAGTTCCAGTATAGAATTCGGTTGGAGCTCTGCCCTGCCACCATCGTTGCGGCGATGGATTCAGATTCTTGAATGTGACAGGCCGCAAGGAGTCTTTGAACGGAACTAGATCCCCAATACGAACGGCCGTTTGCCGGGGAATAGTATTGAATCGCATGTTGGTGAGATACAGCACAGCTGTCGGAGGCAAGTCTTTGGCATATTGGACGGCAGCTTCCCGAGACTTTCTAGCAAAAGCAGGCAGGGCCAAATGAATAAAGTTCACATATGGTGCCGCAGTATATGAGACAAATAGCATCGGGAGAGCGCCAGCAGCAATAACTAGAGTGAAGTTAGCTTAGACACTCAGGCGATGTCATGTCTAAGTGATGTAACTTACCCGTAGGTGTGCTGTACCAGGGGTAATCAGCCACGGAGCATGCCGGTGCAACAATTAGACATGCTGCACCAAAGAGTAGCACGGTGGTTATTCGCAGTGTGCCCAGAAAGATAGCTCTTCCCGTTCCTCCATAGTAGACCAGGATTCGTTCAGGTGGACCTACAACTCTAGCTCAGTACACGCACTTAATGACCCACAGAAGGATTTACACTACCTGTCCTGATGGTCGTCTTAGGGGGTGTGAGGGTTCTTGCGACTGGAGAACGCGTAGCTGGAATGGTCTCTTTCGATTTGGGTAATGGTGAAAGGTGCTTCTGCGACGGCCGGGGGATCTGCGACTTAAACCGGACCCAGACACTCCTCCGGAGACTGCGTTGGGCACATTCTGGTAAAGTCGTGCGTAATTGAGGGTGAAGTAGAATCTGTAGTCGCATTGTGCATGTGTAACGTAGTTAGCTTATGATTTGGACGTGGATCAACACCACTAAATCGCCGTGATCCCGATTGCTTGGCAAAAAGGTGACCGCCTTGCCTTCCGCTCTGTTTGGTGGATTGCTACATGAGCTGACCCCTGCCAGTATTCGACACATTCTCCTTCAATTTCATACCATATAGTACCGTTGAGTACCTAACGGTACTAAGCTTGAACTCTGTTCGATTGTTCCTTTGATGCAGGTCATGAGCAGTTAGCGCGAGCTCTTTCAACCCCATGTCTTCGGCTTATCGCATACCTGGCATTGTGTCACTTTGGCTAGGTCTTCTTGTCCTGCTTCTGGGATGTGTAGAAGCATACGAGGAATTATCAGATAAGACACTGACGGAACTCCTGCGGCCCAATAACGACTTCGACATTCACAATGGCGCTCTGTTGGCACCTATACTAAGGACCCGCGTCCCTGGCACCCCCGGCTCCACCGCAGTACTGAACCACTTCGCCGACTTTTTTCGAACCACATTGCCCAAATGGACTATTGAGATCCACAACTCTACAGCTAAAACACCACTATCAAAGGGAAAGGACGTTTCCTTCCGAAACTTCATCGCTACTCGCGATCCCCCTTGGACCTCAGTTGGCGATGTTGGCCGGCTCACCCTTGTTGCCCATTATGACAGCAAAATAGCACCAGAAGGCTTTATCGGAGGAATCGACAGTGCTGCACCATGTGCGATGATTATGCATGCCATGCGCAGCGTCGATGCCGCACTGGAGAAGAAATGGTCAGCATTGAAGGAGCAGGGACTAAATGACTACCTCGAAGAGGAGCGGGGTCTCCAGGTTATATTCTTGGATGGTGAAGAAGCCTTCAAAGAGTGGACTGACACCGATTCTCTCTATGGAGCTCGCGCCTTGGCCACACATTGGGATGACCAAGTCTATCCTGCGATGTCGGAATTCAAGAGTCCCTTGTCCTCGATATCTCTTTTCGTTCTTTTGGATCTTCTAGGCTCGAAATCCCCGACAATTCACTCTTACTATGAGACAACCCATTGGGCTTATCAACGCTTGGGCGCCCTTGAAAAGCGGTTCAGGTCATTGAAGCAGTTCAAGTCTGCATTGGCTGATCCGTGGCTTGTCGATACCGAAAAGGATGGCCACAAGCTCGCAGCTATGGGTGGCATCCAGGATGATCACCTTCCTTTCCTCGCGAAAGGTGTTGAAATCCTTCATCTAATTGACTATGCCCCCTTCAAGGGATTCCCTCCTGTTTGGCATACAATCGACGATGATGGTGAGCATTTAGATTTGGACACTGTCGAAGACTGGAGTATGCTAGTTACCGCCTTCGTTGCTGAGTGGATGGAGTTGGAAGGATACTTTGACCATCCATCAACACTCAGTTCACGCAGTGACGACGAGTCTGCAGAGTTGGAAGCACTTCGCATGAGCAGGAAGACTGAGTTGTAAGCCATCCTTCCGTTTACTCCCGAGGTCACCCTTTCATATTTTTGGTCCACTGTCCAGCCTTTTTCCTCTTCTGTTATATACCCAATGCATTTATTCATGGACCAATGGCATATATTTTCAATTAAGACGACTATGTACATATTTTATGGCACTGTTTGCTTTGCTAATCAAACCCTTGGATGCAGCTTCTGAGATATCCGGACTTCCATCCTTTTGGGCTTTCTTTGCCTCATCCAGCACCGGTTTCAACCATATTCACAAGAAGACACCGAAGGTCGACAAAGTCAATGAAGAATGGCTATAATTTCTTTTTCCCCTTAAACGAGATTGCCCAGCATATATCCACCCATCGTGATCAACCCCCAAGTTGGTTGCAGGATTGTTCGCAAAATTGCAGGGCCTGGGCAAACCCCTCTCAATCCCCAGGCTAGTCCAAACGACGCAGCACCCACAACAAACCGCCAGTCTATGTCACTCACGGTAGCTGTTGGGAGTCGCCATTTCTCAGCAAGGGTAGGCTTTGCAACAGACTTTTCCTTTTCCACCCCTTGGCCTGGTTTCTTGGTCAGGAAAGTGAACAGGGATGGTCCAATTCCAAACAGAATGATCAGCGCCAGCGACGGATCAAATCGGGATGGGTCAGTCAAGATGGCAAAGAACCTGAGCACTTTGGCTGGGTCTGCCATTCCAGATATTAAAAGACCCAGACCAAACTCCAATCCTGCCACATAGGAAAAGGCGACCCTAGATTCCTCCGAGCGAGGAACCATCCGCGGGACAACGATGAAGTTCGTGATGGCCGCCACCAGCGCTGCGCCGGTCATGAAGCCCAACTCAGGTCCCGATGGATACATTGGTGTATAGCACGGGGTCGCACCACAAGATGGGATGTTGGATCCGCCATTGACAAAGTTCGCCGTGAGCAACGCTGTTGTGAAGAAGATGGCAGTTGCAATCAAGGAGCGGGGTGAGAGGCGTGAAAGGCCGCACAGCATGTGTCCGGAGGTACAGCCTCGACCGTTCTATATTCACTTAGTTAACTTGGTTTTTCTTCAACTACGTCCAAGACTACTCACCTTTGTTCCCCATCCCAATAGGAAGCCCACTCCCAACGTCGCCGCAGCCGAAGCCAAGGAATTTGGCGGTGCGGGATAGTTCGGGATTAGTGATGGCGCCAGAAAGTACACTGGCACAATGCTAGACGCCAAACCCGCGATGATGGGCACATTGTCACGACTCGAATTGAAGGCGCACCCGGATAAGAGAGAGGATATGCCAAAGACGGCGCCGTTGTGTACGAGCAGACCGGTTGAGCCGTGGAATAATAACAACGCACCCAGCGTGGTATGAATTGGGGTGAACATAATGTCGATGCTCTGTCAATTTGTCGATTCGTATCTGTTCTTAAAGTTTTCTTCCTGATGTCATTTACGGAAGTGTTGGTCCGGTGATTTGATAGGATATTCCTATGACAACTGGACTATAGATCACCCCCAAAGTAGGAAAAAAAAATGTCTTTGACCTGGAATTTCCCTAATTCAATGTTTGAGAAGAAAGCAATCAAATAAAGGAGTCGAGATAGGGTTTCCAGATCGCCTGTCAAAAAGTTTCCGGATCGGGGACCATTGACGTCGCCGTCATGGTGGTCCCCGAGCAGTTTTTCTCGGCATCCCTCGGTAGTTTCCTGGGACGGAGCTTTTTGGTTGACTATTCGAATATTTACTCTTGATTTCGTCATTGCAAGCGCTTTGATGTACTAATTAAGCTTGTTACACTAGTCCCTGCATGCAGTAGCATGACAGGACTGGAGTAACTATGTTTAGACGAACATCTCTAAATAATCAGGAGACCCCCTGAGTATTGGCAACCAATGTAACAATTGTGATATATGTAACAACTGTGCAATCCAGAAAATGAGACATCAGAGTGAACAGCAGACTTGACCAGGGCTCTGCGTCTCGTGAAGCAGTCGTAATTTAACTCCTATATGTTCCACCGGTCGTTAAAAGTCCCTTCTCTTGCTCAATTCTACTTGAACATATTGGAAATAACCCTCAACTCTCAGTCTCATTCAGAATGGGAAATACATCCAGTGTAGCCGGCCGTGAGTGCTTCATGGCTGCCGTGGGAGGAGATCCCAATATGGCTGCCTTTCGCGGAGATTTGTTGTATGAATTCCGGGCCCTGCCGTCATATAACCTGGCCATTCCTGTCCATCCTGAGGTGATAACGTATCCGAATACTACAACTCAGGTCGCTGAAATTGTGCGTTGTGCCGTCGAGAAAAATTACCGAGTGCAAGCTTACAGTGGAGGTCACAGCTATGGTAACTATGGTATGAAGCATTCTTGGTCTGAATTCTATACTTGCTGAACCAACTGTACGATGGTAGGTCTGGGAGGAGCCGACGGACATGTCGTCGTCGACTTGAAAAATTTCCAGAAATTCTCCATGGATCCGGACACCCATGTTGCCACTATTGGGGCCGGTACAAACTTGGGTGATCTTCAAGACCGCCTTCTACATGCAGGCGGTAGAGCTATGTCTCATGGATCTTGTCCACAAGTCGGCGTTGGTGGTCATTTCACCATTGGTGGTCTCGGTCTCATGTCGCGACAATGGGGAACTGCACTCGACCATGTCCTAGAAGCTGAAGTAGTCCTGGCCAATTCCAGCGTTGTGACAGTGTCGAACACCCAGAACCAGGATATTCTCTGGGCTATCAAGGGTGCGGCCGCCAGCTTTGGCATCGTCACCGAGTTCAAAGTTCGCACTCAAGAAATCCCTAAGGGCGCTGTGCAATACACGTATACATTTAGCCAGGGAGATGTTCTTGACAAAGTCAAACTGTTTCAAGCCTGGCAGTCAGTCGTGGCAAAGCCTAATATTACACGTAATTATTCTACTGAGCTCACAATCCTCCCAGAAGGTATTGTGATCACAGGAAGCTTCTTCGGTACCACAGACGAGTTCGAAGAATTCGAGCGAGAAAACAATCTACCATTCCATAACAAGGGCAATGTCGCATACATCACGAATTGGCTAGCTTTATTAGCCCACGCGGCTGAGAATTACCTGGTCTCGATCGGCGGAGCTTTACTCACTTCATTCTACTCCAAGTCAGTATCTTTTACAGTTGAGGAACTCTTTACCGAGCACGCCCTAGTTGCCTTATTCACATTCCTCGACACTGCACCGAAGGGCACTCAGAATTGGTGGGTTATCTTCGACCTGGAAGGTGGCGCAACCAATGATGTTCCTATGAATGCCACAGCGTATGTCCATCGTGATGCTGTCATGTGGATGCAATCCTATGCTGTTGTCGGCTTTGAGCCTCCTGCATACATTTCCAGGAGGTTCCTCGATCGCTTGCATCAAGTTGTGGTAGAGAATCGACCACCTGGTCCTCTGCGTTCCTATCCAGGATATGTTGATCCTTATCTCAAGAATGGTCAGATGGCTTACTGGGGATCCAATCTTGAACGACTCCAACGTATCAAGACTATCATTGATCCTAAAGATACATTTCACAACCCGCAAAGTGTGGCTGTTAATCCCACTACCGATTACGATGGCTTGGTATCTGACCGTATCTGACAGTCAGTGATAATTCCTGACGGTGAGGTTTGCTTTGGGAGAAATCGGGTACGATTTTCACATGCTATATTGACGCAAGAACAGGCACTGTGAGATGCGTGGTTTTTTTGATGTTCATTATATATTTTGACGTGGGAATGTAGTCTGAAATTGAAATGAATTCAGCGTTTCAAATGTTTCTCATATATTGCAAACGGACATTCGCTACATATATGTTGATACGAACTCCTACAATTAGCCAGAATTTTTTCCTTTCCCCGCCATCATTTGCACTCTGCTATATTCCAGTAACCAGTTGGAATTTCTCATGTCTAATATCTTTGACGTCGTTGGCCCTTGGGAAGTCGAGCCGTTTGTTACTAAGCCATATCCAAGGACCCCGGGCTTGCATCGACGCATCTTTCCATCTATGAGAGCCATGCGGGTGATACATGAATCTTCAAATGCCATAGATATATGTGGCCAATGAAACTCTCACTTATTCGTTGCGGCACACTCTAGTCCAGCACAATCATGAAACGCGCCTGTAGCCCAGAAATCAGCCCAAATCATGAGCTGAAAACAGGGATACCACTAAGTGAAAAAGGTCCAGTTCTCTTAAGCCTGAATGCGCCTGTCTCTCCGCCACCGAAAAGAGCATCCATCAAGTGGGCCAAGGATGGAGACGGAGGAGGCGCCATCCCGCTGACCACAGCACAACTTAACACTTCATCTAGTCTCGCGGCCATCGAAGCAGGCCAGGTTGAAGTGACCGACCATCTGACCACGATTTCTACAAAGCTCAAAGAATGCGTTCGCCCACTGCCAAAGCAACCAACACCACGGCTACCCATCAAGGAATGGGTCGAGCTGTACCAACGCAATGAGCACCCAGAGGGACGCCATTTCGTCATCCATCAACATGACCATCCCATCGCAGGGCCCCATTATGATCTCCGCCTCCAATTCTCAGAGACCAGCTCTGTCAGCTGGTCGGTCATGTATGGGATGCCTGGGGATCCAAATAGCCAGCGATTGAACCGAAATGCAACCGAAACTCGGATCCATTGTCTATGGGTTTGTAATCTAGAATGAGAGAACGTTATAGTAATTTACTTACGGCCTCACAGAATCATCTCATCGAAACAGCTTCCCAAAAAACAGGAAGCCTGATTATATGGGATACTGGAGAATATGAAATTCTACCTTACCAAATGGACCCATCTGGCCCCGAGACCGATGATTCTCGATCAGAGATCTCCGAAGATAGTCATGCTTCACTGAGAGACCAGCTCTCAGATAGTGCAAAGTTGCGAGAGGCTTTTCAAAATGTAGGTATATCCCCCGTACAACATGGAGACTAGATGATCCATCTTCTGACGCTCAAGACACCAAGCGCAAAATCCGACTCCGGCTTCATGGAACCCGCTTACCAAAGGACTACACGATTATTCTGCGGATGGATAAATCAAGCGATTTCGCGCGGCCGATTCGCGAAGGCCCCAAACGGCGTCGTCGACACCCGCATAGGCGAACAGTACCACAAGCGCCGTCTACCTCGGACTCGGGATCGCTTTCGCCGCCCTCTGGCAAAGAAGAATCAAGGGGCCATACAACACCGCACCAATCCCAATCCGAATTTCAAACTGAGCCAGCTAAGCATACACATGCAGAAAACACTCACACCGCCGACCTTGAAATTCAAAGAAACAATGCCTACCCAGGGTCAATCAACACGATCGGCTCGATCCACCAACGGCGATGGTACCTCAGTTTAGACCGAGAATCCTCTGGATTCGAGCCGACCATTGCCAGAGAAAATCCCAACGAAGGGATGAAAGCTAGAAAAAGAACATGGACCCCCAAAGCCGTCGGAAAAGGATTTGAGCCGTTTTACGTGCACGGACCGAAGAGTGAGCGGAGTCTTATCACGGCGCGTTTGGGGGGCGATGTCTTGGATGACGAGGGCGTGGAGGAATTTGTGCCGAGACGCGGGTGGAGGCCGGTCCTGCATTAGATGGACATAAGCTATACAAGTATGCATTCTCCTATTTGAAGGCATGAACTTTCGTGCTTAGTGCTTACATATGCTTCAAAGGTCACTTGGTGTTCCATTGAAAGGCGCAATGCCTCAAAATCACGGAGCTCGGAGTTAACAGTGTCCACTTGTCGGTTCAAGCCGACGAAGTACATATGTAGTTCAATGTTGCTTGAACACGAGATCTGTAAGGTATAGTGCATGCGTGTGACTCAATACGCATCCCTGGAGGGAAATTGATCTGACATTTAATATATGAGTCTTAATGCGAGGTCTCTGAGTCACTTTGTGGTCTAAGGTCGGTCTATTCCCTGCTGCGTCCCCGCTCAGATGCGACATAGCTGACGCTAGCAGGGATGAGCGGATTCGTTACAGTCGGCGATGATAACGCTTTAATGGTCTTTTTTTTTTTTCTGTTCTTTTCCTTTCTGTCTTTTTCATGTGTGAGGAATATGTCCTACTTGGCGACATCTACCTATCTAGCCTTGTCGCTAGTTACCCTGGATAGTATACCTGCTCTCCACAGTGTCGTCAACCGCATTTCTGGCAAAGCGCGTGATTATGAGCCTATCCAACTAGCCAAAGATTGCTACAGTGATGAAGATGGTGAAGCGACCGAGGAATCTCTCCGTGTCTTCTCTGATAAATGGCAAAGGATCGCCATCGCCCTGTTCTCCATCGCCGGACTTCTGCTAACTCTTGCATTGGCCGTGCTTGCAACATTGAAGCTTCCCAATGACAACTCTACGCCATTGGTATGGCTGCAGTTCGGAGTGTGGGTATGTAGAAACCACGAAGAAGAGCACGAAGACATCCGATCTAAAAGCTGATAGTCAATCTACTTTCTAGGTTTTTCTCATTATTCAAGCTGTTGCTCTTTTCACTGAGCCTCGCCCGACAAGCAGATATGTTCTAGGCCACTTCGCTTTCTGGGGGAGTCTCGTTGCTATTTCGGTTCCGGCAATTGAAATGGGCATCTTGATCTTCTCTCAACACGCCATCCCTCATGGCCGAATTTGGGTCGGACTGCAATCGGCTCAAATTGCTAGCGCTGCTTTTCGCGCTGTATTCTGTGTTCTACTACCGCGTCGTCCAGATGTTTACCATGAAGATAAACTGGTTGAGCAGGAGCTTTCAGTCTCCCTGCTCAGCCGCTTCACTTTCAGCTGGGCCAATCAGCTGCTCAACCACGCAGTGAAGCACAAGTACAAGATCATGGAGCTTGATGATATTCCCAAGCTGACTGCATCAAATCGTGCTGATTTCCTGCGCGAAAGATTCGAGATTGCTAGACAAAATCGGAAATTGTGGAAAGCGATTATCGTGGCGCATTGGCGGTCACTCCTCGTGCAGGCGATGCTTAGTCTCCTGATTTGCTTCCTCAGCTTTGGGCCCCAGCTCGCCCTATTTCAGATCTTGAAAACACTTGAGCTACGTGGTACCCCGTATTGGAATGCCGGGGCATCATATATCTGGGTCCTGGCTCTGGGTGGGTTCTTATTCCTCAGCTCGAGTGTGGAGGCATGGCTATTTTGGGTGGTATACTCTAAGCTTGGCGTTCCGACCTACGCAGAGCTGTCAGCGGTCATATTTGCCAAAGCTATGCGTCGCAAGGACGTGAAGCATACAAAGAAGTCCAACACGCCTGATGAATCCAATGGTTCCACCAAGGAACCTGCAGAGGAAGATGAAGATGACGAGGATGCATTGAAGAAGAGCCGCCAGAGTATTATCAACCATGTGGCCGTGGATGCTCGACGGGTTTCAGATTTTGCCTCTTTCAACTATATCATCCCACAGGCGACTTTTAGAATCATTATCGGTGCTGCGTTTCTGGTCCAAATTCTCGGCTGGCGCAGTGCCTTTGCCGGCCTTTCAGTCTCTGCTGTGGTGGCACCACTGAATATCTACGTGGCTAGGAAATATTCGAATGCTCAGGACCGATTGATGAAGTTCCGTGATCAGAAGCTGGCGATCGTTACCGAGGTGCTGCAGGGAATTAGGCAGATCAAATTCTCAGCTTTAGAGAAGCAATGGCAGAAGCGTGTCCAGGATACACGAGAAACTGAACTTCGCGCATTGTGGGCTGCCTTTGTTGCTGATATTGGCCTACTAGCCATCTGGGTTCTCGGGCCCGTCGGCTTATCCGCCGTTTCACTGACTACATACGCCATTATCAATGGTACTTTGACACCTTCCGTTGCTTTCACTGGTATGGCAATCTTCAATTCTCTCGAGGTGTCACTCGCCATTATACCAGAGCTCATGTCGATGGGCCTGGAGGCGAAGGTAAGTGCGGACCGTATCGACAAATTTCTGGCCACTGCCGAAAATGTTGTCAATACTGTCCCTGCTGAATATATTGCTTTCGACAAAGCCTCTGTTGTGTGGCCTGCGGAGGAACAAGATATCCAAAATTCCGAGGATCGTTTCGTGCTGCGTGACATGACCTTGAAATTCCCGACGAAAGGTCTAAGCGTGGTGTCGGGCAGAACTGGCTCTGGGAAGAGCCTGCTTCTCTCATCGATCCTAGGCGAGTGTGATGTCCTCGCCGGAAAGATCATGGTACCGGTTCCGCCTCCTATCCCAGATCGATTTGATCATGTTGCGACAAAAGCAAATTGGATTATCGATTCGGCCATTGGCTATGTTGCGCAGATGCCATGGATCGAAAATGCTACAATCAAGGCGAACATTCTATTTGGACTTCCGGATGACGCAGAGCGCTATCAGCAGGTTATCTTTGCTTGCGCTCTGGAAAAAGACTTCGAGATGCTCCCGGACGGCGATATGACTGATATTGGTGCGAATGGTGTCAACCTGAGCGGTGGCCAACGCTGGCGTGTCTCTTTCGCCCGCGCATTGTACTCTAGGGCTGGGATACTAATCATGGATGATATTTTCAGCGCTCTCGATGCCCACACAGGTCGTCACGTCTTTGAGCATGCTCTCACCGGGGAACTCGGCCGGAACCGGACCAGGATACTGGTCACTCACCATGTTGCACTGTGTCTGCCTCGCACGGACTACTCCGTGCTTTTGGAGAATGGTCGTATCAAATATGCAGGCACCATTGATGATCTGAGGGAATCACATCAGTTGGAGGATATCCTTCGCGAGGAGCAAGTCGCAGAACAAGCAGATCTTGCAGCAGATGGAGACGAACACGAAGTATTCAATGATGAGGAAACAACTCTTCAAAAAGTGATCTCGAATAAATCCTTCCCGAAAGCAAGCATGGCTCCAAATACCCAAGCTCCCGACGCAAATGGAGTTGCTACTGCACCGACGTCTACGCCGAAGAAGTTTGTCGAAGACGAAAAAAGAGAAACTGGTTCTGTGCGGCTAGCGGTGTACCTTGCTTTCTTGAATAAAGGCGGCTCTGTGTTCTATTGGGTGGTGACGCTCGCGGTCTATGTATTGTTTTCGACCCTCCTGGTTGGACGTGTGAGTACAAAACATTCCAAGACACCGGTTCCTACATACATAGACTAACCATTACTTACAGTCTTGGTGGATCAATATTTGGACAAGTTCATCCTCTAATACTAGGGCCCATCCTGAGCACTACAATATCCTACTGCAGCATGCCATGGTACCAATGGAACCGGTCCCACAACATGACGACCTCCCTATGTACCTCGGAATCTATGTTGCTATCTCGATCACTGCCTGTATAATCGGAACGGCCCGTTATTACTGCATTCTTTCAGCGTCAGTCCGGGCCTCGAGGAACCTGTTCAATGGTTTGATTTATACTATCCTCCGCGCGCCGCTCCGGTGGCTAGACACTGTTCCATTGGGGCGAATTCTCAATCGCTTCACAGCCGACTTCCACTCAATCGATTCACGAATTGGATACGACATCGGATTTTTTGTAGGCAAGATACTGGAGGTTCTCGCAATCATGATTGCGGGGATCCTTGTTGACTGGACAATGATATTGTTCGGCTTGGTCCTCTTGGCCATATGTCTAAAGCTGGCAGCGTCCTATTTGGAAGGTGCCCGTCAGATCAAACGTCTCGAGAGCACCGCGAAAAGCCCCGTTTTTGAGCAATTTGGATCTAGCCTTGCTGGTCTCATCACCATTCGTGCCTTCAGCAAACCAAGCACATACGTGGAAATCATGTACAACAAGATCAATCGTCATGCACAAGCATGGTGGACGTTGTGGCTGTTCAACCGCTGGCTCGCATTCCGGATGAGCATTGTCGGCGCTATCTTTTCAACCGTTACTGCTGCGCTAGTCGTCTATCTGCCGGGTATCAGTGCTTCACTCGCGGGTTTTGCTCTTAGCTTTGCTTTGCAGTATAACAGTGCGATTACAATGGCACTGCGGCAATACGCTAACATTGAACTCAACATGAATGCCGTAGAGCGTGTGATCGAGTATTCTAACATCGAGATCGAGAACCAAGGAGGAGAAGATGCACCTGCTGCTTGGCCTACAGAGGGCCATCTCGAAGTTCACGATCTTGTGGTGGGTTACGCACCGGATCTCCCACCAGTATTAAAAGGACTCAGCTTCTCCGTGGAGAAGAACCAGCGTGTAGGCGTCGTTGGACGCACAGGGGCAGGCAAGTCTTCTTTGACGCTTGCACTATTCCGATTCCTAGAGGCACGCTCGGGTCAGATTGTCATCGATGGAATTGATGTGTCCAAGATCAAACTGCACGACCTTCGCAGCAGACTTGCAATCATCCCGCAAGACCCAGTGCTATTCTCTGGCACGGTCCGATCAAATCTCGACCCGTTCGAAGAATACAGCGATACAGAGCTGTACGATGCGCTAGCACGCGTGCACCTCATCTCTCAGGCGGATGACGACGAGCTCACCCTCACATCGCAGACTGCCACGCCCCGCCAGCCCAGCGAAATAGACGCCTCGACACCAGCGAAGGCCCAGAAATCCAACGCGAACCTTTTCACTTCACTCTCCGCGACTATATCCGAAGGCGGTCTCAACCTCTCCCAAGGTCAGCGCCAGCTCCTCTGTCTCGCCCGTGCCATCGTTGCGCGGCCCAAGATTATGGTTCTAGACGAGGCAACCTCGGCTGTCGACATGGAGACCGACGCGTTGATTCAGCAATCTATCCGTGCGGAATTTGGCCGCAATGCTACCACACTGCTGGTCATTGCGCACCGGCTAAGCACAATTGCGGACTTCGATCGAATTCTTGTTATGGATGCTGGGAAGGCGGCCGAGTTTGGCACACCGAAAGAACTTATGGGAATTGAAGGGGGGGTGTTCAAGAACCTTGTTGAGAATAGTGGGGAGAAGGAAGTGTTGGAGGAAATGATTTTTGCATGAAAAAGTGTCTAGAAGGACGGTATAGGGGATTAGAGATTATACATATTTGCTGATTTGTCTTTACATATATTACCCGTTTTGGAAAATGAGCATATCAAAATACTACAGCGATGCGATTGGAAATTCAAATAGCGTGCAGAACAGAACAGCTAATGGATCTAGTCATGATAAAACCAGGCTGTAGCTACCGTCTTGCTAGTACAGTCGGGAAACATATGAGGAAATTCTAAATATGAAGTGAAGAGTTTGGTGATTTTCTCAGTACGCATCTGCTTAAATGTATGCCATCTTCTCATCAGCGATTTGATGGAGTCAACAGTGACGAAGGCGAGTATGCCTGGAGAAACAAATTGACTCTACTTTAATCCCACTACCGAGGAGAGCCAAGACGTGGGAACAGATCCCCATGAAAACCAACGTATATCTAGCTATATGCAAACAACAGGGCTAAGAGAGAGGACCTCAGGCATGAGGCATTGTTGCCAACACCGGCCCAACATCCATCTCTTTCAGCTTCAAGGGAAACCCTCAAACCATGACCTAAAGCCAATGGTCACACCTTCAAGTCTTGTGAATTGGATCAGAGATGCCTTCATCGCGTCCGTTATGTAAACAAGGTTGGTATGCCGAACGCATATATCACATACCCTACCCTCGATTCGTACAGCCCTTAAGCTCTCCGAAAAGAGAGAGCCGCACGTCTCAGAGGGCAGAGGCTGTCTCATATATAACACACTAGGCTTTCATCATTCTGGAAAACAGTCAGTACAACGATCAAAACATATCATGCCCATTGGAAGGGCTGAGAACAAGAATACTCACAAGTATAAAACTTGGAAGGATGAAGAAGAAAGGAACAATGAGCGAGAATCGCGCGGTTTTTATTTCTGCGGGCGCTAGTCCGCTTCTAGGGCGGGGTGGGTTTCTGCCGGTTCTAATGATCAGATTGTCCGATGACTTCCTTCCGGTTTGGCTACAATTACATTCGCGACAATTAAAATATGCCAATCGCTGCCGTGCAGCTCCGCTCCTTGCGGTTAAGATCCAGCTACATTGAGATCTCGAATCTCCTACGAGGTCGATCAGCCGCTTGGCCCAGGCAATGTTCTAGCCCTATTCGGGCGCCGCGGCAGTTCCATGCTCGGGCTTGTTTGCGACAGGAGGAGCCTCCTAAAGAGCTTCCTGCTTTTCTAGAAGCTTACAAGCGGGCTGGTACGTAGATATCCTCTGCTCGGAACTTGGGTTTCATTGTTTGATCATCGTGTAAGAGGGTTTCAACTAACACATGATGTGCTACAGTGGACTTCCCTCCTGCCACCCATGACTTCGAAACATTCTTTGCACATGCCGAGCCAAACACCGAAGTAGTACTGCATGGGTACCTCGGAAACCGCGCGGACCTGTCCAAGAAGCTATCTTTTGTGCGCCTATCCGATCCCACCCTGCAACACAGCCTACAAGTTGTAGCATTCGCCAAGAACGATGCCTTCGAGAAACTAAAGACCGTGAATGTGAACAGTCCTGTGGCTGTACGTGGTATCGTCCAAAAGAAAAAGACCAAGCCATCTGAGGCGGATATCACACCAGCCCAAGACTTATGGGAGCTCGCACTGGAGGAAATTCACCCCCTCAACGACTTCCCCAAGGATCTAATTATGACGCCTGAAACGGTGTTCCCACCTGAACAACGATATCTCCAACTACGGTCGGATGCAGAGCTGCGCGAGTCACTGCGTTTCCGCGCCCGCGTGCACAATATTTGCAAAAAGGAGCTAGAGCAGTGTCGGCCGCCGTTTGTGGAGATTGAGACCCCGCTGCTGTTCAAGTCCACGCCGGAAGGTGCACGGGAGTTCATTGTGCCTACTCGTAGGGAGGGGCTGGCTTATGCTTTACCGCAGAGCCCGCAGCAGTATAAGCAGATTCTCATGGCTAGTGGCTTACCAAGATATTATCAGTTTGCGCGCTGCTTCCGTGACGAGGATTTGCGTGCGGATCGTCAGCCCGAGTTTACTCAAGTATGGGTTTCTATTGTTCTCTGTGTTGGGTGATGTGTAACAAATGCTAACAGAACACTTACAGCTTGATATGGAGATGTCTTTCGCGACGGGCGACGATGTCATGCGCACTGTGGAAGGGGTTATTCGCCGACTTTGGTCATCGTTGATGAAAGATCCTGCTCCGGAGGGCCCATTCCGCAAAGTCCCCTACCAGGAAGTCATGGCCAAATATGGCTCTGACAAGCCGGACAGGAGATACGGGATGGAAATCATTCGACTTGATCATGTTCTCCCCGTGGATCTAGTTGGCAAGATCTCTGACCTGACTAATCCCATAGTGGAGGCCTTCAAGCTCGAAGGGAATGACAACGATCCCGCTGAAACCCACAAGTTCATTACACAGTTCCTCAACTCACCTGCGGGTGCGCCGTTCAACAGTAACCCGGACGGTGGCCCAGGCGTCTTTATTTACAATGGCAAGCAGCCGCTCTGCGGACTACAGCCCTTCGGCTTCGAAGCCGCCGAGCAAGTTGAGGAGCTGCTGGACCCTGATCACGGTGACCTTATTGTTCTGCAGGCACGTCCCCGTGCTCACTTCTCCGGGGGTTCAACTCCCGTTGGCGATCTACGCCGTGCGTTGCACGCAGCCTCTGTCTCGGCAGGCTTCAAGCCTGCCCCGACTGGGTTTGATTTCCTCTGGGTCGTCGACTTCCCTCTCTTTTCCCCCTCCGTAGACTCGGAGCCCGGCCAGGGCGGCGCAGCAGGCTTCTCCTCCACACACCACCCTTTCACCGCGCCCAAGACCCCCGCCGACGTCGACCTCCTCCTCACCGACCCCACCCAGGCGGTGGCTGACCACTACGATCTCGTGGTGAACGGTGTCGAGCTAGGCGGTGGTAGTCGTCGTATCCATGACGCAGCCGTACAGGAGTTTATCTTCCGTGATATCCTGAAAATGCCAGCTGAGCGATTGACTGACTTCTCGCATCTGCTCGATGCCCTCCGCTCTGGCTGTCCCCCGCATGCCGGTCTTGCGCTGGGTTTTGATAGACTTGTTGCCGTCATGCTTGGCAAGGAATCCGTACGTGATGTGATCGCATTCCCGAAGACCGGCAAGGGAGGCGACGATGCTATGGTTGGGGCCCCGAGTCCCATGACCGGGGAGGCATTGAAGACGTATCACCTGCAATTGAGAAAGTAGATTTTGATCAACACCACTGGCGATTGTATATCACACTGTCCTCATGGACGATTCATTTTGTACCATACTGATGTACTATACCCGATGTTGCATTAGCATTTGTCTATAACATAATTCTCTTCTCAGTATCAACTTGATCAAACTGCGCGCAACATACAGTACATATCATGGGCTTGCTGACCTCTCACATTGCCCTGGTCGATACTCAGGGGTGTCTCAGGCATCGCGGCCAATTGAGAGGTCAGTGAACCCCTGATTTGATTCCCGAGAGTAGTATTCTTGACACATTCTGGCCTTTTAGTTATCCCATACCTATTTAGGGTCGGCCAAAGTTCCCGACTTGGTGCTATTCATTTTTGAGACCTTCGTTTGTCTCAAACCCTAAAATCTTGTGGTTTCAGGATTCAGGACTTTTTCTTTAGATCTGATCCATCTCCGCACACAGTGCATATAGACACCTCCGCTGAAGATGTCTCAGAGACCATGATCACTTGGGCTACTTTTAGGATTATAGTTGATGGCCCGCAAATGAAGATCAGAGTACATCCAGGCGGGAGAGCCCGCGATCCATTGAAGATCATCTTGTAGGGCCTCGTTCTCGGAGACTCTAACTATATCCGGTAATCCGTATCAAGAACCCTTCAGTACCTCCTACAGGATCTGAGGATGAAACAGGGTCCCCGTTTCACTAAGTCTTCAGTCTAAGACATCCTCCAGGCATGCGGTCGACCCGAGGTTGGCCCGAAGATGCGTGTTTTACTATCCACCGTAATAGCAGAGAAGTGCTGAAGTACGAAAGCATACATCTTCCCATATATAGCCTTGCTAAATAATCTCTAATTTTCCATTCATTCACTCGTTCGACACTTTAGAGCTGGTCTCTCAGATTCATTCTTTTTACGTATTCTCTCGTTTCGATATGAAGTCTACAATCATTCTCGCTTTGGCTAGTATTGCCATCGCGGCTCCCACCCGCACCATCGAGGACCGCCAGCTGCCCAGTTTCGGCTCCAGCAGTACTACCGGCAGTGGGTTGGATGCATGGAAGTCTCTCATACCAGGACTCGCGGGGTCTAGCAGCGGCTCTGACAGCTCTAGCTCCCCGGAGAGCTCGTCAGGCAGCAGCCTCGGTATCCCCGGTTTCAGTAATACCCTCTCCCAACCTGGCCAAGTACATGAGACCCCAGTTCTAAACGCAGGTTTCTAGACTCAGGCTCCCCAACCGAAAACGGCGTGACCGAGAATGCCAGCTGCAAGGATTTCACGTTCATCTTTGCGCGTGGAACGACCGAGATGGGTAACATAGGCTCGGTCGTTGGACCCCCGTCGCCGCGCAGTTGAAATCCTTGACGGGTGACAAGGTCGCTATCCAGGGAGTGAACTACCCGGCAGATGCAGCGGTACGAGAACCCACCCTATTCCCTCTCTTCAGCACTTAGCTTGGCTTTGCGTACTGCTGTCAAGATCAACAAACCGAGATGCCAACTAACACTCCATTCAAACAGGGCAACGCACTGATGGGCGCAAGTGGGGGCCCTGCGATGGCCAAGCTTGTTGAGCAAGCCCTCAGCCAGTGTCCCAAGACCAAGATCCTGCTGGGTGGATACTCGCAGGGTGCGATGGTCGTCCACAATGCTGCCAGCAGCCTCGCTGCTGGTCAGGTTGCCGCTGCGGTTCTTTTCGGTGACCCTTTGAAAGCCCAATCTGTTGGTAAACTTGCCAGCGATAAAATCAAGGAGTTCTGTCATATCGGTGACCCGGTCTGCTTGAACGGGGCAAATGCCATGGCGCATATTACTTATGGAACCGATGCCGAGGCGGCTGCGCAGTTTTTGGTTGAAGCTGCTGGAATGTCCACTTCTTCTTAATTGATTGGTCGTGATGACGTGGAGTGGGTGCTGAATGAGTGAAGAGATTCCGATGTACAATAAGAAAAGTTAGGGTTAGTGCAACCACCGATTGAGGGTTCTGTTTCGATCGGTACAGATGAGAATGTGTAGACTGGCAAATTTCCGTCCAAGGGTAGTAGCTTGTAGATTATGATATGCCTTCAGAGTGCAGAAGAAAGAAGAGACAGTAATAAAAAGATCTGTATGGATTCCATGTAGGATAGGTGTTATACAAAGTCAAAAAAAAAAAAAAACGCCACTCCAAACCGCTATATAAGACAAAATCCCAGGACCAAAAAGTGGTTTGAATAGAGATGAGATAACTCAGTGTATCAGATGAATGAAATTGGAAGGTATCCAGCACGTGAGACTTGTTGGTCACATATTCTCATGCAGTGGACAAAGTACTTGTCCGAATTGATTGTGCGCGGGACGATGCAGCCTCTTGAGCATTGGACTTCTCGCCTTCGAGCTCTTCCTCATCTTCGTAGTACAAATACTCGTCATCCTCTTCGTCGGATTGTCCGAATATATTCCTCCAAACGCCATCCCAGAGACCCTTCTTGGTAACTAGGCCGCCGACAAGGAGAATAGGTAGTTGCCAGATACTGGCCCAGAAGAGGCCACGTGCACTACCATTGGCACCCTGATGTTTCCAGAAGTGGTATGCCTGGTGGACCAACCAGCCGTTGGCGACAGTGCTACCGACGAGGAATCCACTTCCGACGACATTCACCCACCAGAGACCAATGGAGATGGGGAACATCAGAATAGAGTATCGCAGAGCAACCCGAGCACTGCGAGCTGGGTTTACCCAGCATAGCATCCTGTAGCCAGCAGCTTTGTATTCATCGCGGATCAGATGGGACAGGGCGTTGAAGTGGGGGAATTGCCAGGCGAACAAGATTCCACCTAACAGCCAACCTCCAATGCTTTGTTCGCTGAATAGCATGTCACGCCATGTGTCATGGCCCATCGTCGCCGTCTGGCCCGCCGCGGCGATCCATCCCATGAGTGGTGGAATACCACCAACCACCGCGCCGACCCAGGTATTGATTACGTGGATTCGCTTCAATGGTGTGTATACAAAAGCGTAAAGGAAGATATTGGCGGCGGATAGAGCGGTCGTTGTTGGGTTAGTCCCGATATAAAGGAGCGAGAGGCCTGCAACGGCAGTGCCAATCGCGAAGACCAGGGCTGCCCGGCTCGAAACAAGCCCGCGAACTAGAGGGCGATTACGCGTCCGCGACATAAGTGCATCGAATTTCGGCTCGAACATCATGTTAAGTGTATTGGCGCTGCAGCAAGACAAGAAAGTGCCCGCTGTCAGGTATATAAAAGTTAGGGTCGAGGTCGAAAGTGTAGGGAGCGGGGTCATGGCCGGATCGAGAGTGAGGAGGGACGAGATCGGGTACATCCCATACGCAGAGGTTGTGGTGAGGACAATCAAGAAGGACAGTCGCGGTTTCGTCAGGGCGAGATACGCAGCCAACTTGCGGCGGAGGGAGGTAGTGGGGAGTGTAGATGAGAAGTTCGACAATTGCGCCGAGGCATCCAGCGGGAGACTTTGTTCTGGTTGTCCTGTTGCATTGCTTTCCTCCTTCAAGCGCTTCCGCCGCCGATGTGGCAGTTCTGGTGTAGCTTCTGTCGCAATCGCAGCAGACGATGCTGCTGCAGACGAGTTGACCTGGATGGCGTCCGCATCGCTGGGGGATGAGGCCGTGGATTTGCTTTTCGCATGGGAGGATGCAAGTGAAGACAGCAAGCCACCTTTGCTATTTGAGGCGTCGTTGAGTCGATTGGCCGAGAAATATGATTTGTGGAATACCGAGGGGGACTGGTCATCCGCAGTCCCGATCCGCCGTTTCGAGGACGATAGGAACCCCCGAATACCCTCGGGGCGCACAAGACGAGGCCCGAAGAGACATTGTGTGCACACAATTGCCTCTCGAGGCCTCCGTAGAAGGGATGGCCGCAGAGGGATCATGGCGGGTCGGTCATGCAGAAGGAAGAAAAGTGAACGAGAGAAGTTGAATTTCCCCGGTAGTGCACGGGCCACATCCAATCACTTTGAGAGAATGTCAACAATTGTTCTTCTGGGCATTGCCTGATCTTCAACGCTGTGTTTCTTTTTTTGGTGATTATTCCCTACTCAAAATGGATACCATTCAGAAATCAGTGATCACGCCTCTTCAGCCTTATTTGGCGCCTATTGTTTCTGTCATTCCCGAGCCAGTGCACGATGCCGTTGTGTCCTTGATTGGGAAATCTTGTCACGGCGCATTGTTGGTCGACCTTGATGTCACTAAAGATCCTGCTTGCACATCGCTCGCCATCTCCAAGGCCCTTGGAATTGCTATTGTCGGCGCCAGTGCAGTCGTCAAAATCCCGCAGATTCTGAAGCTGATCAACTCCCGCTCATCGGCCGGTGTCTCGTTCGTCTCTTACGCCCTCGAAACCGCCAGCTTGCTCATCACTCTCTCATACGGTGTGCGCAACCAGTTCCCATTCAGCACCTATGGCGAGACTGCTCTCATCGCCGTCCAGGATATCGCCATCGGTGTTTTGGTCCTGAACTATGCCGGACGCTCCGCCGCCGCCGCAGCTTTCATTGCTGTCGTAGCTGCCAGCGTTTATGCGCTATTGTTTGACCAGACTCTTGTCGATGCGCAGACTATGTCCTACCTGCAGGCTGGTGCAGGTGCTTTGGGTGTTGCTAGCAAGGCGCCTCAAATTTATACCATCTGGCGCAATGGAGGAACCGGACAGCTTAGCGCATTCACGGTACAGTTTCTTTTGCCTTGCTACATCTCAGTCCAGACACTAATCGCTTCTTCTAATCAGGTGTTCAACTACCTCGTCGGATCCATGTCCCGAATCTTCACCACCCTTCAGGAAGTCGACGACAAGTTTATCCTTTACGGATTCATTGGCGGTTTCTCCCTCAACGTGATTCTCGCAATCCAGATGCTCTGGTACTGGAACACCCCGGCACCCAAGCAGAAGGCCGCTCCTCGCGCAAAGGTCGCTGAGAAGGCACCATCAGCCCAGAGCACGGGAGCGTCCCCGAGACCTAGCGTGAAGACACCCACCACCCGCCGACGGGGTTAGATAGCCTAGCTGTTTTCTATCTTGGCTTTTTTTTCGGTTTGGTCGAAATAATCATAATGCCGTCCGTTTTTGGGACCATGCAATTAGAGGAACAAACTACTAGTAATTATATTCATGGAAAACCGTGAACCAAGTAGAACCGCAAACACAGGCCATACGCCCCGAGTGGCCGCCCTCAACTGTCTAGAGATCGTGAGATTACGGCATACGCCCAGTAGTCATATGTCGCAAAATAAGATCCAGCGGCACGAACGGCTGCACAGGATGCGGGTGATGAGGAGCGATTCTAAACTCCAACTCAGCAGCACCAGGCTTGCGCTGAACACCGACAACATCCATCTCATCCCCATCCCCTTCCTCTCCTTCGCTCTCCTCTTCCGACTCATCATCATCCTCCAGCTTCCTCCTCAACCCAGTAACAACATTCTCTATCCCAGCCTCGCGCTCCTCAAGTGTATAATTTCCACCCCAGTTCCTCCGTCGCGCTTCCTGGTTCGCTTCTAGTGGTGCCCATTCCCATAATTCTGCGAGCTGTGCTTCGGTTAGCGGTTTGTGCGCGGCATCGAGGTCGGAGGAATTAGACGACGGCTCTGTGCCGGCTGCACGGCCGCGCGCAACCCAGTCTTCGACGCGTGGATCAAGTTTTGTGCGGAGGAGTTGTTCAAGGGTGTTTGCTTGTGTTCGGCCCGGGTACTCTGGGCCTGGGTAAGCGACTAGGTTGGAGAGAAGGTCGCGTTGGTCGGAAAGTTGGTCGGAGACGCTGATGAGGTTGTTGGAGATGATGCTTGCTTGGGATTGGAGGGAGCTCCTAGTCATAGGTCAGTTTGTGGGGTTTGATATTCATTGCATTTGACTGTGTAGGCCTGGGAAGATTGGTGTGGGATTGGTCTCGGGTGGGACGGCAGCTCTTACCAGGGTGGAAGAGGGTCGCTTTGGTTTAGACTTGCGATCAGCGAGCCAAGTGAGCGAGTAAGCTGCACTAGGCGCTGCCGCGATTGCTCGAGGACTTTAATTTGTTCTTGGGTGAGGTTGGACATGGCCAGTTGAAAGCTTTGAAAGGTCAAAGAGCTCCAACGTGAGGGGATAAGATAAAGGAGATCAACGATCAACGGGCCTTTACAGATGACTTCTCTAACCCCAATATCCTTCAACTTGGTCTTCAACTACTATATTTCTAATATTCTTATTGAAGTTGGAATTCTTTCAGTTCATTGTCTCACGGAGTATATCAAGAACTGGGATCAATGCCCAGTGGCAGACAATTGACAGCACTCAACCAACCCGTGCTCCTAAGCACTACAACATACAACATAAGCGTAAAGCCTACCAGCCGTCAAACCCCCCAAGATCAAATGTCCACAAATCCAAAAATAACCTCCAGATCAACCATCTCATCCCTCATTGGACCCTTGGACCCTTGGCGGTGCGTGCTGAAACGCCTGCAGGACCGGCCAGCCAATCTACAGCGGCGCTGGAACGCAGAAAGGTTGTCACCGAGTGTTCTAATAGCCGATCCTCTCGTATTATCTGACAGGCTTGCGTAGGTTTAGCCTGTCCCGTTGTTGGCATTGCTAGGCGGCTTGTCAATGCTATTTTGGGATCTGTGATGTGTGTATATTTAGATGGTAGAGCGGTTGGGACAATGGATACATAAGTCTTCCTGCCGCCCTCAGCTGATATTTGGGGCTGCCCTTTTGTGTCTCCCTATGTCTCCTTATTATTTTGGCAAAATTGTACTTTGCTGAGCATTTCCAGTGGATACTTTTCTCCATTTGACTATTGACTATACTACTAAGCATGCAGACATTGCAAGATGTCGGGGATATATCGTCACAATCCTGGAGTAGAACTACTCCATAAAACAAGAACCCAAATGTGCAAACGCCATCAACAATGAGGTGAGCTGATATCCTGATCTCATTACATCCAAGCCACCAACTGACTCTGCTTTCCACAGCCATTTCATCTATGCTCAACAGCAAGGCAAACACAACCAGGTACAAGTTGTCACAACAATCACTACCACTGAGGGTCCTTTTGCTTCTGATCAGGATCAAAGACCGGAAGATGATTCTGAACCTGAGCATGCTGCTGCTGCTGCTGATATTGTTGCTGGGCAAGCTGCTGCTGGTACTGCGGTTGATCAGGTTGCTCAACAATATCTTGGGAGACACCTGACTTATCCTGACTCTGGTAGTGCTGCTGGTACTGTTGGCTTTGGTAATGTTGGCCTTGAGTATGACCATATGCAAGCTCCTGTCCGCGGCCATCATTATCAATAAAGCCAAAGCCTGACCCATGCCCATACACGCCAGAGTTATACATCTGTTGCTCAGCCCAGGCTTGCTGCTGCAGCTGTGCACTAGTCGGCGAGGCGCCAGATGCTTCGTTCCAGCGATTGTACATATGAGGGGACTGGCGGGACCGGTTGACCTTTCTGCGTCGGTGCCGGATGAAGAAGAAGCAACATACCGTGAGCGCCGTGACGAGGATTAGGAATCCCACAATTGGAACGGCAATCACCACTCCCAGGTTCAGGTTTGAGTTTCTTGGGCCGGGAGTTTCGAGCGACAAACTTGAGGGAAGTAGGGATTGGCTGAAGATTCTTGTTGGGTCTATGTTGAAGCGCTTGCCCGTTTCTGTCTTGAAATGGCAGTTGTAGCGGATGGACTCGAGGACTAGATTTGGAAGGATGGTCAGTTATGGTGCCTTCGGGTAGCGTTTTGGTTTGGAATTTGCTGATATCACATCGACACAGGAAAGGGTTACAGGATGTACTTACAGTTTGCCATGTAAACCTGAGTGGTGGTCAAGTTATAGCAGAACTCGCAGGTGTTGACCACGTTATCGGCAAACGATTTGGTCTCACACCACGAGTTCAGATTTGATGTGCCTGGGTCTTCAAGATGGGTTGCGACTGCTAAACGGACACCATCGCATGCGACTGGGCATGGTGAAGAGACATTTGAGATGGAGTCGGGAAATCCAAACACACAGGTTGAAAAAGCGTAGCGCAGGTTATCTGGTTCGATTTGTTAGATCTGACCGACAAAACGCAATCTGCGATATCTGGAAGGTGGTACGACATACAGAGGCCCCAGTTCACGTCCGATTCCCCGGTGTTCACATCGTGGAACTGACTTTCCATTTGACAGGAGATGCATTTTTCGAAACTTTTCCCCACAGAGGTTTTGTTAAACGATGGATCCAAACATGCAATCTCAGAAGATGTAGTATTGGCTGTTTTACCGCACACGTTTGTGCATGGCGAACCCGGTGTGGTTTTCAGTGCGAAAACCACTGGAGCTGGGCTGTTCAGTAAGATCACGGCCACAACAACAGCCAACATCCTGGATGACCTTGAATTGCCGTCGCTTAGCCCGAACATGATGAGGCGAATTGAACACAGAGTCCGACAACTTCTGTTCTTACAGCGTCTGCCAAGGAAGACGTGGGAGGACAGTGGGCAGTTTGCCGGATAGAGCAATCTCACGTTCGCATGAGAAACGGTAAATTGCAACTCTCGATTGTGAGATTCTTTGCTCAGGGCGGGAAAGCTTCTTTTTTCAGTGCCAGCGACTCTCACTCCGTTCTGTATGGATGTGATGACCAAGTGGAGTAATTCAGTAGACTTGAGCTCTCACGCAGAGAAGGGCCGCACTATCCCAGCACCTGCAGAGCTACTAACTCCTAATTGCAGCAACAGGAAGGATGCGCGGATCGAATCAAGCACATTTTCTTGCTCCCAGCGTTGGTTCTCGGCGCTTAGAGAACGCCTCCTACAGGCTGGTTTGTGACTGCACCTTGGTTGGGGAATCGAGGAACGGTTGGTGGAAGTCGAGTGATCGCCACATCCTACATGCAGTGGATATGCTGCAGGTGTACAGAGTGTGACGAATGCTGATGGTTGATTGGTGAGAGACGGGCTGTGACTGTGATACAGGCTGCATGGTGCACGGACAGGCGCATAGCAACCCCCTCATTCGAGTCAAATCGCAAAATCCGGTCAGTGAACCTCGAAGACGGGTATCGGCATCCTTCGAATGTAAGGAAAAGAAAAAGTCTGGAGGTTTTGATCTGCCAAGAGAACCCCCTCTTGTTAGGGCCGGGGGTAAACAGGGCTCCGGATTTTGAAAGTTCCAGGACATTTGTAATTCACAATAGAGGGAGATATGAATGGAATTTACTCGAAATTTTTGGAAATAATTATATCAAACTGAAATTGCACACAAAAACCGCCATGCAAAAAATTAATAAAATTCGAATCCAGTCCAACGGGCGACCACAGTTCCGAACAAGACTGATGCGAGCAAGATTGGTATGTTATACCCAATAGGAGAAGAAAAAAAACAAAAACAAAAAGCCTACCATATAATTTCTAGTTGAACAAGGTTTGTTCAGGGCATATCAACCATAGAGCTCATCATAGGAAGGCACCATTTCCTGAGGCGCGGTTTCAGGTTCCCGTTGTTTTGTACGGGGAGGGTAACTTTTCTCGGGAGGTGGCTTGAGGGTGTGTGAAGCGCGAGGTGTAGAAGGTGGCATAGAGAGAGCAGAGATGGAGGAAGCAGCGGTAAAGCTCGTTCGTCTCGAGTTGGTGCCACCCGATATAGATGCTGTGGGTTCTGTTGCACAACTTTGGACACTGCAACGGCGCATGCGCGAAGTCACAGAGAGTGGAGGAGACTTGGCTGGGATATCAAAATCTTCGGGATTGTCGCGTGTTGTGTGTGAGACATCTCCCATGCCGTATTCTCGAGGGCTTAATTGAATTCGTGGGCCCAGAGTATCTCGCTCTTCTTCCTCTTCTTCTTCTTCTTCGTCGCAAGATTCGTCCGTAGTGTATTCGTCATTGATAATGGAACTTGAGGGTCGGCGATGCGGCCCACCGCTAAGTTCACCAAGGCCGAGTCCTTGACCTGATGGTGTGTGAGATGGCGGTGTGGAGGTGTCTCCCACTCGACGCCGAATGTTTTGATTAAAATATCCAGTGGGAAAGGGTGGAGGGTCTTCGACTTGATGTTCTCGGGTGCCTATGCTTCGGGATCTTCTGCTTGATGCCCCCGAGCTCGGTTGGCGTAATGGGCCATCTGGGAGATATCGTTGATCTTCTTCGGATGCCCTTGCTGATTGATGGGCGAAACCAGAAGGTTGATTCCACTGGTTCCAGGACCCTTGTGTAGGATAGGTGATAGAAACATCACCCCAGCGAGAGTGAAGCTCCGTGGACACTCTTCGCTTCCTTTTGAACTTCTTCATAAAAGCCGCCATAGCCTTCAAACAATCAATCATGGGGGCTGGTGACGCGTTCGGGGTTCAAATATACCGAAGGGAGGACAAATCACTCCCTAGTGCGGTGTTCATCTCAGAACTTATCAATCTCCCCACAGAGAGCATGGGGTTTCTCCCCAGATAAACAAGTCAAGCACAGCAGAGGAACAAAGGAGGACAGAGAGAAGGTGATCGAGGCAAATAGATTGCCCGCGTATGTTGAAGTTATATCAAAATGAGACGTCCATGGAGGCGCACTAGCCAACCAGTGCATATCCGTTGGATGACCAAAAGGAGCGAAGATCTTCTGAATGAAGTGCTTCACGGGGATGGTACTGTAAACCAACTGACCCAGCGAGTGATTAGAGACCCGGCAGGCAACCCGGCAGTCTGGTACCCCTCTGCTGGTGGCCCCCCTGGGCGGAATCTAAGACAGTGTCTCTCACGGGAACAACAGCGCTTCAATAAGAGAAAAAGAAAAAGAAAAGAAAAAGCGAGAACTGCAGGGTCATCAGTTGGCCCGCTAAATGATCTAGGCGGGTTGCCATAATGAGAGGCTCCCACAGCTGCAGTGTGGGTAGAAAATGCATGTGGGAGGGGTAGTGAATTAGCAATCCCGGACACCCCCTGGTCATTCTCAGGGAGGTAGATAGTTATGAGTTGCGGCGCAGTCAACTTGCGTTTGACTTGACGCGGATCGGCCACTGCATGAAGTGTGTCTCTATCAACCGCATCCTCGTCGTTGGTCGTCTTGGCATGGCGCTTGTCTAGGGATCTGCACTCACCAGAACAAAGACCATAGAGAATCATAGATCGGAGTTGACTTGTACGTTTATCTCGAATTCAGGGGTGATGCGACCTGTGTGATAGACATGGACCAACCATCTGCTTAGCCAGTCGTTGCTGGCGAGACAGGGAAAGTAACAGGACAGGGATCAAAAGAGGGGGTAGGCTACTATCACGACAAAAAAGGCGTAAAAAAGCACTATTTTACTGTGACGCATCTGAATCCCTGCAATGAAGTGGAGTTGAAGGATTAATATTCACAGAGACGGGCAGTAAGTACTGAGTACTCCGTACACAAAGTACTTTAAAGCAATTTGAAAGAATCAAAAGTCAGGGATCATCATCCCGCCGAGGCGTTGGAGTCAATATATCAATTTACAATTATAGGCGCTGAGAATGTGAAAGGGGAAAATTCGGGATGATCGATAATGAACGGAGATCATAGCACAGACCAGGTGTCTGCCCATGATCTACAATGTTGGACGGAGTATTCTTTACTCCGTAGTCCGTACTATGAACTATCTACCTAGGTATCTATTACCCAGGTACTATATCCTTTCAGTGACAAAAATTGGATTTTATTGAGAAAACAAAATAATTGACCAATCCCCTCCCAAATCGCATTTTCCAAAAAGAGAACGCCATGTCGTGATAGTCATAAAAACAAGAAACAAGCCCAAGCCACTGTCACAACTTCAACGAAAATTGGTGATCAGCCGCGATAATACAGGCTTAGGCTGTTTTGGGGCGGCCTGGGCCGAAAGCATGGGCTCCGATGCACTTCTCTCCCTCTTGTCCCTGCGTTCCTGCCTGTTCGGTTCCGGAGATGGGATAGCTGCCTGGTGTCTCGGCCTCGTTGGAACAACCACGCCAATTGGAGTGCCATAGTCGGCCATTGAGACTGGCCGGGAGGTGGCTAGTCTAGCGTCACTGTAGTGAACTGCACTTAAACGGGAAGAGGGACCGGGATGTGGATTGACATGAGCGGGGTTATAGGTATAGGTGTGGGCGTTAATATCGCCCACCATGGACGTTGGCCGGATGGGTTGGTATCGTGATGGATCATATGTTGGCAGTGTGGGGTATGGCGGGGGTTGTTCGTATGAAGGGCGAGATAGCTGCTGTTGGTATTGTTGCGCATGCTGGGCCTGGCGACTGTAGTCCGGCGCAAAGGAAGACAAGGGCCGGGGTTGGGAGTGGAGACCTCTGGGCCTGCCTAGTTCATCCGTTTTATAGGCTGGTGGCGGTTCAAGAGGAGAAAATTCTTCGGATTGTTGGGCATTTCTTCTTCTGGCCCGTTCTTTGCGCGAAAAGAGATATAGTAAGCTTCCAGTCACTGGTTTAGGTTAGCTTGCTTCTGGGGGGCTGCGGCTTGGGCTGCATACTTGCTAGAAAGATGAGGCTGCCAGCTATTGCGCCGATGACAATGACAGGGGTGCGAGAAGATGTGTTGTTATCAGAGCGCGTGCCAATTGAATACTTAATTGACATAGCCCAATATTCGAAGGGTAATTTAACGGGGACGTGTGTGCCAGGGCGAGGACATGCAGGGTATAGATATCCCAAAGTAAACAAAGAAGTGAAGCTCAAATAGCCTTGCGCTCCACGATCTTGTATCAGGACTGGTAAGACTCTTGAATTGAGCCTCAATCCTGTGAACTGATGCTAACAGCCATCCATGCTTTGAAAATGCGAGGATATAGATATATAAGACCCTGAAACGGATCAACGAAGCTTAGTCCCATCTTGACACACGGTCCCTGTTTCAAGATATTTTGAGCGACTCGCGGGGAAGAGTAAAGATAGTATCAATTAACTATATATCTATAGATAGATTCGCCAAAAGTTAACAAAATTAGCCAGCATTGGTTCAATTAACTTGCATTAACCTGCATAAGCCACCTAATCCGGTGGGCCAGATCCTTGTAAATGCGCCCTAATTTCTAAATAAAAACAGCTGCATCAGTGAAGTAATCACATCAATGTATTTGCCGCCACCAACAATGTTGTTGTATGTTTAACTGGTTCGTCAAAAGCGCCTCGCAATCAGCAAATAATATTCCCCTTGTATTCCGATTATATGGCTGAGAAGACGATTACTTCAAGCAAGTATAAGTAAAAAGGGCATCACCGCTTGTTGCGTGCGGTATTATGAACGATCTACAAGGACTACAAGGTGTGATGATTGTTAATGAGTTGTTTGAGTCTATGTCATGTCCACGGTCTCTACGGAATACTTCGTACACCTTGGGCTGACGAGTCTCTTACCGGATATGGAAACCTCACAGTTGGGGCTTCAACGCCCGCATGCAATATGATCCAATGCAAGCCCTACATAATCTTCCAATACCCAATACCCAATATTCAAAACAAAACTTTCTTTTTGTTCTTTTTTCTGAGATATCACACATTTTGTACGGAGTACCTACTGCCTTGATCGCAAATATGACTCACTCAAAATGCCCCCTGAGTCTTTTACTCTGCATACGCCCGATACACAGCCATGCCCTTGTCGGTCACAAAGTCCAACGCAACCCCCTGCCCCACAAAGAAAACATATCCCTCCTTTAGCTCAGCGGTCTGATTCCCAGGGAATTTCATCTGACCACAGCCCTTCGTAACAATCATCAAGCTCGGCCCAAGAATGGCCTTGTGCGTCTCATTCTCTCCAGCGCCAAGAGTAGTACACAGCACAGAAAATTCGCTGATGGGCGGCGCATAGACATCTGTCTTACCGTTCATGCCTTTATCGCTCTTTCTGCGCGGTAGTAGCGCATCCTTTGCATTATGAGGCACAAAGCTCAGGGCCTGTCCGAACAGCTCGACGCTGTCACGGTCTGCAGCCGGACAGAAGCCTGTGTTGATTACGTTGTCCGACCGCGCCATGCATTCCACAATATCGCCTTCTAGGTAGGCATGAATGCTGTCTGCGGGGACGAAGACGGAGTCTCCCGGGCCCAGAGTCAAGTAGTTCATCAGAAGGGACGCGACTAGATTCCCGTTATCGCCTTCGCCGTATTGCTTTGCCAGACGGCCGAGCAGGTTTGGAATGTAGGTGTGTACACCGAACTGGGATTCTGGAATGGCTTGTAGGTCTTTCAATGTCTGTGCGACTTCCTTTGGTGGCGCGCTGAGTAAAGCCTTGCATACTTGGCGTAGGGCCTCGTCATTGAATTGTCCTGTATTTGGGATGTACTTTGCTAAGTGGTTCAATTCGAACAGCGCTTGGATGTCTTTCAGGGGCTTCCAGCCGGCGAAGAGCTCAAATTTTGAGAGTGCAATTGCAATTTCCGGCTTGTGCATTTTATCGCCATACTTTTCCGGGTGTTCTTTGTGTAGCTGGGCGGCGAGCTTCAGGTCTGGATGGATTTGTAGGGGCAGTGCTTTGCTAAAAGATAAAATCTTGAGTAATGTCAGTCATCTATGATTGCCACAAAATATTCTTGGCCTTCGCGCTTGCCTTTGGCAGAAATGGAATCTCCGGACCCCATCGATCGTGGACAGACTTGCCAACTAGCTCAGGGTGCTTCTTCAGGTACTCCCCGAGGTGTTCACCCGTGGAAAGGAGGTAGGATGGGTTAGAAGGATACGTGCCCATCCACATCTGCCTAGAAGTCAATACGACTGCCCTTAGAGGAGTCAATATCCGGACGAGAAGCTTACTTCTGAATAATGCGTGGAGTCGTCGATTGCTGCATTGTTTGGTGTTTTTGACCATAGTTGTGCTACTATCGACTCTTTTCCTTTCTTTCCCCAGTCGTCGTTCTATCAATCCAGAGTAAATCAGTATTGGCGTAAAAAGTCCGGGCAGGATATGCTTGCCTTTACACCACACCGAAGTTGGACTACTGCGTCTGCCATTGTGGTCAAGATGATAATGAGATTGAAAATTCTCTATAGTATGTGTGCGATGTTTCGATTGAATGCTCTCGCATTGCCTCAAATCGTTGCTAATGCATGGTATCCTCGACCGGCTGGGGCAAAACACGTTGATATGCCGTCATGGTGATATATTGAAAGATTGTCGCCCCAGGAATTAACATACCTGGCATCTAGCTAAGATCAATACGTGAAGTTACGTGATAGAATGGTGAACTGATCCGCCAATTGGAATTCCATCAAGAGGTGCTTGATTTGTATGCCATTGGAACGCTGAGGTCAAGGTCGAATATTTGATAAATGAAGTAGATGATTTATAGTAAGATTTTAAGTAAAATCTATAAAAGCTACTTTTACCAAAGCATACCGAATCGAGTGGAAATAATAAATGGTTTCATTCTGAGGCGCTAAGAGAAGGCCGATAACCGAAAAGAAATACCCAGTTAACACCGTGCAATGATGCTCAATAAAATCAAAGCGCATCTCGAAACAACCAAAATACAGACAGACACTTCACTCATAGAGATCATCAGGATCAGGAACCATCGCCAATGTCAGGGGCTTCGAGACTGCAGAAGCCCTGCGATCAGCCCCAACAAAAGGTGATGTCCGCCGCCTAGGAGGTAGCCCATAATTTCGTCGCGAACCAGAGCTATCCGAGCCATCACCAATGCTAGTAGAGTACAGACTACTGCGATGGTCATCCTCCTGGTATGCGCTTACTCGGACATTCGGAGTGTAATGATCACGATCACGATCGCGACCGCTGTATCGCCGATCATTCGACTCGGGGACCGAGCTGCGCCTCCACTTGGGTGTGCGGGGCGAGCTGACCGATTGGCTGCGCGCAGTCTCAGCGCCTGAACTTTCAAGATACCGCCCGTTGGTCGGAATGTACTTGAAGCGATTGTTGGGCTGAGTGGTCGTTCCGAGTTCCGAAGTGTAGTCTTGGTGAATTGGGCGATATGCAAACTCATTTCGCTTTTGCTCGGAGCGCTGTGCGTCTCTTTCTATTTGTGATTCGCCCCGCAGTTGTTTGGGACGCGAGGCGAGACGCACTGAAAGTCGGCCCGGTCGCAGGCCTCCAAAAGATAGTGAACTCCGCCGTGAGCTTGTTGAAGCTTCACTACAGACGCTTTTGTCGTCATCATCTTGGTCGTCCTCTTTGATTGGAGGATTCCGGTCTTGCGGAGAGCAGTCCGGCACATAACCTGGCCCATATGATGATCTCTCTCTGACTGGTCGATGGGGATTATCATATTGATTCCATGAGCCATCTGTGGGTACTGAGATGGACACATCCCCCCATCGAGCATGGAGAGGTTTGGTAGAGTCCGACTTGCGGAAGAGAGAAAGAGGTCCGTTGACGATTCCCGACATGATATGTGTGAAAAGGATGTGTGTTGCCAACTCGTACTTCTCTTATATCACCCCCACAGCAGTAACAAAGGTGACATTCGATTGACGGGAGAGGAGAGTAATGATCAAATGGGGGAAATATATGGACAGGGTTGATATTCATGCGTTCTAACAAGAACAGGAAACAACCAATGACGAAGGCCAGCCGACAAATCTGCAATCCGGTAGAGCAACAGGATTTTGGCCTGTTTTCTGCAATGATTCAGAAACAAACAGTGGGAAAGCCGCGGATTGGATAGCAGCCAGGCGGGTGACGAACAAGGGTCTTGAGGGGCAATTGAGGGGCCAGTGAACCAAGTCCTTGCAAAGAGACAAGCTGATAATAACAAAACAGAAGCAATACAAAAGCAAGTGCGAGTCCACCAGGGACTTCAAGCCAATCTGGAAGAGAGAAAATGAACCTTCATTTCGGCGGAAGGCGTCCGGATATAAAGCTTGGTCTCAGCAGAGTGCCACTTGCTGAGGTGTCGAAAGCGCTTTGTGCCAGCTGCTGGTGATCTCCTTCATTGTAGCCGTTGTTGCGAACAACCAATAGGGCTTGTGCGTTACCGCCGAGTGGTGATGCAGGCGGGATGGAGGCGGAGATCTGCCTGTGCTTGACAGGGGCCATTGTTCCTTAATTAGTTTGCATATCGGCCGCTTTGGGTCTTAAAATAGATGTCAATTAGCTACCATTTACCAATATGCAGATTGCATAAAGTGATTAAACATATCCACTACGTTTTCACAATATGTCGTGTTGAATCTTTATCGTGACTGTTTATAGAATATATCGTGGGCATTCCCATACTGAAACGAATAGAAAACAACTCCTTTGATCTGATTTTCAAACTTGCTATTTGATGCCTGGATTATAATTTGCGTTGATTACTTTCGAGGCCACGCTATACATATGCAGGTCGAATGTAACCATGAATAAGTCCAGCTAATTAATGGTATTTATAGAAGTCATCATTAATATGAAACTGGAATTACTAATGCAAGTGCTCCTAGGATACGTAACTACTCCGTACAGGCCTAGAACTTAAACACTCGAAATTGCATACAAGCATTAAGTACAAGCGCGCAGCCGAAACTGAACCCCCAAGTCTAGATCTTTTGGGTTTGAATGCTCCAAGCAAGGTGTACAGAATTCACGAAACACGCGCCCGTGGAATCCTACCGTTTCCCCCTGGTGCTAGCCGAATATATTTCCTTGCAGTGATCCACAGAGAGGATACGCTATGATTTTCGCAAACGGAGCCTTTCAAAATCCCTCGCAATGTTTCAAGTCATGGATTGCAGCGTCAATTCCTTGCTTCACATAGATATCCATGCATTCATTGAGAGTCCTCAGGGGTCTTGTTCATTGTCTTGCATTTGTGACTAGTCTAGAGCGGGTTCTGGCATCCTAACGTCTAGTACAAATGTCTAGGCAGACGTGGAGATACCTCGATATGGGACACGTAAGACACGAGTATTGCCGATAGATTTGTTTCTAGACTGGGTTTGGTAGCAAAGTGAGGCTTAAGTCATGCACTACATGAATCGCACAAAGCTAATGGTATTGAAACAGATGAGTCACCTATCGGTTGTTCAAGATCCCTCCAAATTCCTGGCTCCGGAAGTGTCTCATTCTCACGGAGGAATGATTTAACTAACTTCAGAAATCGGCTCATCTGCATTCGAAGAGCGCCCTCGCTTTTTCCCAGCGCATTTCCGACGGCCTTCCATTGAATCAGAGGAACCCGTAGTTAGTATAAATCAATAGTAAAAGGTACCTAGACACTTAGTAGGTGAGGTAAGACCGACCTTGACGCCACTTTGTGAGTTGACTCTGCCAAAGGTGACTTCTTCATCGGTAAACACATCGCCTTTGCGGGCTCGGATGCCGCTTTTCGGAGCCACAACGAAGAATTAGGCCTTTTCCTTCATCAAAGATGACGAGAGAAAAGTTCCATGATGTCGTTGGCGATAGCGTTGCCCGATGCGTCGTATTCGCCAAGCTTGCCTTGGAGGCTGTCGTAGAGCTGGCGTGGAACTAATCGCTCATAAGGTGCCGGTGGCTTTGGAGAAGAGGTTTATAGCCCATTCATTGGCTTTGCTGCCTTTGTGGTCGTCTTTGGGAGTTTAGCACGTTTAGAGGGTGGACTCACGCTCTCGGGGTATTCCTCCGTTCTCTCTGTCACATCGGCCGCATTAGTGTATCTTGTGGCTTCGATACGCGACTAATTGATCCTGACGCCGCATTCGTTGAAAGGCTAGACCTGAGAGACTTTTAGTCGCGCGGTAAGAAGAGATTACTCCGTGCTGACAGCATGTGTAGCCTCATGCTACGTTCTTTTGCGGTAGTGACAGAAGTAATGACAATCATAGTGAGAACGCTTTTTGCAAGACTACCAGGGTCAAAAAAATCAAGTCGGTCACATGAATATCCAAACAATGTGTGCTTGAAAATGACGCGCAGTTCTGGGTAGTTCAACTTTGGCTTTGGCTGTGTCATTAGAGGTAGACACAGAGCAATCGGGCATTGCCGGTATAATAAAGAGCTTGAGGAAGCGACCGGGGTATATATGGGAATCGGTGCCTGGATGGAAAAGAAGTCGCGCTCTATTGTGATGGTTACGATGATCTAGAGAAAGCTACATCTAGTATAGGTCAACACCTAGAAGTAAAAGCAGAGTACAAGGTCACCAAGGAGAAGTTGAGAGGCCACTGACCTTGTGGGCATTGCTCTGGCTCCCATGTTTAGAGATCCATACTGAACGGTTTTATCAACCCTGGGGCATATGTAACGTGATCATGATGGTAATATTGAAAAGGCAAATCGTGAGGATAAGCATGAGATTGAGATATCGAACCATATAATAAGGCTCTCGAATAGATCTAAGCTCCAAGAATGAAGGTGGCGTGTGAAGGTTACCCTAAGGAGAGAAAGAGAGAAGAATTTATCCTTTCAAAAAGACCAAGCAGGCTAGGTTTAGCCATTTGAGAGCTCATATCTCAAGCATCCATAGAGAACAAACATCCAAAAATGAACTTCAAAGAACAGGTGTAGATTGCTGGAGTTTACGGCAGTACAACCTGAGCCAACATCTGGCACTTCCGAAGTAACGAAGCCCAGTGCTGCTAGGAACTCAGAGCCTTTGATTGAAGTATACTCTCTTCTAGTCGGAGGTTTTGCTAGTTTAGACATAGACCTTACTTTGGGCTGGTAGAGCTCTTTGGAGTACGGAGTAATAGTTGACGAAATAGCCGAAGGTCGTGTAGAAGGACGTGTTGAACATGCCCTTAGAGAGGGGGGGAGGGTTTGCCATTGCCTGTGCTTGTATCGTCCATGTGGCTCAATATGCTTGCAATTTCTTGCTAGCCTAAGATGTTTGGAGATAGCTTTCACGAAGACCAAGTTTCTGTAAGCTGTAAGTCAGAGAAACAAAACCAAAAGTCTCAGCCATCAGGAGAATATGGGTCTACTGCAGGGGTTGTTCTCATGTCACCATACTTTGAACCACCTAGGGGGATACCAATTAATTCAACTCTACAATTATGTATATCTAATCTTTAAAGGGTCAAGTAAGGGTGAAGTGAGTGATAGTAAGAGAATTGTGAGGTGAAAGTCAAAATTTCGTTTCATTGCCACATGTCTGCGCAATCCAGGTTATCCTCCACAATTGAGCTTTGTCTTTGATTAATCAAGAAAAAATTGTCACAGATGGGGCTAGTCAAGGTAGGCCACTTATTCATTGCTGCTATCCTTCAATTCAGTCTCGTCGACATTGTCCTCCGCAGCATCTGCCTCGTTGGTGGCATCGGCAGCTTCTTTCTTTCCACGTGGGGTCCGCTTGGGGCCGACTTCTTTAAAGCCGTACTTTTGCTGGAGACGGATGAAGCGCATACGGCAGGCTGGTGTTTTGACGCCCAGGCGTGTGGCCGCAAGTTCGTAATCGGCCTATAGTGAACTTCAGTTAGTATAATGTATACTGCAGCCTATGTTTCAAGTAAGAGATAGCTGACCTTGGTGGTTCCAAGGAGGGTCAGGAGAAACTCTTGCTCACTGGCCCTGTGGACTGCTTTGGTCTCGACCTTGGCGGGGCCCTTGATCTTCAACTTGGGCTTGACCGGGTCCGAGGGCGGGGCGGAGGTGGAAGTGGAGGCGGGAGCCTCCGGCTCATTGCTTTCTGGAGCCATGGTTTGTTGGTTTGTTGGTTCTTTAGTTGAGTGATAGAGATTGGATAGATGTGTTTGAATGAAGGTTCCGTGTATTTGGATCAAAGTCCTCGGTATGGTTAGATGAATAGTAAAGGAAGCATATGTGGGGAAGAGAAGAAAAGAACAGGAAATGAACAGAGAGGGCCTTTCATATGTCTGGGTTTTGAGCAAATCGGGGGTTCAACTTTGGAAAACAACGAGCACTTTTATTAACCCCAGTACCAATACGACAAAATACCTCGTAATGTACATTTGAGAGCCCACGAGAACCATAGTCTCGCTATTCGTATCTCAAACACGCAATCAAGGATACTCAAACATAAGACCTACGTATGTATAACAGTCCAGGTAGCATCAACTGGGGCGAGCCAGCGTAGCCGCTCGAGAGACTGTCTTTTGTAGGGGACTTGAGCATGGCTGACCTTCACCTTGCCATTGCTCGCATAGGTGAGACATGGTAGATTACAGGCCTCTATCCTGTCTTTTGAGCGAGCAGGCTAACATTACTTCCGCATTATAGGTACTCTCACACTCGTCCCATCCTATAACCCGCCTATATTCAGAATTGACGTCTCGAATGCGCGATGTAATCGGCAACCCAGACGCGAATATATTGACGATGACCCTCAAAAACTGTCTTTTTGAGCAACTGAATACGTCTACAAGGGGTTATACTTTGTTGGATGACTGCTCCTATCAAGCCAGGAAGCTACGAGGGATCGACGAGACGTCAACGGACGATGTCGGATGCCTCACCCCAAGCACTTGATATAAATACGTCTCAGCTCTTTGTTAGCCTTTGGGCAGTGTGTTCCTAATCATCTCTGGGCTTGAATGGATTCTTTGGGGGACTACAACCAGCAGGGTTACTGTGATGATTGGCACGTGGAGTTTCAAGACGAGCCCGACGGCAACCAACGTGGCCAAAAGTAAAGCTTTGATGGGAACATTTAACATATTGTTATAATGACCTAGATACATCGCTACATGCGCTGTACTATCTCAAGTGGTTCACTTGAGGCTCCTGCACTTGGTCTGCAGGGGGCCCCACTTGCGTCCCACTTTTAACCATAATCCTGGCCCCTGCATGGATGAATCAAGCTTATTTTTTGCCTCTTAGGTCTAAGACAGCCAAACCAGGCAAACAAAATGGGAGACAACAGGCTGATGGAAGGCGGTGAAATTTCCCAAATGAAGAAACATGTAAACAAAAAAAGAAGACCGAAAACGAACGGCAGGCTAAGCATGCGTCAAAAACGCAAAAAGGAGAGAATGCCCTTGGACGTTAGCTAATTCCAGGTAGCTGACGCCAAAGGGCATATAATATTAGTTAGTGATTTTGTAATTATGGGAGAAGAACATGCAAAGAGTACAAACATACAACAGAGGGGCTTGATTAAGCGAATAAAGCCCCGGATCCTATCTCGTAAAGTGTATGTCTGCTGCTATTAGCCCCAGGAAATACACTTATGCTATATTAGAGATAAAAATAATATTCGTTGTGTACTCCAAGTTATAGTGTTCTTGTGAATGGTAGTAGAACTCGTGTCCGAATCGTGTCATATTCTTCAGCCACTATTGTGTATTTATATACTCCAAAGGCTTGTTTCTGAGTACTGCTGTGGTTTCGCTTTTTTGAAACATTAGTCAGACTTCGACTTAGTACAACATCAAAGCATAATAGTAGGGTCGATCAAGCTATAGCTAGGTGTAGACTGTAACATCGCCCATAGACGGGCGGGTGGGCTAGACTTCGGCACAACCCACTCTAACCCGGACCCAACCTAACCCAACCCAAAATAGGTTTTAGGTCTATTACTTCGACCTAACAATAGGTTTTAGGTTAGGTTAGGTTATAGAGGGTAGAACCCAAAGGCTAATAGGTTGGGTTTTAGGTCAGAGGTTCCGACCCAAAATAGGTTCTGCCGAAGTCTACCTAGGTCATCATATCATCTCTTTAGCACCATTGCTGCTAGATAATTCTGTAATCAATACAGAAAGAAAGAGATATGAATCATTGCTTAGGCTTTAATTCTGTTGTATGAATTGGACAATGGCACTAATTACAAGTGGATCGGAATACGCCGACGGTTCTTTTTTTGGCCACTAAAATATGTTGGCAATTTTAGTACTGAAACCAGCACACATCTTGAATTGGACCCCATTCATGCGCCAATTACGACGGATATGTTGTCATGTGGCATCATGCAGCCCAGCCCCTAGCGCTAAATATCCGGTCAAGCTTCGTCAAGCCTCAAAACACAGGGCCTCCGCCTTGGCGTTGTGCTTGAATTTTTTGGCTTGACAGACCACATCGACAGGTTCGCGGGGAAATTCCGGAACTGAGATCAACGGTACTTAATCATTACCAAAAAAGACTAATGGAGACAATCTTTTAAATGATGAGCATCTAAGAGAACCGGTATAATACAGAGTACTGACCCCTCAAAGGGACGCACACCGCAGCGGCGACGCGATGTAATATCAGGTCCAGTAAGCTGAACTATTTTTGAATCCTTGATGCGTTTGCTCCAATAACATGATTCCGCCATGCGCAATCTCAACATACATACCCGCATCTACATAACGTACTTACGATAAACTGGATCGATACGGTGTTTAATTGGGGTGCTTCGAATTTTACTCGTTTGAGTGCAACTCAACTACTTTTTTCCCCCAATGCCACGCGAAATGACCGAGAAACGACGAGAGCAGAACAGAAGGGCGCAGCGTTCGTACCGTACATGATAATCCCACCCATAGCTTGCAGGATATGCTTATTAAATCTCATTTACTCAGGAAACAATATGAAGTCCCGGATTGAAGAGCTCGAACGAGACAATTCATTCTTGCTGCAGCAAACCGAGTTCAGCATTCCAAGTCAATTCACACGGCCAATAATTTCGAGGGGCTCAGGGCTATCGAGCCGTCAGCCTGAAGAGTGGGATACAAATGGAGAATTGGGCTCTACAGTGCTTGAAAATATTTCACTTCAAAACGACTCTCTCTTCAATCCCGAAAAGCTCGATTCCACCCCGGTGCATAAAGATCCCAAGTTCCAGTCACCAATCACGATGGGAGGTGGAAGGGTCTATGTATATCCAAGCGTCAACGAACACAATCAACCCCTTACCCCTACAAGTGAAATTGTCAGTACCATCCATATATCGACCCATCCCATCGCTCGGGCACATGGGCCGTCAAGTTAATAAGAGCGCAGATAAATGAAGTAAGGATCAATCGGCGACCGGGAAGCGCTAGACATGCAACGAACCCCGATCTAGAAGAGGCAGCGCACGAGATAAAGTTGTCACATACAACCACGAAATCTTCAGTGACACCTAGTGGGACGACTGCACTTCACCTGGCAGCGGCGTCCAAGAATGCCCAATGTGTGGAGATATTGCTGGAACATGGCTTTGACATCGACTCTCTCGGTATCAATGGACGCACGGCTCTAATGGCTGCTGCTGTTGACAGCTCAGATGTGATTCGAACTCTCCTTGACCGAGGCGCTGATTTATCGATATACGCACCGGATGGAAAAACAGCGCTAGAAATTGCAGCGCATCTGGGTAAACCGAAGGCCCTGACCACCCTACTGATAGCTTCTACAGTTTAGAACAGCATGTATTTTTGGTTTAGATAAAAGACAAGTACACGAAATCGTCAAAGTCATGACCTATGAGGATCTTTGAGTTGTAATGGAAACGATTGGACATTGGCTACCACCAAATTCGAGATTTGTACCCACGTTTATAGGGGCCAATTCTTTGGCGACAAAGATTCTGTGCTATCTAGCTGCTACGTGAGAGGCATTAGAATAAAGAGGCTCATTTTGTATTATTTCAACGCTTATCGCAAATTCATATCATAAAACTGCCTCATCCGCGTCCACAAATCAATGACATGTTTCCTCTCAGTAATCAAATGTCCTTCTCGAGGATAGGTTACCATGTCAACGGGCACATTGTTATGAATACACGCCCGGTAAAATGCAATAGCCTGTGTCAAGGGAACACGCACGTCGTTTTCGCCATGAAGAATCAAGACGGGCGTCTTCACATTACGCATATGCCATAATGCGCTTCCACGTCGACTATTCGTGTTTTGTATCCATTCTTTTGATGATTTCAAGTGCGTGTCGTCTAGTTCTTCACCAGGTTTTGCATTCTCATCTACATCCCATGGCGCGCCGCCCGCCATATCGGCCTCAAACCAGTATGCATCGCTCGTCATCGTCAAAACGTCCCAGTCCACCACGCCTGCGCCACAGACGGCTCCTCGAAATTGATAATCTTTGCGGGTGACTGCCAAGTATGATAAAAAGCCGCCTTGTGACCAGCCGCCGATCGCCACACGCGAAGGGTCCACGAGGCCTTTGTCAATGCAGTTTCGAAGAATATCAATACAATCTGTGTAGTCGACTGTTCCCACCATACCACGAGCATATGCGGCGTGCTTTTCACCTCTGCCACTCCCGCCACGGTAATTGGGACAAAGAACAGCGTATCCAGCCGAGACCAGAAGTGGAACCTCGAGACAGTGACAGACGGAAAAGCTGGTCGTTACCCGCCAGTACGGCCCTCCGTGCGGGATCAAAATGGTGGCAAGGGGTCCATCCTCTGCTTTGTATTTGGAAGGAACGTATATCATGCCATCGAGTGAGTAGCCGTCTGATGCGGTCGCAGAGATAGACCATTGTTTGGCTATTTTGAGGGCGGCGATGTGAGAATTGTGATCCGATAATTTGACTATATCTTTAGACTCAGAGATGGAAAAGACTTCCTCGGGGCTCGATCCGTCGCCTTTGGTGATGGCAATCACGGTATTTTTTGCAGTCCTAAAGATATCGAATGAGGTCATCTCATACTCCCCGCAATGGATTGGAGTATGGCTGCCATCGTCGATCGCGAAAAGCTTATCATGAAGATCGTGCTGAACACGGTAAGCGAGGGAAGATCGATTCTTCTGAATACGGATGCAACAGCTCTCTTTAGATTCATGCTCTGTATATGACCCATCTTCAACGCAAAGCCGGTATAGCGAAAGGGAAGTTGAGCAGTGTGTCGGCTTGTGGCCGGCAATGAAGTACACGCCACGGTGTCCCCATTCAACCTGGCTGATTGGTCCTGGGAATTCAGTCACAGTGGTCAATTTGGCTCCTAAGAGAGACGCAATGCGTATTTTTGCCCCAAAAAATCCAGCGGAGTTGAAACCCGGCTCTTTATGCTCGATATAGCTAATGTTCGTGGAGTCAGGACTCCAAGAAAAGTCATGCACATGTCTGTCGCCACAGACCACTGTCTGGATCTGTCTTGTCGCTATATGAACAACTTTCAAGCGGCAGTATTCTAGGTTTTTTCCCCAGATCGTGGCATCGTTTTTTGCTTTCTCCTTGCAGACTTGTTCTTCCGTCTTCTCGTCTGCGCTGGTAAATGCAATGAACGCGCCGCTGGGACTCCATTCAAACGCCACAATTGGTTTTTCATTATCGACAGGCGTGATGGGGTACGGCTCACCTCCATTTACTGGCATCACATAGATCGCCGAGCCTTTACCCAGGTGACCCCGATCGGACTTGAATGCAAGAGAAGTTCCATCTGGAGACCACTGTGGCTGTTCATCGTGAAACAAGCCGGAGGTAAATTGACGAGTACTATTTTCTTTGCCAATCTCGGCTATCCAGATTGATGAGGTTAGATTCTCGCATTTTTTGCTAAAGTCTCGAAGTGTGTAAACGACCTTAGCGGCGTCGGGAGAAATTCGAAGATCATTGGGAACCTGTAGGTTGGCCAGGGCTTCCAGGCTCAAGTTGGCCTTGTGATCTGGGTTGGCTACCATTATAAATGCTGAATTGTCAATCAATATGAAGCAGATGAGAGGTGAGAGGTGAGAGAGATTTATTTCTTTGTTTATTTGCCGGAGTCGAATAACCCCGATTCTCAGGGGGATTTGGATGTAACGGGAACATCCAATTACATTTTGTCGATTCCAGGGAAAGCGGCACGAGCGAGTACCTGTACAAAAGGACCAATGGTAGGTTCATAGTATACGTTAAAGTGTAACCTAGGTTGTCTAATCCTGCTAATAGTTGCCAACTGTGGGTTTTTTTAAAGCAATAGAATGCCCCCAAACGAAGGTATCGAAGTCTATCAATCAGCAAGGTGGGCGCTGTGAAAGTCGAGTGAACTAGTTAAGACCCATTTTAAGCTGAGACAATTATATTTATCGATCCGAGATACGCAGTATGCGCTAGTACCAGACTAAACCCATACGGCTATTGTACCTTGAGATATGAATTTCTATATAGATCTGAGAGTAAAATAAAGGGCCCTACATGTTAATTCGGCAGTCAATTCCTTGGAGATCAGGTAGTGGGCGTTGATTAACAACACAGGTCATTTTGCCTATAGCTTCAGAGCTCGGCGTTCCTATAACCTAACTAAAACGTTTTTTTAGTGGAAGTAATATTATGTGATAGATAAAGAAACGGACAAGCGAGGACCTACTGATAAATATGAAAAAATATTCGTTATTTATGAACATGCATACTCACTACGGCATAAACAGACTTTATTCTCCATATCAGTGGCATCTATGCAACAAGAAACTATCATTCGGAGTCGGATGAAGTTAAGCAATCTAGTTTGGCTCTCGAGAAACTGACAGAAGTTCCGGCCTACGTTCCATCGGGTAGAAACCACTGTCCTCATACTTGACTTTCCAAACCAAAATACGAAGTATCCAAAAATAATCACGACAGTCATGGTCTGCGCACTATGCTAATCAAACGAGTGTGTATTCCAATTTGGAGAGCAGAGTATATTTAAATCTAAAGACCACCAAAAGAGCCTGCGCATAATTCATAACAAATAACAAATCGTGTCGCAGACCCGAATCTAACAAAAAAAAGATATTTCCACAATTCTATACCATGACTCATAACCCGTATATCCTGTATAGTGTACAGTACTGGGCATTTGAGTCAATCAATCCCAATAATACATCAGACCCTCGCCGCCACGGTACAATATGCACAAGGCGCGAAACTTGTCCTGCGTGTGATATCAATTCATCCCACAGAACCAAGCCTAAACTCAGCGCAGCAATAGATGGAGAGCCACTCAGCCACTCAGCCACTCAGCATTTACTGAGCAATAGGGGACGGCGAGGGAGTAGGGGTGGAAGTGGGGAATCCAGTGGACGACTCCTGGCGCTTCTCGAAAGGCAAAGAGAATGGCAGGTCGGTAGGGAAACCGGTAGGGAGACCAGTAGGCAAAGCGCTCAGGATGCTGCTAGGAATGGAAAAGGGAAGGTCTGTGGGGAACTGGCGCTTCTCGAAGCTGCTGGGAGTGGCTGTAGGGGTGGGGAAGCTCGAGGAAGGAGAGCTAGTGAAACTCGAGAAGACGACGGGAGGGGGGCCCTGATTACCGGGTCCGTGGTGGAATTGGCGCTTCTCGAAGGGGATTCCGGTGGGCGCGGGGAAGTCAGTGGGGAAGCCACTGGGGGTGGAGCACGGGAAAGAGGAAGGCAGGTCGGTAGGGAATTCCTGGCGCTTCTCGAAAGGAAGCGAGAATGGGAAATCGGTAGGGAAACCAGTAGGAATGCCGGTTGGGGTGCCAGAAGGAGTACCAGAGGGAGTCGGGAAGCCGCTGGGGGAGGTCCGTGGTGGAACTGGCGCTTTTCAAAGGGGAGTCCAGTGGGAATACCGGTGGGCGTGCCCGTGGGCGTGCCGCTGATAGAAGAGCTGGAGGGGACAGGCGCATCACTGGGGGCGCCGAAAGCAGGGGGGCCCTGGGGCAGGGCCAGGGCACAGCCCATCATGCCCATAGCAGCGAAACCGGTGTATCTCATCTTGGTTGATGTGAATTAATCGAAAGATATATCAAGAAAGTGAATGATGGAGAAAATTGGATCGAAATTGGACTCGGATATACGGGCGGTATATCAAGACAGATCTTATGGCTTAGAAAGGAATCTTGGGGGGCCGAGGACCGATTTATAACATTGCCGACTTTTGAGGCGCACTGGGCTTTGTCGTAAACCGAAGTGGATTCCGTGATCGGTCCATGACTTCAAGTTTGTTGCCCCAGAGGCTGGGCAGGCTGGGCAGGCTGGAAGTTGGACTGGCCGGACAACGATACTTAGAACGGTAGAGGTGGATTCGTCGATCTTAACTTGAGGGACCTTAGGGTCCTCAAGGACCAGGCGCAAGGCATGGACGGGTAGAAGCACATGGCCTGGGGCTGAGGTATTTTTCTTCATGTTTTCGCTGGCCAGCCAATGCACAAAGAGGTAAAAAGTGGTTCTTGTGTGTTCGAGGCAAGTATCGACGGTACGGTTGGGCTACAGACGCCACAGCCAGGTACCAAACGATAGTTCGACGATCATCTTCCGCGTGCAGAATAGCGCAAGAAGCAAATGATTGCCGAGATGATCTGACCGTATCAAATGCTTCTCCTCGGGTGGTTCGTACCTCCCAGGCTGGTTACGGGGTCTGGCCGAGACTAAACCTTGTTGTCACTCGGCTTCAAGGCGCCTAGGACATGGTACCCCTTTTTGAGGCCTCGGCACACCATCACAGCGATGAGCACATCAATCCTTGTTTATCTAGCATCATTAGGCTTTATCCGTAACAAAATGGCTGGTCACTCGTTTCAAGTGTATTGATTTCGCCACACTGCGCCTATCAGAAGGCTGATGCGTAGCCTGTGTCAGGATGTGCGGTTTACAATGCAGGGAGTACCCACGGAAGAGGGTGGACTCAGGGTGGCTGGAAAAGGTTGGCAGAGCCACTGATTGATAAGTGAGGTCCAATGGCCACGGACTGATCGGCGCGGTGGGACGTTCTCGCTCCAATTCTGTGGAACGTTAGGCTGGTTTTTCCGGAATGGAGACGCCCTCAAAGCGACTCAATAACAGTCTTCCCAATGCTGAGCTGTGGTGTGTCTCACTGACATACAGAAAGCATTGCCCATTCCGCAGAAGTTTCAAACGATGGAGATATTCAGTACCCGCCCTAGCTTTCAGGGCCTAGAATATCAGTCCATGGCCGAGTCGTCGTCAGCCCTGGACTGAATCGAGGTCAGTTGGCCCACAGTGGGCCCCGTGACATAGGATCGACGTTGGTGGACTTTTCAATCTTTCCCTTGGTCACGATAAAAAGTTAGCCATATTTCGCGCTCAGCTTGTGTGAAAATATCGACGTATATCGTACATCCATGGATTGCATGGACACGTACAACGCATGTATTGTTGTTCATCATCCTAGTGAACCGTTGAAACGTTGCCGATTGTTTCCTGATATTGATTGCCTCCAAGCTCCACTAGCTTCTTTCTAGTTGGCTGTATGCCAAGGGTGCCAAGCATTCATATATGGCCATTAAGCTCAGTCGGCATCTTCACGAGGCTAATGTTAGGAAATTCAGGGCCATTAGCGCCGACGGCGGAGCCTCGTATCAGGCTTGAAATATACTCCGTACATGCAATTATATATCTTTATGTAACTTCGAAATTGGTAGCTTAGGAACACCATTTCATCTAGGGATTCAATACCACACGGTATATGGGTGGAACATTTTCCCGCTATGTACAGAAAACCGCCGTATGCATACATGTTGTATATAAAAAACCCAAAACAGAAATGAAGGAAGCAAAAACCGCGTATCCAGCGGATTGCTATGCTGTAATACGGACCACAATGCTGCAAACTGAAAAGTGGTTTAGTGCGAGGAGGTCGGATCGAATAAAAGAATAAAAGGGAAAATGTAAGCGAGCCAAAATCCTGTGGTGGATGTTCAGAGGCATAGAACCAGAGTCGACGAAGACCAAAAGTCCTCCTGGTCCAAGTGTCTTATATCGCAGGGGAGCCATGAAGCTGGTTTGATTTGTTGGGCGGGCCTGTATGTGTCAAAGACACTGAAGTCTGGGCACCGCGAATCCTCAAGAACCGAGGAACGGAATACAATGTAGAATCAATTATACATTCCTTAATGCCGCTATGTGCGCGCCAGGGGATCAGACGAGCTCGGATAGACTATTGGCGTTGGAGTCATACTAAGCAGATGGCGGGACGAAGGTGGTACGGTCATGGAGAGGTCACGAGCCGACGACGCATAGGCCTGCTTTAGGGAACTGCGATGAGCTGTAGCGGAAGAATTGGAGGCCGGGCCAGAAGAAAATGAGGATCGTCGGGATCGAACGGGGCTACGGGGCCCGTGGCTCGCAAATGCTCCGCCAAATGAAGATGACTCCGAGAACGCTCGGTGCCCTGCGAGTTTGGGACGAAGCGTGTATGATCTTTTGGGCTCGTCGTCACTGCTTGAGCCAATGTCGAAGATCGCTCCGTTGAAGGATACCGAGGATGTACGGCGGTGGGTCCTAGCTTGGGTTGACATAAGGGCCGACTCGCTCGACTGCGAGATAGACGGGTTATCTAATGAAACGGTGCTTCGTGCCTTTCTCAGTTCCTGGGTTGGCCGATGCCGTGCTTGCCTGTCTGAGTACCTCTTTTCCAACTCGTGGCTATGGGATCCTGTTCGCTTGTCGCGATAGCGCTCCCGTCCACTGCTATCTACCGAGTCAATCGAGTGACGGCTGAAGTTTGGCATACGTAGATCAACCTGGCTCGGACTGAAGGCTACCCGGGCCCGCATATTTTGAACGGCATTATCCAGTGCCAGCTCAATGGCACAATGATTTCGGATACGACTTAGTCTTGGCCATGTCGCCCGCTCGCCACTCAGACATGCCGAGAGCATGAACTCTGGGGTCGGATTCTCCAAAAGTCTAGGAAAGTTGGAGGAAATGAGTTCCGGGTATATGTTGATGTCTCCATGATATTTCTGGTTCACAATCGAGGCAAACTTGGTCATTGATGTCGGGAACACCCCAAGTTCCGAGAGCACATTCATGCGGTGTAGAACCTCGTCTTTGGCAAGGTGTGTCATCGTGTTCATCCATCGAGGGATGAATGAAGGGCCATTGTTTGTCTCGTGTGGACCTGTCTCCTTTGGAAGGAATGGCACCACATGAGGGTTCACCTGAGAAACAATGAAATGGTTCACGTTGAACATCTCTGATAATCGTGTCATGGGCAGATCCCCATCGACAGAGCCATCAATATACTGTTTGTGAAGATCATTCCAGGGGACCGGTTCCCCTGTTAACGGATCCTTAGCCATTAAAGTGAACGGTCTGAAGACAAAAGGGACAGAGCATGATACCGCCCTTAAGTGACATTAGAGACGAGTCGAGAGGATGAAAAGAAAGGGGGGGGGACTTACACAGCAGACCAGATCAACACGTTTGGGGCAGAAATATAGTTCAACAGCCGTGGAAGCTCATACATGCCGGCACTCGATACACAAATGTTCAGGATTCTGCGAGTGCGGTTATATGCTTCCTGAAAGGTCATGTCTCCCAGCCAGTTCCTGATGGTCTTCGCCAAGTGGGAGATGTCAAGAAATGATCCAAACTTCAAAAAACGAGTCATTTTTTGCAGGATATTTTCCTCTTGACCTTTTTCATTGAAGACATCAAAATCTCCATGTACGTAGGTATCCAAAAGCGCCGGCAGCTCTTCATCTGTGCGTGTACAGAAGACCGCGCACACAATGCTACCAGCAGAAGCACCTGAGATAATTCGAGGGATCATGTTTGCTTCATAAAGGGCCTTAAGAACCCCAATATGGGTCATACCGAAAGTGGCGCCACCGGAGAAGAGGAGTGCACTGCGACCAAATGCCTGTCGAGCTGCCAGCAGCTGGTCCAGGATATATTTCAACTCCAGCCCATCGCAGCGGTCATGCACCGACAAATCCACCAGCGTGGCGATAGTCTCCACAGCCGTGGTAATATACCTATCAATCAAGTCCTTGGTGCCGATGTGCGAATGGCGATATAGAGAGGCGTTGCTCATGTGTGCCAGGTCCCGACTCAGCGCAGTGCGCACCAGAAACAGCATGCGGCTTACATCACAGCTGATGCGAGCCTCTTCCAACTGTCGCAAACGATCCTGTACCAAATGAGGGTCATATTCAGTGCACTCAAGTGTCTGCTTCCAGGTGTTGTTGTGCTCTAGTTCATCCAGCTCAATGGCACAACTTCGCCATTCCTCGTACGACACAGCCTGCAGCCTAAGGGTTAGAAAGGAGGGTCACTCTGCGGACTCGATGGCCCGCTGCAGGTACACCGCATGTACTAACATTCTTTATTTTCAGATATAAGACTTGTTTGTGATCCTCGATCTCAGCCCTGTGTCTTCGTTGTTCCTTGGAGAGACCATCACGGTAGGTGTGCAACGTATCACCAGCCCAATCCCACGAGTCTTTCAGGAGTGAAGATACAGCTGGTATGGAGGTCGCTTTTCGGGGTGGTCGCGGTGGTGGGGGTTGGGATAGAGGGTGTTCATGGGAGTGTTTGTGTCCATGATGACACTGAACTATTGTGGGGTCGCCCAACACCGACATACCCAGGCTGTGCATGGGGAAAGCAAGCCATCCAGCCGGGGTTTGAAACGCGGGGATATGGTAATCTTGATGAAACTAGTACAATCAAGCAATAAAATAAATAAAGTCAGTAAAAGTTGACATCCAAGTCAAGTTTGGGGGTGGCCTAACGTCACGAGGGCTGGAAGCCAATTTTGTCAGGCCCTCGGTCCTCGGGACCACTTCACTTTGGGTTCTTTATGACGATTTCACTACTTTACATCACAACAACACTACAACACTACATACTTCAATGTCAAATTGTGAACTTGTATATCCAAGACAGCTGCCTAAAGCACCGATTTTTTTCAATCTAGGTGTGCACCAAACTTATAATTCACTTCTCATATTGTCTGACAGGGTCACTAATAATGTCCTCAGTAAGTCCCGACTCTGATATTTCCTCAAACACTAGAGATAGCTTATGTCTGTCTTCAATTTCTTCTGGGTCCTATTCGTAAGGTTTCACTGTGAAATCTCAATGACAAAAGCTAAAGTCAAGGTAAGAGAATGCAGCGACGAAAGTGACGTTCCTCGCAAGGCAAGTCATGCCCCGTCTTCGTCACTAATAGTCACTAATCATGCACCCGCCGCCCGCGTGCGCTTCACGTTTTCCGTAAATCCCCAATGCCCAACTCACATATTTTAAGCTTGTATGTGAAGGTACAAAGATTAGGCGCCCAATTGCCAGACTTGGATCAAGGAGTATGTCTGTAGCCTAATTCAAGCCTGGTTTGCTGCCAGTAGCGCTATCGCAATCATCGGCAATACCCCTAAAGTGATATATGGCTTTGATGAGATGATCGCAAGTCAGGTATTGCTCCCTCTTTTTGGATAGCTTCTCTATTTTTGGGGAGTTTTCTATCTTGTTATCGACTTCCATAATTTGGCCAATTCTACCTTTTGATGAATTTGATATTCGTATGCTTGGCTTGGGATTTGGTCAATTTTTCATTATCAGCCTAGTATCCTAGACCACCTCCCAAGGAGCTGATGCAATGGCTTGATGAGATGCCGCTATTCATCTGTCTAATTACTGGGCTCTTTGGTGACGCAGACCAGCTGGCAGTTAGTCCAGTCCTTTGTCTGTCAGGCTCAGTTTTAACATATTGTTACCTTGATGCTTTTTCAGAGTGGAAGTTCTCGAGAAAGTGAAAAATGAGATGAGAGCAGCCAATGAATTGAACTCCGGTGATGATTGATTTCAGGAGAGAGATGCACGACAGAGACGTCAAAGTCCATACCTAGGGACATATAGCCATCACAAAATATTCCCATGCATCTGCGGTGGCCGGGAACTGATCTAGAATCAACGGCAAGTACACTTGCGACCATTCCGATTCCCATGAAGCTGTATATTGCGCTTTGCGAGCTTCCCAATATGAAGGTAGCCACCCCGACTGCTCCCAGTCGATAATGCCACAAACATGATATGTCGGTGTGATGATGATGTTGCTGGGGTGTAAATCGCCATGGGTGAAAACAATGTCACTATTATCGGGTAATCCCGACCGGAATGGCTCTTGAGACACCAAATATGGATCTGGCACTCGCCGTAGATGGAGGAATGTAAACCAATCATGAAATTCCCGGACAGAGGCAAAGGGACCTGCTTCAGATAGGTAATTCACATGGAACGTTCTGTCGTAAAGCGGATGATTCCTTGATACCGTGCCTATCTATGAGTATTAGATGTTGGTATATCTAAACGAATAACGGGACGAAAGCAATTGTAATTCTGCTGAGACCTGCAACAGGACACTTGAATTCTAGCATTCAAGCGTGTTCTGAACCTGCAGTCAATGTACTTACCGATGAAGGGATCTAGGGGGTCCTGCTTTATTTGACGGATAGCATCAACTACCTTCCGGAGTTCATGGCAAATCGAGATCCGATGATTGCCATCTATGGAATCCCATGCCCGCTCTAGAGTTTGTCCCTGAAGATATTCCATATAAATGAAAGCTTCGCCCCCATCCATGCACCAGCCAAAGACCTGGGGTACCGGGATGTCGTCAAATTGGCCGAAAGCAAAAAGACAATGAGCCTCGGATATATTCACTCCTGTCCCCCATTTGACAAGGAGGTTTTTATCCCGGAATACCGCGGGTGGGGGTCTGGATTGAGGGCCATCCTGGTCGGTTACGAAAAAGTTCCTATCACTGACAGTATTACCGGCAAGGTGTTGGGCTTTGGCGTTGGCGCGAACCTCGTCCGGAGAAGGAAGCTGACCCCATTCCCTCAAATAGGAAGAGTCCGGGATAATGAAATCTTCGGACACTGGTATCAAAGGCATTTGCCGTATTCTGGGCTTTGTGGCCATAATATGAGCTTCAAGCGGTCGAAAGTGTCGATTACGAGGAGTCCGAGCAGGGAACTTCAGGGAACTCGATGCTTAGAAATGACAGGAGGTCTCATAGGTGTATGCGGCAGAAGCCCAAGTCCGGTAAAGCCCAATGTTTCAACTCTATCTTATAGCTAATAACATCAGGCATGTCGTTATAAGAACGTACCGTCATCTCCTCTGGATAAACCATATGTCTACAATATACTCCGTACATTGAGGTATCTACCTTCTCAGTCTCTTTTCGATAATAGCACCTCAGGCTTGCCTTCTGTTTATTTTTCTTTTGGTTTGCTTGCTTGCTTGTTTTTTTCTTGCAGTTATTGGCGTATGATCTTGAAAATCATCTTGTGCCCAAATCCCCTAAGTTCCACCCGCGCAAACCCGGTCGGTGGGCTTCTTCACATGCGGGCGGTATGTGAGCTCTCTTGGGCTAATTTTCGCCTTGACATGTCATCCTCCTATATTGTCTCGCTACAATGCGTGCATACATATATGAACTGTATTGATAATGATTCGACGGCCAAATAACCAAACCGAGAAAATCATCATATCTGACAGAGCCATTCCTTCAGCGCATGTCTCGCCCGCACCTCGACCCCATCCTCACGCCAGAAATGGCCCGCGCCAACAATCATTCTAGATTGGAACTGACTGCGTGGCATGCGCACCATCTCGTCTGACCACTGCTGCAGTTTCCGGGCAGTCGTGAAGGTATCCTGGTCCCCAAAGAGTGCCAGGGTGTGGTGCGTGCTCTGCTGGTCTGCAGGACGCGGGCAGCGGATGTGGGGGCCTTGGGAGGTCTCAGTCTTCACCTTTAACGACAAAGTCGAGAATACAGTCAATAATTGGCTAATTGGGGGCAATAACGGCGACACGAGAAGATAGGAGATGGATGTCATGAATGCACGGAGGTCTGGGCCATCGGTCAGACTGCGACTTATTTGAAGTTTCTCCAAGGACAATGCGGCTATCCGTTTTGCTGTACTCCTAATATCGTATATAGCAGTTGCTTTGTTTGTAGAGGTTGTTGTAGGCACGGGTTGGAAAAGGTCGAGCATAGTATCGAGGGTCGGTACGTGCGAGGCAATCAAAGACCCATATGAATAGCCACCAAGGACGAGACGGATATCTGGGCTTTTGCTTTCTTCGCCGCTGACTTTGTGAGGCTTTGAGTCTACTTGGTCTCTCGGGGCCAACACAAGCCCCAGGAAGTGCAGATATTGCAGCATAAATCCGTAGAACGATACATAATCACCAAGCTCTGGCTTTGCAGTCCAGCTTGTGCGTCCTTCGGAGCGACCGGCTCCACTATGTGTCATTCGTTAGCAACGTTGTCTTGGTTGAGTGTCAGCACTAGATGATTATACCGGAAGTTGAAGGTTCCCACGATGTAGCCGGCCTGTAGAAGCTCGCTCCCGATAAAACTGACGACTGGATCATCATAGCATCCTCCTAGAGTTGCATATGGATGCGCGACAATAGCACCACGGTTGAGCCAAGTTGTTGTTGATTCTATATTTTTGAGCACGGGCGGGAGATGAATGCGGCATTCGAGCTTGTTGCCGTCGTAAACAGACGGGAGGAAAAAAGAGAGGCTTGGTGATAGAATATCCATGGCCGATTATATTTTATTTCATGCTTTGATGTGTTGGAACGCAAAGCTTATAGTTCGCTGTTGATTGGGAGAGATCAAGGGTGCGGCGAGGTTTCTGTGGACCACCCACCCCAATAATTCGGAGCAACTAGGTACCACCCACAACTTGAACATCGCCTCTAGAGCCAGGTATGCTAAATACGGTTACATGGCGACAAAGTTAGCGATTCAATACATCCATGAATGTAGTGCGATAACACTCGAAATACATGTAGATAGCTGATGAATAAGATTATTATATGTTTGGAAGAGTTGGGAGGCATTATGTAGATCGAGCAAATGAGTTATATATTTTTCATCTAAATACGAAAGGGACCCATCAGGCCAGCCAGGACGGATCTGGTTCATCATCATCTTCTGACCTGGCATCCGAGTGAAGGATATCTGCATCCTTGAGCAAATCGGCAGGAGGTTCTGGGTCGTCATTTTCCAGCGGAGCCGCGCGCGACTCCTCATGATCCTCATCCAAGCCATGATCCAACAGAGCATGATCTTTAGAAGGTGCATCCTCTTCATGCATCGGGAGGCCGAAGGCGCGACAAAGTAAGCCCCTTGCTACTCGCAGGGCCTCTAGCTCGGCTGCAATGCAGCAAACCAATAACTTCCAGTCCTTATTTTCGGCGAGCTCTAGATGTGATTCAACCCGGTGAGTGGTTCTTTCCAAGTCATCCAGAATACCCTTCACAAGTTCTTCTTTTTGACCTGCTAGTGAAGATCTCTCTGACTGTGTTGTTGGTGTGGTCATCTCAACATAGTGTCGCATGTTGGCTTGTAAGCGCTTCTCAAATCCAGTGACATCGGAGACCGTTTGTTTCCACACTCCGCCTCCTTCTTCTAGAGCCAGTATTTCCGCATTCACTTGCTGTTGCCTATTGCGCAAGCTGGCTTTTTCAGTATTCCAATGATCCTGGGCCATGTCAAGTGTGCGACGTTTGGGGTTCAAATAGTGAAAGGTGGATTCGCCCGAGCTTTGCAACAGCGGTTGAACAGGAGGATCATGGAGGTAGTTTCGGATATCAGAGTCGAGTAAAGACAAAGATTCAGTGTAAGAAGAAAGCTTGGCGTCCACCGAGTTATTGATCTGTGATATCTCACTCACAATATGTCGATGTTTAGCTTTCATCTCATACAGCTTGGTCTCCAATTCATGAATGTCAGTCTCGAGGTTCAGAGCCTCTTCTTCTAGTTGTTTTGAGCGTCGGCTCTCCTCGTCTCCATGTATAGTGTTTATGGCGTCTTCTAGACCTTTTCTTCTCGACAAGAATCCTTTGATATCATGCAGCGTGCTGTCCCTTTCGTCGGTTTGAGATGTGAGGATCTCCGATTCTTCTTCTCGTAACTTCAGTAGATCATATATTGATTGAAATATGCCCTCTCGGGCAGCCCGAAGCCCAATTCTTTTGGGCACAGGTTGTCTAGTAGGCACCGTGGAAGGGGACTGGGATCGACTCCCATTGGATGACAATGCTGGAGTCAAAGTTTCGGCTGGAAGCTGATCTCGTTGAGGCCCAGTGAGAACAGAGAGAAGGCCATCGCTTTGAGCATCAATCAGGACCTGGAGATTGCGCTGTATGTGTTTTGTCTGACGTTCGATATGTAAGAGAGGGTCATGGTGGTAGATAGCAGCCGCAGGAGGCACAGATTGCAGCCTTTTACCAAGAAAAGATTGGCTAAGAAGTGTCGACATGACAGAGAAAGGATGGTGGAAGGCCAAGCTTTCGATAGGAAGAGGTGAACTTTCGTCGCGGCAATCCTGGGTAGGAAGAATGTTTAGTAGGTTGAGTACTAGGCTTGGTCAGCTTTTAAAGTCATCACCGGGTCAAAAATGAAGAAACCATTAGCTCGCTGATGGTGAGCTGTTCGCCGCGGACAGGGGCCGCTCGCAGCTGACCAGGCGCTATCCACGTGACCATTCATGTACAGTCAGCTCCGCTCAGGCGTTGACGTTGCTCTCGCGCCAGCAAAGCTTCTGACAACTGCTCCCAGCTTCCATTCGTACGTGCACTTCATCCATTTCGCTTCTTTCATTTAATCAGCTTCCGTCTTTCTTGTCATATTTTCATTTTTGGGGTGACTGATTTCCCCTCGAAACCTTGTTCTGCGCTGGGGCTGATTCGATATTCTAAGCTCCCTCCGATTGACGTTGCTTCATCACAACAGCAATACAACACCTACCTTTCCTCAAATTCTGTCCAACAAACTGTGACGCGAATCGTTTCTCCATAAAGATGGTCGGACTTGTATCGGCCGCCGGTTTGGTTGGCTTCCTCTCCGAGCCTGACCCAGAGCTCAAGGTCTTTGCTTTGAAGACATTAGATTCCCAGATCGATCATCTCTGGACAGAGGTTGTCAACTCTGTTCCTGAAATGTGAGTTATCCTTTTGATGGACCCGTGAGAATAAGCTTCATCTCGAATGTTGCGTCATTCCTCCCGAGTCCGACCGGCTACTGGGCCTTTGCTGACTATCCATCTAGTGAGGCTCTCTACGAAGATGAATCATTTCCGGAACGCGGCCTTGCAGCACTGGTCGCATCAAAGGTATATTATCATTTGCAGGAATATAACGAGAGCATGGTTCTTGCTCTGGGCGCTGGAAAGCTGTTCAAGTTGGAAAATGGCGGCGAGTATGAGGAGACCATTATCGGTACGTTGGAGATGATCCGCAGCATTTGTCTTTCTGTGATACTAACATGGTGCCCCATGTAGCGAAATGCGTCGATACCTTCATCTCTCTGTCTGCCGCCCAACGCCCTACTGCAGGTGATCAACCAGCCAACCTGAACACTGCATTCCCAGCATCGGGCGACGGTGCCTCCAGCACATCCGCCAGCCTCACTTCTCCTATCACACCTTTTTCTAAATCCGCATTGCCCTCGAAGTCGTTGCTTTCCCGCGCGGAGATTCCCGGAGTAGACGCTGCACACCCCGGTGGCGACGACACGAGCGTACAGCATGAGGAAAGCTCCCTTGTGTTGAAGCGTGGTGTTCAAGGCCAATTGCAGGCCGTTATCGAGCGGTTGTTTGAGGCGTGCTTCCGACAAAAGCGATACCGTCAGGTCATCGGAATCGCCATCGAGGCAAAGAGCTTGGATGTACTTCGCATGGCCATTCTTCGCGCCAGTAGCGACGAGAAGCAGGAGGAGGGTGACTCCCGTGGCAGCGAGGAACTCATGGAATATGTTCTGGACATCTGCATGGGCATTGTCCAAGAACGGGCCTTCCGTAGCGAGGTTCGTGTTTCCCCAAGATTTCTACAATATTTGGCCCAGTCGGCTAACCAGAGCTTGGTTCTCTAGATTCTCAAACTAATTTTGGAACTACTTAATGAAATCCCGGCACCCGACTTTTTCTCGATCGCCAAATGCGTCGTCTATCTTAATGAGCACTCCATGGCCTCTGTCATTCTTCGCCAGCTGGTCGAGAAAGGCGATGCACGATCCCTTGCCGTTGCCTACCAGATTTCTTTCGACCTCTATGACAACAGCACCCAAGAGTTCCTTCAGAAGGTTCGACAAGAGATTGCTGAGCTTGTGCCCGAAGACGAGTCCGAGAAGGAGAATAATGAAGAGGGTCACGAGCCAAGAGAATCCGACGCATTACTTGAAGACCAGGGAAGCTCTTCTCGGCCATCCGATAGACATTCAGATCTATCAGAAGATGCGGTGACTGCATTCAAGAACATTCTCTCAATTCTCGATGGAATCAAGACCATCCAGTTGAATCTGGAATTCCTATACCGAAACAACAAGGCTGATATCGCGATTCTGAACAAGATTCGTGACAGCCTTGAGGCTCGCAATTCTATCTTCCACACTGCTGTGACACTTTCAAATGCGTTCATGCATGCCGGAACAACTCACGATAAGTTCTTCCGTGACAATCTAGAGTGGCTGGGTAAGGCTGTGAACTGGTCCAAGTTCACAGCGACTGCTGCATTGGGCTGTATCCACCGCGGCAACCTCAGCCAGGGCCAAAAGCTCCTCCAGCCTTACCTGCCCCGCGAACACATCGCCGGAGTTGGAGGCTCGGGATCTGTCTACAGTCAGGGCGGTTCCCTTTATGCCTTTGGTCTCATCTATGCCAACCACGGTGGCATGGCAGTTGACATCATTCGCGACCACTTCAAGAAGGCTACAGAAGAGGTGGTTCAGCACGGTGGTGCTCTTGGTCTCGGTGTTGCGGGTATGGCGACAGGCGACGAAGGCATTTACGAAGATCTGCGGAGCGTTCTCTACACCGATTCCGCTCTCAATGGTGAGGCTGTCGGTCTCGCCATGGGCCTCATCATGCTTGGCACAGGCAATATGAAGGCTCTTGAGGACATGATCCAATACGCACACGACACGCAGCACGAGAAGATCGTTCGCGGTCTGGCTATGGGTATGGCTTTGATCATGTTCGGACGCCAGGAAGCTGCCGATGAGCTCATCAACGGTCTCCTCGGTGACCCCGACCCAACTCTGCGCTACGGCGGTATCATGACCATTGCGCTAGCTTACTGTGGCACTGGCAGCAACAAGGCAGTCCGTAAGCTTCTGCACGTCGCTGTCAGTGATGTCAACGATGATGTGCGCCGAGTTGCCGTGCTCAGCTTGGGATTCATCTTGTTCCGCAAGCACCAGAGTGTTCCCCGCATGGTAGAGCTACTCTCTGAGTCATACAACCCTCACGTCCGATACGGTGCCGCGATGGCGCTGGGTATCTCCTGCGCCGGTACTGGCTTAGACGAAGCCATTGACCTCCTTGAGCCTATGCTCAAGGACTCGACCGACTTTGTTCGTCAAGGTGCTTTGATCTCTCTTGCCATGGTCCTCGTCCAGCAGAACGAGGCCATGAACCCCCGCGTTACCAGCCTCCGTAAGGCCATGATGAAGATGCTTGGTGACCGTCACGAGGATGCTATGGCCAAGTTCGGTTGTGCCATTGCTCTTGGTATCATTGATGCTGGTGGCCGAAACTGCACTATTAGTTTGCAAACGCAGACGGGTAACCTCAACATGCCCGGTATCGTTGGTGTTGCAGTCTTTGTGCAATACTGGTATTGGTTCCCCCTCACACACTTTTTGTCGCTCAGCTTCACTCCAACATCTGTGATTGGTGTTGACCAGAAGCTTGAAGTCCCACATTTCAAGTTCCACAGCAACACCCGCCCCAGTCTCTTTGACTACCCTCCCGAGCAACAAGTAAAGACCGAGGAGGCTCCGGAAAAGGTGAAGACTGCTGTTCTTTCTACCACTGCGCAGGCCAAGCGTCGCGCGCAGCGTCGGGAGAAGCAAGCACGCCGTGAGAGCATGGACATTGACCAAGCACCCACAACACCTAAGGCTACTGACCAGCTTCTGGACGCAATGGACACGGACGATGTTGTTAAGGAGGATGAAGAAGCCAAGGAGACAGAGAAGGCTGCTGCAGAGGTGCAGAAGAAGAAGGCAGAGCGGGAGAAGGTCGGGTATGAACTGGACAACCTATCAAGGGTACTTCCAGCTCAGCTTAAGTACCTCACTTTCCCTGACCCGCGGTACGAGCCGGTCAAGAGGGTATGTTCATTCTTATTTGTTCAAATGAATTCAATGCTGACAAACTTGCAGCCCACTGGCGGTGTTGTCGTTGTTCTCGACAAGCAGCCGGATGAGCCCCGCGAGGTTATTGAACTGAAGGCGAGCAAAGAGGCTCGTCAACCGCCTCCTCCGACAGAAACCCTTCAGGACCGCCTCCAGGCCGCCATCGGAACCGCCGCTTTGCAGACCCCTCAACGGGCCGATGCTCGGGCTGCTCTATCCGCCGCCACCTCCGGCGGTGCTGCCGCTGGTGCCGGTGTTCTGACGGCGGTGGACGAGGATGAAGAAGGCGTAGAGGATGCACCTGTCCCTGACGAATTCTCGTACGAGTCCGATGGTGAAGAGCAGTAGAGTGTTGTTGCGGCATAGAATCTTGATGCTGGATGTATTACTAGACTAATCGGGCTGTCTACGCCGACGTGATCTATTTGAGGGCTAGTATAGCTTTCCGTCACTGTGATTGATATGAATATTCCTATGTTACTTTTAAATTGCCCTATGTTCTTGTCGTATTATATGCACTCGGTCATCTCCCAAAGCTTTGATTTGAACATGCTGGTCTGATCGGCTTCGATGCGAGGGTTCGGAAGTATGTAATGCATGTAGGTACACGCCCGAGGTGGAGACCACGAACCAGACTTAATTGTTTAGAGTGACTGTTCTACATATATAGAGTTACATTGGTGCATAACTGTATCCAGATATCACATAGCATGAAATAGTCCAATTGCAAACCGGCCGATACTACGGAATACGCATTCACATGCCGCCCCGGAAACTGGTTCTGACTCAGCATTCCACCAGCGCTGTTATGCCTCGGCATTTCCATTATGACGCGGCACGAGCCAATAAACTGTCTGTCAAACGGCGATGACCGAACTAATCAGCAGCCAATGAACCATCGAATAAAACACCGACTGCTACAACGTAAGGTCCCAAGGTCTACTTTGTGTAGGAGCATGTGAACTGTTATTATGGATCATGCTCCGAGGCCCATTTTGCTTCATGTCCAGACTTGGAATATCGCCCGAACTTCGCGGAAATTGTCTCTTGACCCATAACTCATATATTCCCCAGCTTCCCCGGACTTGAAATTTTCTTCTTTCTCCTAAATATTCTTTGACCTTAATATAAACTTCTGTTGCACGCCTTTTTCCTTCGTCCCTATAAGTCTTATCAATACCAATCGCCACCATGGCAAAGACATTTAGCAAAGAAGATGTTGCCTCGCATAGCAAGGGTGACAGTCCCTGGATCATTATCGATGAAGATGTCTACGATGTTTCCAAGTTCCAAGATGAGCACCCTGGTAAGTGAAGACATGCGTATCGATGCATGGGAATCACATGTTAACACTTTGTTTGAATAGGTGGAAAGAAAAGTACGTTAGGCCGAGAGCATCCGCTACATCCGATAACTCCATATTGACAGTGTGTCTAGTTCTCCAGCGAGTAGCCGGAAAGGACGCCTCAAAACAGTTCTGGAAATACCACAACGAAGGCATTTTGAAGAAGTACAAGAAGAGTCTGCAGATCGGTTCGTTGGACACGAAGCAGGCGGCACCGGCACCAGCCCCAGCGCCGGCTCCGAAAAAGGCTGCCGAGCCGAAGCCTACCACGTCCTCGTCCGTAACACCACCTGCCACCGGCACGCCCCAAGACCCTTATGGAGAGTTGATCCCCTTCGCCGATCCTTCATGGTACCAGGGTGTAAGTTTTGTTATCTCCCCCAGATTGGGTTTTACTGTCGCACGGAAGTTAATCCATATGTCGCTCCTAGTATGCATCCCCCTACTTTAATGAATCCCACGCCGCACTGCGAGACGAGGTCCGCCAGTGGGTCGAGTCCGAGATCGAGCCATATGTGACCGAATGGGACGAGGCCAAGGAAGTGCCTGCGACCATCTACAAGCAGATGGGTGAGCGGGGCTATCTGGCCGGACTGTTGGGTGTCCACTTCCCTGAGAAGCACACCCCACACCGCGTGAAGTCCGTGTCACCAGAGCGTTGGGACTTGTTCCACGAGATGCTGCTGACCGACGAGCTGTCGCGTGCCGGCAGCGGCGGTCTGGTGTGGAACCTGATCGGTGGCTACGGAATTGGCTGCCCCCCATTAGTCAAGTTCGGCAAGAAGGCGCTGGTTGACCGAATCCTACCAGGTATCCTGGCCGGCGACAAGCGTATCTGCCTCGCTATCACTGAGCCTGATGCTGGTAGTGACGTCGCAAACTTGGGTTGCGAGGCCAAGCTCACCGAGGATGGCAAGCACTACATCGTTAATGGCGAGAAGAAGTGGATCACTAACGGAATCTACTCTGATTACTTCACAACCGCCGTGCGCACCGGCAAGGATGGCATGAACGGTCTTAGCGTGCTGCTCATCGAGCGTGAAGCTGGTGGCGTCAGCACCCGCCGCATGGACTGCCAAGGTGTGTGGTCCAGCGGCACGACTTATGTCACCTTCGAGGACGTGAAGGTGCCCGTGGAGAATCTGATTGGCAAGGAGAACCAGGGTTTCAAGGTGATCATGACCAACTTCAACCACGAGCGTATCGGCATTGTGATTCAGTGTGTGCGCTTCTCGCGTGTCTGCTATGAAGAGTCGGTGAAATATGCGCACAAGCGCAAGACCTTCGGCAAGCGTCTCATCGACCACCCTGTCATTCGCATGAAACTAGCCCATATGGCCCGCCAGATCGAGGCCACCTACAACTGGCTAGAGAACATCATCTACCAGTGCCAGTCCATGGAGGATACCGAGGCTATGCTCAAGCTTGGCGGTGCCATCGCTTCACTGAAGGCGCAGTCTACGCAGTGCTTCGAGTTCTGCGCCCGCGAGGCTAGTCAGATCTTTGGTGGTCTGAGTTACAGCCGCGGTGGCCAGGGCGGCAAGATCGAGAGACTTTACCGTGATGTGCGTGCCTATGCTATCCCCGGTGGTAGTGAGGAGATTATGCTTGATTTGAGTATGCGCCAGAGCTTGCGTGTCCACAGCATGTTTGGCATGAAGCTATAAGGCATTTATTTCTTTGTGTGTTTTCGACTGCGGCGGTAGAGCGTGCCCATTTGATACATTTCTCTTTCCTACTTTTGGCTAGATATCCTCTCGTCTGTGACGGCATTCCTTTTTCTCTTGCTATTGATCCGCCTTGTACAATAACATTACATTGGCTCATATTCTGTACTTTTCACGATTTACGGTGGACATCGCCGCGTTTTTGGATATTTGGTACACATAAATGATTTTGATTCAATAACGTTAAGTGTCTCCATATTTACGATCTTAGAGGGATATTACCTGTTGGCAAGAAGTATGACCACCATCAACAACGAGAATCAAGATTCAAAGAATCAAAGAAAAACTGGAGGGTCTCAAGGTCTCGATGTCCCGAAATGTTGGCAAACGAACACTCAACTGATACAACCCCCTACCTAACTGTTTCTTTGTCCAGGCAAATCAAGTATGGTTGCGGGCCCAAATTCCCTCGTTCAAGCCACCGACCTTCTTTCTATCTCACTCCTTTCTTTCTATCTCCTTTGAAAGAATTCAAGCCGTGACCAGGAAAACTTTGAGAACGGTCATCATTGCGTCCGAAACTCTTTGATGCCAAACTATTATTAGCCTAAAGTATTGGGCTTACTTCCTTTCGTGTCAAATGCTTGGGGCTCGATACGATAAATATAACTTTGAGGTGTGCCCGTCTGCCTATTCAGGTACCTCGAGCCAAGTCATTTGTGTCCATACGTTTCCTTCAAGGTGATCTACCAACCGGTTCAGTATGTCATTACGATCAATGGAAATCAACGAGGATGCACATGATTTCGCAAGCGATATCGATGGAATGATTCAGGTAGTATCTGATGAGCATTCTGCTTCATCGCTCATACTGGCCAGTTTGGTGGCTCGACGAATGCGTGAATTCCAAGAAAACGAAGACAACTTCACCGGCACTGGGACTGCTCCAACGGATCTTCTGGAGAGTCTAAGCTCGAATGACACCGACGAGATCAGCCATGAATTCCTGCAGGACATAGCCCATTCTATGGATCTTACAACCATGCCTGAAAATTTGTTGGTGCTGGTTCTCCCTATGCTGCTGCATGTTGATACAAAGCTTCCCAACCCCGAGGACCTTCATGCTATACATGGATTTGCTGAAGCATCGCCAATGCACCGAGAGCATGTGGAAACATGGTTGAGATCTGAACCAGCCCAGAGTACACTTGAACAGGTTTTCAAGCCATGGATGAATTACTACAGCTTCAAACCTGCGTACCAATGTAGAGAGGAGATTGCGGCTTACAAAGCTAGCCGAGGTGGTGCTGGGTTCAACTATGCGTATGAATTCGTGAAAGAATGTCGGTGCACAAGTTGCCTATCGCTTCTCGGCCAACTGAGGTTGATCGATTTCAGGAACTACGACCAAAATGGGAGAAGCTTTCTTCATGCAGTGATTGAGGGCGGAGATGTGGAATGTATAATGTTTGTTGTTGCTATCTTGCTGAAAGGAGGCGTGGATCCTCGGCATTTTCCCACGTCTATCGATGGAATGTCTATTCCTCACCATGTCGCTTTGTTGCACAACAATCATATTTTCAGGGGAGTCGTTGAGTTTCTAGAGGATGCCGGCTACCCTCTATCTGTGTGGAACGATGACGGCCTCAAGCTCGAACTGTGCAGCTTCATAACCGCCGACATGGCCGAACGGCTCCTATCCAAAGGATTTAATATCACCAAGCTCCCCAGAAATACACTCCCAATATATCTGCCCAATGAGGATGACCCCGAGTACGAAGAGTCCGGTGAGGAGTGGAACCGCGATGCAGAATATGGTGATCCAATCATCCGGGACGAAGACTTCAACCCCGACAATGACACGCTCGACCCAGAATCAATTAGATATGATGTTGTTGGAATCAATCCCATTGAACTCCATCCCACCTCTCGAACCATCTGGCACCGGGCAATCGAGAACCCCGAAGGTCCACGAATCCTTGACTGGCTGCTGGATCACTCCTATACCCAGCCAGGATGCCGAAGCGACTTCGACCGAGACTCCGGTGAGACTGCTTTAGTAACTGGGGCTAGAGGAGATCAGACAGCTGGCATTGATTGGTTCTGTCAACACAGTGATCCCATGGCAGGGCGGGTGCGGAATTCTCAGGGCACCGGCGATGAGAGCGCAGGGGCTTATGCGTTACAAGTAGCAGCTCACAACCTGCGACCACGCTGTGATATAATTTTCAAAAAGCTTTTGCGTCATGCAGATCCGCAGTTTTACTGGGACGTTTCTACGATCAAGGGCCTGTATTGGCTTATAATTAAAAGTTATCGAGATATGTACCAAAGGTTGGAAGACCTCAAGGAGCCAGGCCGGGTGAGAGCCCAGCAAATGGCTCTCCTGCGCTCCCTCACTTCGGCTAAAACCAGAGCGCTGAATAACAGACTGGAGCCTTTCTGGGATACTTGGGGGCCATCTGAACAGCGAAATTGGCTCATTCAATACTGTACAATTCTTAGGTTGAATTTCCTTGTGAAAGATCTAAGTTCGGATGAATGGGATAATTCTGATTAGGAATTTCGAGAGGGTCAGGGACTCTGGGTAACATATATCATAGGGAAGCATATAGCACTCTGTAAATCAGGCAATGCAATGATGATTTTGGTTACTTCACTCCTTGGATAAATTTATGATACTTTAAACTACTCTTCATCAGTGTAATTGTACTCCGTCTGGATAACTCTACTTGACCTTGTACACCGTACTTCGGTATATACAGCCATATCCCAGTGGAATCAGAACATATTTCAATGACAGTTATGTACTCTGTATACTCTCTAAGCTCGAAGGTTGTAAAGGATCGAAGGCGGCCAAGTACGGCGCACTACAACAACCAGTTACGCAAGGATTATGCCTCTGGGCAACTCGACCTCCACGCTCCAGCACTTCAATTTCTCCTTTGCTCATCCTCAAACAACCCCTTACGAGCAGTGCTAGAAATTGCAGCCTGCGGTGTTGTGTTTCTCCTTCTTTCAACGAAACCCGAGATCTCCATTCCAACCCGTGTTCTTTGTAGGCGGTCGCGGAACTCGGTGATTGCCCGCACAGCTCGACTGTCTGCGCTGCTCCTCCCTCCTAACTTTCCAGTCGCTTTTCTCTTGTCTCTCTCAACATCATTTGACTTGTCGATACTTGGAACTGGCTGTCTATTGGAGAATATCAGACAGTATCCTCGCATTCACGTCTTCTCTTTCGACCCGCAAGATACAGCGCGGTTTCCTTGGATAGGGTTTGTCTTGCTTCTCACATCTCCTTTTTGTGTGATCAATTGCTGATTTTCCATGTGATAGATAGGAATCTCAGTGTATCTTAATTCCAAATTACGACGTGCGAAAGAGGTGCTATTAGATCATCTGCAATAGCCCGAGATACTACCTGCCAAAATGTCAAACTTTCTCAACCAAGACTTCGGGTCTGAGGACGAGGAGGATGATTTCAACCCTGCTCCCCAAGAAGAGTCCGATGTCGAGGATGCGAAATCAAAGGTCCGTCTACAGACACATCTCAAATTTCGATGGACAAAGCACTAACAAATGAGTGCGAAACAGCCAGCCAAGAGAGAACATTCAAGTGGCGATCGTGCTAATGAGGAAGATGATGTGAAGTACCCACGCGATGTGCATGCACATGAGGAGGAAGATGCCAAGGATGTTGAAGACGACGACGAGGAGAATGAACTAGACGACGATGATGAGGAGGAGGAAGAAGAAGACGAGGAAGAGGATGTGGTATGTTTTCTATGGCAACCTGGTAATGCACGGCAACTTTGTTAACTTTAGTTGCTATCTCAGGCCCGTCCGCAAAAGCGAGCGAAGCGCGTCGCCAATCCTTTTATCGAGGACGAGGCCGGCGTCGATGATGAAGAGGACGAAGGCGATGATGAGGAAGATGAGCTCGCTGAATATGGCATGGAAACACATCCGGATGATCTTGATGCGCTACCCCAAGGCACTGAGACAGACGATCGCCGCCATCGACAGCTGGATCGCCAGCGCGAGATTGATGCCAGTATGGACGCAGAGAAGCAGGCCCAGATGCTCAAGGAACGATATGGACGGAACCGTGCCGCCGCCACAGACTCTCTCGTGATCCCGAAACGACTCCTGCTTCCCAGTGTGGAAGACCCTAGCATTTGGGGTGGCCGCTGCAAGCCTGGCAAGGAGAAGGAAGTCGTATATTCGATCCAGAAACGGATTGAAGAGCGTCCAGCAGGCTCCCGCAACCCTATTCGAATCATCTCGGCTTTTGAGCGCGGAAACATTATGCAGGGCTGGTTCTACTGTGAAGCGCGCCGGCAGGCCGATGTTACCGAAGGCTTGGAAGCCATCAATTTCTACTACCCATCCCAGAAGCTGACCCTGGTACCAGTAAAGGAGATGCCAGATCTTCTTCGCGTCCAGAAATCGGAAGAGCTTTTGCCTGGTGGCTGGATTCGCATCAAGCGTGGCAAATACATGGGCGATTTGGCCCAGATCGAAGAAGTTGAAACTAATGGATTGAATGTTACTGTGCGACTTGTTCCTCGCCTGGACTATGGCATGAATGACGATACTTTCGGTGCCCCTGCCGATGCTAAGCGCAAACGCGGTGCTGCGAACACCGTCCGCCCTCCCCAGCGCCTGTTCAGTGAGACAGAGGCGAAGAAGAAGCATGCAAAATATCTCTCGTCTACCTCTGGTCTAGGCGGGAAATCATGGAACTACTTGAACGACAACTACGTGGATGGGTTCCTCATCAAAGATATGCGTGTCCAGCACTTGAACGCCAAGAACGTTAACCCCCGCCTAGAGGAGGTTACAATGTTCGCGCGTGGAGGAGAAGACGGAACTGCCAATTTGGATTTGGCGTCGCTGGCCGAGACTCTGAAGAACTCCACCGCTGAAGACTCATACCAACCCGGAGATCCAGTGGAGGTTTACCGGGGTGAACAGCAGGGTCTTATTGGTCGCACAGTGTCAACTCGAGGTGACATTATCTCATTGCAAGTCACCGAGGGCGAACTGGCCGGTCAGACAATTGATGCGCCTGTTCGAACCCTCCGTAAACGATTCCGGGAAGGTGATCACGTCAAGGTTATCGGCGGCAGTCGGTATCAGAACGAACTGGGCATGGTTGTGCAGGTCAAGGATGACACTGTCACTCTGCTCAGTGATATGAGTATGCAGGAGATCACAATCTTCAGCAAGGACCTTCGACTTTCTGCTGAGATGGCTGCCGATGGACAGCTCGGCATCTACGATGTTCATGATCTCGTCCAGCTTGATGCCGCCACTGTTGCTTGTGTCATCAAAGTGGACAGAGAATCTCTCCGCGTGATTGACCAGAATGGTTCTATCCGCAACATTCTTCCTACGCAAATCGCAAGCAAGATTGCTCCCCGTCGCGATGCCGTGGCTACTGATCGTAATGGTGCAGAGATTCGAAGTGGCGATACTGTTCGCGAGGTTTACGGAGAGCAGCGCAGTGGAGTAATCCGCCACATCCACCGCTCGTTCCTGTTCTTGCACAATAAGGCGCAAGCCGAGAACGCCGGTATCTCCGTGGTGCGGACAACGAATGTTGTTACTGTATCAGCAAGGGGCGGTCGGCCTACTGGACCCGATCTCACCAAGATGAACCCTGCTCTGGCGATGCAAACCCCCGGAGGTGGTGCTGGAATGCCACCACCTCGTCGCGGCCGCGATCAGCTGATCGGAAAGACCGTGACTATCCGCAAGGGTCGTTATAAGGGTCTCGTCGGTATCGTCCGCGATGCAGACGACAGCTCTGCTCAGGTCGAGCTTTACACATCCAATAAGCCTGTACACATCCCGCGTGACATTCTGACACCTAAAGAGTATGTTCTTTCTCTACTTCACTCCAAAAATAGTCTTTCTAACTTTTCACAGTCCTGTTTCCAAGCAGCCCCTCTCCATGGGCCGTGGAAGAGGAGGTGGTGGTCCTGGAGGGCGAGCTCCGTACACTGCTTCAGGCGGTCCTGGTAGAGATAGTTGGGCTGGTGGTCGAACACCGATCGCCGCCGCCGATTCGTCAAGAACCCCCGCTTGGAATGGCGCTTCTGCGAGAAGTAAGTACACGCATCCCAGAAATGTTGACGAAGATGCTAATCGTCATATAGCTCCTGCTTGGGGTGGCGTGAGTGGCGGGCGTACTCCGGCCTGGAAAAACGATGGCTCTCGTACCGCGAACCCCTACGAAGGAAATCGCACCGCATATGGAGGAGTTGGCAGCCGCACACCGTCCTGGACCTCGGGATCCAAGACACCGTACGACTCTAGCTCCGGCTTCGACGCCTTTGCCTCTGGATCGCGCACTCCTGGATGGAATGCCGGTGGTGCAAACACAGGAAGCCGCACCCCCGGCTGGAACGCCATGTCCAGCAGCAGAGACCAGCGTGATTTCGACGATGCCCCGACACCTGGTGGAAACTACTCCGCCCCCACCCCTGGCGCATACGCTGCTCCTACCCCTGGTGCACCAACTCCTGGCGGATGGCCCGAAAGTGCCCCCACCCCTGGTGGAGCTTTCAGCGCACCCACTCCCGGTGGCCCCTCAAAGCGAGACTACGACGCTCCAACACCTGCGGCGTTCGATGCGCCCACTCCGGCGATGGGTGGAATGGCTGCTACGCCTGGTGCCGGGTACGGTGGCAACGACGGCGGTCCACGATACGACGATAGCCCCAGTCCGTAGTTTTTCTCCTTTTCTCCCAAGTACCAAAAGCTTGTCCTCTCTACACACACACCCTTAAGATATCAAACGGGATAGGGCCGGTTTCACATATGTATTCTACCTTTCGAATTTATTTTCTCGCAGAACAGCAGGCGTTAAATGATACTTCTTGTCACCCAACTCGTATGATCTTGAACACTGTTTCTCCAGAAGAAAGCAAACCCCAACATGGCATGGCTTTATGCATGATGGAGCTGATGATACCACTGAATATCCCGGGCGCAGCGATTTGACCCAGCCTCTGCCTGGGGAGACTTACGCGAGTAGGAAAATTCACATTAACCATGTGAACCATTCCATTATTCATTGCCAAAGATAGTCAACGCCCGGTCAATGATATCCGCCGCCCACAGGCACTTCTCATCTTGGAAGCGCGGCGTGATGACCTGAATAGCGCATGGGGCACCATTGACCTCATCGGGGTGATCTGGTATCTGTCAGCCATATATTCGATAAAAGGCGTCGGGCTCACTGACAGTCCGGCTGCGTGTCAGCAAATGTTGTCATAGGCTCGGGATCAAGCTCTTTGGACGCTTTTCCAAATGGAATTATGCATGCAGGGTACTAGATTGGCAGAAGTCAGTATATGCTCTGGAGAATCAAGCGAAGGCAGCAAAATGGAACAAAACGAAACACTTACATCCAAGACGTTCCATATTACCGTATAAGTAGGCCATCCATAAGTATCATGGGCCACAGCTGTACTCTGAGCTCCAGGAGCCAGAACCACGTCAAGCTTCCGATCCACCCATGTCTGCCTCCAGGCATCATAAATCCGCTGACGAGCCTCATACAATGCCTTGATGATCTCAAACGAACCTAGATCTTGCTGAGCAGGGAACGGGCCGGAGAACATAGGCGCCGCAGCCTTACCAACCGAAGCCACAACTGGCTCACCACTGGCCGCAATAAGATCCTTGCGCGGGCCATAAATAAAATACTGAAAGGCAAGACGCGACACATATGCCAAATTTTGTGCTTGATTGTCATCACCAAGTCGGACAATGCGATGTCCTGCGCGTGTCAAGGCCTGAACCGCCCGGTCTAGCGCCCTCTTGACAGGCGGGTGGAGCGGGAAATGCTCATCCTCAGCAAGCACGCCAATAGTCAGAATTTCATTGGCGTTGATATCAGAAGGGACAGTTTGCCATGGGACCCCGGCGGCGGCGGAGTCATACTCCCACGCCCGGCCATCGGCGACAACGGAACTCATCAGCAGCTTCAGATCGGCGATGCTATGTGCCAGTGGACCTGCAGCTGGAACAAGCCCAGGTATCCCCTTCACTGCACCGGAAACTTGTCCGCCGAAGGGGATACGGTCGATTGTTGGCTTGAAGCCGTACAAGCCGCAGCATAGCGCGGGGACTCGAATCGAGCCAGCGATGTCGGTCCCCACGCCCAAAACCGACCCCCGGAACGCTACTAGAGCACCCTCCCCACCGCTGGATCCACCGGCTGTTAGGGTTGTCTTATGTGGATTGAGAGTGCGGCCGAAGATATTGTTCTCCGAATCCGCTGTCTGGGTGATTGTTAGCTTCCCATTCTGGGTAGACCCCCAAGCCACTTGGCATTTCTTACCATCATTGTCTGTGGAATGTTGGTCTTCACATATAACACTGCGCCAAGATCTAGCAGCATCCTCACTAGCGCTGAGTTCTCCGTCGCGGGTTCATTCTTAAGCAATTCGACATATCCAATCGTTGACTGCACACCCTCGACACAGAAACTGTCTTTTATGCTGATCGGAAGACCATGTAGGGGACCAACAGGTTTTCCTTCCCGTTGTAGATAATCATCTAGGTACTTATCACGCTCGAGTGCTTGGGGGAAGAAGGTCTCCGTGAGACACGAGATCTACACAAATGTACGTATTAAGATCATTGCTGTATCCTGTCTGAAAAGCACTCTACTCACAACCTGCTGCGCAATAGCAGCCCTCTTGCAGAATGCCATTGTGACAGCCAACGAACTGGTCTGTCCTGAAGTCAACTTGACCAGTAGCTGACTTGCGGTATAGTTTTCAGTTAGATCCAATTCGACCTCGGAGAGCAAGCCACAGCGACGAGGAAGATCAATTTCAAGTAAACATGGGGATTCCTGCGCCAGCGCCAAATGATCTGCACTCAGAAGCCATTCCCGGGGTATCTTATGCTCGCATTCATGGCGTTTGGCGGCGACGAGGTCTTGCCAGTTGCTGGAGAGTGTTTCGGATGCCATTATGAAGATTGATGGATGTCATTTCACTTGTATTGGCCACCTTCCCCTTTATGTGATTTTCATGCTCGGCATTACTCGCATTTGTCCACCAGAAAATGTGACCTCTTCTTTGGTTACTTGTCTTGATCCCCACTTGGTGCGGTTGGTGATGTTGGAGTGTGCGTCCGCCTGCCGCTTTGGGATATAGCCTGGAGCCGAAGGAGTTCGCGATAGCGCTCCATTATAGAGTGAGACATACTTGAATATCCACAATGGCTTTGGCTTTATAACCATTCTCCTTTCAATTTACTCCCGTCACATACTAGAAAGATAAGGACCTAAATAAATGGCCGCTATAATAGTATCTAGAATTCCTAACTCTTTAATCGGCAAAGCAAGCCCTCTACTTGCCGTTGGTATTTCAAATTCCCACCAGCCTATTGACTGTGAGACAGTGAAGAATTATCTGACTAGACTTGGGGATATGAGCAAGAAAAAAGTGCAAGGAAATCTCGCGTGTTTCTCTTCAATACTGCTGGCAGTTGCTGATCTGCGCCTCCTAGGGTAACCCGGTAGACATCGTAAAATGGGGCTTAAATGAAGAAAGAGAGAAATGTTAGCTATATTGTTTCAGTTTTATTTGTAGCCCTTACGATCTTTACGATCATTTTGGTATTTATAGCCTTCTGGTGTGTCTTAAGATCCCCGCAATCTCCAAATCCCAAACAAGAAGGTGGACCCACCGGCATGTTATCTTGAACTCTATCAGACGAGGCATATAATGGAACCATGGCAGGTGCTCAGGTGGGATCCAGTGAAAGGGCAAGAGAACGCGATTAGCTCCTTATCTGAGTGTATAGGTGCATTAGCGTTGTATTCGACCTTGGAAGTGCCATAAGTACATCCGGGGTAGGTAAGTCCAACAGGTCACTTCTTATTTGCGATCTGATATAAGGCCTTACTATTACTACTTCAGCTTTGCTTGTTTCTTTTTTTTTTTCTTCTCTCACGTATCTCCTCAATCTCGCGTAAGACTTAAGGCGTCTTGTCTTCTACTGCTCTTGCGCCTTTGCTACTTTCTTTCTTTCCCAAATATCCCTTCTTTGACTTCTTCTCTACCACACATCTCTCTTCTTGACTTTTTTCAATCAAAACAAATTTCTACCTCGTGCTGTAGCTCGAGTCTTTCAGCGACCATGCCTTTCGCCACAGATATTCTGAAAGATCCTTCGGTCTCAGCCTCTGCTAGACAGCAAGCTCTCAATCGCATCTTTTCCGATCCAGGCCTCCCCCAGACTTCGACGACCTCGTCCTTCTGGACCATGGATCAACACAACTTCAGCCAGGGAGCAACAAAGGGTCTGCCTAAGGAAGCCGATATCGTTATCATCGGATCTGGTGTCACTGGAGCATCTATTGCGCGGACCTTGCTCCAAGACCGCACTTCAAATTCCTCTTCTGCCTCCTACGCGCCTATTGTCATGCTAGAGGCCCGTACTGTCTGCAGTGGCGCAACCGGTCGCAACGGAGGTCACATTCTAGAGACAGCCGACGAATACGGCGAGTTCGCCGATGCCTTTGGTGTGGAAGCCGCACGTAAACTTGTCCGCTTCCGACTGGCGCATCTGCAAGAGATGCTCGCTGTTGCGGAGGAACTTGGAATCACCGCCGAGTCGCAAGCGCGAAAGGTGCAATTCCTGAGCGTTTACTTTGGCGAGGAGTCTTGGCAGGCAGCATTGGAGCGAATGCACCGTTTTAAGGAGGGCATGCCGGAGGAAGCTGCTGAGTGGAAATCTTATGAAGGAGATGCTATCCCGAGGGTTTGTTGATATCTCATTGTTACCACCCAAAGCCCCAGTACTGATGCTTTTTCCAGGAATTGTGTTTGACTCGTGCCCGAGGCGTCGTCGCTGGCCCTGCGGGAGCTCTTTGGCCCTACAAATTCGTCATCGGCGTTCTCAAACGTCTCCTCGAGGACTTTCCGAATGATTTCCGTGTCGAGGAAAACACCCCGGTGACCGCTATTCACGATGACAGTTCCTCCAACGGCCCAAGATATAAGGTCGAGACAAGCAGAGGGACTATCACCGCCCGACACGTTATCCACTGCACCAATGCCCATGTCAGCCACCTAGTACCCGGATTCCGGGGCCGAATCTTCCCTGTTCGGGGCCAGATGTCCGCCCAAACCCCCGGCAACAACTTCCCCAACCAGGCTGCGGATCATTCGTGGCTCTTCAACTACGATCGCGGATTTGACTACATGACCCAGCTGCCGGAGGGGCAGATGATGCTCGGCGGGGGTTTCGCACAAGGCGAGGCTGGCGGCTTAGCAGACCTAGGAGTTTCGACAGACTCTGATCTTAGTCTTTACATTGATATCCACTTGTCTGGGGCTCTGCGTGCCATTTTCGGAGGCAAAGATTGGGGCTGTGTGCAAGGCGACGCAGTGCAGGCGATGTGGACTGGTTGTATGGCATTCAGCTCCGATGGGCTCCCTTGGGTAGGACGGTTGCCTAAGGCTGCAACCGGTCGCCCTGAGCATGGGTCTGAAGGGGCCGAGTGGGTTTGTGCTGCGTTTGGTGGAGAGGGAATGGTCCAGGCTTGGCTTAGTGGTAAAGCAGTGGCGACTATGCTACTTGCACAAGATGCTCCGCTGAGTGAGACCATCAATGCAGATATTTCGTGGCTACCTGAACAGCTGCTTGTATCGGAGGAGAGGTTTGCTCATGCAGTCTTGCCGAGAGAGGCTGTTGATGACGTGCACAAGGCAAATCTTTAGATTGTCTCTTGGGTTTTCACGCATTAGATTTATCATTTCTTTCAATATTTCCGCTCGTCTTACTACGCGGTCTATTTTCTAGCCTATCATCTCTGAACGTTGAACAAAAGGAAACACTTTTCGTTATGCAATCTTACATTCTTGTTCTTTGTCCCGTTAGTACATATGAGTTAGGGCTAGGGGTTTTCTCATGTGCTAGCTATCTCCTCATATCAGGCTTCCATGTTCTCTCAAGGCTTAATAAGGAATGTGAAACCTATCACTCATAGTTATTGGTGAAAGGGACGTGTCTTGTACCCCGTATCATGTCCCATATCAAGGCACCCAAGAGCTACTGTATCATTTCGTACCACGTCTAATCTCTACGGAACTACATACAATCCCGCAACATCCTAAATGGGATTAAATTCGAGTTATCATTGAGATTATTCAATGAAAGTTCTAATTATCAATATCCCTCATCTAGAGGAAATCCCGTAGGAGCAAAGCCAAATACCACCCGACTTCCAAACGGCCCAACCCATATCAACTGCAGAACGGAACCTAGGCAGCCAGATTCCACCAACCACTGGTAGAAAACCCCAACTGCCAAAGAAGGAGCACGCTATCATGACCCAAGGTGGGACGTAGACGTGCAACCCAGCTGTCAAACACCGTGGGCGCGCTCCACGATGTCGTCATATCGGCCTGTCAATGAGCGCCGAGCAGACTTACCCCATACAATCATTGGAATGATCGTCGCAGTGATAACCAGACTCATCATCCCACACGCTATAAACATGTTTTGTATGCCGTTGCGCTGGATCCAGGGAGAGATAGCGAATGGAATGCCGATACTGACCGCGTTTCGCAGGAACGCCACAGCGGTGAAAGCATCGCCAGTAATCTAGAGATGAGCGTTAGTAAGAAAAGGTGCCCTGAAAGAGGGGTGGATCATGTAGGTTGTATCATGTATCTTGGAACAACATAGGTTGGATAGCAGCCAATCATACCTCTCTGTAACTGTCCATGACTAACACCAATGCAGCATCACTAATACTGCCTAGACCAAACCCGAAGAAGGCGCCTGCAATGTTGGGCCAGATCCAGTGCAATCCCTAAAATCCGGAAAACAAAGTGTTAGCACTTACTCATCAATAGAGCCTCAGCCCGAATGCAAATTTTGACTGCGAATGCGGTTGCCTTACCCTAGAGATTGTTGCACCAAACATGACAAGCCCGCCTGCCATGAAAATAGCCGGAAGATGCAATATGTACAACCGCATTTCAGGCTCGTAATAGCCCTTGTTGCGTTTTGCGTAGTACAAAATTGACCGATCACCGAGGAATCCGCCATATACCGCACCGATGATGTTCCCGGCGAGAGGACCAGCACTAGTATATCCAATTTGAGCAGGTGAGAAGAGATATGGTGGCTCTGGAAATACGAGCGACAAGACGCTAGAGGTCACCGTCAGCCAGGCTACTCCAGCTGCGTATTGAAGCGCGGCAAATGCCACGGCCGGAAAGATGAGCACGCAGAAGGGACTGTAGAAGGACGGCCAGATTGGCTCTGATGTTGGCGTTATCAGGGCAAGTCGCTTGCGCCATGAGTTCTGCGGTATGGTGATGTCTAGCACATGGTGGGAACGAGCTGGTTCGGTGATAGAAGAAGCTTTGGCTGCAGGCTCCGTGTCAAATTTGTCCGGACCATCTTCTCTGATTGAGATGGCTGGATCTTCTTCTTCTTCTTCTTCTTCTTCTTCTTCTTCCTCGGAGGTAGTGCTGACTTGCCCAGTGACTGTAGGGATGTATTTTGTTTCCTCGTAGACGAAGAGGAAGAGGATAAAAAGGATACCGTTGAAGATCCCCATCGTCTGATAGGACGAGCGCCAGCCATACTTTGTGGCTTGTGCTCCTGCAGCCATGGGGGTCAAGAAGTTCTGTGGTTGTTTCATCAGCTACGCTACATAAATCTCCAAATGATGGATTGGAAGACATACGCCAATCATGACACAGGTCAGGTATAGCCCATTCATACTGCCCCGGTGATGCACAAAGAACAGGTCGGTAATCTGTACAACATTAGCAGGACACCTTACTATCAGCCCAAAGAGATGACTCACTGTTATCGCAACTATCGACTCGTTGGTTGCACCAGCTAAGCCCTGCAGCAAGTTGGTCACATACAGCTCTGCCAAACTGGTCATTTTATATGACCAGAATGTTGTCGCCAACATCAGTGCACTCGACACGATGTAGACTGGGCGTCGGCCGTACTTTTTCGCGAATGGGATAAAAAGGACGCAGCCAGTTGCGAGACCAACATAATTTACGGACATCGTGTTGTTCAGTTCTTCGTAGGTGACTTCCATATCAATTGTCATCTGCTGCCAAAAGATGGCTTGAATGGAAATTCTGATATGAGAGTCATGTTACCAGTCTGTCATATATAACATGATCGTTTCTCACTCACGCTGTGAAGATAACGATAGTCATAGCCAAAACGATCGTGAAATTGACTGATTTGCGCATCGTGGTCCAATTCTGTATACATTTTTCTTAGCTAGTAACTTGAGAAAAATGCGAGGGGCAACACACTAGAGGTTCATTCGGATCGAACGAGGGGATTGGGTCGAGGATGATAAGGCGTTGCCCGTGTTCATCTATTTCGTCCTCTAAAACATGACTAGTCAATAACAGCCCAGGTCAGGGATCAGAATATATCCTACCTCGGATCAGCTTGAACGTGCCCGGGGGCTGGCACATTTCCTCTTCAAAGGAGGATATATTGTGAAGCTCCGCCATCTCGTGACTTGATAGATGAAGTTGCGCTTCAGTGGTGACAGTGTGTACTTGCTGATATTTGAATCTAGATGTGAAATCCCTAGAGCAGTTGAAGTGAAATGATCAAATCACCGATGCAAGCGAGTCTGGAAGAAGTTTGCGGGGAAGATGGTCGAATTCAACTCAAACCTCCTTATAAAAGGCTTGGTAAAACATCGATATATAGTGGAACCTCAGTTCAACTTGACATTATTCTAGTGGCTGCACATGATAAAGATCCTTTAACCCCAGTACCACCGATATCACACGAGAATGTAGGCAGGGAGATAAGCCATACGGTCTGTGAACCGGATAGTATCCAGGACTTCCGCATCCATTGGAGATGCGGAGGGCAAGGCTGAATTTGAAAAAGCTCCAAAAGGGATGACTAGACGACTCAAAAATGACCCAAGAGACCGTTCAAAGATTGCTCAAAGTGGTACCAACAACGGGTTGAAAATTTCTATAGCAAAGTCTGAGGCGCACTGGCGGTAATACATTGCCGTAGTCCGGGGAAGTCAGTGCTGTACAAGACTTATTGTATAACGATATAAGCATTGGCTCCACTGTGAGCTGGTGAGAAGTATTCGAAACAAGCCAATTCACTCTGTAGATGCCGGAAAGGAACAGCACCTTTTTAATCAATACCATAGGACTGAGATCAATTCTGTCTTCTCTCTTGTATACCCTTCAAGGCTCCTGGCTTGTATCAATGATCCAGGTTTAGCATATGACTTTAGTAGCTTTTAGTTAGATTAACCTGTGGCAGATTTACAATGATATATGGTGATAAATCACAGCAAACCAATCTCCAGACCTCTTTGTCGAGCTAACTCGTGCACATTCAGATTTGGATCTTCCTTCCGCCATAACTCTTCCAGCAGACTGAGAAGAATTTCACATTGATGCGAGTCTAGCAAAGCCTTTCTAATGGTTTGCTGCCATTCCGGTTTGCAACATAGGACACCGACTTCCAATCCAGCGACAAACATAGGAAACAGGATTGCATTCTTGATGAAGATATCTTCCGTTGGGCGCTCAGCTGATGCGAGACGGAGGGCGTCAAGACTAGCCAAGACCCGCGCAACGAGAGCGGATGTATCTGCTGGACACTTGGCAGGCTGCCGCCATGTCGAGACATTGTTTTTGGGAATAAGAGTAGAAGAAATGTTAGCTCGTTGTCGGACAGTAAGGATACCAGCTAGTCGATGCGCCTCCCACAGATAACACTGTAAAAAGCTCCCGGTCTCGCCAGGCCAGTCCCATAGACTCTGCTCCGTAGTCTCTACCCCGATCCCAGCAAAGAGATCAAGCAGTGTACGAGGGAGGCCGCTGACAGGCTCAATACCATACCTGGGTGTCGCGGGTTGGCAATACCGACGCCAGATACCAATCTCCGGAACTTGACGACCGACAGAAAAGCAGGTCAGGTCCATCACCCCCATCACCTCGAGGAGGTGGACACGGAAGTGAGTTTGCGTAGGTTTGGGGTGCAAATCATCAAGGCCATGGCTCTGTAAGATGTTATGCATACCCTCTAAATGCATAGTCCAGGGTAGGCCGTGCATCAACTATAGGAGATTAAATCAATATCAGAGCCTTACGCTGGGGAGAACCAAGACAACAAGTTAAGATTACGCACGCCAATGCTACACAGCAGCAGCCCTGAGGTCAACGTCCCATCGGATAGGGTTGTGCTGCACGCTAGTTCTGATCGAAACGTCCTTAATGCGGTGTCAAAATACTCGCAGAACTGGGACGAGTCTGTGCTCGATAGTGCGAGTTGGAATGCAATGCAGATAGAAGACAAGGCGCCGGATTCCTGACAAAGCTGCGGGAGACGTGGGTGAAGCATGCTATCTCGTGCTGTTGTCGAATGAAGCACATTAATGCCGTTATTCATGACTACTCAATATCAGCATCATACTCAAATCGTTCCTGCTGTAAACTCACATTCATTGAAAAGAACCTCATCTTCAACCACCCCCTGTGACACCGCCAGCTCTGAATCCCGACTCCCATCCAAAGCTATGTACCTAAATCAATACCGAACAACCGCATCGTTTTATAACTACTGACCAGAGTCCCTCTCCAATTCCACTCGCCGTTTTCTCTCCCGACTAAGATCCCTCTGTCTCCCCCTCTGCCTTGGCGGCACAGAATTCTTGACTGGTTTATCTGCACCAGTAAAGTGACCGCGCGATGCGATCCCTGCACCCCATCTAAGCCGAACTTCATAGCCCTCGCATGTAGCTCCACGCTCGGAACAGTTTCGACACGATGGTCGCGCATTATCGCAGCGACGTCGCCGTCGTTTACAAGTCCAGCAGCCCTGGTGTGAGCGAGTCGACATGCCGAGTTTGGGGAGTTGGACTTGGAAGGGGGCGGAAATATGAATGGGTGGAGGCTGTTTAATGCCACAATGCGGGGGGGGGCACGAGGGTTTCTGATAGCACGTCTGACTGCCTATTCAAGATATCTCATTTCATGTTTAGATATATAAGATCTTTAATAGTTGCCCTTGAAGTATCTGATTCGGTCTTGTAGTACAAGTGTACTTGCAATATCCTGTTTGGGATGCGGCGTGGAAGAAACGGAGTGCTATAACAGATGTGCTTGGGGGGAAAACAACCATGATGAGATGGGGATGAGATGGGTATACGACTCATCGGAAATATTTCAAGTATATTAGACTTAATAATGACATAGGCATCAAAAACCTCATGTAATTCTCCAGACTTGTCTTTTTTCGGCCATATTTCTAATAGAACAAAAGCACAGGAGAGACTCAGTCAAATCGCGACCAAAAATGATGAATTGGGACCTTCCCTCTAGGTAATGATGTCGCCCTATATAGAAACAAGAATCCATGCATGCAGTCTATTGCAGTGCGTACTTTTTTTTTACCACAAAACCAAATGAAAACCATATCTGCAGTAAACCACAAACTGAAGCCTAGTAAAGCTTAGAGACATAGAAAATACATAATACAAAGTGGCCAAGACCATCATGGCGGCACCGCTCGAGCCAGCAGACGGATATTATCCACAAATCCCTTGACGAGGTCCTCATACTGGTTCTTGGGATCGCCCGACATAGCAAGCTGGCCTTGACGACGAATTTCCTCGGCCGAGACTTCAACTTCAAGCTCGTGATCAAACTCATTCCTGCCCGGTTGTTGCTGCGATCTGGTCAGAAGACTGTTTTCAAGGTAACACGGAACATAATCAGACTTACATCGGATTTGGCTACTTGGGTCAAGTCCACCTGGTAGGCCAAGTGGCGGTAGCTCATGCGATCTTTGATACGATCGCCTCGTCCGCCTTTTGTGGCCGCCGTGTCTATCATTGGGAGATTGCTAACGTCGCCTGTATATTCCATTTCAAGATTGACACTGACACGCCAGTCCACAGTCGTCCGTGGACTGCAGACGTCCATGTCGGCAACTCGACATTTGACGATTTTTGCGAGAATCTCCCCGGTTCGTTCATCGGTTGTCACTCGGACTCTGGGTTTATGCCTCGGGTTCAAATTTTGACGGATCACCGGAGGCAATTCGGCAGCTTGAATCTCATAGAAAGTATCACGTTCTTTCTTGTGCACGTATGCAAGTGGGATTCGAGTCGAGTTTGGCTGGGGCATTGACGCTTTCACCGCCTCATTCAGGAAATTATTCATGGCTCGGTGTTGTTCCTGCGGGTCGTGGTAAGTAAATTTCATTGGGACCGAGACATTCTCACTAGTAAATTGGGATAATCAACTTACCACAGTCATTTTACTCTCGAATGATGTCCGAATCCGTGCATTCTCTCGGTTGAGAACGCTCTCGGTTAGAATTGGAAGGTTGATCCGGTCCCTGCTGTCCAAATCGATAATATGGCCCAATTTCGCCTCAATTTCGACGACGGTCCCCTGGCCGGCAGCAGCCGAGCCTGTCGGTCCGGCATTCACGTCATTTCTCATGACCACATGTTGAAACAAGAAATCACAAAGCGTTTTTGTAAGCTCCTCATGTGGAATGAACCCATTAATGGACGGCTCCCAAGGGCCCAAGGAGCCTACCGTCTGCGAAGTGCTCGGCGGGCGAAGTGAGGGAGCAGGCGGAACTGGGGGAGCTTGTACGCGAGGCATATTTGTGCTTGGCGAAGCAGCCGGAGGTGCTCGTGCGACCCGTGCGGCGGGTGTGACCGCCATTATCGAGGAAGATCGTCTGCGAGCGGCCCAGGAGGGATCCTGCTGGCTCTGTCGCGCATGTTTTGGAATTGGGGCACGGGGGTTGGGAATGATCGGGCGTCTGTTTGTGTTGCGGGGCGTCAGCCGAGCATAGATCGGGGGCTCGTTGTATCTCCTTCTCTTTTGCTTGGGCTGCTGTGTATCAATGCGTGGTTCGTGGTCGACTTCCATTTTTACGGCGTGCGTGTCCCCACCAACGCCGGAGGGTGAATTGTTCATTTGACGGCCCGCTGCCAATGGGGAGGCTGGGAGATCCGCGGTGGGCTTTCGTGCAATGGGACTCTCAACCAGCATTCGATCTTCGGAAGAACGAATTTGACCAACGGTCGCTGACTCAGAGACAGTGACGATACTATTGTGACGGGAGATGGATTGGGGACTGGCGCTCTGGGTGTGCTCTTGCTTTAAGCCACCCGACGGGGGTTGAGTCGACTCGGAGGGTTGGGAACTATGCGGGGAGAACTGTCGCTGAGTCACAGGAGACTGTGTGGAAACCTGATCTCGTATTGAGGTCTCCTGTGTGGGCCTCGGGCTGGATAGAGGATTGCCGGGGGAATCGTGTCCGGAGGATGGCGGTCGGGCAGTTGATGGCGATTGGCGAGTGGCAAAGGTAGGAGGAGGACCTAGGGGAGTGCCGGGAACAGATCTGTGTGCAGTTTGGGAGAAGTGCTGCGATGGGATAGGTTGCGATGGAATAGGTTGCGATGAAAGAGGTTGTGATGCAGCAGGAGGGCTGTGGAAAGATTCGGTTGGAGGTCGGGGTGTGGTCATCACCGATTGTAGTGATTGAGAACGCCGTTGAGAACGCTGCTGCGCAAAATATGACTGTTGTTCTGGATGTTGCGGTCCTGCACTCATCGGTTGTGGTGTGTATGGCGAAACCAGAGGACCACCGTGTTGAGGTTGCGACCCGTATGCCTGCGCGCCAAATGGATCATGCGCGCCGGGACCATACGGTGTCGAAACGTGTGGAGGTGTCTGACTCCGCTGAGACCTCACCGCTGTATTGATAGCTGGACCCGAGTTGAATTGTTGGTATGGCGATTGAACAGATGGGTAAGGTGAGCTTCGCTCCGGAGAAGCGTGCTGTGAGTGCTGCAACGAAGGAGGCTGGGGCGGACGTGTAGGATATTCTGAGTAAGAAGCGGCCTTCTTCGGGCGCTTTTGGGGGGTTTGATCGGATATGGGAGAACTGGCCGAGTTGCTTGGAGGTGGAGGATTGGAGGCGCCGCCGTCGGTGTTCATGATCGTGCGCAAATCCATCGTGACAGCACCCACTTCGGGACCACTTCGACCACGCGAACACTTTTATCGAAAACTGCACGCGATAGGCGATCGCGACATTCAGATCGTATCGCAAGATGTCGGGGAGCAGAAAGAAGGCGGCGGGACAATGAGCGTGGATGGACAAAGAGGAAGGGAGAAGTTCTCGAACTGCGGAATTGCGCGAATCAGGGAGCTGAGAGGATCGTCGCCGCTTTAGGGAACTTGCGACATCAAGGTCAAATGGCTCATATTGTGTGTTAATTTGGATCGATTATAGAGATATCTATGTCTTACGTTGGGAGCTTTGGTGCTCAAAAATGTCCAACGAAGCTCCCGTGGAAAACGGAGCTGAAGTATGATGCATTCGGAGAGCTTGATAGAACGAGCTATGGGAAATGCCTATTCTCTTTTAAAAACCACCCAATTCATACAATTGTCTGACAGTCTTTGACGTGATCTATGTGTTTTAACCTCTCGAGTCTTCTGAGATGCTAAAAAGGGCCACGGTTGTAATCTTGAGATGTCTTGGCATCTATACCTGAGGCATATAATGCTGCGCTAAGCTGTTTTAGGAACTATAAACTGTTCTTCTATCGGCCTAGGTCAACCTCAATCTCAGGATGGGAATCAAAGATCGCTATAGAATGCAAATAAAACGCAAATATAACTGTAGTATCAAGCAGAGATAAGCAATCTCAGATTCCTGATCTAGTAAGCCCATCGCTCTATTGATTCTCAGGTGCTTAGCACTTCGGTGTCCCCCATCTTCCCCAATACTTTCTTGTTCATCTCTATATTTGCTTGTCAAAAAACTCGTTTTGCAAGCCAATGCGTAATATGTATATATACCTTCTATGTGTTCTGTCTCTCAAAGCTAAGTCCAACTTTGTTTCTCTCCCCTTCTCTCCGGGGCATCCTTGTGTGTGTCCTAGAACCCTATTACCACTCCTATGCATCAAACCTAAGAAGCAAGCATCCGAGTAGTCTCACTCCAAGCCCTCGGTATCTATATTAAATTGACAATCCATACAGCAAGACAAAACACCCTAGGTTGAGGAATGAGTCTAGCAGCGAGTCCTCAAGCTCGTTCGCAGGGGCTCACTTCGCTCTTTAGCCAAACGCTGTTGCTGCTACACAAAACGTCTCAGAAGGCAGGCTATTCGTTGATACGTTCTGAAGATAATGACGTCCAGATTTCCTGCATTTTAGTTGTAATGGATAACCTACCTTACACTTGACACTGCAGGGAATTCAATGCGTAGTCTTTACACGGCTCGACTAGATGAATTCTATTCTCGCTCTGAATTAACATGGTGGCAATAAAAAGCATATTATACAATAAGTATAAACGTCAAGCTGCGCTTGGTTAACGCTCAGGCACGGCTGCTTTGCCTAAACAGGGGTGTGGATGAAGTATAGATGAGCTAGGTCCTTTCGACTCTTGTGTTAATTTCTCTCCACCAGCTTCCGGAGATATTTTGTTTTGTTTTTTTGGCGCATATGTGAGCTGCTCATTTATGCGTCGAGCACCAAGCTGCAGTTTTGGGGCCGTCGACCTCTAAAATGGGTTATACGGTGGAGTCGTGCGAACAATTGTGGTGGTGGTGATATTGGTTCAACACCCTCCAGATCTGAGAATCAGACCGGAGAGTGAATTAGTGAAAATCTGTTCTTCTGATATTGACCAGTAAGCAGTTGAGTATCTTTTGATATATGTATATATTTGAACTGGGCAAGGATATGGCAAGCTCTACTTTTAATTCCAACCCGTTCAATAGGGAATAGAAGTAGATATGTACGATTATACATGGCCCACAGATATCTCGAGAACGTATGGATAAAAATGTATTTGAAATCAAAATTTGCATACATGGAATTGAAGTGTCTCACTTATCTCATTTATCTCATCTAGAGTGATCAAATGTTTAGACCGTCGAATCACTTTCTGAATGCGGTTTAACGAAAACGGCAATCGATCGGCTCTTTGCCTTTGCTCATCTCCTCGACTCTGGCTCTCCCGACTCTCCAACTACCCTACTTTCATTGACTCTCCTTTAACTGCAAATTTCAAAAATTTTGTCATTAACAGTGCGCCCATCCTCAGTGGCGCTCAAAGCAGGCCCCTTCCTGCTGACGTATTGCCTAAATTGGCCGGCCGTGTCACCTGCTGGCTTGATCGCACCTCGCTGCGCGAGCGAACTGTCCAGTTCTTCCTACTAGCATAAATGCTTCCATTTGCCTGTTAGCGCGTGTCAATTCAAGCTTTTACTCCACCGGGAATGCCCACTTGCGATCGGCCGACCTGCATAACATAACAATGACATCCCACCACGAACATCGAGCCACCACCTCAGCCTCCGATATCCCTCTGAAAGATCTCGAATCTGCCTGCTCGGAATCCGACTCGACGATCACATCCCGCTGGAATGACTTCTCTCAATTTCATCCTTCAAACATTCTCGCACATCCCGAAGGGCTGGCACCAAAGATGTCGCAAGAAGACTGGGTAGCATATTCCGAAGACACATGGCACAGATTGACTCTTGCGCTCACGCCAAGTTTCCTACAACACTTCCTTGGCAGCTCGCCGCCCCAGCCTACGAAGCTCCACGCCATCGCGGCCCTAGATGGACTACGTGGCTGGGCCTGTCTGCTGGTCTTCAACTTTCATTTCCTATTCACATACACATGGAAGGTCGCGATAGGATGGGGATTTGGCGGGGAAAACTTTGGGGTTCACCAGCTACCCTTTTTTCATATGCTGATCTCTGGTCACATTATGGTTGCCATTTTCTTCGTCCTCTCCGGCTATGTTCTATCATATAAACCGCTGAAAACCATTCGGAGCAGGTCCTTCGATCAAACTTTCACCGTGCTCGCGTCAGGGACCTTCCGTCGCGCATTCCGTCTCTACATTCCCGCAATTGCGGGGATTCTTTGCGTATTTGTGGCTGTTCGCCTCGGACTGTACAATTACTCTATTGGCGTTATCAAAGAGGGACACACAATCCTCGGAACTAACGAGCAACATCCGCCTGTGTTTAAATCCTTTGCAAAACAAAGTGATGACTTGTGGGTCACGTTGGCGACCTTGATGAACCCATTTGACTATGCACTCTACTACAACTATTACAATCCGCACCTTTGGACGATTCCTCTCGAATTCCGCTCTTCGCTTATCCTTTTCGTCGTCATCATGGGGACATCACGCTTGGTCGCACCTGTGCGAATGACGACTGTTTCTGGCTTGATTTGGTTCTGCATCCGTTATGGTCGCTGGGAGCTCGTCTTGTTCCTCTTCGGCATGCTGATGGCCGAAGTGGATCTCATCAACGGAACCTGGGAGCCATCCACACGACCGGTAGTAGAAGACGACAAAACAACCATTCGCCTCAGTCCTGGCAGCAAAATCACCATCAGAGTCTCCCGCCGTGGGCTATGGATCTCGCTCTTCGTAGTCGGTCTCTACTTTGGTTCATGTCCTAACATCGGATTCAAATGGACGCCTTTTTACAGCTGGCTATGGCACATCACCCCCAAGACTTACCCAGAGCCGCACCGTTTCGCCCAAACTATCGGAGCTGTCCTCATTGTCCTCTCTATCAACCACTCCCCCGACATCCAGAAACTCTTCACAAATCGCTTCTCCCAATACCTAGGCAAGATTTCCTTTGCCTTCTATGTCGTCCATGGCCCCGTCCTTCATTGTCTAGGCTATGCCATCATGCCCAACATCTGGAATCTCACTGGCAAAGAGACCAACTTTCAATATTGCCTCGGCTTTCTCATTGGCTGGCTGATCTGCCTCCCCGTCGCCATCTGGCTAGGCGATGTGTTCTGGCGCGCCGTGGACATCCCCAGCGTCAAGTTCGCACGCTCGCTTGAAGATCGTCTCATCTCTAAGGGCCCGGCATCCGGTCGCCCGAGCCTGGCCACCCGCGCAGAGTGAAACTGTTCGTTAGCTCGCCATGAACCTGTTGATACTATACGACCGTTGGTCAACCGTTGCTTGCTTTCTCTGTCTCGTTAAAACTGTACCCCTTATGATACCTTCTCGCTGCGCGAGCCATTTTGATCATTGTTACTGCATTGGGCCGTCGGTCCCTCCATGTTCATACTACATTACATTACTTAGACTCGTGGTTGAACCAAGACTATCACATCATACCATCCTTCGATGGAAATAGAAAAATTACTATGGATACCCTATACAGTGAGACGAGAAATCCCACAGACCACCAATTACTATGCATTTTGCATTTGCAGAGTCGAATCATCAAAGTGGAGTCGACGCCTGTCAACAATTCTAGTTGTTCTAGGGGGCTATGGGCTCAGGTTAGGGAGACTGCGATATTTACGTAGAATAGGTAGTCCAAGACCGTTCTTAACAATATCAAATGATACATATCCAATGTATAGTTCATTCATTCATTCACTCGTACCAAACAAGTCAGAAGTATAGTCACCGTCATTCCCGATCAATAGACACAAAAGTAGCCCATGGAGATCGCCGGTTTCTCACTCGACCTATGCAAAGAGTGTACCGGTTCAGACACAGATAAGCCGACCTGTACTGGCGAAGCACGCAAACAGCAAAGCAAAGTAAAACAGATGCTGTGTGCACGCAAAGCAACAGATCGCGGCAGACAGAAACAGATATCAGATAGATTGGACCGTCTAGTGCAAAAACCACAATTGTCGGACAGCTCTCGAGGGAGAAGACACGACGTATGGAAAACAGTACCTCTTTTTTGGTTGGCTTATAACGCGACGCCTGTTAGTCCTCGTCCGCCACACACTCCCAGCCATTCCCGTGGCTGGCCAGTGTGGTTAGGCCCGCCTTGTGGAGACCAGCTGATGTTGGAGACTTCGTATTCGCTCTGCCAGACGCCGGCTGGGCCCCGCTCCGAGGTTGTGGAAGGCGGTGCTCCTGGGGTGGCTGAGGGAGGAGAAGCGACCGGTGCAGCATTCTGCTGGTTGATGAGGTCCCAGAGGAGGACCATGCTATCGTCGCCGCCGGATGCGAGGATACCACGGCGGCTTGGAGACCACTCTACGCAGTTCAAGGCAGCCGAATGGCCTTTCAGTTCCAATAGGGCTTGGCCTGGTTGTCGGACGTCGAGAACACGGACAACACTAGAGTCCTGTGAGAATGTTGCCAGGAGATGGGCATCATGAGGGGATGCTGGGAGATTGTGTTAGCTTGTCGTTATATTCCCTGTTGTGGTTATTACGTCCATACCTGCGATTCTCAACAAAGGAGGAGGGTAGATGCCGGTCTGCGGTTGGCCAGGGGGGCTGGAGCTCCCGGGGCTCATCACTGCTGAGGATATTGTCAATATTTAGAGTACAAAGTGGTCTTCCGGTAGGTACTTACGCTTCTCATTCTTATCTGTCGGTTCGTAAATGATTGTGCTGTGCTCAAGGCTTCGCAAATCAAACATTCGCACACTGCCATCAGCGCCACAGCTTACAAAAACATCGACACTGTTGGCGCAGAACCGAACGTCATACACCTCCTTGTCGTGGGCAATCAGCTGCGTCTTCGCTGTCAATGTGGGGATATCCCAAATGGTGCAAGTTGTGTCAATGCTTGAAGTAATGATCAAACTTGGAGAAATTGTATTCCAGTCAAGAGAGGTGATGGGAGCAGTGTGCTCAGGGGATTTCGAATTGGACAGCAAAGCCAACGGAGAAAGCTTGGAGGTGGCTGGGTCTCGCTGGTTCATGGGACGAGTGATCGAGTTGGAGCTTTGGAGGGGTTGAGAATTCGGTAGTGACCATAAGCGAAGGTGATCTCCTGACGTGGCCAGCAAATCAGTTGATTGCTTCTGAGATGAGGGAGGCTCCCAGAGGATACGGGTAACCGGATAAGAGTGTGTCGCCTCGGCCGTTTTGACATAGTCCAGTTTGATCTCTCCCGCAGCCGCATCTGGAGTGTCGGGATCTGGTTGGGTCCAGTGTGTATCAAGGATTTGAATCTGTTAGCTGGTTAGTATGAACATATTGGTCCGGAGGGTGGATGCATCTACATAGTTGTGACTGTCTTCTAAATAGCTTCCCATGGCTACTTTTCCACCAAAGCCCGAATTGCCTGTAATGGGCCATTTGCACCAGTCCACTGCGTATATAGGCCATGGTGCCACGTAATTGCTGTTGGTCGGCACCTGGTTGTCTCCATTATTGTAAGACACCGATGACATTCCGGGATTCAAAAGTGCCTCGCTCAACATGTGTTCACCGGATGGCCTAATATCAGCCAGTCCAAGCGGAGAGTACTTGGAGCCTTGCGGGGTATGAGGCGGAAATGCTCCAGGAGAAGAGGGATATTTGGAGCCATCGGGCGCAGCATGTTGCTTGTACATAGATTGGTCGAACCCGGCCGGGCTAGATCGTGAATGTCCATGTGAATTGATCATGCTGGCTCGATGATTTGGTTGCGATGATGGCTGCGACATGGTAGGGATGACTGATGGAGCGGTATTTACTGAAACCGCAGCTGGACGGTTCTGATTTCCAGGCTGCAGGGCTCCGGGGAGGGCACTGCTGCTGCTGTTCCCGTCACCACCGTACTGGGAGCTCTGGTGTACGTTGATCGATGGAAGCCGAGGACCTGCGTCCGGTGTGGTGGAATAGTCGTGCGAGGAGGATTGGCGGGACAAGTTTGGATTGATTGGCCCAGTTGACGGAATGTGAAGCTCCTCAGGCTGACGACTGAACACGGTTGACCGCCGATGAGCGTCGTAGGAGGCGGGGTTCGACATGATGCGGTCTGGGCTGAAGAGCAAGAGCGCCGTCTATGCAGGGGATGCCGCGATGGATCTTAGTTGGAGGATGAGCTCCACTGTCTCTCGATCGAGATTAGTGGAGGAGGCTGGGGGGGGATGCACCAAATTGGGGATGTAGCGGGCTTTGGGGAAGCTCCAACCAGAGGACCGTGTCAGCCAGATATCATTCCAGCTTATCAGGTCACTTGGCTCGCAATGGCATCCTCATCTCTATCGGAGAGTGGCAGAGTGGAGGACAGAGGGCGGTGTCATCCCACGAGAATAGCTGACTCAGCCGGGTACCCCAGCCTGCGATGAGGATGGATCCGATCACTTCTTCAGAGATTGTGGTTCTTTTTTGCTTCTGTGATTTATTATTGATTTCTGTTGTGCTTTTGATCTTCTATCCCTTCACTTGATTTTAAAGCCCAGTTCTCGTTACTGTAATTATATATTCTTCACACCATGGCTTCCGATACCAATTCACCCTCGGCTTTACTACTTCTTCCCCCACCTCCAGCCTTTTCTTATAACCAAGTCAAAGATGCCTTTGAGTCATCCTTAGTGAATGTCCTCACTAAGCTCTCAAATGCTTTGGTTGGATCCAACCGTACAGCTTTGCTGGATATTGCTCTCGCCATTCCAGATCTTCTTTCCCCGAGCTGCCAACCTCGGGCCAAAGTGTTTGCACAACTCCAACATTACCTGACCAGCGTCTATACCCTGGTTGTTGCTGTCTGTGCAACACACAACATTGAATTGGATTCTCCAGGTGGCATTGATACCCGGGTGGTATTTATCGATGCAAGTGAGAACACCTCAGCTACCCAGGGCTCCGATGGCTCTCGCTTTGGACCCATTCTGGACATCCAATCACTAGCAAATTCAAAGCGCCATTGGAATTATGTTTTTTACATGTCCAACAAAACTGGCCAAACTTTGGCTGATTCCTTCTCCAACAGTGTTGGGAACCAGACTCGGGACGGCACAGCGGCAAGCATGCAAGCCATCACAAGCAGGCCTGACTGGGCGATGCCTGACCGCCTGTTAATTCCTGACGACCAACATTCATCCACTCCACACTATTCGGTGGTCGTTGGTGGCACATTTGATCACCTTCATGTTGGTCACAAACTTCTGCTCACAGCAGTTGCATTGGTCCTGGAACCGCTGGACCGGGAGCACGAGGGCCGTCTGACCATCGGCGTGACCGGGGATGCGCTGTTGGTGAATAAAAAATATGCCGAATTTCTTGAGAGCTGGGAAGCGCGTTGGCAAAGTACTGCAGCTTTTCTGGCAGCCATTATGGATTTCTCGCCCGGGAAGAAGTCACCGTGTATTGAACGTGCTTTTGCGCCAAGTCCCAATGGCAAGACTGTCCTCGTAAGGATCCAACCCAACCTAGCATTTGAATTTGTGGAGATCTCTGATCCATTTGGGCCCACGATTACTGAGGAGAACCTTGGAGCAATTGTAGTCTCGAAGGAGACACATTCAGGAGGGGCAGCGGTCAATGAAGAACGGGTGAAGAAAGGTTGGAAAGGCCTGGCCGTATTCGAGGTGGATGTACTCCAGTCTGGAGAAATAACCACGTCCACTGATGTCGAGGGCTTCGAGTCCAAAATCAGCAGCACGGATATCAGACGGCGCCGAGCCCATCTCGCGAAGGTTTGATAGGTATCCACGTAATGACATGGAAGATCCGATAGTAGATAATATCTCAAACACTTGTACATACATTAGCTCGTCTTGCTTTCGGCCATTATTCCCCAGTCATCTTGGGCAGCCACATAATCCACACGCATGATCCATCACTCTGCATGATGTGACGACTTCCCGGCGGGGTCTGCATTGGCCCCCTCCAACACGACTCGCTCTCCTTCAATGGCCTTTCCTGCAGGTTTGCGCTGGCTGGCCGCAGAGTCAATCAATCATGTGATTCCTGTGTGGCAGCGTCACCAATGAAACCAGGCGGATCGGGTCAGAAATCCCGGCTTGTCAGTGCAAAGGGCGCTAATCAGGCACTGGGTGATCGTCCCCGGTCGCGAAAGCAATCGTTAGGGCGAGAGCTCTCGCCATATGGTGAGACAAGTCAACTGTCCTACTAGTGTCTCCAGACGACGAGTCCGAGTATTTGATATCTTTTATATTATTTTTATTTCTCATTTCCCCTCTTCCCAATTCCCTCCGTGATTTGTCTCTCCGGTCTTGGGGACAGGTTAAGAGCGTCGATTTTCCCTCAATTCCTCCAAATTTCCATGTTGCTGCTACTTCGTCAAGCAGCCGATGCTTCGGCTGCGCGCGCCGATCATGGCTCAGCCACCTCACATTCACGATCTTGCTGACGAGCTACTGAGCGAGATCCTGTCTTTTCTTCTCGAGCCCGCACCCCGAGTTTTGAATGGCAGATTCAATCGAAATGGGCATACTTCCAGGCCTGGCGACCACGACCGTGACGAAATGTCCGATCTTGATCACTTTCGACTCGTTTGCAAGCGTTTCATGCGAATCGGTACCCCTTACAAGTTTAACCGATTTACTCTACGCTTCTCTGATCACGGCTTCCGGCGACTAGATGAACTAGTAGACATGCAGCTGGCTTACTATGTGAAAACCATCACATACATGGTGCGACCATTTTATCAAGGAAGCGGTACCAGCTCTTTAATATTTCTTACCCAAGCGAGCAAATCAACTAACAGCAAACTACAGGATGGGCCCGGACTCTGCGAACTTTGGGGTCAGAGAACCCCAAACTATCCCAATTACACAGTCGCCGACTGCGTGAACAAACCAATCTCACTGAAACCAACAATGACCAAACCCGCCTCCGCCGTGCAATCACGTCCTTCTCAGCTCTGCAGGAAATAAAGCTCCTTAGACTCCAAGATGAAGCAGACGAGTACCTCATCGACTTTATACGCGACCACTCACTGGGAACCAGCACCAGCACCGCAACGGGCATCCGCTTCGACTGGGAAAGCGCCTGCTCGCGCGCCGTAACAAACCTCAGCATTGCTCTCCTCGACTCAAAATGCAGCTCAATTCGCTTCACGGGGCCCCAGATCAGCCCTGAAGCAACCCTCCAGCTCCTCCGTGCCCCCTCAACAACCCTCGCCGCCATGGGCGGACGCCTCACAAGCCTCGACATAAACTTCCACTCGGCAACCGACATCACCAGAACTATGGCCGACCTCTCGGATGTTTTTCACCGCTTCTTCATTGCAGCCAAAAACCTCATCGCCATCCACATTGGCTTCCTCAGTAGAACACCCCTGGACCTCGATCTGGAGCTACTCTTCCATCACATCCGCTGGAAAACTCTCCGCAAACTCAGCATCCAAGGCTGGCGTCTGAGCGCAGACGAGATTATCGCACTGGCCCGCCGCCACAGTCCACATCTACGGGATTTCCGCCTACTCAGTGTCTACCTTCGGCCTGGCGGCTTGTGGCGCGATGTTCTTTTTGTCCTGCGCGAGGAAATGGAGCAGCTGGAGCGGCTGGTTCTGAAGGATATTAACTATGCAGCGCACTTGGATTCCCTTGCCATCTCTAACGGTGTCGAAGTCTTTGATGACTACCCTACTGGACCTGTGCCATCCTCTGTTACTGTTGCGGCTGGTACCTCCTCGGGTGTTCAGTCGCCGACTACTACCCCACTCTCGCCCGACGGCCTCCCTAATTTGGGAAGGGGAAAGCGCTTGCCATTGAGGCGGACATCACTTGAGAGACTACGTGCTTTGTCTTGTGAGGACTTGGGGGACGACGGTGTGAATGTCTTGTGTGAGCAGATGCCTCTTTGGGAGGCATGGGTTCTTTCTGCTCCGCATCAAGTTAAAAGAAATGGCCGGTCACATTGGAGTATGTGAGAGGGAGGTAGATATAGGCCTCTGGAGAGAAGAGAGAGGTAGAAAGGTGTTTAAAATGAGCTGGCTACTATTTGCTTTTTGGAGTTGGAGGCTGTTTGAATTACCTTCTTGATGACTTTTATGCGTTAGAGCCGTTCGACTATATCTTTGGCTACAATTATATTGTTCCTGGGACGCAGAGTTCATGGTAAAATGTACTGCATTGTCAATGATCAAAGAAAATAAGGATATGTATGTAAGGATTGCAAGCATGCGATCTTAGGATATCGCTGAACATAAGCACGTCAAAGGAGAACCAATCCTGCGTCGATTATTTCCAAAATCCCCTGTTCAAAGGTAACACTGGGGCCAGTCACCTCCAGCACGTGCATAAGAGAGCCCCTTCACGAAATCAGCACGGCGACAGCGGCCAAGTTTATCCACTTTGCAACCATGCAGTGGAGCAACGCGGTCATTAATGAGGACTCGCACGAGTGGTTCGGGTTCCTTGCCACATTTCATCATCTCTATATAAGCACGAGCACCGAAACTAACCGCCTTGGCGGATGAATATCCATCTGCTTCCTCGGGAGTCTGGATGTGGTCGAGCGGGAGAGGAGCGGTGCCATTGTACAGCCCCATGGCAAAGTAGATCGGAAGCATTCCATTGTCATGCGAGAAGTCTGCGTACATGTTGTAGTTGAGGGGGAATGTCGGAGCGCCGGGGGCATCGAGCGTGGTATTTGTGCTTGTGTGGTCCTCCACTGGGGTTTGAGTGAGTCTGGCGATCAGCTCATTTACGAAACCGACGCCCTGGGTTGGGCCGAGCGGGTTGCCTGCGCCATAACCGTAGTACTTGCTCACGGACTGGAGGTAGTCGTACTGGTCCCATTCGGCTTGAGTGAAGAGGTCACAGAATGGAGATAGCTCAGATGCATCTTCAGTCAGGGCTACTGTCTCAAAGGGACAAAGGTCCATCAGACTCATTACATCAACCTCAGTGAGTTTAACACCGGGGAGATCAGCCTCAAGGCGGGCTTGAATGGGCGGCACAAAGACTGCCATGTATTTTTCTTCAACCTCGTCGCCCAGTACGTCGTCTTCGAACTTAGGACAGCTGTTGTGGTTCAGAGTGTTGTTGGCGCCAACTTCTTCTGAGATGAGAACACTGATCTTGGGGCCTGGTTGCTTGTGATCGGCATGCTTGTCCTGCAACTTTGCCTGCTTAAAGCCCTCAATAAACTTCTCTCCCGAAGCGATAACCCGCCCTGACTCAGCTGAGCGAATGAAGGGTACAGCTTTCTTAGCCAACGCCTCGTAACGCTTGTAGAACTTGATGCCCGAGTTCAGCAACTGGCTCTCCCCAAAGGGTACCAAATCGTCACTGCCCAAGGTGTATTTGTATGAGCTGAGGAATTTCGCCTTGCCATTGTATGCAGTTGCGTCTGCATGGATCTTGTCAAGGAGCGCAGCATAAGACTTGCTCTTTTTTGCCGATGGGAATCGAGCACCGTGACGGGAGATCACTTGGGCAAAGGTGATCTCACAACCCTTAGGTACCGCCTCATCTGAGACGGGCGATTCGTCCGCAACAGAGAAATAGGGCGAATACTGGCCCCACTTGTGCGTGAGCTCCGAGTTGCATTGATAGCCGTCCTCGACAGTATTGCATTCACGTTTGTTATGTTCGTGATGCGATGATCTCTTTGACTTGTCGTCAAAGGTAGAAGCCGCAGGTAGATCAGACTGGCTGGCATGCGAGGGGGTGTTGCACTGGATTCCAGGCACGAAGTACACAGCCAGGGCAAAAAGACCCAGTACCGACATGGCGGTCAATGCAACCCATTTTCGGGATTGCTGTCCTTGCTTCCGTTGGTACTGCTCTCCAAGCAGACCCTCTTCCTCCCCGTGTTGTTTGGAGAACACTGCCATTGAACCGGGTCGGATAGACGGTATCACAGCTTGAAGTATGCGAAACCTGCAAGGATAGAGAATGCAAAAATGGAGGGGACTCAGTCCATTTTTAAATGTCGACCTGACAGGCGTTTGGGATAACCCTTGCGGATCTGCCCGTGAGTGTTTTGGCTGCGGTGATTGGTCTGATTGGCCCGTCGGAAGGTTCCAAGGTTGCTTGAAGTGGGCACACGTGGGAGCTGCCCTACCCGTGACTTGAGGTACTTCACAGTACCTGAAACTAGTTCGTTCTAGTATGCAAGTATATGTCCCCCAAGGTACTCACTCTATGTATACTAGCCCAACACGGGAGTGTGAGATAAATTGATCTCGAGGCATGGTTCCCACTTGTCTTACCAGGCACACATTTTAATTGACTACAGTGCAAAAGATATCAATCTGCGGAGCATTTTTTTCTCTTTCTCCCAACCCTATTGGGTCACTATGTCTTACCGTGCCGGTCTATGATTAGAGTTTTGGTGGCTCTTCACATGAGAAAGCAACGGTGAAGCTCATACAAGCACTCTATTTCTTTGGCAGTACCTATACAATACGGGATCTAAATTCCGATAAAGAAATGACAAATTTACTTTATGTATACACGGAAACTCAAGTGGTGATATATATAGATATATATATCTTTGGTTGTGCCCAAAAAAAGGTTCATACAGTTTACATACATCTGAAATGATATCAAAATATATCCATCTATTGGAATATCGAAAAAGAGCATCCCAAGCCCATCGAGATGGATTCCCATCTAGCATCCGCTACGACATCTCGGGCCAGATAGATCGGATATATAGAGTCCTATTTCGTCAAGGACCGACGCTGCATCAGGGGTTCAGAATAGAAGAACTACAACAATTCGGCAATCGTTTTCACTAGAAATGGACCTGACCGGGCTGGAATAAGTAGCCGGCCCTTTTGACATTTCCGTCTCTATAACAAGAAATGGAGGTGTTGAATACGAATGCTACCTACCCCAACGATATGTTACACTGATAAAAATATATTCCACCAACTGCAAGAAACCAAGATTCGTAAATTTATCCTTCCATAAATTAAGGGGGTGAACTGAAGGATTGAAGGTTCTCAGAAGAAACAAAAGAGGGACAATACGAGAGCAGACATGGATGTACAACACCCAACATACGCCTACCGTGGAGTCCATTCAACATCTGTTGGTCCAGTATTTTAGCTTTTCCTCCGAAAACCAAGATCCCTCTGGTATGTAAATCAATTTTGCAAGTTGTCTAGTCAAACCTTACCCAGGAATACAGGTGGGCTGGAAAAGAAGTCATTCGTTTCAAACCCTCCGTTGCTGCAGCTAGAAGATTAAGGCATGATCGTCCGTTTCAAGGATCAGCGCGGACACGTTAGTGGTGTACAACCGTTGTAGATCAATGAGATGACTTTGACCGAGAGATATATCAAGATTGATTAGTAGACAGAGTAGAATAAAACGTTCAACCACGTAGTATAGAAGTAGAAATGCAAATGAAGTTGAACCTGGGAACTTCTGTAGTTCGACGGTGGGGAATCTGCAACCAATCAGAATTCCCGGGGTTGCCGAGACGCGCCCGACCCAAACATTCCGACTTTGCTCCAAAACAAACCAGCTCCAACCTTCAACCTCACTCTTTTACTCTCAGAATGCCTCCAAATAACAGAGATTCTGGGTTGAATGACGATTCATTTTCGCTTACCAATTTGGACGACGAAATCATGGGCACCTCGACACGACGTGTCGATCAGGAGGAGCTTGACTACGATATCAACACATCAACTCTTGACCGTGCTTTCCCCGAATTTTCGCAAATACAGACATCTGAGGAGGAGGAACAGGAATTAGACGATCTATCACATAGCGACCTTGATATGTCCGTCGAGGTGGGACGCGGTGCTGGCAAACCAGCACGCGACGATTCACGTAGCTCGATGATGAGCTTCGAGAACAGTGTACGCTCTTCGTCCCCCGCGATACGTGTTGAATACCCCACGCCACAAAAGTCAGCTGCCGCTACGCGTCCATCGCGTCGTGCAGTCAGTGAAAATTTACGAAAGAACGCCCAAGTGCGACGAGCCACCCAGGCTCAGAAAGAAATAATGAGCCCGCAAGTCTCCAAGTCTCAACGCGACCAGCGACGGACATTCTCCGATATGCACGCCAAAGTGCGTGACAGCTACGAGGGTTCATTTTTGGGAGACGAACGACCTGCCCCTATCCCCACGAAAACGCGTTCGACGCGTTTTGGAAACGCAAACACTTCTCAGGAGATTGCAGACGCAATTGAGCGAGCTTCAAGGGAAGCCTACGCGAAGGAACTCCGAAAATCGGCTTCCAACACTGCAGGAACTCCCCGAAAAAGCAGTGCCAACGCAACCAACACCAACACTATTGGCGACACCATGACCCACCAATCCTTCCTTCTTCCCGATCTCCCTAACATCTCCGAACTTGTTTCCGGTGTATATGAAGATGGTACACCTGTTTACTCCAGACAGGGCAAGATGCGCTCTACTCGTTTTGTTTCCCCGCTTCATGATCATACAGACGTGTCTCTTCCCCACGAGCACATGCCATTAGATGCAGTGCCCGTCCCCGAAGATGAGAAGGCCTTATTTGTTCATCTGAGACTACTTCAGGATAAAGTGGCAGAGCTGGAGATGTTCAAGTCTGAAGCAGAGAAAAGAATGGACAGTTACCGCCAGGAGAATTCATCTTTGAAGGCGAACAGACTTCGTCAATCATCAGCGAAGTACGAATCAGACGACAATGCGCACAAAAAGGGGTCCAAGCGCCTCGAAAATGAGAACCAAAAGTTAGACGCAGCCAATCTTGCTTTACAAAACCAGTTGGACATCGCCGATCGAAAGGCCCAGGTCCAAGAGTCTGCCATCAAGCGCCTTAACCATGACAGAGAGTCGGCTATCTCACAACTTGGAGCCGCTTATCTCGAAACTCGAGAGCTTAAGGCCGAGAATGAAGAATTGCGACAGGAAAATGCGGATCTCAAGTCCCAGATCAGCCGTCTCTCGGGCCGCAAGGCTCGTGAACAGGACACTGTCGAGTCGGAAGCCAGTTCGGCCGTGTCTGATGATGTCGATGACAGCCAACCTTACACCGAGCGCAGTACAGACTTAAGTCGGAGCACCAGGGATATTACATCCAAAAGCAACCGCTCCACCACAAGAGCCAGACGCCAGGATGACTCCCGCTCCAAGGTGTCTACTCAAGTGGACAAGGAAATTTCTCGCATCGAAAAGGAACGTGCTGATGAGGCTCTCTTCTCTATTGAGATGCGGGCTTCAAACTCTAAGCCATCAAAATCAGCTGTGTCTCGTTCTTCCGAATCAAAGAGCTCTCGGAAACAACCTAGCACGAGCAAACAGCGCGTGAAGCGAGTCATAGTTGAAGAGGTGACTGGGCCGGAGGTGTCCGAGCAGACCAAGGCTTCATCTGAAGCAGACGTTACCTTATTGAGTGTTATTGATGAACATGAAATCTCTCGCCTACGCAAGACATTGGAAGAAGAAAGATTGATGCGCAAGCAGCGACGTTCGAGCGCTCCTAAGGAATCCAACCCCGCAGAGACCGTCAACTCGACCAGACAGAGCATTTTGAAAACCCCTGCCCCTCGCAAGTCATCTCTTCGCGAATCCAAGGTAGAAATCCCTCGCCCAGCCTCGGCTACTGGGGATATCACAACTGCCTCAAAGGCAAATACCCATGGAGACAGAAGTCTCACAGTACCCATTGCAGAGCGTTCCCGGCGCCATTCAGAAAATTCGTTGCCCGCAACATCCCAGCGCAAGAAGCAGCGAAATGCCGCTGACATGACCTCCGCTTTCATCCTTCCTGATATCACCCTTCACCATGTCGACCTGGCAGCGGCTGATCCATCCAAGCTGCCACAAGCCACCCAAAAAGCATTGGATAGCGTTGCTCGACACAATGGACAGAACTGCACTGTTTGCAAGGGTCACTCCACTGACGGCACCTGCAGCCACGAGCCCGTGAAGGTCACCAAACCCATTCCTGTGTCAGAACGTATGCCTGAGCCATCCGTCTGGAATGAAGAACCAACTATGCGCCCCTCGCAACCCCCTGCCGTCGCCCTTGCTACTGTTCTCAAGGGCCTGGAGGATGAACTTTCCCACCTGAAGATGCAACTGGCTACATACCAAAGCGCCTATAACAAGCTTGACGCATCGCTCGGCAAGCGCCCGCGCAAGACCCTGCAAGAAAAGATCGACAAAATCTTCAAGGACATTGATATGAAGTCCGATCAAATATACGCTCTCTACGATGTTTTGGAGGGCCAAAAGCAAGATGGCTGTGAGATGACCGAGCACGAAATGGAAGCGACTCTTGAGTCAATTGGAATTGATGTCGGCATGTCCCATGCACCTGATGTTACCGGTACTACCGACAAGTCTTCTCGTCACGGCCAGATTGACCTGGAAGATGAAGAGGATTTGCCCTGGGAGGGCATTGAGAGCACTGCTGAGATGACTGGCCACCTTTCTCTCGGCGGTCACTGAGCTGATTATTGCATTGCATTGCGTCTGTCGATATTTTTCGAGTACTTTGCTGCTACTTTGGCGCTGTTTTATGGAGTTGGGTTCAATCTGTATGTTTACTTTTGATTGGGTAATCGATTGTTGGTTAGGTAGTTCTTGATACTCAAATGTCATTGCGGCCGTATCATGGCCTTGGAAATAAATTCTTCTATCTCTTTTTCAATATAGCGTAAACCTCATCTTTCAGATTATTTAGTCTTGTATTGTCTGTATCATGTTCAACATCCTGCCAAGTTTCATTCTTTGTGTGATGGTAATACCATATGCAGTGGCTGGGATACCCCGAGCGAACATAAGAAAAAAAAAAACGCCATCGCTATGCTCAGTAGCTAAAAACAATCCAAATACCATGCCCCCAAATCTGCCGAAACCCAAGTCGAATTAGAGTTCAAGCAGTATTTTCTCCACTAGCAGCAGCCATAGCAGCACCCTCTGAAGCCGTCGACTTCGAGATATTCGCAGCATCTCGCTGAGATATTTCCTCCCCGACAAAGCAGCTCAGCCCGGCAAAAGCCTCAAGCAGCGTGCGCGAGTAGTATTCACGCAAATCATAACCACCAGCTAGCATCCGCGCATCATTGCGAATAGGATCAAGATACTGCGACGGGTAATACGACTGGAGAGAATAGTAATCGCGCTTTTCGGGCACATAACCCATAAACGGATCATACGGCTTCTCCGGCTCGGGCGTGATGATCTTGCGCAGACCCTTGACAAGCCCTGTATCCGTCACACCAGCATGATCCACCGTGGAAAGATTTGTCCCGCGCTTGGTTTCCAACCGCAGCGCAGCCTGTTTCTGTCGAATGCGTTCTTCCTCGCTGCGGCGCGCGGACGACTTCTTGAGCAGCACCTTGTGTCCTTCGCGCGCGATGGCCGCAGCATCCGTCGATGAGCCGGAGGCGAGCCTTGAGAGGAAATCCTCGCGTCCGGCTTGGATCTCGCGCCGCTCGGTCTCATATTCCTGGCGTGCTGCTTGGCGGCGAAGTCGGGCTTCTTCTTGTTCGAGGGTCATGCGGGCTTGGAATGAGGAGGCTTCCTCGGCTTCGATAGCTTGGTTTGTGCGGATTGATTGCATGTTTTCTGCTGCGTATTTTTGGAGCTGGGCTTCGGTTTTCGCCACGTCGATGCGGCTTACTAGGTTCGCAATTATGTCCTCCCTTTGTTCGAGGAAGTCGTCATATGCACGTTTTGAGTCGAACTCTTCTTCGCGGCGGTTCAAGCTAATTGAGATAAACTGTTAGTCCTTGCAAGATCACAGGTACTTCGTTGTGCTTGGCAAGAGACTTACATGTGCATCACACGCCGCCGGATATCTACTTCTCTTTCCACCCCGATGTCTTCGAATGTCTGCTTGCGGAACCGATTTTTGCGCAGTGTTTTGCGACATCCAGCTACCGGACAGTTTGCAGGTCCAGATGAGAAAATGCGATCCACGCACGACTCGCACATCTTGTGGTAGCATTCCGGGTTGATGAGAAAGCGCATGTCCGGGTTGAGGTATCGGGACGATTTGCAAACGGGGCAAACCTCTGTGAAATTAGATGGTTAGCACTCGCATAATGACAAAGCTGAACAAAAGCTTACCGTCTTCATCACGGCGAGAAGCCGCATCGGAGGCCATGTTGAAAGTAAAGTGACGTGGGAGAGATGGACCACGGACTGGGCTGAGGCTGATAAGCAACTCACGTGCACGGGCCACATCCTCGTCACTTTTTTTTTGCGACTTTTTCTTTTTGCCTCCGGCGGTAACCCTCTCTTTGCTACATTTTATTCAATTGACATTGTCAGTACGAAGCTGGCACTCTGGACAATTATGGGAATACCGAACCCAAACCTCGACGCTCTCGAAGAGCAGCGCCTCGCGCTTGAAGAAAACATCCTCCAACTTCAGAAATCGCTTTACCACTGGCGAACCTGGGAAGCGGAATACGACGGAGTCCGTGAGGAGATAAACAATCTAGAAGATGACGCCAACACGGATGAATTCCTACTTGTGGCCCAGGAATTTGGCGGCACGCTGGTGGATCAGAAGGAAATGCAGACAATACTCGGTTCGCAAGGCGTGACGCGGTCTCGCGGGCAGGTGGTAGATCTTCTTGGAAGACGGATCGACTACGTGCAGCAGAATGTTGCGACCATGGAGAAGAGGCTTTCTAAGGCCCAAAATGAGCTAGACGCTTTGATCTTGAATGATCAGCCTCCACTGCAGGACGGTGCGGAGTTCCCGATGCAGGAAATTATGGAGGAGCTTGATGAAGATGGAAACGTCGTCTCGAGCAAGATCAATACGCCTGGAAACGACGCTACAGAATTGCTGGATGTGCTGAAGAAGGCTGGTGTCAAGGATATCCCAGAGACTCATGTGCCAGAGGAGACTGCCATAGCTCCCGCCGATGCTACACGTGAAGGCGCAGGGAATGAGCCGACTAGCTTAGAAGCTGCAGATCAGCAGAACGATTCCTCGAGCGACCACAATGTGATCACAGAGCCAAATGGCGCATCTCTGAAGTTCTCTCAACCTCAGTCTGTGGTGACTGCGGAAGATCGTATGCAGCCGCCTGTCACGGACGTGAATGAATCTGCAGAAGAAGCAAGACTTCGCCGTGAGATGCTCGATTATGGAATTAACGAGGTGGGAGCTATCGTGGCAGAGTTGGAAATGGATGAGTCCGGAAGCGATATTTCCTTTGACGAGGACTACGATTACGACTACGACGCGGAAGAGAACGAAGACGAACACGGCCGCTCTTACACCCGCCTTCCGGCGGAATACCACCAACAGATGATGGAATTAGAGGCCAAACTCAATGCCCGAGGCTTGATGAACATGGGCAAAGATACCCAGACGTTCCCCGAGGAAGTCCAGCAAGAGATCGCAGCACCTACTGCGACTGAAACTTCCACCAAAGAGAAGAAACCCAAGAAACGTGTTGCGTTCGCCGATGAACTTGATATCGCACCAGCTCCCACACCCTCAGTTACTGCAGAGAAGGCCCCTGTCCGACAGGCAGAACCTCAGGTGCTTGCTGATTCCATCGTTGAACGGACCAGCCGTGTCCCAGAACCCTCTCCGGCCACCCCTGCTGTTCCCAAGAAGGCGTCGCGATTCAAGAGTGCTCGGGCCGCTGCTCCAGATAGTACTGCTAGCGGATCTGTCACTACCGGGGCGACAATGGCAAATCCGTCAGAAGTCACCGAATCTCGCCTTCGCAAACAAGCCAACACAGCTCCCTCTGTGGTGCCGCCTGTTCTCTTCCCCGCGACTCCAAAGGAGCCCAAACCCTTCTCCGCGGCGATCACTGATATATCAGAGGTCACCGAGAAACCTCCCGGTCCTCAATTCCCACATGACCGAACTCTGGCCGACAAGGTTTTTGAGCGACAGATCAAACCGGGGGCCGTAGTGGCTCCTGAACTGGACGTCTATGACGAAGAGCTTCACCAGAAGCAGATTGCGTCAGAGTTCTTCAATATGCAAAAGCGCATTAACGGGACTAAAGAAGATGAGGAACAGGATATTCTACCTCCTGAAGAAGCTCAACCTAAACGGGTGAGCAAGTTCAAAGCGTCACGAATGGGATAGTTTGTACGAGTTGGCTATGTATTTATCAGGAAAGAAATGTTTGTTTTGTTTGTCTAGTCTCTTGAGTCCCCATCAAAACCCTCCTTTTCTCTCTCTCTCTCTTTCTCTCTCTCTCTTTCTTCTTCTTCTTCTTCCTTTGACCAACGGACTTCCAATTTCTGACGGGTTCACCCTCGGGAAAATACAAGGTGCATACCCCTATCTCCTCGTGAGATGGGAAACCGTGGTATCACCACCAACTGAAGTCCGAGATCAAAAGATGGCTTCTCTGGCTGCACTCCTCAATTCTTTCAGAACAGGAGAGAAAACGTATGTTACTCGTGCTTCTCCTCTGGGGAGGTTCAGAGCAACTACGGGAGTATCGACTGCCTGGGGAATTGATAGATGGAGGTGTGGTTTATTTATTCTCTCTCGACATCCCACTAGCTTAATCTAGAGTGAACGAATGCACCTATGTCTCGGCTTTGCTTCCGCAATTTTCACTTGTCACCTGTCTCAGCGCCATGGCGCATAGTTTCCGTCCTATCTTCATCGTTGCGCTAAGATTGATCCGGCTTTTCTCTAATTACACGACTGCATGTCTTTGACTCAAATAACAATTGACTCTCGGTATTACCATATAATCCCTCATTGTTTATCCAGAGCACACCAAATTGCGACATGACCCCTAGGATATCACCAAAAGAAGTACAACACGACCTCAAAAACAAGTGGTCACGCCTGGTGCAATCTTCTCCAACTTGGCAACCAACTCTGCGAAAAAGGCTTTCTGAAACATAACTCCCTTTCCATCAGTCACGATACAAGATGGACTAAAGAACAGAGTTAGCTGACTTGTTTTTCCGCAGCAGACGCCGACAAACCACTGACCTGTGAACCTGACAGTTTGTCAGATACTGCCCATTGCTTTTCTCGTCAGCCATGATCGCGTGTATCAAAGCACGACTTCCTTCCTCCGTACTACGAGCCAACAGCTTTTCACCAATGCGGAGACCGGCACTGTCTGTTTCCCTCGTCAATTGAGACTTGCAGAAGCTAGGGTTTGGCGTGTTGATGATAATCAGTGGCGCTTTACTCCGTGCAAACTGATACGCAAATGCACGCACGCCGAACAATACCAGCAGCTTTGACAGTGGATATCGACCCATCATATTGGTAGTCTCTTTGTTGTTGAGCGATTCGAAAATACTGCTCTTGTAATGAGGATCCAGTTGTCCAAGAGAAGCGATATAATGCAGAGCCGAGTTTGGGATGGTGATGCGAGGTGTGATATTGAACTTGGAAGCTGAATCTCGCAGTTTGGGAACCAGTAAGGCAACAAGCAAGAAGGTGTTGACCACGTTGACGGTGATGGTTCTCTCGTCCTCCTCCGATACAATAAATGTATTGGTAGCCAGCCCGGCATTCGCTAACAGAGCATCAAGGCGCGGTAGAACAGCAGCACGGCTAGCAAAGCTTTTGACCGAGGCATAGCTATCCATGTCCAGCAGCCACACCTCGACTGAGCTTTCTTCGCGGCCGGTGGATTTCAATAGTTCTTGTCTCGCAGCCTCGCCTTTCTTCAGATCGCGTACGGCCATGATCAACTTCTCCACACCTAGGCGCAACAGGTGGCGGCTGGCCTCGAGACCGAGTCCTTGGTTTGAACCGGATACGATGACTGTCTGTCCGTTGAGATCACCTTCGGGATAAGGAAGTTGGATGAAGATGTTGGAGAACACCGTTGAGAAGACCCCCTCTAGGGTCGAAAGAACAGACATGGCTATGTCTGGCTAGATTGAATCAGAAGAAAGAAGAATACGACAAGGAGTATCACTGTTCAACAAATCCTTTCCTTGAGGCTTTAAATAAGAAGTTTTCTCGCGGCCGGGCTTATTATAGCCGTCCTTTTATTCTAATTATGTATATCTACGACGTTGAAAGTCGATCATAGGGCTTTATTATCTCCGTCTACTGCGTTTATATTACGCAGGCCAGTCTGTAGTAAAAGGCGTGTAATTTTGACAAGGATGTATCAATACCGTCAAATAACAGTCTAGGCCGGGATGGAGATAATATCTCCGCGTCTCATAGCCCCTTTGTTTTCTATCCTTCGAAATGATCTGTTGAATACGAAAAATAAGTTGAAAGCTTTGCTTGACTATTTGAATCCATGCCTAGAGATGTCTATGAAATTCGAAAAACGAAACCGACCGCCTCTGTCCTGCGAACCATGTCGCACACGGAAGTAAGCATTCATCCCATACTAGATTCCTAGATTCGACCACATAAACTCACGTTCTCTAGGTTGAGATGTAACAGGCTTCTACCCTGTGATACCTGCATTAAACGGAACGTGCAGTCTACGTGTCAGTACGCTGCTAACGCTGTACGCGGCAAGAGCCATACTTCAAGGCAACGTGCCTTGAATGATAGACTGAAGCGTCTCGAAGATTCCATCCAATCATTTGTTGTAGGAAACAATGTCTCACAGGCAGACCCACGGCCACAGGCAGACCCACGGCCACAGTCAGAGGAGAGACATACGATTGATGAAAGTCGAAGCCTTCCTAGGGCTCATGAGGTTCCTGTCGCCATGACTGGGCTGGCTGCAAGCAATGGACCACGTACCGGGGACCAACATCTCCAAGAGAAAGCAATGCCCAGCAATCTTCATGCAAATCAAGGTAGAAACAGTCACGTTGATTCCAGTCACTGGGTTTCTATTTTGGAGGATATCAAGGAAGTTCGAGAAAGTTTGTCTGCCGTTGATCCCTTCTCGCTCATTGAGCCGACAAGGGACGGTGGAAGTGAACACCCTGACTTAAGCCTTTCTGTGGGGTCAGAACATCAATCGAAAATGAAGGATATCCTTGTCTCGCTCCCTACACGTGCTATCTGTGATATGTTGGTGTCCCGGTATTTCAATGCTCGGTACATGGTGTTAGGTGGGCTATAATTTGGAACTACCCTCCGTTATATGTCTGGCTGATTCTATAAAATTGGCAGGTATCGTCCACTCGGGAAAATTTCAGGATGAAGTGAGTCACATCTTTGTCTTAAACATCCATTTTGGAGCTACTTGACCAAATGTCGCTTATCCCGACTGACTCGGGATAGTATGCAGAATTTTGGAAATCGCCGGAAAAGACACCTGTGCTTTGGGTCGCGCTTCTCTTCGGTATACTCAGTGTATCAGTCCACCTTCGCCTGAAAGTGAACACGGACGGAACATTGAATGGTTCAATTCCACCGCCTGGTATCCTCCAACAGAAGGCGGCACAGTGTCTTACACTGGGAGGGTATAAAACAGCCAAGGCTTATGCCTTAGAGGCATTGCTCCTGTATACTCAGAGTGGCTTTTTGAGCGACATGAAAACCAGTTCCCGACAATGGTTTGATATTGGGATTATGCTCAGACTAGCATTTCGCATGGGCTACCACCGTGACCCTAGCACTCTACCAGGGTCTACCACACCATTTGATAGCGAAATGCGACGCCGGGTGTGGCTGCATATCTTCCAGCTGGACGCGCTCTTAAGCTTCCAAATAGGCCTTCCAAGTATGATACCGGCTGAGTGCTGTGATACCCATGTTCCCAGGAACCTATACGACGCCGATCTTCATGTTGGGATGTCGGCATTGCCTCCGTCTCGGCCGTCTTCAGAATACACTCCTATCCTCTATAGTATCTCCAAGGCCGGTGTAATGAGCATCTTCAAAAAGATTGTTGCACATACAATTTCACTTGCAACGCCATCTCACAGCAGAACCATCACTTTGGATGCCGAGATGAGAGGCGCCTACACTCTGGTTCCTGACTTCCTTAAACGGAGAGACATCAGTCAATCTCTCATGGACTCATCCGAGGTGATCCTGAACCGATGTACGATCGAACTCCTGTACCTGAAAGGACTCGTGGTCCTGCACCGGCGGTATATCCGGTACGAGCATCAAGACGCCAAATCCGAGCTTTCACGAGGCTTTTGTGTGGAAGCCGCTCTTGAAATTCTTGCCCGCCAAGAAGACATGCATCAAGCATTCCAGCCTGGTGGCCGTCTACAAGAGGACCAGTGGATGATTTCATCGCACACAATCTATGATTTCCTCTTAGCTGCAATGGTCATCTGTCTGGATCTATCCGTGCGTCTCGAATCTCATACGACGGCGTTTATAGCCGAGGGCGCAGACCACAGCTTTGTTTCGCGAGAGATAGTTGCACTGAAGACCTCCCAAAAGATTTGGGCTGCTGATAGCCATCGCTCGCAGGAATCTCGCATTGCATCGCTTGCGCTGGACTTGATGGCCCGTAAGGTGGCTGAACGTCAGGCTATCTTCTCATACAATGATGCTACGTTCATGGACGTTCCTCGAGGGCTGAACCTAGAGCTGCCCTATATGGAACCAATGTCGGAAATGATTGATGGCTCAGAGACACTTGACTGGGTAAGTCCTTTCGCGGAGGCTCAATAATGAATTGATTATGATTAGTATCTGACTATCTTCCTCTCTCCTAGCTCTTGTTGGACCAATATTTCCAGAATTCTGGTCTCGAGGCGTCTCATGTTGACCCGAGCAACGGGATGAGTGGGTTCTTAACGGATGATCCTGGAGCATTTGACCCTTGTGCGTAGCATCAGCTACAATTTCGAAGTAGTTGTCTCAGAAATAGGAAGCAAAGCTGTCTCACTACTTGTGCTTTTCCGAAATCTCAATCTCACTACACCTTTGGCTTCAAAGTGTGCTGTGCAAAATCCAATTAATAATTTTGTACATTGGATTGGGGATGACTGCTTGTCTCTATGCATGCAATGAAATACCTCATCGATTCGTCGAAAAAAATAACAGGGGCATCATCGTGACAGGGTCATGTAGATGAACATTAGAAAGGCCGGAAAATAGATGCATGCATGGCATACTACATATTCACAAGGTCATCCTCGAGTTTCTGTGCCAGGTACAAAGTGCACCTAGACGGAAACCAACCATGACGACCAGTATGTGCAGAAAAATGGCAATGGTCTGGGTTCGAATGCTGTGTGTTGTTAAAGTAAGTGCCGCAGAGAGGAGGAGAGGGTAAAGTATCCAGGGGTTGACGGCCAGCGGCGAGCATGGATGAAGAAGGGATGTTATCTTGACGAGGAATAGAGTGAGTTGCAAGACAGGCGAGAATGCGAATGGGCTCCAAGATTCCAAGGAATTCAGGATGGGGAAGCGGCTTGGTGGGGGTGGAAGCAGATGATGTTGAGGAATTTGTTGAGATTGGTTATCGAGGGATGATGTTGATTCCCGAGTGGGTTGGGCTGGAGATGACGTTGATGAAGCGGAGTAGCGATGCCGGACAATCATTTCCCGGTCCGGGCCTAAAGGAAGGCCCTCCTCTGGTTTGGGATCGGACACAGGAGCCGCATTGCTTCGAAAATGATTGGAGTCAGGTATCGAGTCACGTCGGAAGGATGTTGGATTGCGGCGCAGCTTTTTGGTGGGGGATAGTGTTCGCTCTACTGATTGCTGTTGGCTATCTAACGGGCGAATTCGAGACCCAGGCAGGTCGGAGCCTCCCGTGCTGGATTTCCTGAAGCGGAAGTTTTCATTTGAATTGGCACCGACTTGTATGCCATTTAACACGTCGTCTGCTGAGGGTCGTCTGGCAGGATCAACCGAGAGCAAGCGCTCTAAGAACCGATAGAGCTTTTCAGGAAGATCGGAGCGGATAGCTCTTGCGTGGTCAAATCCAGCCCAGCTGGTGATCTCTGCACGGAGTTGATCCAAATCCTCCTTTTCTTCGTTTATGAGATCAGCATTCGCGTATGGAAGAGCTGCAAAACATAGGAAGTAAAGGATCATCCCGAGGGAAAAGATATCTGATTTGAACGTAAAATTGCCAAATGGACCGTCAGGATATTCTTGGCGAAGAACTTCGGGTGCACAGTATGAAAGAGTACCGGTTGCACCAGTCGACTGGCGCATTGCATTTTGAGACTGCACTTCACCGAAGTCGCTGACCAGAACTCTAATACCATCACCGGTCTCATGGAGTAGGCAGTTGTGTGGCTTCAGGTCTCGATGGATATATCCATTGGCGTGGAGATAACGGAGTCCAGAGGTGATATCACGGAAGAAAGAATAGATCTCATCTAGCTGAAGTGTGCGAGCTCCTCCCAGTTTGGTTCGAGGCTCCGGTTCGCCTTTGGATTTGCGGCGTAGGCGGTCCTTCAATTGTTGTGCAGTGGTCGAGGTCTGAACAGAACCACAGATGTAATCATGCAAATCACCCGCATTGCAGTATTGCTGTAGAATAAATGCGCAAGGCACACTAGGACCAAAATTGCTTATCTTGGCATTTTCCAGCCAGACATGACGGTACGAGACAAGATTCTGGTGCGAGAGATGCTGCAACAGCTGCACCTCACCCAGAACCTTTTCCAGCCACTCATGATCGTCACCGACAGGCACACGCTTGCAGGCATAATGTCCAAGTGACACACTATCCAGGACATGCTTCACTAGTAGCACCACACCTTTTCCACCTCTGCCTAACACTCGTTCCTCCACAAAGAATCTCTTAAAGTAATCTGGACTGAATGCTGCAGAGGAAATTCCCTGTGGGGATGGCTGGGGTGAAGAGGTAGGTCCAGCGGTCGTGTTATTGACAGGACCACGTGGGAGTGCGGGCTGAACAAGGCGATGGCGTGGAGAAGGAGGAGTCGAGGATGTTGCGGAGCTGGGGAGGCTATTGTTGAGCATGTGAAAGTAGTTTGGGTTAACGAATTCCCCTTGGGATTCATTATCCCCATGTTGTTCTCTACCATTATCGTGCATTGAGCGATGACAAAATGGGCAGTTGGCTAGCTCCAGATTGTCATTGTTCGTGTCTGACGTATTGCGAAGAACGAGCTGTTGCGAATCATGGTCAAAGACAACCACTGAGTCATTGTGCCGCCTATCCACAATTAGATAACTAGTAGGACAAAGTTGAAGACCACTTACAGAACAACATCGAGGTTTCCCCCATTATATGGAATCATAGACATATCGGCGGGCATTCTGGCATGAATGTGAGGGGATTGACAATGGGCGAGTTATCGATGACGATGTAGATCTGGGGGGAGGCGGTGAGGGTACAGTAGTCGATAGTGCGTTAGTGGAACAAATCCTGACTTTCTTATATTTTCCTTGCCTTTGCTACATTTCTTGTTTGTTCTTTTTGAATGGAATAAAAATGGTGCTCGATTCTACTTCCTCGAAAACTCGAAATCGCAAACAAAGCGATCCGGGGTCTTAGAATCGAAACAGCAACACTAACAGACTAGGCTGATCTATGAGTGGGGTACTCCGTACAGCTTACAGTGAACCCACACAGCCATTGATAAATATCTCAATCGAACATCTCAATTAATACACACCCGAACTCCCAATCTGGTTTGAATCCCAATGGATCCAATCTCTATCACTGGTCTTGTGATAGAGGTCAGTCATGTGCTGTCGAGCTTGGTTCGATATGCCAAAGCAGTGCAGACTGCAAAATCCGAAGTGCGAAAACTCACCGAAGAACTCTTTGCTTTAAAAGGGATTTTGGAACACTTGGCGGCACAGATAGATGATATCCCCAAATGGCAGGAATCAGAGGCAAGCCAATTTGATCGAGATGTCATGGCAAGAGTGCTGCATACAACAAATGAATTCCTTCAATCTTTGCTCATGGGCTTGGAGGTGTCCGAGACCAAGTTTAAGCGCCTTAAGCAAACTCTGAAATGGCCTTTTACTCAGACGGAAGTCAGCGAGCATCTGATCCGTCTCGAAAGAGTCAAATCGTGGTTGATACTGGTTCTTATTGCAGATCATAAATCGGTGGATCGGGAGATGCAGCATGAGATTCGTGATCTGACAAACACATTGAGAGAAGACTTGCAGATTCGAGTACAAGAGCGGAACAGATTAGCAAACAGAGAGCTACTGCAATGGATAGCTCCTGTGAACCCCGAAAGCTCTCATCTACGGGCCTCAGAAAGACATAGGAATGGGACTGGTAGATGGTTTGTCGACGGTCATTTGAAGACGTTCCTCGATCAAGACGAACGTCGAGCTTTCTTCCTCGTAGGAAAATGTATGTACCCAGTTTGACTGCTAAGAAAGTTCACTGATATAGTATTGAAGCCGGAACTGGAAAAACCACACTGTTGTAAGTTTCGTTCAGAAATCTGGTTGCTTCTCATATCTGACCTTCGCTAGTGCACAAGTTGCCAACAAGCTTACTTATATGGCTTCCCAAGGTCAATCCATATATCCTGCTTACTTCTACTGCACCATTAGCGATTTTGCCTCTCAGGATGCAAGAAATGTTCTAGGATCACTTGTGGCACAGCTTTCGGGGATAGTCCCTTCAATATTGGACGAGGTCAGGTCTATCTACAACAAAGGCCCAAAGAATCAGGCACACAGGTTCCCTATCGAATTACCTGTGCTCGAAGCTGCCATCGTCAAGTCCGCCTCCGAGAAGACAAGGGTTGTCCTTTTGGTTGATGCAATCAACGAAAGCCATGATATGCAGCTTCTTGAAGCTTCCCTTCTCAAGCTTGCCAGTCTGTCCACGAACATCCGCGTGCTTATAACTACTACAAACACCATGAGTTCCATCAAGCACGACAATGTATCTGTTTTGAACATAAGTGGAAAGTCACGAGGGGATATTGATGCCTTTGTCAAATACCGACTTGAAGCTGATGACACGTTGAGGAATCTGGCACCGGAGTTTCAAGCGGAAATTGAACACACTCTTTGCCGAAATGCCGACGGATCGTTAGTATATATCGATATTACTATGCTTTCTGTGACCTAATGATTCCTGTGTAGATTCCGCTGGGTTCAGCTCTCATTGGACAACCTGAGCGCGCAGCGATCTGTAAGGGCGATGCGACAGGCCTTGAAGAAACTCCCAAGTACTTTACGCGAGACATATGCAAATATGTTGGAAAGAATTGCCCCTGACGACTGGAAGATTGCCCGCGAGGCCCTCTTTTGGCTCAGCTTCACTAAATTGCCTCTTAATTTGAGATGTCTTAACGAAATCGTGGTCGTGGACGAGACAAGCATGACACTGGATGAGGATATGATGCTTGTTCCTCCGCATATTCTTCTTGAAATATGTCAAGGACTCATCACTGAGGACCCGCATGGCTGTCTTAATCTCGCGCATGCGTCTGTGAAGGACTTCCTAACGTCTGATTGGATTCGCTCATCTCGAGTCCAATATTTCGCTCTAGATCCTAAAACTGCAGACCTGAAAGCCATGCACAGCTGTCTCACGTACCTGTGTCTCGATAATTTTGCACAAGGATACCTGGCATGCCCCGAAAACCCAGCCAAGCTACGAGAGGATCATCTTTTCATGTCTTACGCCGCAAACTTCTGGCCCCAACATGGTGGCGCTTGCGGTTTTGGGGATCCCAAACAAGATATGGTCCATAAATTCTTTGCCACGAGATCTCTTCCTGGCCGGGGCAACTATGGAACGTGGATGCAGACGTTGCTCCGAACAACCGCTGGTTCAAATACAAACGATGCTGTGGCCATTGACAAAACGCATCCTCTCTACTATGCTGCCTCGTTTGGTATGGTTCCAGTTGTCAAGTCTATTCTCGCTTCCGAGCCAGATATCGACATCAATGCTCCTGGTGGCCGGATCGGAGCCACAGCAGTATGGATTGCTAGTCTTCGCTTCAATTTTGAAGTTGTGGATATCCTCCTGCGTGCTGGGGCTGATCCATCAATTCGGGATCCAGGGAGTGGGCTGAATGTGCTTGATCTTTTAAGGATGGTACCGACCCGTCACCGAAGTTACGAGGGTCTTCGGCCCATTTTAGCTCGCCCAGCACCTTGGAAGGTGTTAGAACGCGAAGAGACGAGAAAAAGGATTGAATCTTACAAGCAAATAGGGAGCCAGCTAAATAGTTAGGTCTTGCAACAAGGCATCCAGGCAGGTGGCTGTCTCGTCGGAAGGATTAATTGAAGGTGGAAATGTGTTTTACGGATTGCCCAATCAAGGTAGATTTGACCAAACATGTCGCTATTTTCTGCCACGCTTTCTCTCCCCAGATTCAACCCGTGGTTAAAGAGCGGAACCATATCCGAACCTCCTACTGTCCGGTGGCTAAGATCGAAATGTAGAGAAACATGTAAGATCCTAACTACGATTACTCTGAAGGATTACTCTGAAGATGGCTTAAGTAGAAAGAATTTTCATTCATTTTGATTCCTCATCGAATCGGGTATCTGAGTTGGAGCTGGTGACGAAAAAACACCAAAACGCCTGGGGTTGTACGAATCATGTACTGGGATGCTCACGATTGACGTGGCTTTTGCGTCGCAGGCACTCTTCAGGCCTGGGCGACATATCGCATATCGCAGGACAGGCGTCAGACTTCTGTGCGATGAAACACATGCCAAATGCCGGTGGAGAGCCAAGTCCGCTGAATGCGGAGATGGGGAGAAATGAGCCGGTTGGAGGCTCTGTTTCAAGAGCTACATAGCCGATCTCATGGCGATCGACTGTCTGTCTCTCGTGGAGCGGGATATGATAGGGATGATACTCGTGCCTTAGAAAACACCGATGGATCAATCACTCCTCGCCACTCTCCACGTCGCTGACCTCCAAGTTGGCGATCGAATCGTTATCGCTGTCGTCGGAGTCGACGGTCTCGTCCTGGGGAGCCTCGGACTCGGCCTCAGCGTCCTTAGTAGCAGGCTCGTTGTTTTCATCCAACTTGCGCTTACGGGGCATCTCGCCAAGTGCACCTTCACGGCCCTTGACACCTTGCTCGTCCTTTTCACCGTTCTCACCCTTGCCGGTACCCTTAGGTGGGGGTGTGTACCAAGGGATCTTTCCGCGAAGGAAGTCGTTGATCACCATCTTAGCGACTCCATCCAAATCGGCTTCACCTCCCTTGAGGAGACGACCACCCTGGCGAGCAAGAAGCGCAAGCCAGTCGAGGTAGTTCTCCTGGTGCTTGATACCGTAGGTACGCTCAAGGTGACGGGGCAAAACACGGCGGAGAACAGCCGGGATGTATTGCTCTGGATTGTGAACGTTTTCCACTCTGCAGACTCCACGGAGAAGAATGTCCTCCTCGGTATCGTTGACGTTAGGCGGGACCACACCAGGGCAATCGATGAGGTAAATTCTCTTCATCAAGGTGATGTACTGCCACACCTTGGTTTCACCCGGAATGGGAGCAACTGTGCACACTTTCTTGGCTCGGAGAGTGTTGATGACAGAAGACTTGCCCGTGTTAGGGTAGCCAATCAAGCCAACAGACACTTGCTTGCGCTCGGAATGAAGGGACGAGAACTGGCGAAGCAGTGAGATCAAAGAACCCTTGCCGAAAGAGTTGTTGATATTGGCATGGAAAGCAAGACAAGGGTAGTCCTTGGAAAGATGACGAACCCAAGCGGCCTAGTCAAAGATGCAAAGTTAGCAATCAGTCACCAGCAATGAATGAAACATTGTGTCGAAGCAGTAATGTGTGGGATGTTACTAAGAAATTCTGCTACAATGCCACCAAAAAAAGGCAGAAGCAGACTTCTACTCAAAAACAAAACACAGCTGGCCCTTGCGACAGGCTTTCAAGACGAAAGCAAGTCAACCTAGGTTCATAACGAAATTCGGTGCGGGCCAGTGTTAATATACCAAAGCTGTAACAGACGGAATTCCATTGAAACAAGCACAACCGAAGTCGTGCACGACCGAAGTCGCAGGAAGAGGCCTTGACTTAGCGATGGAACGGGGGGATAACAGGAAATGGCAGGAAAGCAATAAAAACAATAACAGAGTGATAAGAAGAGGCAGCGAAGGGTAAACGATAAAACTTACAGCAACGCCAGTGGGGACGAGATCGCACTTATTCAAAACGAAGATCAAGTGCTTGTGGGGTGCCTCCTCGCGAATGTATTTCTCAACACTTCTGCAACGAGTACCCTCGGGATCACGAGAATCCAGAACATGGATGATGACATCGGAAGAATCGATAACCTTGTAAAGTTCGTTCCAGATACGCTTGCTCTGACCCTTGGAGAAAACAGATTCACGAGAGGTGGTGAGAAGACCCAGGTCTTCAGTCGCGGCAGTGTCGTCACCGCGAACGATGGCGCTTCCATCGGCGTGAGTTCCCTCGTCGTTCTTTTCGATGTAGCTGTCCTGCAACTTGGCTGTCTGGCCAGCGAGGTCTTCAAGCGATGACACACCAAGCTTGACCCGCTTGCGCTGAGCCTTGGGGCCGAATGTATCATTGAAAGGAGAAGTCTCAATGGCCATCTTAGCCTGGTGCTGCTTCAGGCCGTTGACCTTGTCATTGTCCCGAATCAAGCTCATGGGGAGCTTGTTGGTCTTCAGAAGGACTTGGTACGGATCGGCAGCACGCTCAGCCACAGCCTCACGGAACGAGCTCAGAGCCTCTTGTGAAATAACACGCGAATTAGCAAACCATTTACGGTTTGGCTCGATGCGGGCTGTTGGCAACTCTTTAGATTGATAACTCGCAGCGACTGTGATATCACCCTGTGCGTTACGGCGAGGTGTGCCATCCTTGAACATGTTCAAGGTCTTGAGTTTCTTGGCATCGCTGGCAGGCGAATCAGTATTGGTTATCCAAGCATGGTAGTGATTCTGGCTGAGGATGAACATACCGGTAAAAATTTTCACCCTTGGTTTTGACATTTGCCATGCCATCGTTGGGCTTCCCCTGCCGCACTTTACGAGCGGCCTCCTTCTTTCCTGTACCCATGATAACGGTTGTGGATTGAAGTGTGAATGGAGAAATAAGTGCCTGACGAAAAAAAATCGAAGGCAAGACCAAACACGAAGAGTGGCAGAGTGCAAAGAGAAGAAGAAGAAAAATAAAAGGCGGCGAGAGAATTATTTTTTTTTGGCGCCAAGACATTACCGTGCACGGACCAAGGGAAAATCGCTTCTTGTTTCTTCCGACTTGCTCGACCGCGTATCCTCCTTATTATATGGTAATCAAAGTCAGGCTACATCTCGGTTCAATTGAAGGTCGTGTCATTGGCCTTTGACTCGATAATTCACTTTGCAATAACCCACTGCCTATTCTATCACTCCACGGAGTGACAGGGTTGAATTGCGCCGCATGTCTGTCCTCCGCAACAGCCGGACTGCCACAGTGCAGGTCCGTGGATTTGCTTCCTCCTCCAATCTTCGAGTCGGACCAGAATCCCCTCACTTTATCGATGTGCCGAAGATCATTCAGCCCACCAACCCCCGCAAACCTCATGTCAGGGGTACACTACCCGTGCCTCGCGAGCTCTTCCCTGCCCGCCGAGCGGACAAGCCCCGGATACAATATCTCAATGCAGCCACACAACTCCCCAAGTCGGAGCGTGTAGTGAGCCTCAAGAGCAGCAACCCCGAGAAGCAGGAATGGAAGCACAAGATGGCCGATCTGCGGAGACAGAACCTGCGGGACGGTTTGCGAGACCTGTACTCGCGCAAAAGGTCCGCAGATTCCCAGACTTTCAGCCGCAGTCTTGAGAGTCAGAATCGGCGGGACCGCATTCTTCAGCAACCCGAGCGTGAGGACGAACGCCTCACTCGGCCATCGACCATTGAGGCGATGATGCCCCACAAACAGCCAGTTTACCCCGACCCCAACCGGGAGGAACGCCTTGCGCTTTCTCGGGCACGTCTGGAAGCCAAGCAGGCACAGAAAGAGGCTGAGCGGAAGGAGAACCTCCAGTCGTTGTATGTGAATGCTCGCACTTTCATTACAACCGAGGAGCAGCTCGCTGCTGAAATTGACCGGGTATTCCCCGAGGGCGAGAACCCGGCGTGGCGCAACGACCACCAGCCCGGCGAGAACATCTGGAACCTGGGTAACCCCCCAACTGTGTACAATCTGGCCAACAAGGCCCGCTCCAACGAGGCCCTTCGCTGGGATATCTCTCAGGACCGTGTTAAGAAACTTGGCGAGGCACTTACTGGGGGTAAAATGCGAGAGTAATCGGGGATTTTCTAGCATCATGTACAATATCTATCAACCTTTCACATTTCAAAGCTCGAATCAAGAGATCCTTTGAGATCCTTCCATTTTTCAAGTCGAGTTCCATGCACATATAATCCGAGCAGAATTAGCCCAGCTCGATGCTGCTGAGAGCTTGTGATTTTCTATATGGTACTGACAAGTCCCTGTATTGTCCCAGACATATTCTGCTCTCAATCGGTGTAAAGTCTAGCAAGACATGTGGAAGCCTTACAGCGCCTCGATAGCGCGGGTCTCTCAAAGGATCTTTGGTGCCGATTTGCTTATCTTGGCTTCTGCTTGTGTGCTGCCCTAGTCCTCGAATGAATGCAGGCCAACAGATCATGACGAAGAAAGGTTAACATGGACATTGGCGTATCTTACTATGACTGCACATGTAACAATGAACAAGAGACACGAAACGACAAGAGGCAAGAACCGACAAGAAACACGAGACAACAACACAGTGGACAAATGGAACAAGACAATATTTGAAGTGGAATCATAACAAGGAAGGAACCTTGAAGAAACAAAGTGTCTGAAGAATTTTCTAAAGAGGACAGAGAGCTATCTCTGTTGTAAGAGCAACAAATTGGCTCGGCGAGCACGCTTTCCAGCTTCTGATGTTCGATGGAGAACTCAAGAAAGTACAGTCTGTTTCCACAGCGGTCGTAGTAGCACTGCCCGCAGGTTTATGCCACCACGACATGCTTCGTGCCATTAGACGGGGAGACCCCAGTCTAGTTTCAGCCTTGACTGGAACGCGTCAAAAATCCATCAGTGCCCTCGGGATATCCCTTGGACAACAGGACCACGATGTGCAATGTGGGCCCGGAGCGGGAATGAGAGAGAAAGAAAGAAGAGAAGGGAAATGGGAGGGAGCAGGTATTTACATTTTGTCGGTGGCTGAAGGCGATGAGGGAAT